CTAATGGCAAAGGAATGGTAATGCTTCCTTGAGTTATTGAGTGATAGGACAGAGAGAGAGAGAGAGAGAGAGAGAGAGGAGAGAGAGAGAGGAGAGAGAGAGAGAGAGATTAGAGGAGAGAGATAGAGATAGACGATAGATATATACGCTATATGAGATATATACATTCGCTATATAGAGACTCTCTCGCTCGCTTCTCGCGCTCTCTCCTCATATTCCGCTCTTCTCGCTCTCATCTCTCTCTCGATCAGCCCATTTCTTTTTTGACCTTAGAATGGCATTTTCATTGAGGAATATAATTTTCCTTGGATTATATGATAGCCAGATGGGAGAATGAGAGAAGGGAGAGGAGAGCGCGCCATATCTCGCGTAGAGCTCTCTCTCTCTCTGCTCCTCCAGAGATCTGCTCCTCTGCCCTACTGTTCTCAGTACAGGGATTTGGTGGCCTTAACGAATGGCATTTCTCAACGATTGCCGGGGCTTGAGCTTAATGACTGCACATCATGTAGAGGCCAGTGACGCAGGGCCCGGTGAGGAGGATGAAAGAACGAACGGCGAGAAAATATCTGGTCCTGAGAGACCATGGTGAGTCATCCACCCATCTGCGTCATATGAATGGAAGAGAGAGAGAGAGAGAGAGAGAGAGAAGAGAGAGAGAGAGAGAGAGAGAGAGAGAGAGAGAGAGAGAGAGAGAGAGAGAGAGAGAGAGAGAGAGAGAGAGAGAGACTTAAACAACAGTAGGCAGGTAAGTACACAGTTGATAGCCTACAACGTATGAAATGACCTATGAACAAAGGACGTCTGCGTTTAATACATGTGTTACTAACCGGCTCCTGTAAACTAGTACAACAGATACAACATCTGCCAATTAGTATTCATTCAACAGTTGTAGATGGACAAGATACAGACACTCCTGTTTAGCGAGGTGTGTAAGTGACTGAGCAACTGTGAAGCCTGCAGGTGCAACAGCTTCAGGTTTCGACTAGACTCGCCAATCAGGCAAATCTACATTTGTTGTAAAACACTAATGATACTGTAGACCACTTATTATAGGAAGTAATAGTAGCCTACCAAGTCTCTGTCTATCAGATTCACTGAGTCTCAAGCTGTTTCTCTCTCCATTTCTAAAGTTACTCTGACCTCTACTGATAGTAAGGTGTAAAGTCACGTCAGTTTTCAGTTTATTTCCAACATTTACAGAACGCTGTAAGTTTTAGCTTTTTTCCACTAGAGGGTGGCAAACGTTCATTCATGCACTGCATGCCTGTGGCTGGTAATGTATCCTGAACAAAAATATAAACGCAAAGTGAAGTGTTGGTCCCATGTTTTATGAGCTGAAATAAACGATCTCAGAAAATGTCCTTATGCACAAAAAACGTATTTCTCTCAAATTATGTGCAGAAATGTGTTTACATCCCTATTAGTGAACATTTCTCCTTTGCCAAAATAATCCATCCACCTGACAGGTGTGGCATATCAAGAAGCTGATTAAACAGCACGATCTTGTGCTGGGGACAATAAAAGGCCACTCTAAAATGTGCAGTTTTGTCACTCAACACAATGCCACAGATGTCTCAAGTTTTGAGGGAGTGTTCAATTGGCATGCTGACTGCAGGAATGTCCACCAGAGCTGTTGCCAGGGAATGTAATGTTAAGTTCTCTACCATAAACCCCCTCCAACGTTGTTTTAGATAATTTGGCAGTACGTCCAACCGGCCTCGCGTAACCACGCCAGCCCAGGAGCTCCACATCTGGCTTCTTCACCTGCAGGATCGTCTGAGGATTATTTATTTTCCCCTTCTGTGGGGGAAAAACTCATTCTGATTGGGTGGGCCTGGCTCCCAAGTGGGTGGGCCAATGCCCTCCCAGGCTCACCTATGGCTGAGCCCCTGCCCAGTCATGTGAAATCCATAGATTAGGGCCTAATTTATTTATTTAAATTGACTAATTCCTTATATGAACTGTAACTCAGTAAAATCATTAAATGTGTTGCATGTTGCGTTTATATTTATGTTCAGTATAGTAGTCAAGGAGTGGACAAAACACTTCTGGTTTGTGATAATGGGATGTTGCTTTCTCATCGTTTTATACAAATGTATTAGCTACATTATTAGCTAATCCAGACCAGACTAGTCTAACATAGGGGATTATAAAGGGTTATAAAGTCTACACAATAAATGGGGACATAGTTGTTGGTCCATATCACATTACTTGATATGCTACAAATCCCACAAATACATGTACCTTGCTGTTCACGGAAAAATATTGTAATTTGGGTGTAATAATCAATTGAAAGTCCTTTTGATGTGGGAGATGCTTGACCACTTCATCACAATAATTTGAGCTTAAAGGTGCAAACAAAATTGATGGGATGGAGAATTCATATTCAGAGGATGTGATGTGTGATGGACATGTCAAAGACCAGTGAATGTGCCTTTTTCGTTTGATATTATCCAATTATTATCCAATGTATTCATTGCAAGTTATTCATTGCAGCATCCACCGGTCTGCAGGTGAAATGTCATGGCTCGAGCAGACAATCAATTAGATCAAGGTTTTCAAATGGGAGGAATTTCAACCAATAGCCTGTAGACTTCAGGCGGTGGAATCCAATCATATTTTATCTTTGAAAAGTGGGTGTGCCACACGGCTGGTCCTAGAGGCGGGAATAGAAAAGTGCTGCATGGCGAGTTTGGTTGAGAAGAAGTTGGATAGTGTGGGTGTACCACTGATGAGAAGCGGCCGAAAAAAGGGAATATTTGCAGAAAATTCAAAGAATACTGAGGAATATTACATTGTTCTGCTTACTATCAGTATATTCATAAAAGTGTCTGACTTTCATTATCAACTGCACCAGGTGAGTTTATTAGAGTCGTTTTCTGAGGGATGCCGGGGTGGCTAGCTGGCTAACGGATTATTTTGCCATGACTTTTCAACGATGGAGGACCTCAACCTTGCTGGCTAGCTGACACTAAACTAGCCAGCTAGCTAACATGCTCAATTGTTTCAATGTAATTTTCTAGATTTAAAAAATATATAATCATCAATTGAATTAAATTATCGTTTTCATAGTAGCAAACTAATTGATATGCTCATTATAGGAAAAATACATGCATTTCTTTCCAGCTATACGTTTTAGCCACCCGCCACACCACAGACAGTGATGATACATGCAGCGCGAGGAGCCTAAACTGCATCATAACTCCTGAGTCCTGTTGATGTTCATTGCTTTAGCTCATGCTAAACATATGCTAAAGTAGCTGCTAATACAATTTTAAATATTTAAGGTACTGCTCGGTTATGATAATAGAAGTTTCACTTTTATTTAGAAATGCAATATTGTAAAAACTATGCTCATCAATGCAGCTAAATACAGAGCTTGCCGCGACTATGTTAGCTAACGTTAACTTACCTAGCTAACATTAGGTACAGCAATAATCAGTTTGATGTGGGCAATGCATATTCTTCTAAGCACGTTTATTCGGCAAGTTTATCAGCGAAGGGCTTGATAGTTTCAACAAGGGCTGGCAATGCCTTGGCTGGATGACTTGCTTTGGCGTGCGGTCAGCATGATATCATAGCGGTTTTCTGAGACGGGGATGCAGTGACACGACAGTGCGTTTAGCAGCACCCTGATTCCTCTATCCAGTGATCTGGCCCAGCTTCGGGTTTAAACAACACCGTGTAAACACCCTGCTAGCCATCATCAGCTGGAGCTGGCTTGCCCAGTTGAGTGACAGGCGTCAACACATCTCTTGATTTTCTAACAATATTCTCAAGTATAGACTAATCTACTCAAGCCATAGGCAAGCTTATCAAAAGTTCATATAATTTTCAGAAAATTCTCCCGCTATCAGTCCAGAAATGCTGAAAATGTCATATCATCAGTAATAGACTATTACAATAAGATAGTGTTATCGGAGTTGATGACATCATATCCCAATCATTCTTATCACAGTAAGAGATCACATGGCACAGGGCTACTACCTGGATCAGGAAGTGTGCTTGGTTGCCTCTTCCTATTTACTCTGGTCTAGTCTGCATAATCAGCCTCTGTAAACACTAGATACTGATACAGAAGCTGGCGGTGGTGGTATGTGAACCATTTCAGCAGGGCTGGGCTGCATGGAAGACTGTGTAATTCCTCCACTCCTCCCTAGACGCTTCAGTCGAGGATACATGCTGTTGTTTTTCTGCAGTCATGATGCAAAGGAGGCTGAAGTGTTCTCCAAACACTGACCTAGGGTCAGCTTTCCCTCTTGGCTTTCCCTTCCAATCCCTAGCCTAGCTGAACTGGAAGAAGTCATACATATGCAGTGTATGACAGAAGACCGTGGATCTATCTCTGTAGAGGGAGAGCCTCTAGTCTACCCACACATAGCTTGGCTCAGACATCAGGGAGATAACTGTTCATGTGTTCTGTCTGAGGAAAGTCTCTTTTTGAGGGAGTTGGTGAGAGGGACACACTGAGGGTACTGTACTGGGACTGGGAGTGTGTTACTGTAGGAGAGAGTCTGATTTACAAGGAGACTAACCTCAGAACTCAGCTAAACTGTCTGTTGTTCTGGTATTTAAGCTCCAGATTAACTAGACACCTACAGCCAGAAATCCCACCTGGCTTCACATGTTTGTATCACATTTGACTTGGTTTGGATTTACAAGGCTGTTGGTTTTGTGCTAGATGGGAGAAACTATGCAGTGTGCCTTATTGCTTTTCAGATAGGCTATATGCAATGATAAGAGACCATGCAGGGCGTGTGTAGTAGCAATACAGGAAAGATAGTGTGTGAAGAATCACCTTCCAGACATTGGAATTCCTGTTACTAACCCTTAAAGGAAGAGGATTTTCTTTACTCAATGGTGGATTTAGTGTAATAATACCATAATAACACAGGGTCTACTACTCCTGCAGTCCCCTCTCATCTTGGACAGTGTTCTGGTAGGATGCCACAATCCAGGAAGCAGGAGATCCAGGCTCATTTTAGACCTCTTCAATCAGTAACTTGAGAATGCCTTAAACTGTTCCTCTATTGAGGATTACCGGTACTTTGTATCCCAAATCTACCCCTGGGCATCACATTATTATATTCATCAATAGATCTACAGGAGAGCTTTAGGTAGGGGCTAGGGGTCAACCTGAGTCTTTAAAATAATGTGTATAACTCAACCAATGTGTTAACTGTTTGTGTCTTCCGTCCAGGTGTCCTAGTGTGTTCTGGTTCTACCCCAGAGATGGCACAGCGGAGCGGGCAGGAGGACCCGGAGCGGTACCTTTTTGTGGACCGCGCCGTGGTCTACAACCCGGCCACGCAGGCCGACTGGACGGCCAAGAAACTTGTATGGATCCCATCGGAGCGCCACGGCTTCGAGGCGGCCAGCATCCGTGAGGAGCGCGGCGACGAGGTGGTGGTGGAGCTGGCTGAGAACAGCAAGAAGGCCATGGTGAACAAGGATGATATCCAGAAGATGAACCCTCCCAAGTTCAGTAAGGTGGAGGACATGGCCGAGCTCACGTGTTTGAACGAGGCCTCAGTGCTGCACAACCTGAAGGACCGCTACTACTCGGGCCTCATCTACGTAAGTAGGATAGAAGTCCTGCTTTTTCTGACTTGAGAAAATCAGGAGTAGGCTTCTTTACCTTACATTGGTATCTTATTGAAGTGGACCAGTAGCCTTTCCCCTCCCCTTTTTGGGATATTGTACCCAACTACCCATCACATCAATCAGCATTGTCCAATACCAAACCCACAGAGACCCCCAAAACCATTTGTCCTTAGATATACCACCATACTCCAGGTTCTAATAAGTTGGCAATGGTATAAGCAATGTCCCAGATAACCAGTGTTTCCCCTGTGATTACGGCCCACTTAGTGACATGACATGCATTCCTGGAATAGATGGAATGTCAGTTGGCCGCCTGAGACCCAGAGAGAAGGGAGGACAACTGTGATTGCCTCCACAATTCCACGGCACCAGCTATTCCTGTGGTTCTCTCCCCAGGTGGCTGCAATAAGAGGCAGTAAGAGAGCTTGGGGGATGAGGTCATTTTGGAATGTTAATGAAGCAGAGGTTTTATTTTCACACTCACATTGACTCACTGCAAGGTGCAATATGAGGGGATGTATGAGGGATTTAATGTTTATTTTTTAATGGATTCTGAGGCTTGTGGAGTGGTCCTAGTTAATGGCATGTTGGCTGATGTGGGAATATGTCATTAGTTCCCATGGGTTGCATTATAAGCCCTTTAACCCTGACTGCTCTCAATAACAAACATTAACACGCTCCAATGCTCTAAGGCAGGGTTAACCAACTGGCGGTCCCCGGCCCGATATAAAAAAGAAATGTGGTTTTTATTTTTTATTTTGTTTTATTGTTGGACATAGCTAAAATACTGTTAAAACACCAGGAAATCAGCTCCAAGTCATTTTAATTTTGGAAATCTGTTCAAGTATTCCCACACATAATAGAGAGACACATGGGATCCTATACAAATGTAAGCAAGGTTTGAAATGATTATGTTTTAGTCAAATATTATATCAGTTTGAGCTTCTTGCTATAAATGATTTGTAATTATGTACCAGCCGCTCAATAACATTTTTTGTTGATCCCTGATTTAGGGCTAGGGAGGTTACTACTACTAGTAACAAAGCGGGCCATGTTGTCATAGTAATTGCCCTGCTAGAAATGACAAGAAGGCCTCTCGACCCAAACCCTATGCCCCGTCCAACACACTCCCCGGCTGGGGCTGGATTGCTAAGCGAGCTCCAGGCTTTAGTGAGGCCCTGTCGGTGCTCCATCCATCCATGTGGCTAGTAGTGCTAATGTAATGGCTCCCTGCCAATGGGCCTGGTCTATGCAGTAATCAGCCAGCCAGGGAGGGAGGCCCATGCTGAGTCATTCACACAGACTAACCGTACCGCCATCACAGGGCTCTTTGTCTCTCAGCAGATAAGCAACAGCTGTCCCTGAATAACTGGCATATTTTTGACCTTCAGTAGTACTGTACCAAACCCACTACTTGATTAGAAAATAACTCCCTGTCAAGTAGGGCTGACCCCATTTAGTCGACTGGTCGATTGTTTGGTCGTAAATAGATTTTATTTTTCATGGTGCACAAGACACCTGTCTATTTTGCGCCTGTCTCAGTGGACTAATCCATTGCGGAGGCCACGGAGATGGCACAGTCCATCACTCTTAAGACATGTGCTACTGAAATTGTAAATGGTTATATAATGTAAGAATAATGGTGCAACACTAATAAATATAATTTTATAACAAATGCGCTTTCTCCCGTGAGGGATAGCGGTCGCTGTCCGTGGTTCTGAAACGTAATCTTCAGCGTGCCGTTGAATTGGCATCTTTCCCTATATGTTGCTATTTGAATAATGGCGAAGTTAACCATGCATATTGGTGTTGAGAACAATGCGGCGGAGGCAGCAGCGGAGTGAGGAAATGAGGAAACATCCCTTGGTTTAATTGTCTAAGAAAATTGAGGAGAGAGGAAACCCCAACTTAATTAGGTCTATAATCAATAGCCTAACTGTTAAACGTGCCTGGCTTTATAAATCATCCATATATATCTACATTATATAACCAATAAGACAGATCCTGCTTCTGTTGCCAGAATGAGTGTTTATTTAATAGCCTACTGATTCCGTGAACACCAAGCCTCACGGAACCTCAAAATGTAGAATAAAGCAATTTCACAAATTCGGCTGTTTTTAATCTTTGCTATGCTGTAATAAAGGCTTTACAACACTTTTTTCGTTAGAACAGATTCTCTGGTATTACTTTTCATTTATTTACTGTTGTTTACACTGTTCCAAACGGGCTGAAAAATTATATGGTAATCAAACAGCACCTGTTTGTCACACATAATGTGCACGCAGCTCTCGCTCCTATACCCTCCTTTTTCTTGATCTCCTTCTTCTTATTGTTATTATTACAATTATTATTATGATCACCATTATAATAAGTAATGTCATTATCATCTGAAACCATACCTCTTCAAACAGTATCTTAAATAATCATCCTCCTTACCTCGACACCCTCCCCCCCACCAAAGAAAACCTGAACCCCCCCTTTCTAGCTCTGACTCTACTTATAGCTACTTTATTGAGGAAAAATTTACTTTCTATGCCTGTGATATGTGGTTGTCCACCTAGCTATCTTAAGACGAATGCAACTGGAAGTTGCTCTGGATGACTAAAATCAAAACAAATGTAGGCTTCTTATAGTAGTAGCCTTGTATAACCACCATCGATCTGTTGGCCTAAGAGCGCGTCCTGTTTAGTCTTAATACCGTAACTTATATTTCAATATATAGGCCACAGTATCAATCAATCAATCATTCATTCATGTCATCACACAGCATACGAGTCATTCATGCTTTGAAATGCAATCAAGCATTTTAGTTTTAAAATCAAATAACAAAGGGAGCTTTGGATAATTAGCCTAAACAATAAATAAACCACAATTTACGAATGCATGCAACTGTTTTTACTCTTTGCTGTAATAAAGGCTTTATATATTTATTTATTTTCTTGTTAGAACAGACTCTGGTACATTTATAATTTATATAGTGTCGTTTACACTTTTTCAAATGGTCAGAAAAAATTATAATATTGTAATCTAACAGTACCTGTTTGGTACACAATATTCACACAGCGCTTGCTCCTATACCCTCCTTTTTCTTGATTTCCAGTAGTTTCCACAACTACAGTGGGGGAAAAAAGTATTTAGTCAGCCACCAATTGTGCAAGTTCTCCCACTTAAAAAGATGAGAGAGGCCTGTAATTTTCATCATAGGTAAACGTCAACTATGACAGACAAAATGAGAAAAAAAATCCAGAAAATCACATTGTAGGATTTTTAATGAATTTATTTGCAAATTATGGTGGAAAATAAGTATTTGGTCACCTACAAACAAGCAAGATTTCTGGCTCTCACAGACCTGTAACTTCTTCTTTAAGAGGCTCCTCTGTCCTCCACTCGTTGCCTGTATTAATGGCACCTGTTTGAACTTGTTATCAGTATAAAAGACACCTGTCCACAACCTCAAACAGTCACACTCCAAACTCCACTATGGCCAAGACCAAAGAGCTGTCAAAGGACACCAGAAACAAAATTGTAGACCTGCACCAGCCTGGGAAGACTGAATATGCAATAGGTAAGCAGCTTGGTTTGAAGAAATCAACTGTGGGAGCAATTATTAGGAAATGGAAGACATACAAGACCACTGATAATCTCCCTCGATCTGGGGCTCCACGCAAGATCTCACCCCGTGGGGTCAAAATGATCACAAGAATGGTGAGCAAAAATCCCAGAACCACACGGGAGGACCTAGTGAATGACCTGCAGAGAGCTGGGACCAAAGTAACAAAGCCTACCATCAGTAACACACTACGCCGCCAGGGACTCAAATCCTGCAGTACCAGACGTGTCCCCCTGCTTAAGCCAGTACATGTCCAGGCCCGTCTGAAGTTTGCTAGAGTGCATTTGGATGATCCAGAAGAGGATTGGGAGAATGTCATATGGTCAGATGAAACCAAAATATAACTTTTTGGTAAAAACTCAACTCGTCGTGTTTGGAGGACAAAGAATGCTGAGTTGCATCCAAAGAACACCATACCTACTGTGAAGCATGGGGGTGGAAACATCATGCTTTGGGGCTGTTTTTCTGCAAAGGGACCAGGACGACTAATCCTTGTAAAGGAAAGAATGAATGGGGCCATGTATCGTGATATTTTGAGTGAAAACCTCCTTCCATCAGCAAGGGCATTGAAGATGAAACGTGGCTGGGTCTTTCAGCATGACAATGATCCCAAACACACCGCCCGGGCAACGAAGGAGTGGCTTCGTAAGAAGCATTTCAAGGTCCTGGAGTGGCCTAGCCAGCCTCCAGATCTCAACCCCATAGAAAATCTTTGGAGGGAGTTGAAAGTCCGTGTTGCCCAGCGACAGCCCCAAAACATCACTGCTCTAGAGGAGATCTGCATGGAGGAATGGGCCAAAATACCAGCAACAGTGTGTGAAAACCTTGTAAAGGCTTACAGAAAACGTTTGACCTGTGTCATTGCCAACAAAGGGTATATAAAAAAGTATTGAGAAACTGTTGTTATAGACCAAATACTTATTTTCCACCATAATTTGCAAATAAATTCATTAAAAATCCTACAATGTGATTTTCTTGATTTTTTTTCTCATTTTGTCTGTCATAGTTGACGTTTACCTATGATGAAAATTACAGGCCTCTCATCTTTTTAAGTGGGAGAACTTGCACAATTGGTGGCTGACTAAATACTTTTTTCCCCCACTGTAAGTCAAATGTCTTCCACACATCTGAATTCCCCTTTCCCTCCTGAGCAACCAGTAAACATTCCCGTGTTTTGATTTTCTTTTTCATGTCCTCCGCATCCATTTGGCTGTTACTTGTTACGATGTTCGTAGTTTGTTATAACCAATTTATTGATGTGATTATGATAGGCTATAGGTCAGGACCTATTGGTCTCGTGCATGCAATGCATACATGTTTCACGTAAAGAGAGCAAGGGTTGAGGGAACAGGGAATGTTTATATTTTTAATACAAATGAGGTATTTCGGTAATATAACTTCAGTCAGAGAAACAAAATGGCTGTAATTATGTTGCAGCTTCAGCGCAATAAACACTTGATGTGCTGCCTGTTCGCTGCAGCAGGGAGGAGAGAGAGAGACAACGTGCGCCCATCACAAAGGCACAAGCTGTCATATTTTTTTAACACAGTGTGGCCATCAGGCTCCCTCTTAAGTCATTTGTGTGTCTTAATTATTTCATCAAACAGTATCAGACAAGCTCGGGGCAGAACGGCAGATTTTTCCACCTTGCCGGCTCGGGCAAGGTTAAGAGCCCAACGCTCTTAACCACTAGGCTACGCAACTGAGCCTTTTTAAACCGAAGGTTAGCAATGCTAACAGATACATGTAAAATCCTATAGAGAATGCTAACTAAATGCTAACGAGAGCATTGCAAACATTATATACAGTTATAAAGTTATACAAGTAACAAAAAAATGCTACTCACAGTTTGCTGCACGCACAAAACAAACATTAGACAGCAAGGCTCTTGATCAGGGTTTCCGTTAGCTGGTAATAGCCGGCTTTTGGCCGATACAAAAATAGAAAAGACGATAAATAAAATTGGCACTGGCCAATTGTCCTTGGCCAGGAGAAGAAAAAAATTCCCATAGTGAAATTTTTAGCCTATTCATTGATAGAAATACTAGACGATGGAAATACATTTGACTGGTTATGCTTATCGATCTATAGGTTAATTTGCATAATTTAGTGCAATGAAATTGCCGCTTGTGTATATTTGTTATGTATCTTATTTAGCATGCATAGCATACAGAGCCTTTGAGCGGAAAATCTGTCAGACAACGCTTTTATAAGCCCAATCATTGCGCAACAATTCTAAACGCAATCGTGTGTTGAAAATAGCTTTGATGGCCAAAATTAAAAAGAGCTACTATTTTTATTTCTCAACCGGTAATTGAAGTGCACTTCCCATTCACCATTCAAATAATTAGGCAACGGAAGGCAGGCTTCGTCACTGCGTCACACAACACTTTGCAATGAGCTGTAGCCAGTATGCATTTTGAAAACATATACTTAATTGTTTGAAACCTGAACGTTTTACTACATATTATGAGGCATGTTTTACCTTGCTTCAAAGTAGCCTAGGCAAAATCCGACCATATCCGAGGAGGCAATTATTTTATAAAGACTTCCATATGCCATTGAAACCAGTAGCCTATTTCTCTCATGTTCTATTGCTTGTGCGCATTGCTGTGCTTATAATGTGAAGAAATAATAGTTTATCAACATTTTACGCAAAATGTTTTGATCTGTTGCATCAGACTCATTGCGTTAGATGTTGTTGTTTTTTATGTAGCCTAATACTGGTTGTATGAATTTAGGATCTATCGTCCCACAACTGTCCCAGAGTGGAATGGGCTATTTCTTTCTCTACAAGCTGACCAATAGAATAGGTAAACCTTTCTAGTATGGGGGGTAGTAGATTGAAAGGGGCTTTTGATTTTGCTGTTTGTTACTCGTCTTGTTATCTGAGGAAAAGTAAATGTGTCTAACATCTTCAAAGTGCTCATTGGAATTCAGTAAGAAGGACGCACGTCGTTGCATCCTCAACTTGCATGTTCTGTTAAAATGAATTACCATAATATAAATATGATTTCTGTCATTCTGAGCACCATGGGTGGACGCCCTAATCAGGTTATGCACCCAATGGATATGGGTCCGGTAAATGTATCAAATGTCCAGTAAATTAAAATGGTGCTGGTCAAATGTCCAACACCACATTTTCCTAACGGAAACCCTGCTCTTGATCCAGGAGGGGATATTCTGCTGTTACTCAACAAAGAAGCAAACCACTAAATTAGCAAACCAAATGCACAACTGCAGTGCATTTAGCACATTGTAGACAGTTAACTTAATAGTTATAAAATATCTAGCTGGCAAACATTTAGTTGTGAATGTAACTAGATCGCCTGGTGTGTGCTGCACAACAGTGAGTGACTCACAAGGCTCCGGTCTGTCATTGTTGTGTGCTTGTAAACAAACACCACGTGACTGAGGACTACGGGTAAGCTTTATAATGAAAAATGATGTGACAGATGAAATGAAGAACGCAATCTTCTTTATCTCCTAACGTATTGCACAAGTTGAGTGCAGGTATTAACTTAAAAAGTAGCTACAAATATTCAAATGTATTAAACTTCAAAGAAATAGTTTCAATAGTATTGACGGGATTGAAAAATCATCCTGTGAGCTATTTCCAAATACCCCGGTATATGTACAGTGCCTTCGGAAAGTATTCAGATCCCTTGACTTTTTCCACATTTTGTTACGTTACAGCCTTACTCTTTTCCCCTCATCAATCTACACACAATACCCCATAATGAAATGTTTGCTAATTTATAAAAAAGAAAAAACTGAAATATCACATTTACGTAAGTATTCAGACCCTTTACTCAGTGCTTTGTTGAAGCACCTTTGGCAGCGATTACAGCCTCAAGTCTTCTTGTGAATGACGCTACAAGCTTGGCACACCTGTATTTGGGGAGTTTCTCCCATTCTTGTCTGTAGATCCTCTCAAGCTCTGTCAGGTTGGATGGGGAGCTTTGCTGCACAGCTATTTTCAGGTCTCTCCAGAGATACTAGATCGAGGTCAAGTCCGGGCACTGGCTGGGCCACTCATGGACACTCAGAGACTTGTCCCGAAGCCACTCCTGCGTTGTCTTGGCTGTGTGCTTAGGGTCGTTGTCCTGTTGGAAGGTGAACCTTCGCCCCAGTCTGAGGTCCTGAGCGCTCTGGAGCAGGTTTTCATTAAGGATCTCTCTGTACTTCGCTCCGTTCATCTTTGCCTCGATCCTGACTAGTCTCCCAGTCCCTGCCGCTGAAAAACATCCCCACGGCATGATGCTGCCACCACCGTGCTTCACCATAGGGATGGTGCCAGGTTTCCTCCAGACGTGACGCTTGGCATTCAGGCCAAAGAGTTCAATCTTGGTTTCATCAGACCAGAGAATCTTGTTTCTCATGGTCTGAGAGTCTTTAAAATCCAAGCGGGCTGTCATGAGAAGTGGCTTCCGTCTGGCCACTCTACAATAAAGGCCTGATTGGTGGAGTGCTGCAGAGATGGTGGTCCTTCTAGAAGGTTCTCCCATCTCCCCAGAGGAACTCTACGAGCTCTGTCAGAGTGATAATTGGGTTCTTGCTCACCTCCCTAACCAAGGCCCTTCTTCCACGATTGCTCAGTTTGGCTGGGCGGCCAGCTCTAGGAAGAGTCTTGGTGGTTCCAAACTTCTTCCATTTAAGAATGATGGAGGCCACTGTGTTTTTGGGGACCTTCAAAGGTGCAGACATTTTTTGGTACCCTTCCCCAGATATGTGCCTCGACACAATCCTGTCTCGGAGCTCTACAGACAATTCCTTCGACCTCATGGCTTGGTTTTTGCTCTGACATGCACTGTCAACTGTGGGACCTTATATAGACAGCTGTGTACTTTTCCAAATCATGTCCAATCAATTGAATTTACCACAGGTGGACTCCAATCAAGTTGTAGAAACATCTCAAGGATGATCAATGGAAACAGGATGCACCTGAGCTCAATTTCGAGTCTCATAGCAAAGGGTCTGAATAATTATGTAAAAACGTTTTTATTTTAATTTTATATGTATACAGTTGAAGTCGGAAGTTTACATACACTTAGGTTGGAGTCATTAAAACTTGTTTTTCAACCACTCCATACATTTCTTGTTAACAAACTATAGTTTTGGCAAGTCGGTTAGGACATGCACTTTGTGCATGACACAAGTAATTTTTCCAACAATTGTTTACAGACAGATTATTTCACTTATAATTCACTGAATCACAATTCCAGTGGGTCAGAAGTTTACATAAACTAAGTTGACTGTGCCTTTAAACAGCTTGGAAAATTCCAGAAAATGATGTCATGGCTTTAGAAGCTTCTGATAGGCTAATTGACATCATTTGAGTCAATTGGAGGTGTACCTGTAGATGTATTTCAAGGCCTACCATCAAACTCAGTGCCTATTTGCTTGACATCATGGGAAAATCAAAATAAATCAGCCAAGACCTCAGAAATAGAATTGTAGACCTCCACAAGTCTGGTTCATCATTGGGAGCAATTTCCAAGCGCCTGAAGGTACCACCTTCATCTGTACAAACAATAGTATGCAAGTATAAACACCATGGGACCACGCAGGCGTCATACCGCTCAGGAAGGAGATGCGTTCTGTCTCCTAGAGATGAATGTACTTTGGTGCGAAAAGTGCAAATCAATCCCAGAACAACAGAAAATTACCTTGTGAAGATGATAGAGGAAACAGGTACAAAAGTATCTATATCCACAGTAAAACGAGTCCTATATCGACATAACTTGAAAGGCCGCTCAGCAAGGAAGAAGACACTGCTCCAAAACCACCATAAAAAACCCAGACTACGGTTTGCAACTGCACATGGGGACAAAGATCGTACTTTTTGGAGAAATGTCCTCTGGTCTGATGAAACAAAAATAGAACTGTTTGGCCATAATGACCATTGTTATGTTTGGAGGAAAAAGGGGAATGCTTTCATGCCGAAGAACACCATCCCAATCGTGAGGCACGGGGGTGGCAGCATCATGCTGTGGGGGTGCTTTGCTGCAGGAGGGACTGGTGCACTTCACAAAATAGATGGCATCATGAGGAAGGAAAATTATGTGAATATATTGAAGGAACATCTCAAGACATCAGTCAGGAAGTTAAAGCTTGGTCGCAAATGGTCTTCCAAATATATACATTTACATTTTTTTTACATTTTAGTCATTTAGCAGACGCTCTTAACCAGAGCGACTTACAGGAGCAATTAGGGTTAAGTGCCTTGCTCAAGGGCACATTAACGTCATTTAGCAGACGCTCTTAGCCAGAGCGACTCACAAATTGGTGCGTTCACCCTATAGCCAGTGGGATAACCACTTTACAATTTGGGGGGGGGGGGGGGGGGGTTAGAAGGAATACTTTATCCTATCCCAGGTATTCCTTAAAGAGGTGGGGTTTCAAATGTCTCCGGAAGGTGGTGAGTGACTCCGCTGTCCTGGCGTCGTGAGGGAGCTTGTTCCACCATTGGGGTGCCAGAGCAGCGAACAGTTTTGACTGGGCTGAGCGGGAGCTGTGCTTCCGCAGAGGAAGGGGAGCCAGCAGGCCAGAGGTGGATGAACGCAATGTCCTCGTTTGGGTGTAGGGACTGATCAGACCCTGAAGGTACAGAGGTGCCGTTCCCCTCACTGCTCCATAGGCAAGCACCATGGTCTTGTAGCGGATGCGAGCTTCAACTGGAAGCCAGTGGAGTGTGCGGAGGAGGGGGGTGACGTGAGAGAACTTGGGAAGGTTGAACACCAGACGGGCTGCGGCATTCTGGATGAGTTGTAGGGGTTTAATGGCACAGGCAGGGAGCCCAGCCAACAGCGAGTTGCAGTAGTCCAGACGGGAGATGACAAGTGCCTGGACCAGGACCTGCGCCGCTTCCTGTGTAAGGCAGGGTCGCACTCTCCGAATGTTGTAGAGCATGAACCTGCAGGAGCGGGTCACCGCCTTGATGTTGGCGGAGAACGACAGGGTGTTGTCCAGGGTCACGCCTAGGCTCTTCGCACTCTGGGAGGAGGACACAGCGGAGTTGTCAACCGTGATGGCGAGATCATGGAACGGGCAGTCCTTCCCCGGGAGGAAGAGCAGCTCCGTCTTGCCAGGGTTCAGCTTGAGGTGGTGATCCGTCATCCATACTGATATGTCTGCCAGACATGCAGAGATGCGATTCGCCACCTGGTTATCAGAAGGGGGAAAGGAGAAGATTAGTTGTGTATCGTCAGCGTAGCAATGATAGGAGAGACCATGTGAGGATATGACAGAGCCAAGTGACTTGGTGTATAGGGAGAAAAGGAGAGGGCCCAGAACCGATCCCTGGGGGACACCAGTGGTGAGAGCACGTGGTGCGGAGACAGCTTCCCGCCACGCCACTTGGTAGGAGCGACCGGTCAGGTAGGACGCAATCCAGGAGTGAGCCGCGCCGGAGATGCCCATCTCGGAGAGGGTGGAGAGGAGGATCTGATGGTTCACAGTATCAAAGGCAGCAGACAGGTCTAGAAGGACAAGAGCAGAGGAGAGAGAGTTAGCTTTAGCAGTGCGGAGAGTCTCCGTGACACAGAGAAGAGCAGTCTCAGTTGAATGACCAGTCCTGAAACCTGATTGGTTTGGATCAAGAAGGTCATTCTGAGAGAGATAGCAAGAGAGTTGGCTAAAGACGGCACGCTCAATAGTTTTGGAAAGAAAAGAAAGAAGGGATACTGGTCTGTAGTTGTTGACATCAGTGGGGTCGAGTGTTGGTTTTTTGAGGAGGGGAGCAACTCTCGCTCTCTTGAAGACGGAAGGGACATGGCCAGCGGTCAAGGATGAGTTGATCAGCGAGGTGAGGTAGGGGAGAAGGTCACCGGAGATGGTCTGGAGAAGGGAGGAGGGGATGGGGTCAAGCGGGCAGGTTGTTGGGCGGCCTGCAGTCACAAGTCGCAGGATTTTATCTGGAGAGAGAGGGGAGAAAGAAGTCAAAGCATAGGGTAGGGCAGTGTGAGCAGGACCAGCAGTGTTATTAGACTTAACAAACGAGGATCGGATGTCGTCAACCTTCTTTTCAAAGTGGTTGACGAAGTCATCCACAGAGAGAGAGGAGGTGGGGGGGGGGGGGGGAGGAGGATTCAGGAGGGAGGAAAATGTGGCAAAGAGCTTCCTAGGGTTAGAGGCAGATGCTTGGAATTTAGAGTGGTAGAAGGTGGCCTTAGCAGCAGAAACAGATGAAGAAAATGTAGAGAGGAGGGAGTGAAAAGATGCCAGGTCGGTAGGGAGTTTAGTTTTCTTCCATTTCCTCTCCGCTGCCCGGAGCTCTGTTCTGTGAGCTCGCAGTGAGTCATCAAGCCACGGAGCTGGGGGGGAGGACCGAGCCGGCCGGGAGGATAGGGGACACAGAGAGTCAAAGGATGCAGAAAGGGAGGAGAGGAGGGTTGAGGAGGCAGAATCAGGAGATTGGAGGGAGAAGGATTGAGCAGAGGGAAGAGATGATAGGATGGAAGAGGAGAGAGTAGTGGGAGAGAGAGAGCGAAGGTTGCGGCGGCGCATTACCATCTGTGTAGGGGCAGAGTGAGTAGTGTGGGAGGAGAGCGAGAGAGAAAAGGAAACAAAGTAGTGGTCGGAGACTTGGAGGGGAGTTGCAGTGAGATTAGTAGAGGAGCAGCATCTGGTGAAGATGAGGTCAAGCGTATTGCCTGCCTTGTGAGTAGGGGGGGACGGTGAGAGGGTGAGGTCAAAAGAGGAGAGGAGTGGAAAGAAGGAGGCAGAGAGAAATGAGTCAAACGTGGACATAGGGAGGTTGAAATCCCCCAAAACTGTGAGGGGTGAGCCATCCTCAGGAAAGGAACTTATCAAGGCGTCAAGCTCGTTAATGAACTCTCCAAGGGAACCTGGAGGGCGATAGATGACAAGGATATTAAGCTTAAATGGGTTAGTGACTGTGACAGCATGGAATTCAAATGAGGAGATAGACAGATGGGTTAGGGGAAAAATTGAGAATGTCCACTTGGGAGAGATGAGGATTCCTGTACCACCACCCCTCTGACCAGATGCTCTCGGGGTATGCGAGAACACATGGTCAGACGAGGAGAGAGCAGTAGGAGTAGCCGTGTTTTCAGTGGTGATCCATGTTTCCGTCAGCGCCAGGAAGTCGAGGGACTGGAGGTTGGCATAGGCTGGGATGAAGTCAGCTTTGTTGGCAGCAGAACGGCAGTTCCAGAGGCTGCCTGCGACCTGGAACTCCAGGTGAGGGGTGCGAGCAGGGACCACCAGGTTGGAGAGGCAGCAGCCGCGCGGTGTTGTGCGTTGTTTGTGTAGCCTGCGCAGAGAGGAGAGAACAGGGATAGGCAGAGGCATAGTTGACAGGCTGTAGCAAATGGCTACAAAAATGCAGAGGAGATCGGAATGAAATGAGCTAAGCATCTGGGAGAGGAGAGAGGGGGGCCTCCCTCACCAAAAACTTCTACCTCAGAAACTAAAATTGTTTCACTGAACAGTTGTTCAATGTTTAAAGGAATAAACTCAAACCCACTTTATTCAGCTAGCCAACTATGACACCATAGCTGACTAGCATGCTAGCATCCAATAACACACAGTTTAACACACAGTTAAGCACAAATACTCACAACAAACCACCAATAGTGTGTTAACTAGCTAACCAGCATGCCAGCATCCAGTAACACACAGCCAAGCACAAACACTTGGTCACAGCAAACCACCAATAGTGTGATAACACACTAAACAGATCATTCGTGTCTGTGTCAAGTTCCTTTCATGGCGCAGCAATGATTCAACATTGGCTAGCTAGGACAAGTATATTGTAATTAGCTGCTACCGTACCGTCCGCTGGTCGTGCTGGGTAGCTAGGTCGTGCTGGGTAGCTAGCAATGGCCACTGTGTTGGCTTTGTTTTAAGAACGGCTAGCTAGCTAGCTTCGTGCTACACCCGGCACACAATGGCTACTGTGTTGACTCTGACTCTGTTCGAAAAAAAACGGCTAATTAGCTCGCTTCGTGCTACAGCCGGCACGGCGGAAGACACTGCCAAGACACAGTAGCTACCCACGATACCTAGCTATGACGCCGTAGCTGACTAGCAAGATAGCATCCATTAACACACAATTAGCACCAATACTTGGTTACAACAAACTGCCAAGAGTGTGTTAGCACACTAAACAGATGATTCATGTCCGTGTCTAGTTCCTTACATAACGCAGAACGCAGCAAAAATTAAACGTTGGCTAGAAGCACATTTAACAGTGGGAACAGCTAATCGTTACCAGTAGCTACCCGCTAGCTAGCTAGCCTCGTGCTTCGATACTAACCTACAATAGCCTACGGAAACCTACAATAACAACAATACTACAACAACAACTATACTAACCTATAATAATAAATACAATACCAAACTACACTAACTACCAACCTACGATCTAATGCATGGTTAAGCTATACTCAACACCAAATGAGAAGTTTGCTTACCTCCAGCTAGAGAGCTAGAGAGCTAGAGAAAAACACGTCCTCTCCCGACTGCTGCTCCCAGTCTTATATACAGTTGACAGACAAAGTTTATATACACCTTAGCCAAATACATTTAAACTCAGTTTTTCACAATTCCTGACATTTAATCCTAGTAATAATTCCCTGTCTTAGGTCAGTTAGAATCACCACTTTATTTTAAGAATGTGAAATATCAGAATAATAGTAGAGAGAATGATTTATTTCAGCTTTTATTTCTTTCATCACATTCCCAGTGAGTCAGAAGTCTACATTCACTCAAGTAGTATTTGGTAGAATTGCCTTTAAATTGTTTAACCTGGGTCAAACGATTCGGGTAGCCTTCCATAAGCTTCCCACAATAAATTGGGTGACCCACTGGAATTGTGATACAGTGAATTATAAGTGAAATAATCTGTCTGTAAACAATTGTTGGAAAAATTACTTGTGTCATGCACAAAGTAGATGTCCTAACCGACTTGCCAAAGCTATAGTTTGTTAACAAGAAATTTGTGGAGTGGTTGAAAAACGAGTTTTAATTACATGACTCCAACCTAAGTGTATGTAAACTTCTGACTTTAACTGTATACATTTGCAACAATTTCTAAAAGGGAGAGAAAGTATTCAGACTCTTGACTTTTTCCACAAAGGGTCTGTAAATAAGGTATTTTTATTTTATTTTATAAATTTGCAACAATTTCTAAAAACCTGTTTTCGCTTTGTCATTATGGGGTATTGTGTGTAGGTTGATAAGGCTGTAATAAGGCTGTAAATCAATACCCCATAATGACAAAGCGAAAACAGGTTTTTAGAAATTGTTGCAAATTTATAAAATAAAATAAAAATACCTTATTTACAGACCCTTTGTGGAAAAAGTCAAGAGTCTGAATACTTTCTCTCCCTCCATCTCTTTCTCTCCCTCCATCTCTTTCTCTCCCTCCATCTCTTTTAAAATTGTATTCCAGCCTCCTTATATGGATATTATATAGAGGATATTATATATATAGATATTATATATAGATATTATATATAGAGATATTATATAGAGGATATTATATATATAGAGATATTGTATAGAGGACATTATATAGGCCTATGTTTTGGTTGTTGTTTGATCCTGTGACTTTAATGACTCTCAGGTCACAGTGCAAAAGAACCAAGCTCTTCTGTCTCTCTGGTGGGGCTGATGGATAGTGGTTTGTTTTTGTGAGGCTGTACATTGCAGTTTCATTCTTGTAAAATAGGTTCTATATGCACTCCATTCATAAAACATCAACACCGAGCCTCACAGGGAGCTCTGCCAATCCTAAACTCTCCTGGTGCCACAGGTTCTTGACTCCTGGCAGCCCTATGCTAATGAGATAGGATGTCAGAGGCTGAGAACTGTAGAACTCTCAGCCAAAGAATGTTAATAAGCATGAAGTGTGCCGACCAGGTCAAGGTCCCCTCCCTGCAATCCAATACAGTAGAGGCCAGGGACATTTCATAGGGAAGAGTCCCACTTTGAAACTGCCGCTGACTCAACCCTCAAAGCTGATGTGCCCGAGTGCGTAGTGAACAGAGGCTGTTGAGGGGTAAGAAAGGACACTTGCCTCCAGATGTGTTTTTGGTAGTGCTGAGCGATTAACCAAAATGTCAGTTATGTTTGTTTTTTAAACAACTAATTGACAGACATTGGTTCAATTATTTGAATTCCATTTTGTTCGTCCTTTCTTGCCTCATGCCTCAGACCGCAGCCTGGTCACAGGCCCGCTGGGATTAGTATGAGGTAGAGATCAGTATGCAAACACCGCACACACACACACACACACACACACTGTGTAGATGGAGCAGAACTGCTTGCTCTGCGCTAGTGCGCCGTTGGTCTCCTCCCACACTCAGACCCCAATGCTATTGGAGCACTGGAAATGAAGCACTGCTCATTGTGAACGAAATTAGACCATTCTCTCTCTAAACCCTTTGAAAATCCTATTCTCCATAATCATCGCCTCTTTTCAATATGCTATGACAATAAAAACGGAGTGGCACTGAGCTAAGCTTCACAGACAGAACAATGTTGAGAATGAGAATGAAACATCCACTCTCTCAATGGAGAGGCCCTCAACTCTTGCGGTTGCTCAGCTACGCTCAGCTTGGGCTTGGCATGGGGGACCACTTGGACATTTCCGGAGAACTGGGAATCTAGTCAACTGTGTCAGAGTTCTCTGTTGTTAACCACAGCCTGGCTATCTGGGTACAATACTTTGCTGTACTGAGAGACAGGTTCTTGGCCCACGCCTCCCTCCATCTACGGCACTGTGCTGTGTGAGACATATATGCTCTTGGCTGGGGCTCTTGTAGCTAGGCGTCTCACCCCAGTCTGTACTGTATTGAGAGAGTGAGGGACAGGTTCTTGGCCCGGGCCTCCCTCCCTTCATATACCTCCTACACGTCTTGCCCCCATTTGCAGACCCAGAGCCCCACTAATCCCCCAAGTACTCCCCAGGGGCTGCCATCCAGTACTGGCAGCTGAGTCATCTCTCTCCCCGACCCTGCTGCTGCCTGTGGGTCTGGGCTGGGCTGCGCCGGCCGGCCGGCCGGGGCGCTGATCCGTCTGCCTGGCGCTGCGCCCACTGTGGGGGGCAAGGGGAAGGGGTTAAAGGTGGTGTGGTGTGCCACCTGGCCCTACTCTGCTTCCAGCTGAAGGTGAGGCTTCCAAATATGTGGGGATCTGTGGATTCCGCAGGAATCTCTTCCATAACTCCATACTTCTCGACCAGTGCACCAAGATTAATCGCACCAGAATGTTAGTTACCCCTGTGTAGCCACATACCCCCTGCTAGTGACCCTTGCATCCATCATTTTTCTCTCCAAAAAGCTACCTAGTCCCCCAATGTGACTCAAGAACATTCATCCCGCCGTTCTTGATTCCTTCCTTTTTGTTTGTGTATTTTTCTTTACATTTTTATTGTTTGACATTTGACTGCATTGTTAGGAGCTAGTAACATAAGCATTTCACTGCACCGCTATAACACCTGCGTAAACATTGATTTGATTTTGGTTAAACAACAATCTCTGCTTCCTCCTGAGCTTGTTGTTGCTGTGGCTGGCCCATGACCAGGCTAGAGCATATCTCTGTCCGTCGGAGGGATCTGTCTGTGTACATATGAAAGACTGGCCATCTGGTGACCCACCCACCCCTCCCCTAATGCACACCATGATATCCCCCAAAATCACTGCACCACGTGTCATCTCAAAGTGACCGTTCATCACATTCTGCATGGTGATGGTGATTGGCTCATTTCCATTCACCATGACCTTCAGTATATTGGCATTATTTTTATACCATATAACACAATGCCACAGGCACCAGTCATGCTGCAGCCAAATTCAGTACAATAAAAGTCCCCTGTGGTAAGAGGCGTAACAGCTACAGTTGAAGTCGGAAGTTTACATACACCTTAGCCAAATGCATTTAAACTCATTTTTTCACAATTCCTGACATTTAATCCTAGTAATAATTCCCTGTCTTAGGTCAGTTAGGATCACCACTTTATTTTAAGAATGTGAAATGTCAGAATAATAGTAAAGAGAATGATTTATTTCAGCTTTTATTTCTTTCATCACATTCCCAGTGGGTCAGACGTTTACATACACTCAATTAGTATTTGGTAGCATTGGCTTTTAATTGTTTAATTTGGGTCAAACGTTTCAGGTAGCCTTCCACAAGCTTCCCACAATAAGTTGGGTGAATTTTGGCCCATTCCTCCTGACAGCTGGTGTAACTGAGTCAGGTTTGTAGGCCTCCTTGCTCGCACACACTTTTTCAGTTCTGCCGACAAATTTTCTATAGGATTGAGTTCAGGGCTTTGTGATGGCCGCTCCAATACCTTGACTTTGTTGTCCTTAAGCCATTTTGCCACAACTTTGGAAGTATGCTTGGGGTCATTGTCCATTTGGAAGACCCATTTGCGACCAAGCTTTAACTCCCTGACTGATGTCTTGAGATGTTGCTTCAATATATCCACATAATTTTCCTTCCTCATGATGCCATCTATTTTGTGAAGTGCACCAGACCCTCCTGCAGCAAAGCACCCCCACAGCATGATGCTGCCACCCCCGTGCTTCACGGTTGGGATGGTGTTCTTCAGCTTGCAAGATACCCCCTGTTTCCTCCAAACATAACGATGGTCATTATGGCCAAACAGTTCTATTTTTGTTTCATCAGGGCAGAGGACATTTCTCAAAAAAGTACGATCTTTGTCCCCATGTGCAGTTGCAAACCGTAGTCTGGCTTTTTTATGGCGGTTTTGGAGTAGTGGCTTCTTCCTTTCTGAGCGGCCTTTCCGGTTATGTCGATATAGGACTCGTTTTACTGTGGATATAGATACTTTTATACCGGTTTCCTCCAGCATCTTCACAAGGTCCTTTGCTGTTGTTCTGAGATTGATTTGCACTTTTCGCATCAAAGTACGTTCATCTCTAGGAGACAGAACGCGTCTCCTTCCTGAGCGGTATGATGGCTGCGTTAGTGTTTATACTTGCGTACTATTGTTTGTACAGATGAACGTGATACCTTCAGGCGTTTGGAAATTGCTCCCAAGGATGAACCAGACTTGTGGAGGTCTTGGCTGATTTCTTTAGATTTTCCCATGATGTCAAGCGAAGAGGCACTGAGTTTGAAGGTAGGCCTTGAAATACATCCACAGGTCCACCTCCAACTGACTCAAATGATGTCAATTAGCCTATCAGAAGCTTCTAAAGCCATGACATCATTTTCTGGAATTTTCCAAGCTGTTTAAAGGCACAGTCAACTTAGTGTATGTAAACTTCTGATCCACTGGAATTGTGATACAGTGAATTATAAGTGAAATAATCTGTCTGTAAACAATTGTTGGAAAAATTATTTTTGTCATGCACAAAGTAGATGTCCTAACCGACTTGCCAAAACTATAGTTTGTTAACAAGAAATTTGTGGAGTGGTTGAAAAACAAGTTTTAATGACTCCAGCCTAGGTGTATGTAAACTTCCGACTTCAACTGTAGCTTGTGTGCGAGCAGACACGTTGCTTTTTTTCTCCCTGAGGAGAAGGAGTGTGTATGACTCACAATCGCACTGCCCGCTCCAGCCAGGCGACAGCCGTGGTGTCAAGCTTTGCAAGAGTCTTTAGACTAGGACCCCGCTGCTACAACCCCCCTCCCCCACCAGCATGCCGCAGCCACACCGCCATTGTTCCAGCTCAGCAACTGGGTTAGCCGACCTTGGGCCCCTCTGCAGCCCCCTGTCTTCTGCCTCCCCTACCCCAACACACAGACAACATGATTACAGGAATGTGCCTCTGCCGCCCAGCCAAGCTTGGGCTGACCAAGAGAGAGGGACTGAGAGATGGAGAGAAAGGGTGCATGGACAGAGAGAGAAAGGCTGAATGGGTAATGGATCCTTTTGCATAGTCACCCGTCCCCCCTCTCTGACTCGGTTAATGGAATATCCCGGCCGGCAGACTGTAGACAGGGATTAACCCTCTCCTGGCCTGCCCACCGGCCTGCCACCCCCCCCCCCCCGTCTGACTCTGACACTGCAGGGATGATATGGCAGTTTTGTACGCAACTGCCTCGACCCCCATTTAGAGATCTGCATTACTGTTAAAGAGATCAGATTTGTTGCTCTCCATTTAGGGTTATTACAATGCATCACATACAGCGTAACTCATTCCTTGACTTGAGTGCATTGGACTGTGTGCAGCAGCATCCCTCACTGCACTGAATAAGGAGCCACCCTCTCAGCCGGATGCAATGAGTTGGAGGCAGAGGAGAAGGAAGCCGAGAGTGCCATGCGGGAGGAATCTTAAATGGTACAGGACTTTGGCAGCCATCCACCTAGCAGCATCTATATCACAGTGACTGTTTCTGAATGACCAGTTTTTGGAGGTCAGGGGGAGAGTGAGAGATAAGGGAAAATAAATCCCAGGCATTGGGCACAGTGGCTTTATGATGCATAATCATTATGATGATAATGTTTTAATCTCAGTGCCTGTAGCAGCAAACTGAAGGTCAACCTTATCATTAGGCTATTTGGATACAGACAAGCAACAAACTTTGTTCTCGCTCTCCCTCTACTCTACCTGTATGTATCTTTTCACATCTTCACTGTCCGTACACCACCATACAAGCCAAGGTCAGGCTATTACTCTGTTTGTGCGTAGTCTCTGTCCACTAAGCAGTTCACACTCCTTTTCAACCCCACAAGGGAGAGGGAAAAAAGGGCAATGATTGCTTCATCATCATTAGCGACTAGTGATAGAAGTGATTCCCTGTGGGGGACTGAAGGGATTTGTTAGATCTTTCTCATTACATGAAGGCTGACTGTGATGAAGGCTGACATGATGGTTTCTCTTTACCTGGCAAACCTGTATTATTATATATATATTTTTTTTAATATGATATAAAATGAATGCGTCTTCGGATTCCCGTTTTTCACACTGAATGACATTATCTTCTCTCTCCTGCAGACGTACTCTGGCCTCTTCTGTGTGGTGATAAACCCCTACAAAAACCTGCCCATCTACTCGGAGAACATCATTGAGATGTACAGGGGCAAGAAGAGACACGAGATGCCCCCTCACATCTACGCCATCTCAGAGTCTGCGTACAGATGCATGCTCCAAGGTAAGTCTCAATTGGTTATGGATATCGCTCCCTTTATCTCAATGCACAAAATATGCGCATATGTTTGCTACACAGTGAAATTGTATGAATGATCTGATTCAGTCTACTGGAACCAGAAAGTCAAAGCCAATTTAACCGGTTGTATTGGGATTAAGGCTGTTGTTGTTGTTCGGTTGAGAGGCACTCAACCGGTAGGTACAGTACATGCTGATATTAGGACAGCCTTGTTTCCACTGTGGCAGGTGCACTTATCTCCCAGGTCTGTGATGTTAAGTGGAGCCTGATTGGATAATTTGTCATGTTAATTGTACATTGCAGTTCCCCAAGGGCTAGATGTTGTTGTTGTGTTTTAATTTAAACTGTTGCTAGGGGATTGTGATGAGTGTGATAGAAGGAGTCAGGCGCAGGAGGGTAAATCACCGAATACAGAGTTTATTCCGTCATACACAAATACGCTGGATAGCGACACACGGAAACAGGCACAGGGGAAACTATCTACCCTGGCAATACACGGTACGGGATACTCCAACAATATAAAGGCACAAGAGAAATATCTACCCCGGCAATACAAATGGAGAGTACCGGGGCCTCACTGCGGTGGCGGTCAGCGTTGGCCTTCTGACGACGCACGGCGCGCTGGAGGTGAACGTGGGCAGCGTCCCACGTCTCCTCTGCGCGCCGAAACCAGTGATCCACCACAGGAGCCTCGGTCTGGTACTGGTGCCATGGTGCCAGAACCGGTTGGTAACCTAAAACACATTGGAATGGCGTTAGGTTAGTAGAGGAGTGGCAGAAAGAGTTCTGGGCATATTCTGCCCATGGCAAGAACACCGACCACTCCTCCGGCCGGTCCTGGCAATAGGACCGCAGGAACCTACCCACATCCTGACCATTTGACTCGGGGTGGAACCCAGAGGTCAGGCTGACCGAGACCCTCAGACGTTCCATGAACGCCTTCCAGACCTTGGATGTGAACTGGGGACCTCGGTCGGACACTATATCCTCTGGTACCCCGTAGTGCCGGAAGACGTGAGTAAACAGGGCCTCCGCAGTTTGCAGGGCCGTGGGGAGACCGGGCAGAGGAAGGAGTCGGCAAGACTTGGAAAAGCGGTCCACAACGACCAGGATGGTGGTGTTACCTTGGGATAGTGGAAGATCAGTCAAAAAATCAACACTTAGGTGAGACCATGGACGTTGTGGAACTGGTAAAGGTTGTAACTTACCCGCTGGGAGGTGCCTTACTCTGGGCGCACACCGAGCAGGAGGAGACATACACCCTCACGTCCTTAGCCAAGGTAGGCCACCAGTACTTTCCGGTCAGGCAGCGCACTGTACAACCGATACCTGGGTGACCAGAGGAGAGTGATGTGTGTGCCCAGTATACCAGACGATCACGGATAAGAGCAGGCACGTACTGCAGCCCAGCTGGACACTGAGGTGGAGATGGAACTGTGTGTAATGCCTGCTCTATATCCGCGTCCATCGCCCATACTACCGGCACCACAATGCAGGAGGCCGGGAGTATGGGGATGTTGTCTCTGGGCCTCTCCGCTGGATAGCGACACACGGAAACAGGCACAGGGGAAACTATCTACCCTGGCAATACACGGTACGGGATACTCCAACAATATACAGGCACAGGGGAAATATCTACCCTGGCAATAGAAAGGGAGAGTAGCTTCACCGAGCTACAGTACTCTCACAATTAACAATCACCCACAAGGACAACGGGGGCAGAGGGAACACTTATACACAGACTAATGAGGGGATAAGAACCAGGTGTGTGTAATTGACAAGACAAGACAAATGGAATGATGATAGATGGAGTGGCAGTGGCTAGTAAGCCGGTGACGACGAACGCCGAAGCCTGCCCGAACAAGGAGGTGACAGGGATGAACAGGTATTAGGCCTTTTATATCATCATTTTAGTTGTATTTGATTTTATTTGGCCTTCTGTAAATTGTCAAAATGTAACTTTTCCCCCTGTTGCATTTGGCACGGCATCTCCGTTAGCTGTACTGTTACAATACTCAAGGCTTTCGATCTCAAGTTACCAAAACAAAACACACCACGTGTCGCCAACGCTCGTAAAAGTTGTTTAACAGTCGCCCTGTGATTTAAGGGATTACTACTCAATCTCAACAACTTTAGGACCATTCATTTCACTAGAAGGCTAAATTGGAACCATCAGCTGAACCATGGTTTGTTGCATACTAAAGTCACCCCCAATTATTTTGATTTAGTGCACTGGCCAACTCTGTATTATGTAGCAGTTGCCCTAAATTCATGCATCTCAAGCATTATGGTATCAAATGGCACACATTGGGGGAAAAGGGCTCTGTGGAAACTGTTCCAAAGGAGCTGGTCTTATTTCTCTGTTTATATTTCCACCTCCAGAGAGAAATTAATTTGGCAAGCAATGTCTGGAACGTGGGGAGCACAGTGGAAAGGGGAAGTGAAGGACGACAGTTTTTTTCCTCTCCATGAATTGCTGATACCTCAGAACGTCAGAACTATGCACTTCTGGCTATCAGCACCACTATGGGCTATAAGCATCAATGAGAGGTCCTGGGTCTAAATCTCAGCCTGAGAACCCAAAGCCTTTAGTCACTGCAGAGATAATCCACTTCAGTCCTCTTCAGATTGCCAGAGGCCTTGACTCTGGTCAGAGTATGTTAATACACCGCAAGTGTTGCGTGAAGAAAAACATACACCAAAAGCTTTATTAGAATTGCATCTGATTCCAGAACACAAGAAGGTTGAATCCATGTGACTTAAGTAGATTCACAATCCTATATGTGATGTTAAATCCAGCTTATAATATACTTCATCCAATTTGGGTTGGTTTTTCTCAACCATAAGTCTTCCAGGGGTTCGTGATGAGCGAGAACTTATCTTCTACAGCGTCAACTAGCCTATAGGTTCTGCCCAGCAGGAGAAGCCTGCATAAGCTCATATTCCTCACATCGGTGGAAAAATAGGGATGGGCAGAACTGATTTACAAGAAGCTGCTTACAGTTTTTTACGATTGCTTACACACTAAAATTAAAAACCTTACACTCAAGGAGCAAAACACAAGGCTAGATTTGCACAACTGTAAGCACATTGTCAGCTTCACACTATTTGCAAAACATTACACACAGTGATTTGCAAAACACTAAACACACTTGTATACATCAGACACAGAAGTATATCATGATGTCACTTCCTTGCAATTCCAAAGCACTGACTGTCAAATTACCACACCTATGAGCCAATCTGTTAAACACAGCCATCAGGTGCACAAACACATGATTGCTAAATTGTAGACACACCAATCAGGTTTAAGCACTATAAAAATGCTGCAGGTAGGTTCACCTGCCTTCGACCAAAATGGAAGGAGTCAGAAGAAGAGTGGGTGAGAGGAGGAGTACACAGAGGAGGAGGAGAAGGAGGTAGAGGAAGAGGCAGAGGCCGAGCCAGAGGTCGAGGAAGACCTGCAGCAGGAGGAGAACGTGCACAAAGAAGAAGAGGACCAAACTTATCAAATGACATTCGTGCAACACTAGTGGACCATGTTGTGAACCACGGATTGACGCTGAGGGAGGCTGGACTGAGAGTTCAGCCAAATCTTAGCAGATATACAGTGGCATCTGTCATAAGGACTTTTCGACAGGAAAACAGGTAAAAGATCTGTCTACAGTTACAGTAATCAGCCGCTTATTCTATGCACCATATCAGCACTTGTGATACCCCTTCCTGTGACATTGTACAGTAAGTTACATGTATTATTCTCTACATAGGATTGAGGGTCAGGAATGACAAGGAGGAAGGGGGCCCATATTCACGCAAGAACAAGAGAGAGAGATAATAAACATGGTTTTGGCCAATAATGCTATCAGGCTCAGAGAACTACAAGCCAACATTATCGGTGACCATGCCATTTTCAATAATGTCCATCAGGTCTCTCAGTCAACACTGGCACACATCCTGAAAAGACATCAGGTTCAAATGAAACAACTTTATCGAGTGCCTTTTGAGCGGAATTCAGAGAGGGTCAAACGGCTGCGGCATGAGTATGTGGAGGTTTGTATTGTTCACTTTAGCACTGTGATGTTGCATACTGCACACATGACTTAATTACATTGACTGTATACTAGACCTATCCTGAACTACACAATCTTGTCTTTCACTGTATTTCAGAGAGTTTTGCAGATGGATGCTGAGGAAATCCTGCATGAATTCATATATATTGATGAGGCAGGGTTCAACCTCACAAAAGCAAGAAGGAGAGGCAGAAATATTATTGGCCACAGGGCTATAATCAATGTCCCAGGGCAACGTGGGGGTAACATCACCCTTTGCGCTGCCATTTCACAGCATGGGGTTCTCCTCCGTCATGCCAAAATGGGCCCTTACAACACACCTCACATTCTCGCATTTTTGGACCAATTGCACCACATCGTCACAGCAGGTAATGAAAAAAATGAAATGCACCAGATGCAATCCACTGTCATCTGGGACAATGTGTCATTCCACCGCTCTGCTTTGGTCCAGAACTGGTTTCAACACCATCCACAGTTGACAGTACTATACCTTCCACCATACTCTCCGTTTCTAAACCCTATCGAAGAGTTTTTCTCTGCATGGCGGTGGAAGGTTTACGATCTCCAGCCCCAGGCTCAGGTACCCCTCATTCAGGCCATGGAGGACGCCTGTGACCAAGTCGACGCCGCAGCTGTGCAAGGATGGATTCGACATTCAAGACAGTTGTTCCCGCGTTGTCTTGCTAATGAGGATATTGCTTGTGATGTTGATGAAATTCTCTGGCCAGATCCAGCTAAGCGAAGGGATAATGTATAGTATGTTTACTGTAGTATTTTCTGTACAATATTGTCAGTTTTTTCAGATTATTTTTTATGTTTGTTGTTGTTATTTACTGTAATTGTAAACTGTACTGGATACAGTATTTTACGTTTGTCTGTTGTTTGCTGAGCTAACAGTGTTTTGCACACTACTGTAGTAGCATGAAAACTGGGACATGTTTTGTTGTGATTCTCCATGTTGACTGATTTGGGTATATGGAGAGAAATAAATGATATTTTCCTCAGTCTGCAGCATTGGTCTTGTGTAGTGTTTGTATAGTTGCACTTTCTCTGTGTACTTCATTTACAGTACTCTAATCATTGAGAATTAGACTTGCTAAAGGTGTTTTAGGTTAGCAAAAGCAGTGTGTAACTGGTTCAAAAAGATTGAAGTCATATGAAATGTGTGTGTTTCGTATGGTAACAAAATATTGTTTTTATGAAGTTGTGTATAGTTTTGACAAAAGTGTTCCATTTTGCAAAAGATCTGAAGTGTTGTGCTACTTTGGTGTAGGGTTGTGCTAATTGTGTGTAGTGTTTTGACAAACCGGGCCCTGTTTTCAAAATTGTGCTTAAACAATTGAAAAAAACTGTAAAGAAAGCACCCATTTCTCTATCTCACTCCACCATTCTAGTACCAATAACCTATCGGTACTTTCAAACCACATGCTCCATCTTTTTCCATTGCTTTACACCCTAGTTGCCAAGGTTCTTGGCTTTCTCTGAACAGCTCGTTTTTTTCTTGGAATTTGTTGATCACATTTTTGTCCGTTGACATTTGGTTTATTTGATGTCTTTTGTATTTGATACTCCAAGTAGAAATAGCCACATTATCTGTCCTGTCCCAGACACCTGTTATCTGTCCTGTCCCAGACACCTGACTAAACCAACATATCATTCCAGGCAGCAAACAATCCTTCCCAGTCCACCTTTCTCTCCCACTCAAATGTATCCCCATATTTTACACCAGCGTGTGTTTGTATTTGCACAGCGCCTCTTGACCTCTTAACTATTTTTCTGGATCTTGGGGTGAGGGGCAGCTCCCCAGCTACACTATCAATGGACAAACTCTGGATGTCAATAAGGCTGTGCGATTGGTGTGAATGCACATCATGGAGCACCATCCCATGACTGTCACAACAGACATCATAGAGATGTCTGAGAGAGTTGTCTCTCTTTCCCGATTGGTGTGAATGCACATCATGGAGCACCATCCCATGACTGTCACAACAGACATCATAGAGAGATGTCTGAGAGAGTTGTCTCTCTTCCCCTCTGCCTGATATAGCTGGGAGGCACCCCAGGCTGGAAGCTGTGACTGGGACCAGACCAGTGAGAGCAGAGAGGGTGACCTGCATTTGGCAGCACAATGGGACCTTTTGTCTCTGTGGCGAGGGCTTGTCCGTCCAGTGGGGGGTTGGTTGTGACGAGTTGGGCAGTCCCGTCATGCAGGCCCTGCCTAGTGTCAGTGTAGACAAGGAGGAAGCTCCCTCTCAGTGTGGAGAATGTGTGCATTGACACCTAAAGTAGTGTCCTCTGAATAATCTCTCCAAAGACACTGGTTGGAAGTACTTTACCTCATGTGGTAATGCCACTATCGGACATTGCATGTGCATGCAAATACATAGTGCTTCCCCAATCATACTTTTGTTATGAGCCCTGCCTTTCCCATGACCCAGTGAGTTTTTCCCATTACCCCCTTCACACCTTCCAGCTTTCTCACACCCTGAGTATCTGCATGGATGCAGGGGTGGGGGGCAGGGACTGGAGACTTGGACTTGGAATAAGTGCCATTCCAAATCCAAATCATTTGTTTGTTTTCGCTTCATTTCACCCATTTAAATGAGGCATCGGTTTCTACCAATAACCAATTTAGAAATGAAAGGATACCTCTCAGGACCTTGCACTTTTATGCAGGCTTGTCGCAGTGGTAGTCATCGCAAGTATAGTCATCATGGCTAACCAGCCAACCAGCGGTTTGGCTCAAAAGGAGGTTTGTAGGTTGGAGATTAGCGGATGCCAGCTGCAGGTATATAACCTGATTCAGTTCAGTGGTTAGGCGCTGGTACCCTGGCGCAGTGGTCTAAGGCACTGCATCGTAGTGCTAGCTGTGCCACTAGAGATCCTGGTTCGAATCCAGGCTCTGTCAAGCCGGCCGCGACCGGGAGACCCATGGGGCGGCGCACAATTGGCCCAGCGTCGTCCGGGGTAGGGGAGGGAATGGCCGGCAGGGATGGTAGAGCATGGCGTTTGCAACGCCAGGGTTGTGGGTTCGATTCCCACGGGGGGCCAGTATGGAAAAATATAAATAAAAATACCGTATTTTCCGCACTATAAGGCGCACCGGAGTATAAGCCGCAGCAGCTAAATTGAATGATATTGAATGATGTGTACATATATAAGCCGCACTGGACTATAAGCCGCAGGTGTTTTAATGTTTAATTACCATATGTAAGGGTTCGTGCACAGAGGGGATTGTCGGGAAAGAGACAAACTGTCTCGCTCTCGTAATGTCTGTCTGTCTTGCTCTCGTTCTGTCTCTCGTTCTGTCTCTCGTACCACTCTCGGTTCCACTTTTACTTTTGCGCGCTACCCTGTCTCACTCTTTTCCGGCCTCCAGCATTTCCTGCTGGAGCCCGCCGCTTAAAGGTGGGGGGCGCGGACCGGTCATAGAGCCCATAGAGTTAAAGTTGGTGGACTGTAACCTGTAAAATCCATAGATTTAGGAGGTCTTCTAGTGGCCGTTAGCTGTAAAAATCCATAGATTAGCCGCGCCGTTATATAAGCCGCAGGGTCGAAAAATTGGAAAAAAGGCGCGGCTTATAGTCCGAAAATTACGGTAATGTATGCACTCACTAACTGTAAGTCGCTCTGGATAAGAGCGTCTGCTGAATGACTAAAATGTAAACGTAAATGTACTGATTGTATGAAAATGTCACTGGATCACTGCATAGTGTTATGGATATCATCACGGCATTATCTCAGTGCCATGATTGCATCCCTAAATGTTGTGATAGTGGTGATAGTATCACACCACTTTGGACATTCAAATTTAGCCACGAGGAACAGGCATTTGCTTCATGTTATTTATTAGGTTAAGTGTACTTAACATGAACAATGCACATTGGTCAACATTTCTGCAACTGTGCCAGATTTAGCCAGCCGGCAAATTTTCATCTGTAGTTCCTGGGCAGTTTGTCATCTTCACAGTTTTTAGGCCTCACATCTTCATCCAAGGAAGTCAACTTCCAGATAGTCAAATCAAGTTAATGGCTAAATTGTGTCTAAACCTTTCCAGAGTCCAGTCATTATCCCAGAATTTCTGAGATGCCAGTCTATGGCCAGATGGAGGGTTAAATGAGGTGTAACGTTACAAAGTCTGGGTTGTTTAACTAGGCCTCCCCCCACCACAACTAGACCCACACATCTGCCATTGATTACTTCTCCAGATACTTTCCATAATCTCCCTCGTTGCTCTGGACTGATGGCGTCCAGTCAGTTAAAAAGGGGCTAATTTGAACATTTCTGGAACTTAAGAAACGCAAAGCGCTGATGTTCTCTTGAATGAAACCATGTGTTAGTTGGGAGAAGAAACGGCCATGTCAGCATGAGGATTTCAAGAGTGGACTCGACTTGCATTAACGGCAACACTGTCCCTCAGCAACATAGTTGTCCAACAGCAAGGCTTTGTGAGAGTGAAGAGAAGAATGGCCTCTGTAAGGACTCTCCCTTGTGTTTGAATAGGCCATTAGGTCTACTCAAGGCAGATCTATATTCTCATAAGCTTTGAGCAATAAGCCTACATTTCTCTCATAGGAACCCTCTCCATCACTAAATGAATCAATCAAATAAAATGTGTGTAAAGGACAATAACTAATGTCTTTGATAATAGTCTCAAAGATGAAGAAATGTTAAGTAAATGGTGTGGAGGAACGTTTCTGTGGATGGAGACCTCATGTACAATGTACAGTCTAGACTCAAAGTGATTGTGGCTGTGTTATTATAATGTAGGCCTAGGGTGTACGATCTTGGACCCACTGCATAACTTGATCCACCTGGTACCAATAAGACCTGTAATGGTTTTCATGGCCAAAGTTATTTTGAAAAAAGGCTTTGTGCCTAGCCCGCCTCGTCCATCCTGTGAGTACTAGAACACACTGAGTACACACAGAGATTATTGTTAATCTATTGAAAAACAGACCCGCTACATTTTTTAAGGAATTCCAAGTGGAGCCAAGAAAATACAGGCTTGATCCAATTTTCTGAATCTGTTGTTTTGGTGATTGTTCTCTTACTTTTACCTGGTTCAGAAGAACATTGACCAGTTGCAGTTCTGGATGCTGAAAGTACTCAATGAATTATCGTACTGTTTAATGTAATTAATCAAATTCAATCCCTCATTTCCTCTACACTTAGAAAAAAGGGTTCCAAAAGGGTTCTTCGGCTGTCCCCATAGGAGAAACCTTTTTGGTTCCATGTAGAACCATTTTTGGTTCCATGTAGAAACCTCTGTGGAAAGGGTTCTACATGGAACCCAAAGCGGTTCTAGTTGGAACCAAAAGGGTTCTACCTGGAACCAACAAGGGTTCTTCAAAGGGTTCTCCTATGGGGACAGCTGAATAACCCTTTTAGGTTCTAGATAGCACCTTTTTTCCCAAGAGTGGACCATGGGATTTTTATTAGCCTAATAGTTGGAACAGCTTGGATTGAGTTAGCCTGCTCTGTTGCTTTTCTCATATGTTATGGAATCAGCAGATTCAGCACTCCTCTGATTTTTCCAGCTGCCAAACATGGGAAGGATGTCCCTGGAGACACTCTGCAGTCTGAGCACCTGAATGACCGTGCCCTCCAGACAGAGCAGTTTCTTTAGCCTCCCCTGAGATCCACGGCAGGCCCGGCAATACTGCAGCACACAGCCATTTTCCCTAGAGATATAATACGAGAGTGGTTGATGTCATAAACCTATAAAGTTCTGGAATAGCTGACAACTATCTATTTCTATGGCCCTTCTCCTCTAAGGTTCTTCAAAAAAGCTGGCATTAAGCCAGCGGAGCCAAATGATCCATCATCACTATGACAACACTCCACCATCATTATACTAACGCTACTTTGTACCACATTGAAGAAGCTAGAGAATATCCATTACCCTTGAACTTTTAAGTGTTTCTTGCGGTGACCAAACCTCTCTCTGCTGGCCATTACAGTTAAATGGCCAGGGATTCAGGGGTGGCCATTGGGCTGCTGTATATCCTCTGGGTGAATTAAGAATAAATCATTGTCTGCGGAGGCGGGAGGAGGCTGAGTGGACCTCTAATGACCCTGGGCGTGGGAGGAAGGAAGCCTCACAGGACACTGAGAGGGCAAGACTTGCCGATTACCCGTTTCCTTTTCTGTCCTGGGCAGGGTGAGACTGACTGCAGCTATAGCCAAGTCATCCCTTTTCTGTTGTGGAAGGATTTGGGTTCTGTAGTGACAATTTGAGGATAGAGAGAGAGGAATGATGTTAGAACATTGAGGAATGCGTTTGATCTCACCTGTGGAATTCAGCCTCGGTCAGGGCTGGATTGAACGATACAAGGGATGGGAAATGTCACCTCTGTCTATGTGACGTCCACAAGAACCCTCTCAACGTTCCATGGCGTCCAAAGTGTTCAGTATGCTACATATGCTTCTCCCTTTGAAGCACCTTTCATCTTGGCTCCTGAAGCCATTTTATTCCTATCAGGAGCCCCAGGCCCTCTTTCTCCCATTTGTTTTGGCCTTGGCTTGGACTGAGCCCTGGTCGTTAAAGGAATGCAGTCTCCAGTGCTCTAAGGGGGGCTTTCTGACGGTCCGGCAGGTAGTCTTGTGGCTGGCCTCTCTCCGGGACGCTGTAGATGAGGTCACAATCAGTCCCTCAGTTTGTGTGACTAATGAAACATCACTTCAAACCACTACCCGCCAAATTATTGCGCGGTGCGGTTGGTTGATGTCCCGTCTCGGTACAGCCAGTTCTGTTTCTCATGTGGCCTGAGCCACATTGGCTGTCCACTCATCTGAAAGAAATATGCAATGTGCCGTGCTCACAGTGAGAATTCCTCTCTGTGTTGTCACCCAGCATGGATTGGCTTTTGGCAGAGCTAGCATACAGTAAATGAGTCCTGTTCAATGTCCTCAGGGCCTTGGTAAGCTCTTAATAATAGGCTACTTTTTTGTCACAGACTTTCAACTGCTGGGTTTTTCCCTCAGGTCAGTCTCACAATAGGGGAAAAGATACAGTGAGGGAAAAAAGTATTTGATCCCCTGCTGATTTTGTACGTTTGCCCACTGACAAAGAAATGATCAGTCTATAATTAAAATGGTAGGTTTATTTGAACAGTGAGAGACAGAATAACAACAAAAAAATCCAGAAAAACGTATGTCAAAAATGTTATAAATTGATTTGCATTTTAATGAGGGAAATAAGTATTTGACCCCTCTGCAAAACATGACTTAGTACTTGGTGGCAAAACCCTTGTTGGCAATCACAGAGGTCAGACGTTTCTTGTAGTTGGCCACCAGGTTTGCACACATCTCAGGAGGGATTTTGTCCCACTCCTCTTTGCAGATCTTCTCCAAGTCATTAAGGTTTCGAGGCTGACGTTTGGCAACTCAAACCTTCAGCTCCCTCCACAGATTTTCTATGGGATTAAGGTCTGGAGATTGGCTAGGCACTCCAGGACCTTAATGTGCTTCTTCTTGAGCCACTCCTTTGTTGCCTTGGCCGTGTGTTTTGGGTCATTGTCATGCTGGAATACCCATCCACGACCCATTTTCAATGCCCTGGCTGAGGGAAGGAGGATCTCACCCAAGATTTGACGGTACATGGCCCCGTCCATCGTCCCTTTGATGCGGTGAAGTTGTCCTGTCCCCTTAGCAGAAAAACACCCCCAAAGCATAATGTTTCCACCTCCATGTTTGACGGTGGGGATGGTGTTCTTGGGGTCATAGGCAGCATTCCTCCTCCTCCAAACACGACGAGTTGAGTTGAAGGCAAAGAGCTCCATTTTGGTCTCATCTGACCACAACACTTTCACCCAGTTCTCCTCTGAATCATTCAGATGTTCATTGGCAAACTTCAGACGGGCATGTACAGTGGGGAAAAAAAGTATTTAGTCAGCCACCAATTGTGCAAATTCTCCCACTTAAAAAGATGAGAGAGGCCTGTAATTTTCATCATAGGTACACGTCAACTATGACAGACAAATTGAGAAAAAAAATCCAGAAAATCACATTGTAGGATTTTTTATGAATTTATTTGCAAATAATGGTGGAAAATAAGTATTTGGTCACCTACAAACAAGCAAGATTTCTAGCTCTCACAGACCTGTAACTTCTTTTTTAAGAGGCTCCTCTGTCCTCCACTCGTTACCTGTATTAATGGCAACTGTTTGAACTTGTTATCAGTATAAAAGACACCTGTCCACAACCTCAAACAGTCACACTCCAAACTCCACTATGGCCAAGACCAAAGAGCTGTCAAAGGACACCAGAAACAAAATTGTAGACCTGCACCAGGCTGGGAAGACTGAATCTGCAATAGGTAAGCAGCTTGGTTTGAAGAAATCAACTGTGGGAGCAATTATTAGGAAATGGAAGACATACAAGACCACTGATAATCTCCCTCGATCTGGGGCTCCACGCAAGATCTCACCCCGTGGGGTCAAAATGATCACAAGAACGGTGAGCAAAAATCCCAGAACCACACGGGGGGACCTAGTGAATGACCTGCAGAGAGCTGGGACCAAAGTAACAAAGCCTACCATCAGTAACACACTACACCGCCAGGGACTCAAATCCTGCAGTGCCAGACGTGTCCCCCTGCTTAAGCCAGTACATGTCCAGGCCCGTCTAAAGTTTGCTAGAGTGCATTTGGATGATCCAGAAGAGGATTGGGAGAATGTCAGATGAAACCAAAATATAACTTTTTGGTAAAAACTCAACTCGTCGTGTTTGGAGGACAAAGAATGCTGAGTTGCATCCAAAGAACACCATACCTACTGTGAAGCATGGGGGTGGAAACATCATGCTTTGGGGCTGTTTTTCTGCAAAGGGACCAGGACGACTGATCCGTGTAAAGGAAAGAATGAATGGGGCCATGTATCATGAGAGCATTGAAGATGAAACGTGGCTGGGTCTTTCAGCATGACAATGATTCCAAACACACCGCCCGGGCAACGAAGGAGTGGCTTCGTAAGAAGCATTTCAAGGTCCTGGAGTGGCCTAGCCAGTCTCCAGATCTCAACCCCATAGAAAATCTTTGGAGGGAGTTGAAAGTCCGTGTTGCCCAGCGACAGCCCCAAAACATCACTGCTCTAGAGGAGATCTGCAAGGAGGAATGGGCCAAAATACCAGCAACAGTGTGTGAAAACCTTGTGAAGACTTACAGAAAACGTTTGACCTGTGTCATTGCCAACAAAGGGTATAAAACAAAGTATTGAGAAACTTTTGTTATTGACCAAATACTTATTTTCCACCATAATTAGCAAATAAATTCATTAAAAATCCTACAATGTGATTTTCCGGATTTTGTCTGTCATAGTTAACGTGTACCTATGATGAAAATTACAGGCCTCTCTCATCTTTTTAAGTGGGAGAACTTGCACAATTGGTGGCTGACTAAATACTTTTTTCCCCTACTGTATATGTGCTTTCTTGAGCAGGGGGACCTTGCGGGCACTGCAGGATTTCAGTCCTTCACAGTGTAGTGTGTTACCAATTGTTTTCTTGGTGACTATGGTCCCAGCTGCCTTGAGATCATTGACAATATCCTCCCGTGTAGTTCTGGGCTGATTCCTCACCGTTCTCATGATCATTGAACGGCTCTATTACTTTACCAGAATGGCAGGTGCGTGTTACCTTGCATTATACCCCATAATCTAAGTATTCAAAGATATTGAAGTAGGATTAGGCCTCAGGCTTTGGCTTAATTGAGATTCCCTTCCTTACTTTCTCTCACTCCCCCTCCCTCCCTCTATCCTTGCTGTGGCAACTGTAGTCCAGTAGAACACAACCTGTCTCCTGTAATTTATCTCACTCCTAAGGTAAATATTATACACAGATTTCCTAAACGTGTACTGTACCAAGTGCCTTGGTCTGGGTCATGTAAACAACACACTGAATACATGTCCAGATGTCCAGGGCTGTCTGTAACTTCTCAAAATCATTAATCTACCTACCTAGCTAGCCTATCATATTTCACTTCTGAGGACCCATTTCTCAGAAAAGATCCACGTTGGAAATGGGAAACTAGATTTGCTGGGTGTCTATTTTTTTATTTCCCATCTGTAAGTCGATGTCAGTGGCTGAGGACCAACTCCTGGTTCTGCCCATATCAGAAGCCCTGCCACTGCTGTTTAATGGCCATTTCAGGGGCCAAGGGCTTTGCCTCTTAGACCCCATTCACAAGCAGCCACTCCTCAGTGTTTGTCTTTGTGAGTGTTATCTTGACTGCTTTAAGCACAGATGACGGCTAACAGGGACCAGGCACAGAGGAACAGTCCAAAAGTCCCAACCGCCTACCAGCTGTTTGCTGTCGAAGACAGCTTTGCAGGCTTAGAACGCCTCTCAACCAATCATAATGCCTGGCCGGAACTAACAGTTTTATAATGAGACAGTAACAGAAAGGGGAGATGATTGGTGCATGAAGGCTATGTCAAAGAGAACATACACTGAGTTTACAAAACATTAGGAAAACCTTCCTAATATTGATTTCCACCCCCTTTTGCTCTCAGAACAGCCTCAATTCGTCAGGGCATGAACTATACAGTGAGGGAAAAAAGTATTTGATCCCCTGCTGGTTTTGTACGTTTGCCCACTGACAAAGAAATGATCAGTCTATCATTTTAATGGTAGGTTAATTTGAACAGTGAGAGACAGAAAAATCCAGAATAACGCATGTAAAAAATGTTATAAATTGATTTGCATTTTAATGAGGGAAATAAGTATTTGACCCCCTCTCAATCAGAAAGATTTCTGGCTCCCAGGTGTCTTTTATACAGGTAACGAGCTGAGATTAGGAGCACACTCTTAAAGGGAGTGCTCCTAATCTCAGTTTGTTACCTGTATAAAAGACACCTGTCCACAGAAGCAATCAATCAATCAGATTCCAAACTCTCCACCATGGCCAAACACCAAAGAGCTCTCCAAGGATGTCAGGGACAAGATTGTAGACCTACACAAGGCTGGAATGGGCTACAAGACCATCGCCAAGCAGCTTGGTGAGAAGGTGACAACAGTTGGTGCGATTATTAGCAAATGGAAGAAACACAAAAGAACTGTCAATCTCCCTCGACCTGGGGCTCCATGCAAGATCTCACCTCGTGGAGTTGCAATGATCATGAGAACGGTGAGGAATCAGCCCAGAACTACACGGGAGGATCTTGTCAATGACCTCAAGGCAGCTGGGACCATAGTCACCAAGAAAACAATTGGTAACACTCTACGCCGTGAAGGACTGAAATCCTGCAGCGCCCGCAAGGTCCCCCTGCTCAAGAAAGCACATATACATGCCCGTCTGAAGTTTGCCTATGAACATCTGAATGATTCAGAGGAGAACTGGGTGAAAGTGTTGTGGTCAGATGAGACCAAAATGGAGCTCTTTGACATCAACTCAACTCGCCATGTTTGGAGGAGGAGGAATGCTGCCCATGACCCCAAGAACACCATCCCCACCGTCAAACATAGAGGTGGAAACATTATGCTTTGGGGGTGTTTTTCTGCTAAGGGGACAGGACAACTTCACCGCATCAAAGGGACGATGGACGGGGCCATGTACCGTCAAATCGTGGGTGAGAACCTCCTTCCCTCAGCCAGGGCATTGAAAATGGGTCGTGGATGGGTATTCCAGCATGACAATGACCCAAAACACACGGCCAAGGCAACAAAGGAGTGGCTCAAGAAGAAGCACATTAAGGTCCTGGAGTGGCCTAGCCAGTCTCCAGACCTTAATCCCATAGAAAATCTGTGGAGGGAGCTGAAGGTTTGAGTTGCCAAACGTCAGCCTCGAAACCTTAATGACTTGGAGAAGATCTGCAAAGAGGAGTGGGACAAAATCCCTCCTGAGATGTGTGCAAACCTGGTGGCCAACTACAAGAAACGTCTGATCTCTGTGATTGCCAACAAGGGTTTTGCCACCAAGTACTAAGTCCTGTTTTGCAGAGGGGTCAAATACTTATTTCCCTCATTAAAATGCAAATCAATTTATAACATTATTGACATGCGTTTTTCTGGATTTTTTGGTTGTTATTCTGTCTCTCACTGTTCAAATAAACCTACCATTAAAATTATAGACTGATCATTTATTTGTCAGTGGGCAAATGTACAAAATCAGCAGGGGATCAAATACTTTTTTCCCTCACTGTATAACGCAGGGTTCTTCAATTCCAGTCCTGGAGGGCCGAAACACTTCTGTTTTTTATTTCTACCTCGTAGTTAATTGCACTCACCTGGTGTCCCAGGTCTGAATTAGCCCCTGATTAGAAGGAGAGGATGAAAAACAGAGGTGTTTCGGCCCTCCAGGACCTGAATTGAAGAACCCTGGTATAACGTGTCGAAAGCTTCCCACAGGAATGCTGGCCCATGTTGACTCCAATGCTTCCCACAGTTGTGTCAAGTTGACTGGATGTCCTTTGGGTGGTGGACCATTCTTGATACACACGGGAAACTGTTGAGTGTGAAAACCCAGCAGCAATGTAGTTCTTGACACACTCAAACCGGTGCACCTGGCACCTACTACCATACCCTGTTCAAAGGCACTTAAATATTTTGTCTTGCCCATTCACCCTCTGAATGGCACACATTCACAATCCATGTCTCAATTGTCGCAATGCTTAAAATTCCTTCTTTAACCTGTCTCTTCCCCTTCATCTACATTGATTGACGTGGATTTAACAGGTGACATCAATAAGGGAACATAGCTTTCACCTGGATTTACTTGGTTAGTCTATGTCATGGAAAGTGTAATGTTTTGTACACTCAGTGTAAATACAGTATAATTTTACTAGACCCTTAAGCACTGCTGGAGTCCTGCTCGATATACAGGCTTATAACTGCTCCTGAGGTGTTATACTAATAAACAGGCCACTCTAATGCTTTAATGGGATAGGTTTTCCATGCCTCTCCACACATTGTAGACTGCAAAATTGGCCAATTCCAGCAATCCTTCGCTCCCCTGCTTGCTGAATTACAGTCAAACTGTCAAAAAAGTTTTATGATGTTGGGCCTAGTCCTTTTGAATGTGCACGCCAGGGCAACAAAACCCACATCTCATTTTAATGTGGAAAGGCTGTAAACACCCAATGTTCCTCAGTCAGTCAAATGGATGGAGCAGTCCATACATGTTCAGCACAGGTGTTTTCCATATATGGCCAGGTATTTGTCCATATATGGTCAACACAGGTGTTTTCCTTATATGGCCAGGTATTTGTCCATATATGGTCAGCACAGGTGTTCTTCGTACATGGCCAGGTATTTGTCAATACATGGTCAGCACAGGTGTTTTCCGTATATGGCCAGGTATTTGTCCATATATGGTCAGTACAGGTGTTCTTCGTACATGGCCAGGTATTTGTCCATATATGGTCAGTACAGGTGTTCTTCATATATGGCCAGGTATTTGTCCATATATGGTCAGCACAGGTGTTCTTCGTACATGGCCAGGTATTTGTCAATACATGGTCAGTACAGGTGTTCTTCGTACATGGCCAGGTATTTGTCCATACATGATCAGTACAAGTGTTCTTCGTACATGGCCAGGTATTTGTCCATACATGATCAGTACAAGTGTCGTCCATCCATATAGTAAATGTGAACGAGAGGCTTGCATTCTGCCTTCGAGTCTAGAGTGAAGAGAGACGCCCGTCAATGGCGTGGAATTTGCGCACACGGCATAGCGTATGCCAACGGAAATCCATAATAAACAGTTATATATGTTCGCTATGAAGCCCCTGGGAATTATTGTTGTGAGTTACTTTTGACTCACCTTAGATGTCCTACGGGAGCCACCGTACCTGTGCTAAACCCGAGTTGTTTATAAACAACCAAGTCTTATTCTTCTACGTAAACAGTCCTCAAGTTTTCCAGCCGTAGCCTGTCTAGGTTATATGCCTATGATCGAAATCAACACAGTTAGGCTGCAATTGTTTTCAAATATGTAGCCTATTTGACTGATAAACCTTAGCTTACAGCTCAATACATTTTAAACTACATCTTTAGTCTACTTAGCATAGAGGAACTGTAATGATCTTCCCTTTTCTACAAATGACCCCACGCAATCTATCTGCTTATTTGACCAGAATTGCTCCACGTAGACGCAAGAAAAATAGACTTGCTTTCTAATTTGACGCGCTATGATGCCTTTGATGCTCGTGGCCCTTCTGTTTTCTCTCACTCATATGCGTTCTATTTCCAGCATGAGCACACTTTCCATTAGAATTGAGCTTGAGGCTTGTGGCTGGCAGGGATGTGAACTGGAATGTGTGGAATGAGTCTGGTCGCTGCATTAATCCAGCAGGGGGGATCTGAAGGGGGTGTAGTAATGGGGAAGCAGTCTGCCTACAGTCCACAGTGTGAGATAGGCCCTGTCCACACTGTCTCGTGGCCGGTTGGGACTTCCCCTGGAGGAGCCAGGCCAACCAACAATGATCTTCATTTTACTCTGGTTTGGACTCTGGTATCTGCTGACTGACATACTGCTTCTCACCACACAACACTTGGATGATGCCTTTATTTGTTGCAGAGTGCATCTGCTATAAGTTATCAGAGTTCATTGTGAGACATTTCCTCTCTCTTTTTTGTTAAACTGATGAAAACTAGACTATCCTCAATTAAAGCTACAGACCACCAGTTTGTCTTCATTATCCACCACGGCCCAGTTGATGTGTTGTACCTCTATTTATATCAAACTGGTTTCTGAGGTCATCCTCCTTCAAAGCCACTTTGTTAACAGCAAAAGCGACCTCTGGAGCTGGGTTTTCTGAGGCGAGTGTTTCCACTCCATTGCCTCTCCTTAATGCCGACATCAGCCTTCAATAGCGGAGGCTGGCCCAGGCCCAGCAGACCACAGGCTCACAATGAGTTCACTGTCCGTGGGCTGAGATCTGCTCCCTCTGCCCCTCTCTGCTCTTCTCCCTATCCTCCCTTACATTTACATCATTTAGCAGAGGCTCTTTTTTTTTCATACTATTTTTATTTATTTATTTTTTTAGTCATTTAGCAGACGCTCTTATCCAGAGCGATTTACAGGAGCAATTAGGGTTAAGTGCCTTGCTCAAGGGCACAGCGACAGATTTTTCACCTAGTCGGCTCGGGGATTAGAACCAGCGACCTCTCGGTTACTGGCACAACGCTCTTAACCACTAAGCTACCTGCCGCCCCATACTAGCCCCCCATGGGAAACGAACCCACAACCCTGGCGTTGCAAACGCCATGCTCTACCAACTGAGCTACACGGGACTACCCTTCTCTCCTCTCCATTGCAAACGCCACATGCAGAGCCACTGTGTTCCCGTCAAAGCCCAAAATGTCCTCAAATTTTTCACTTTGTCACAGGTTTGAAAGACAGTGACGTGTGTGTGTTTTCTTTTTTGTTGGTCTATGGTGTATGGAGGAGCTCAAGTGGAGCCATCCAGCCAAGCCTAGTGGTTAACTTGTTAATTAGGTTATAAATTATTAAGTAATTATTATATTATTTTGAACATTAATAACAAAACTTTTGGTACTGCCTTTTTCCTTCCCATGATACAGTCCATTACTAAATAATTGGCCAAACACTGTACAACTGAATAGGTTTTGTAATCATTTTTATACTCTCTTCAAATATTTTAACAACCAATCCTATCCTATTCCATGGAGCAGCCTCTTGAGGCTATCCAAAATAATCAAGTCATGTGAAGCTGGAAAGAACACTACCAATCATGTGAATCCCACACAACGGTTCTTATGACTAGGCTATAAAGCAATGTTACAGAAATAACAGCTCTGCTTGGTTCCCCATCTATGCCCACCATGGCTTCTACCCCTCAAATAGTCATCAGAGTTCTTGGAGAGGTTGTTGAGGTCGAAACATTGGCATTAATTAATGGAATTCGAGAGCGTCCAGGCTTGTGTCGTTACCGTGTCCAGGGGTGTGAAAGACCTTAATATCCGAGAGAGAGTGTCACTTCCAGTGACTCAGGAAGAGGTCATGGGAAATGTCAGTGGCCAGCCACCATCTGTAGAATCTGTAGCGGAGACGGTGGAAGGCTGTTTGCCTCAGCTCAGAAGGAAGAGGGGGAAATCCCATTTGGAGGAGGGAGAAACAAATAAAACATGTCCCGCTTCTGAGTCTGGTTTAATATCAATATCAAGTTTCCAATGTAGTTCTTCAGATGTGGTCAAAAACATGATTATGGTATTACGTCAAATAATTAATATAATGCAAAGTAAACATTAATATGACTGGCTGCCCACAATAAGCAGATTCCTGTTTTGCTACTTTCGTTGTAGAACTACTTTTATTGCACGTCAAGACTTTTCTCCACACCCCTTTTAATCCGCTAAGTGAGGATGAATGGAGAGGAGATGTACAGTACCTACTTGCATGCCCAGCAGCAGCCCAAACTCACTGTGTCAGACAAAGATGGAAACCAGTAGCACCTCTGTCTCTGTTCCTAAGAGATGGTGAAGACCTGCTAGATTTGAACATGACACGTTAAATTCATCACTTGTTACATCACAGCGACAATTCCAAATGTCACATGAATTCATCGGAATGCTTTGTTGTGCACTAGCTTTGTTGTGCATGTATCTAGCCATCTCGTAGCTCGGGGTGAAATTCCTGAGATAATGAAGAAATCTAATAAAATCAACGTTTATTGGTCTCGTACAGTTTATGTTAGAGCGGGTGCAGCTAAATACTTATGTAACTAGCTCCTAACAATGCAGTAAAAGGTCAAACAAGTATACAAATAATAAAAAACAAAAAAATGCATGATGTATATGAATAATCCTCCAATCAAATAATATTTGGAAATGAAATAATTTGAGTCATTGATGTCCATGAAAAGCTGATGAGGTTTAGCCTAGAGACTAGTGTTACTCCTCTGGTGAAAAGATGCACCCCTGTCTTGAATTATTGACTGTGGTACCTCATAGGAGCCAATATAATAATAATGCACCACAATCCTTTCCATTCACCTTTCCACTGTGCATCATGATTCTCCCAGATTGGATTGGCATGTATTCCCAGACACCATCGGGTTATTGATGTCTTCAGGGGTAAAGCCGATCTAACATAGAGGTTCTCCTCCTCGGTACAGATACAGATTGGACAGAAGGCTGTCTTCAGGGCTACGATGCTGTTCTGCTTCTGATGAGTCATTGCCTGCGTGAGCAGCTCTCTCTCTCTCTCTTATGCTGTATCAGTCATGGTCTATTATAGTCCAATCTGATAACTCGGCAAATGGTACTTAGGCTATGAAACTTCATATGGAAAATCTGGTCAGTAATGTGCCCACCTTTCCCTCTCTAAACTAGCTCGCTGCTAGTAAATACGATGGGTTATGTACAGTCCCAAACTGTACTTCTGGGCCCTTACTGTGGGTCAGCCCCATGCTCTGCCCCTTACTGTGGGTCAGCCCCATGCTCTGCCTCTTACTGTGGGTCAGCCCCATGCTGTGCCTCTTACTGTGGGTCAGCCCCATGCTGTGCCTCTTACTGTGGGTCAGCCCCATGCTGTGCCTCTTACTGTGGGTCAGCCCCATGCTGTGCCTCTTACTGTGGGTCAGCTCCATGCTGTGCCTCTTACTGTGGGTCAGCCCCATGCTGTGCCTCTTACTGTGGGTCAGCCCCATGCTCTGCCTCTTACTGTGGGTCAGCCCCATGCTCTGCCTCTTACTGTGGGTCAGCCCCATGCTCTGCCTCTTACTGTGGGTCAGCCCCATGCTCTGCCTCTTACTGTGGGACACCCCCATGCCCCTTACTGTGGGTCAGGCCCATGCTCTGCCTCGGTGACAAGTGCCCAGCCCTCGTCAACCTCACGGCCAGAACTGACCACAAAGGTATATCTGGCGTCAGTGGCCAGCCACCGGAGCCCGGAGGGTGGGACTCACTCCAAAAGGGAAGGGAGCTGATGGCCTTTGTCTTATCTGTGGTACTCCAGCTCTGCCAGGCATGTGACACAGCTGAGCGGCCTGAGGAGGAGATACTGCCTACCACCGGAGGCCCAGCGCGGATGCTGGCAGCCAAACCACAGTTGGTTCCCATGACCTCACACCTCACCACCCTCCTACGCTCCTCTCTATTGCCACTCTCTGGTCCTAACCTGGCCGGCAGCCACGACCTTGGGTTCATTTGGAGCTCACTGCTTCCGGGGACTGATCGGATGCCTCCCATTGTGTCAGTTTGGTCTGGCGGCGTTCTGTAGACAGTGCTTTATGTGGTGTTATAGGAGTGCGAGGAATTAAGTCTTAGAAACATGATCTGGTGGCAATCACTTGGACTACTAGCAATCATTCTTTACATACTAAATGTATTATAACTGTTTTACTCTGTAGTTTGATCATAATGATCAATACTTTGTATTTATGTACCTTTTTTCTAAATGTTATTTTCTTTCTTTTTGGAGTGGCAGCCCACAGGTAAATACAATATGAACTGAATATGAATTTGTATATTGTACCTGTAACCCCCCCCAAAAAAAGAATAATTACAAAATAATACAAATGTGGTTACAAAAAAATTCTGAAATATTCCCATCACAGTGCCTATTAACTGGAGTACAAGGCAAACTTGACAGATGTTAAGTCGTGTACAGTAGCGTCAACCACCAGTACTGTGTAGAGCTGTTCTGACTCTCCAGTAACATACTGTAATCTGAAGAAGTTATGCAACCCGATGTCAAATCTGGTTACAATTAATCGAATCCACTCGAGTTAAGAAAATGTAATCACCGGAACACGGTTTGACCGAAACACAACTGTTAACCCATTGGTGCCTTGGGGCTCTGCCCCTGTTCACCTCAGCCAATTAGATGAGAGAAGGAGCTCAGTGATTGGCTTGTTTGTCACCTGGCTGTAAATCACATTGATGTTCCACCTTCTTCCTAGAGAGCTGTGTTTCTGTCATCAGCCCTGCAGTTCAGTGATACAGGGCTCTAAAATAACAAGACTGTAAATACAGGGAAAGATGGCCTTTGGTTGCAGTATTACGCCTACCGTGGTCTGACTGAGTTCGATGAGTTCATGTGTAAACTGTTTTCACATAGGCTACATACACATGAAGGACATAGCATACATACAGTCTTAGAAAAAAAGTTGCTATCTAGACCCTAAAAGGAACCAACCCTTGTTGGTTCCAGGTAGAACCCTTTTGGGTTCCATGTAGAACCCTTTCCACAGAAGGTTCTACATGGAACCAAAAAGAGTTCTACCTGGAACCAAAAAGGGTTCTCCTATGGGGACAGCCAAATAACCCTTTTAGAACCCTTTTTTCTAAGGGTGTAGCTTTCAGCAGTTTTACGCTCAGCTTCCCTCAATTTCTGACAAGGGACACTATCAACCCTTATCTCTCTAATGCAGAGGTTTGGCACTACAAAGCTTTCCTTTGAAAGAGTGCTCGATTCCTCCTCCATTTTGTGTGCCTCAGAACACCTGGGAAATGTCTGGATCCTGAGGCTTTTGAAATGTTTAGTGAAATTAAATGTAGTTCCTGGTGCAGACAATGACCTTCAACCGGTTTGAAGGTAGTATCTCATTTGATGGCAAGCTCAGTAAAGTTGGCTATGTTCTGTTAAAATTACTTAGTGTACATCTGTCAGCCAGTGATACATTTGGTACAAGGCCTCATTTCAGTTTGAAGAAGGGATTTTTGGGAATGGGCCATTGCCGATGAGTCTGCTAAATGATGACACTGTGTATAATTTCTCTCTCTCCCCCATTTCCCTCTCTCTCTCCCTCTCCCTCGCCCTCTTTCTCTCTCTTCCTCTCGCTCTCTTCCACAGATCGAGAGGACCAATCAATTCTTTGCACGTGAGTAACCTCTGAGCCATGTCTGCTCAGCCCTTTTCTTCTCTCAGTCTGTGTTGTGTTGCATGGGTTGCTGCATTTACAGGAAAATGTATTCTCAGTTTGATGCCTTGCATCCAGCCTGCATAGTATCATACCACACGTCACTAGTTTGGACCAGATTTTTTAGAAAGGCCATGCAGGACCAGCTTAATTGCATAACATTCACGATTCAGTTATCTTAGTTATGCACATCTCCTCCTCACTTAGTAGTACCCGAAAATGAAATGGGAGAATACCTGCTGCATTGCATTCCTGCAGAAGCTCTATTCAACTAAGAATAAAGTGTAGCCTATTGAAGCTGACATTAATGTACTTAGCACTGATAGTAGGTTGAAAGAGGAATCAATTGAATTGAACTAGACCAGGGCCAGAGGCCTCTATAGCTATTTTAAAAGGAGCAACTCAGTGACACAGAACAGTGAGACAGACACTTACGGGAAAGAGACTTCGGCTTGGAGCATGGAATCTGGAAAATGTCTGGTACACACACACACACACACACACACACACACACACACACAACCCCTACCCGCTGGCTGTATTCCAGTCTAGCGCCCAATATCTACAGATGACTGGAATGCTGCAAAGACAAATGTCAGCGTGGCATCTCATCGTAAGCCCCTGTGACAGGCCTACACCGATGATGTGCGAAAGAGTATTCATGGGAAAGTGTCTCCAAGAGTGTGTGTGTTCTCTCCCTGCCCTGGTTTGAACCCGATCCACCAGCACTCAAAAAATGTCCCTTGAGCCTCCAGGGCTACAAGCCACCAGTCAACAAATATTTTCATAGCTTCACATCATACATGACTAAGTCTGGGGGATCATGGAAGAATTTGGATGGATGTCGGAAGTGTGGCTTGAACACTATCATAAAATCTCACATCTGTTATGATGCATTTATATGCCAACTGTTTGTTTCTGTGACTGTGACACACACACTGTAGGAGACGGTGGTCATAGCAATGTAAACGCTGCACAGAGATGCCATGTGATTATAAGTCAGTCCCTGAGAATATCAACCGCCTCAGTGACATTGACGCAATCACTCACTCATGGGCTGTGTCCAAAATGGCAACCAATTGCCTATATAGTGCACTACTTTTGACCAGAGCCCATCATTTCAGACACAGCCATAAATACCCTCTGCTCCCGGTGGTTATTGAGCTCAACACTAACACACAACTCATCAGCCATACAGCATATTCATAGTACTATCTAGACCACCATATTACTTCACCACATGGCCAGGTAAGGGGAATCTGAAAGAAAAACAACATGTGACTTTGTTATAGTAATTGGTTTTGCACTCAGTGAGGATTCAGGGGCCTTGTCATTTATTTGAAAATCACAATGTCATTTGTTTTATTTTGCAGCCTAGCATTGAGCTTGAGATCGGGAAGAAAGTTCAATGTTAACCACCAGCAATTACGTAGAATGAGTACCTATTGGTAAACCACTGGTATGCATTGTGTGTTGATGTTACTGTGCAGTAAGTGTCACTTGGGGATAGGATTCTGTCTGCAGCTTGCCGAGCTTGCAAAAACGCACTTCCTAGCTCTAAAGCTGTCATCGCTGTGGGTCCGTGAGTCCCACCCTCAACCACAGCCGCTGAACTAAACTAGCTCACAGAAAATAAACAGCACATATAAATACACAAAAGCCCTGCTACACCGCCTCATCCGATAAACCACTCAACTGTGGTTTATTTTCACTTAATTTGTTGATTAGCGGAGTTGCAGGGAGAAGAGCTTGGCTAGCTCTCTCACCCCCAGCTCAAGACTGTTTATGGAGTTTCCCAAGTGCCATAATCTCCTCAGAAAAACATCTGCCGGTCAGAAAGACAGTTCTGACACACACACACACACACACACACACACACACACACACACACACACACACACACGTCATTCCTTCCCTTTACTAACCCAGGAAGCTGTCTTGTATGTTTTCTCTCTTCTCAGAGGTGAATCTGGTGCTGGCAAGACGGAAAACACTAAAAAGGTCATCCAGTACCTTGCACATGTCGCTTCCTCCCATAAAGGAAAAAGAGACCACAGCCTTCCTGTAAGTGTAAGTTTCTCTCTTTTCTTTCTCTATATTCCCCCTCCCATATTTATCTCCCTACCACACCTCTAGATCTCCTCCTAAGCCCTGTTCTAAAGGCCATACATATCAATTGTGTCACAGTAACAGTATGTCTTTCTAATGAGGGATAACTGATGAAAGAGGAGAGTTAACAACTTGTATGGCCCACAATGTCCCCCTAATACCAGGCCAGTCTGATCCACAATGCCCCTCTAATACCAGGCCAGTCTGATCCACAATGCCCCCCTAATACCAGTCCAGTCTGATCCACAATGTCCCCTAATACCAGGCCAGTCTGATCCACAATGTCCCCCTAATACCAGGCCAGTCTGATCCACAATGTCCCCCTAATACCAGGCCAGTCTGATCCACAATGCCCCCCTAATACCAGTCCAGTCTGATCCACAATGCACCTCTAATACCAGGCCAGTCTGATCCACAATGCCCCCCTAATACCAGTCCAGTCTGATCCACAATGCACCTCTAATACCAGGCCAGTCTGATCCACAATGCCCCCCTAATACCAGGCCAGTCTGATCCACAATGTCCCCCTAATACAAGGTCAGTCTGATCCACAATGTCCCCCTAATACCAGGCCAGTCTGATCCACCATGTCCCCCTAATACCAGTCCAGTCTGATCCACAATGTCCCCCTAATACCAGGACGGTTTGATCCACAATGTCCCCCTAATACCAGGCCAGTCTGATCCACAATGTCCCCCTAATACCAGGACAGTTTGATCCACAATGTCCCCCAAGTACCAGGCCAGTCTGATCCACAATGTCCCCCTAACACCAGGCCAGTCTGATCCACAATGTCCCTCTAAAACCAGGCCAGTCTGATCCACTGGTATTTACAGTACTTTGTTGATTAACTCCAACCTTAGTTAATTCATATCAGATAGATCCATATGATAATGGGGGGTAATGATTAGTGGACAACAGTGTCTGACAGTGGACATGGGCTGTGTGATGTCATGAGGTCACCAAAGGGTCAGGTTCTTCTGTAGTTATGCAGATATGATGCTGGTACATTACCATGGCAGTCAAACATACAATGGCTTGCGAAAGTATTCACCCCCCCTTGGCATTTTCCCTATGTTGTTGCCTTACAACCTGGAATTAAAATGGATTTTTGGGGGGTTTGTATCATTTGATTTACACAACATGCCTACCCCTTTGAAGATGCAAAATATATTTTTGGGTGAAACAAACAAGAAATAAGACAAAGAATCAGAAGACTTGAACTTGCATAACTATTCATAACTATGTAGAGCCACCTTTTGCAGCAATTACAGCTGCAAGTCTCTTGGGGTATGTCTCTATAAGCTTAGCACATCTAGCCACTGGGATTTTTTCCCATTCTTCAAGGCAAAACTGCTCCAGCTCCTTCAAGTTGGATGGGTTCCGCTGGTGTACAGCAATCTTTAAGTCATACCACAGATTCTCAATTGGATTGAGGTCTGGGCTTTGACTAGGCCATTCCAAGACATTTAAATGTTTCCCCTTAAACCACTCGAGTGTTGCTTTAGCAGTATGCTTAGGGTCATTGTCCTGCTGGAAGGTGAACCTCCGTCCCAGTCTCAAATCTCTGGAAGACTGAAACAGGTTTCCCTCAAGAATTTCCCTGTATTTAGCGCCATCCATCATTCCTTCAATTCTGACCAGTTTCCTAGTCCCTGCCGATGAAAAACATCCCCACAGCATGATGCTGCCACCACCATGCTTCGCTATGGGGATGGTGTTCTCGGGGTGATGAGAGGTGTTGGGTTTGCGCCAGACATAGCGTTTTCCTTGATGGCCAAAAAGCTCAAATTTAGTCTCATCTGACCAGAGTACCTTCTTCCATATGTTTGGGGAGTCTCCCACATGGCTTTTGGCAAACACCAAACGTGTTTGCTTATTTTTTTCTTTAAGCAATGGCTTTTTTCTGGCCACTATTCCGTAAAGCCCAGCTCTGTGGAGTGTACGGCTTAAAGTGGTCCTATGGACAGATACTCCAATCTCTGTGGTGGAGCTTTGCAGCTCCTTCTGAGTTATCTTTGGTATCTTTGTTGCCTCTCTGATTAATGCCCTCCTTGCCTGGTCCGTGAGTTTTGGTGGGCGGCCCTCTCTTGGCAGGTTTGTTGTGGTGCCATATTCTTTCCATTGTTTAATAATGGATTCAATGGTGCTCCGTGGGATGTTCAAAGTTTCTGATATTTTTTTTATAACCCAACCCTGATCTGTACTTCTCCACAACTTTGTCCCTGACCTGTTTGGAGAGGTCCTTGGTCTTCATGGTGCCGCTTGCTTGGTGGTGCCCCTTGCTTAGTGGTGACACTTAGATTGCACACAGGTGGACTTGATTTAACTAATTATGTGACTTCTGAAGGTAATTGTCACGATCGTTTACGGACGAGACAGACCAAGGCGCAGCGTGATATGCGTTCATGTTTATTGACGACTAAACACACGACAAAACAACAAACGAAACGTGAAGTCCAAGGTAGCATACACACAACAATACCTTACAATACCTTACACAGATCCCACAACTAACAGGTGTCAAAAGGCTGCCTAAGTATGGTCCCCAATCAGAGACAACGAGCAACAGCTGCCTCTGATTGGGAACCACACAGGCCAACATAGGTGTAGACATACTAGAATCTAACAGACAATCAACATAGCCAAACACAACACAGAAAATACACACCCTGACTCAACAAATACAAGTCCCTTGAGTCAGGGCGTGACAGTACCCCCCCCAAAGGTGCGGACTCCGACCGCGCCACATAAACCTAACAGGGTAGGGGCCGGGTGGGCATTCCGCCTCGGAGGCGGATCCGGCTCCGGGCGTGACCACCACTTACTCTCCACCTCCCTGTTGCGCCCCTGGTCTGGTCTGGACCTCGGCGCGCTGCTTCCCCTCTCCTTCCTCCCACGACGTACCAAGCCCTGTCTGGACCCTGGTGTGGGAGACCCCGAACCTGGAGAGGGGCTGACGTCTGGCTCCGGAGTGGAGCCGCTGACCGGAGCTGGATCAGGCACCGGTGGAGCGGACTGCTCTTGCTCCGGAGTGGAGCGGCTGACCGGAGCTGGACTGGACCCCGGTGGAGCGGATTTCTCTGGCTCCGGAGTGGATCCGCTGACCGGAGTAGGACTGGACCCCGGTGGAGCGGATTGCTCTGGCTCCGGAGTGGAGCAGCTGACCGGTGCCGGACCAGGCACCGGTGGAACAGGCACGGGCCGTGCTGGACTGGACACACGCACCACTGTCTTGGTGCGGGGAGCAGGAACGGGCCGGACCGGGCTGACGACGCGCACCACTGGCTTGGTGCGGGGAGCAGGAACGGGCCGTACCGGACTGGCGACGCGCACCACTGGCCTGGTGCGGGGAGCAGGAACAGGCCGGGCCGGACTGGCGACGCGCACCACTGGCTTGGTGCGAGGGGCAGGAACAGACCGGACCGGGCTGGCGACGCGCACCACTGGCTTGGTGCGAGGGGCAGGTACAGGCCGGACCGGGCTGGCGACGCGCACCACTGGTTTGGTGCGAGGGGCAGGAACAGGCCGGGCCGGGCTGGCAATGTGCACCATTGGTTTGGTTGCGAGGGGCCGGAACAGACCGGGCTGGCAACGCGCACCACTGGCTTGGTGCGAGGGACAGGAACAGGCCGGACCGGGCTGGCGACGCGCACCACTGGCTTAGTGCGGGGAGCAGGAACGAGCCGGACCGTACTGGGAACACACACCACTGGCTTAGTGCGGGGAGCAGGAACGGGTCGGGCCGGACTGGGAACACGCACCACTGTCTTAGTGCGGGGATCAGGAACGGGCCGGACCGTACTGGGAACACACACCACTGGCCTTGTGCGGGAAGCAGGAATGGGTCGGGCCGTACTGGGAACACGCACCACTGGCTTAGTACGGGGATCAGGAACGGGCCGGACCGGACTGGCGACACGCACCACTTGCTTGGTGCGAGGAGCGGGGCTGGGTTCCCTTATAAACCCCCGCTCCTTCTGCTGCCTAACCAGCTCCTCTCGCCGTGCCTCTACACTCTCCTTCTCCCTTATTGCCTCCTGTAGCTCCTCCCTCTGACCAAATAACTCCTGCTCCCTCTGGACCAATAGCCCCCGTAACCTGGTGGCCTCCTCTCCTAACCTGCAGATTCGCCCTGTCGCTGCCTCCTGCTGCCTCGTCGTCCACACCGTGTGCCCCCCCCCCCCCCCCAATTTTTTTTTTATTGGGGTTACCTCTCGGGTCTCCGTCGTCGGCACTGTTGGCGCCGTTTCTCCTCTCCTACCTGGGCATCCTCATTCATCACCCTCCGGTAACGGACGGCCTCCTCCTCCGTGATTCTCCCCAACCGAGGAGGACATCTACTAACGAACCTCCTGTTTATTCCGGCGTGCTCTGAACACGCTGCTTGGGTTCCCTATTTTGGTGGGATCTTCTGTCACGATCGTTTACCGGACGAGACCGGACCAAGGCGCAAGCGTGATATCTTCATGTTTATGAGACTAAACCACGACCAAACAACAAACGAAACGTAGTCCAGGCTACCTTCACGGACAAATCCCACAACTAACAGTGCAAAGTGCCTAGTATGGTCCCAATGCACACTGCCTCTGATTGGGACCACACGGCAACATAATCTAGACATCTAAAATCTGACAGACAATCATATCCACACACAGAAAATAACACCCTGACTCACGTCCTTGATGAGTTTTTGCAGAGGGGTTCATAGAAGGGGTGAATACATATGCAGCACACTTTCCGTTTTATTTTTTAGATTTTTGAAAAAATTTTGTCATTGACTTTCTGTGGGACCTATCTTGTGTATGTCATTACTGAGTCCAGAGTCAATTTATTCCATTGTAAGAAAATGGAAAAGCCCAGTGGGATGATACATTTTGCAAGTTTTAAGGCCCAAAGAAAAATCCATCAGGATTGTGTCACTTGACCATGTTGGAGTCCTGGCTTTATGGGTGTTCTTGGCCTGGGCCCCTAGGGAGTTATGACTTGGGGTTAAACATGTATAGATATACAAATCAATGTTTGTCATACCCGTTACGGTTGATAACATGGTGAGCATTCAGAGCTATTAATCACTTATAAATTAACCCATTCATAAAAGTCCTATTTAGGGCTTTTTGCATAACATGGAATGGTGATAAAGCCATAACCAGCCAACTTTCGATGTTTGAGTTTTGAAAGTTGAAAACGCATTTTTTCTTACTTGCAGTCATGCAACTTTTGATTTGCATTTATTGAAACAACAAAAGTCAATCAATTAACAGTTAAAACACAGCAATTAAAACTTCGGATGAATACTTGCAAGGATGATGTGCTCATAACTTTATCATGAGGGGCTGTGATAGGTCAAATACCAGTAAAGTTTTATTGACGCACCGGGAAGTTTATAATGGTTAATTATTGAATAGTACAAATAAATGTTTGTAACCCGTGATAGGTCGAATAACAGGCTTTATATAGCCATTCAGACTTCGAACCACCCAGTTTATAATAATTATTAACCCATTCATAAAATGTGCCAATATATAGGATTTTTTGAATATGCTGAAATGTTTTATAGAAGCCTTACACAACTCCATCCCATGATGATGTGTGAGCTGCCAAAGTGAACGCATCCTCCTGTAGCTTGTGCAGGCGTGCACAACCCTCTAACATATTTGCATTTGTTTATTTGCAACAAACAGCCAGAGTCGCCTAAACCAGTAAAACTACAGGCAAGTCTTTACACTTTCTTATTAACACCATGTTCATGTGCATGTTGCTTCACTAACTTTCTATTCTCAGATGGACCTACTGTAATGTAAAGCTAGTGGCAATTTAATATATTTCTTTGTGACAACAGCCTGTTTTGTGAAATGGTGCCTTTGGTTATTTTCTTGCACACTGTGAAGCATGTATGTGAAATGTTGACATCTGTGCAAAAATTAGACAAACAAATATTGGGTATTGACCCAGATTCTCTTTCTATCAGGCGGAAAATAATCATATTGTAAGTAAACTTTAAATCTGGCATGAATATTTATGTGAATGCAGCTTTTTCATGTATATCTGTTGGCCAATCCACTGTACTGTACTGTAAAATGTGCTTGTAAATGTTGTTATTCCACACTAGATTAAACATAATCATATGCATGCCTTTGTAGTGTTTGGTCGCCACCAGTCAAGGCTTGGCAGGACTATGTGGGCTATTTTTGTACAGTACAATGCAGAGTAGAAGTTGAGCAGTAAGACGTTGAAAAAGAGATGAAGGCATATATTCTGAAGATGGAACTGACACACACACACACACACACACACACACACACACACACACACACACCTGTTATTCTATCCTCGTGGGGACCTAAAATGTATTTTCATTATAAATCCTATTTTCCCTAAACCTAACCTTAACCTCTAACGCCTAACCCTAAACCTAACCCCTAACCCCTAATTCTAACCCTAACCCTAATTCTTACCCTAAACCTAACCTCTAAGCTTAAAGTAGCCTTTGTCCTCATGGGGATGTGGGAAATGTCCCCACAAGGGAGAATGTTCCTTGTTTTACTATCCTTGTGGGGACATTTGGGCATTTCAGTTCCCCACGAGGATAGAAGAACCAAGACCACACCCACAGGGTCAATTCATGGACATTACTGAAAAGCAGACTGTCTGGCTATGGTTGTCATTACAGTAGTTTGTTCACTAGTTTAATATTACTCAGGGCACTCACTATTTGCTTTTCAAACAGCTGCTGTAGGTCTTGTTTATACAGTTAAGATAATGCAAACGGCACATGAGGGCAGATGAGCGGTATTCTGAATAAAGATGTGATGCTTACTATGGCACACTGCCCCAAGGCTAATATGAGAAACATATTGAACTGCACCCGTCAGTGAGATAGCTTCTTGGAATAGAGCCTTTCAGAATAACATATCCATTCCCCATCCATTCCCCTGCTTCCTGTTTTAGTGTACTACTGTATATTTCATTTAGTGATGAACTAGCTTCTTTACCCTGTTCATTTAAACCATTTGCCTTTATGCATTATTTAGTCTAGTCCGAATTGAGTACTACCTGTAATTGTCTTAGATGGTGTGTATGTACTGTATGTATATCCTGTATGTGTGTTTAGTATCCATGACCATTAACACTACCTGTTTATTTCCATGGTAACATTTGACAATCTGCCCATTGACTACAGAGTGGAGCCCTGTTCTATGTGAGTAGCATGTAGCCCTTCCCTCACCTCTCTCTCACCCACCGCACTCCACTCACTAGACTAGCTCAAAACACAATGGGCACAATATACTGTGAAGGGGCTGCTGTTGTCTCTGTGTACTATACTGTATATCTGTCCCTTTTATGGGTGTCAATGGGGGCCCAATAGCAGCTTCTGTTTCTATCACCTTTGGGACACTAAACTAGTTTAGTTTTAATCCACTCCATGCACTGTATGGCGTCCCTGTTCTTAACTATAGTAGGCTCTGCTTCTTTCAAATATCTCAGATTCGGGGAAATAAACATTACTTACTAGTTTAATACATACTAATAAACACGTTTCCCACTTCCTAACTGACATATCCCATTTAAACAATATGACCTCCAGTCATAACATTGAGCTCGTCACAAACTTCTCTCCCGCATCCAATTTGGCTCCCGGTGAGCCTGCTGGAGAGCTTTTCACTCGCGAGGTGCTGGTGTTGCCAAATAGCAGGCTTTACTAAATAGTCAGTTGGCTTCCAGCTAGCTGGAGCTGGAGTAGGACTCTGGAGGAGAGCAGCTAGGGAGGGAGAGCCAAGAGGACCACTGCCCAGAGCTCAGCTGGACGGACTCCCCCAGGGAGAGAGGGCCGTGACATGGTCCAAGACCTACAACATCCTCCCCTCTGCTTAGTCTACTCAGACCCAGCCACAGACCGCCCAGCAGGGACAATAATGGGGATTTTAATCTTCGTACTTTATTGAATTCACCATGGGGTGTTGACTGTGGATTTTGCCATTCGTGTCAGCTCAGTGGCAGTGCTACTTAGATCACTAATGAATCCCCTTAGAACTGCTTCTTCCTGTCTTTGCAAGCCTTTCATCCTCTCCCTGCTTTGCCATGAGGGATGAGTTTACACAGATAAAAAGTTATTCTCACTTCCCCTGCAGGAGTTCCTGTTCCCCAAACCACAAACACAAGTCGCACTGTCCCAACAGTCACTGAAGTAGTATTCTGCTTGTGGACTTGGAGCAACTCTTGACATGACTTGTAATGTCTGCCCAGCAGTGATTCTGCTTGTGGACTTGGAGAGATTTGTAATGTCTGTCCATTGACTCTAGTCTGTGGAGCAGATGTGAGCACACATCCCCAACTGGCCTCTTTCTTGAAGATGTAATGGGACAGTTTTTACTGTTCCTCTGGCTCTCCAGTCTCCACAATCTGGGCCAAAGCACTGCCAAAGGCCCTAACACTGATAACAAGTGAGGTTGAACACTCTACAAAGGATGTTTCCTAAGTTCCAGAGGAAAGATTGAGAATAGAGAGGAGTTATTTCACAAAATATACATTAATTTCATAGTCGTGTCAATGTTAACGTGATATTTAGTGGTACACGATAGCATTGTCCACAGTCACACTAACAACAACAACTAATATTTCAATAACTATATGTCCCTGAGTTCTTCCAGGCCTCATACAGTAGTTGTCACTGTAGTGATTAGCTTCTTAACGTGGCTATGATGGTTTCCAGACACTGTCAGTCAGAATAAGTGTAACGCATTCCATCCACAGTAATTTTATGGTCTTCTTGCTCACATAAACCTGATTATGTGGTACAATACATGTTCCGGAGGTCTTCCAGGCCTGTCAGTTGTTGGCACGGCTAGTGATTAGCCTCCTTACATGGCAATGATGGTTTCTGGAATCTGTCAGAACAAGAGTAACACACTCTGGAACGCTGGAATCTGGGTCAGCTTCTAATGCTCCTAAAGTGGACCCCTGCTGGTGTTTTGTAATCACCCCTTTGTTCCTACCCTCTCCCCAGTCTGGTCCCAGTCTGTAGACTGAGCTTTGGCAGAGATTGGCAGCTTGTGGACATTAAACAGTCTCCATTATGTCCTCTGTTTTCTAAAGTTTGTGGTGTTTTCAAGTTGTCATAGAGACAGCGTGTGACAATGACTATAGGAAATGTTAAGACCGCACTAACAGATCTGGGACCATGCTATAATTTACCCTCTGTGCAATCTGCCACTGGCAGGACGAGGATGGAACGGGCTTATTCAATTCATTCCTGCCTCATTTTCAGCAGCACGAAAGCTCAATTAAAACAGCAGTCGGCTTTCTGGCCCAGCTCTGGCAGCCAAAGATCACATTACGCGTCTCACTTCTGAACGCAATGCTGATTTCCTAACCCCTAACTCATCCGACAGACATCCCTGGAAAAACGCCTCAGTCTTGAGCGATCAAAATGTGTCTGGTGAGCTTGACGTAATGGGAAAATCCCATTCCCACCTAGCCGCAGAAAACAAAAACTCAAAGTACGGGCCATGTTATTTTTTGGTGGGCCATCTTGGATTCCCCGGTCATGACCAAGCCTAGAATGAGGTCTGGATTGGATCGTAATGAGCCACCTATCTAAACATCTCAGGGTCATGTCCATTAGGGTACACTGTAGCAACGGAAGAAGAAAACTAGTGTTTCTTATTGGACAAGTTCGGATACCACCTTTACATTTACATGGAGCATTTCGTTCTATTTCATACCAATTGAACATTCTATTCAGCCCTGACAGTCAGCCAGATAGGGTCTACGATAGGTGTGAGAAGTGAACAGAGCACCGCTCCCTCCCTCCCTTAACGGGATCTCTAATGATGACTGATTCTTCCTTATAGGATTGAGTGTGTCTCTGGCCAATAGGACATATTGTGTCTCTGGCTTGTGTCAGTGTGTTAAACAGGTCTGTTTCCCCAGTATCTGTCAGTGTGCTAAACGGTTGAGTCCATTTCCTCAGGATCTCTATCTCAATCACTAACTGGAGAGCTATGGCCTTCCTCTCTGAGTCGCCTCATTAGCCCCAACTCATCCAGCACCCATCCATCCGCCTGGCTCACAGCAGCTAGCGCTCCACAGGTCCTGAACCACCATGCTGAAACACAGCTGTGTACTGTGGAATATATGAGGCATCTGTGGATTTGAAGCATCTGTGGATAGATTTATTGGTTTGTCTGTTGCACAAGTATACTGGTACTTTTTATGATTGTACTGTGTACTTCAACAGTGTAAACAGGGATTGATTTGATTAGGTTATTTTGGAGGCTTGATGGTTAGACTATGGCTTCAATCATCAAGATGGTGCCGACAGACATGGCAGCTCTGCTTCTAGCTCCTAAGCAACTTTGCAGTATTTATTTTTCTTGACAAGCATTTCGCTACACCCGCAATAACATCTGCTAAATATGTGTATGCGACCAATAACATTTGATTTGATGTCTTTGATGTTGGTCTCACAATAGAAAAAGGAAATGCAAACCCAGAGTCCAGATGGGTTTGAACATTCACTTGTGAATGTGTTGAGCTTCAACTGAACCATATGCAGTGTGGAGAGAGTCATTGCAGTTTTGTTCTGTTCTGTTCCACCACTGAGCAAACAAGGTTCTAATCCATTCCATTCCAAACCCAGAGGGTCTATACTGAGTGACCAGACAACAGGAAACACATGTCATTAACGCACAGAACAGGCCCAATTTATTCAGAGAAATGAGATTCTCTCTCTCTTCTCTCTCTCTCTCTCTCCCTATCCCCCCATCTCTTTAGTTTTAGTTGTACGTACTGTTGTAGGATATTGAGCAGAGAGACTGTAAAGTGGTTTCCTGAACATGCTCCATTGATCACATCTGTCTTTTACAGCGTTACAATACCTGTCGTTTCACTCTCTTTTCTACTAGTTTTTATGGTCATAAACATTACTGGGGAAACAGTGTCCGTCCACCGACATATGTTTCATGATCTTTAGTCTGTGTGACACTATCTGATTGTTAGATTGACATTGACAAACTTTAGAAGGGTGATCAGTCATTGTGTGTATTGGAAAAAATGTTTCTCCTGTGTCTACATTTTTTAGTGTTTGTTATTTGTAAAAAGTTGAGTTGGGGAAAGGGGGTATATTTGGTTTGGACCCAGTGCTTTGCTGTAATATCTCTCTTATTTTTCAGGGTGAATTGGAACGTCAACTCTTACAAGCCAACCCCATCCTTGAGTCCTTCGGCAACGCCAAGACAGTGAAGAATGACAACTCGTCACGATTCGTAAGTAAAGAATGTATACATATTTCCCCAAAATAATGCCATTCTCAGACAGTATCGAGCTTAATTTGAAGTCTTCCCTATGTTTATAATGTATGTTCCTCTGTGGCTTACTAAAAGCCACTAATGCCATCTCACTCACTATCTCTTGGTCAAACAACTGGCACTTGAAACAGATTTAGCTGGCATGTTTGTTTGTTGGAGACTGCCAAAAATTCCTGGAAACTTTTGATGATAAGGAAGAGAAATCAATGGAGAGGAATTTATTGGATTATCCTCCTATTATTACGTGAGGAGCATTCCAGCAGGACACAACATTTCTGCTAATCATTATTGCCTGCTTTGATTCTGGATCCAGTTTAGATTAGAGAGGGTTATTTTGTTCAGCACAGTCAGATCACAGCCTCATGCACATGGGTAGTCTACTCCAGACCCCAGAACAGTAGAGACCAAGAGGAATGTAGTCTACTCCAGACCCCAGAACAGTAGAGACCAAGAGGAATGTAGTCTACTCCAGACCCCAGAACAGTAGAGACCAAGAGGAATGTAGTCTACTCCAGACCCCAGAACAGTAGAGACCAAGAGGAATGTAGTCTACTCCAGACCCCAGAACAGTAGAGACCAAGAGGAATGTAGTCTACTCCAGACCCCAGAACAGTAGAGACCAAGAGGAATGTAGTCTACTCCAGACCCCAGAACAGTAGAGACCAAGAGGAATGTAGTCTACTCCAGACCCCAGAACAGTAGAGACCAAGAGGAATGTAGTCTACTCCAGACCCCAGAACAGTAGAGACCAAGAGGAATGTGGCCAAATGAGTATAAAATACGATGGCCTGGACTGGTCCCAGATCTGTGTATGTGCTTTAGCCAACTCATATGACTATTGTATCACAACAATAGTAGTTGACGAAAGCACTTACAGTTCTGGGACCAGACTAATCAAATGTAGCCTTATTGTGATGTAGCCTTACTGCTCTTTAATTATTTGTTACTTTTATTTCGTATTATTTTATATTGTATTTTTGTGTGATTTTTTTTGGTATTCTTTCTTAAAACTGCATTGTTGGTTAAAGGCTTGTAAGTAAGCATTTCACTGTAAGGTCTACACCTGTTGTATTCGGCGCATGTGACAAATGAAATTTGATTTGATTTGATGTGACTCAGAGGAAGACAAAGGCACGCCTTGCAGCACAGTGTGAGACCTGGTTGAGGCAGATGTGGATGCAGTGATATGGTTTGTCTGCTTTTCTCACCCCCCATTTCTCTCTCCCTGCAGGGAAAGTTCATCCGGATCAACTTTGATGTCACCGGATACATCGTTGGGGCCAACATTGAAACTTGTATCCTTCCATACAGCTAGCTTAAATTTTCCATGCAAGCTTTGATATGAATCATTTACAAAACTGACAGATCTTTATGGGGATTTTTTTATTATGCTAATTAGATTTCCACGGGGCCACGTAAATTGACTCTAAGGGGGTTAATATTTTATTTTACTGTATAAAGGCTGCACTTCCTTGACTGTGATGGGACAGATCTACTGGAGAAATCCAGAGCTATTCGCCAAGCCAAAGACGAGCGCACCTTCCACATCTTCTACCAGCTGCTGTGTGGGGCAGGAGAACATCTCAAGTGTAAGGACATCAGTCTGATATGTACCATCAGCATAACTTCAATGACCCGGACCCATATGGCCTCTGTAAAGAATAGGCCATCCTCTGAAATGCAGAACATTGTTTCTCTAGCCGTTGGCCTGAAGTGTCTTGAAACCCACTCAGACTCAGTGTTGTTCACTACCTAGTATCACAATAACATCACCTGTCAGTGGGCCGACTATCAAAAATGCATGTTTGCTTTTTGTCCTTTGTGACCTTGAACCACCTATCTCAACGTCATTTCCCTTTCCTCTGTTTAGCGGACCTGCTCCTGGAGGGCTTCAACAGCTACCGCTTCCTGTCCAACGGCAACATTACCGTCCCTGGTCAGCAGGACAAAGATAACTTCCAGGAGACCATGGAGGCCATGAACATCATGAGCTTCTCCCACGACGAGATCCTGGGTACTACGATCTTCACTCTCATCTGTCTGACTATCTGTCTGTCAACTGTTATTTTTAAAGCCCTTTTTACATCAACACTTGTCAGAAAGGGCTTTACAGTCATTATTATAACTATACATGCTCATAACAGTTCCATGTATTCCAACAAACACAGAGTAGTGTGTGGTGTTCATGGTAAGTTTATGATAATATTTCTCTCATCTCTCTGTGCTTGCAGCCATGCTGAAGGTGGTCTCCTCCGTGCTTCAGTTTGGGAACATCATCTTCAAGAAGGAGAGGAACTCAGACCAGGCCTCTATGCCTGAGAACACAGGTAGCTGACATTGACCAGCTGTGCCCTCGGCACACACACGTACAGCCACACACCCATTACACCTGTCAGTTGTCACATATATTGATGTCAAGGAAGCTCCTCACATTTTCAAGTTCAGACCTTATCTTCCCCTTCCTCATTTTCCTCCCAGACTTGTGCTAACCACCCTGAGTCAGATGTCAGAGCTCTAACAATTTAACCTTCCCATCTCTCCTGGCCCTGTCACCCACCTTCAAACAACATCATTATTCATATTTACTACCCTACTTTACTTCTAAGAAAAAAACCAAATAAAACATTGCCTACTCAACCGCATATGTTACTGCTGCATTTCTGGTATTTAAAGAGGAGAGGGTAACAAGTGAGTGCCAATGACGTGGCTCAGCCAGTTATTACCAAATGTGGAAAACAGATCTAGGACAGAAGCAGATGTTTTTAGCAGGCTCTGCGCTGGAAATGATACAGATTTATCATTCTTACTTCTCCAGAAGCTCCCGCCGTGACAAATATTTAAAATTCAAACATCTCCCCAGTTCCAAAAGACAAATATCATAAAAGCCGTTTTGACACATCTTAAATCAAGTCTGTGTTTTTAACCCACAGGTGTTCTAAACAGCTGTGCGTTTAACTACCCCCTACCCTGAGCTCTAGTCCAAACCTGGGTTCAAATACTATTTAAGTTATTTCAAATACTTAAGCTGTGGTTGGTTGAGCTTGCCTTTTGCAATGGAACCAATAGAAAAGTCCCAAAATTGCGAACCCCATTCACCTGGCACTCCAGACAGACTAGAGCAAATGCTCAAAGTACTTGAAATATTTCAAATAGTATTTGGATCCAGGTCTGCTCCAGGCATACCTTAGAGGTACTGGACTGGCAGGGGTAGGCAGTCACTCAGTTCAGTTCTTACTTATTATTCTTTACCATTAACGGTCAAATGTGAGCAACTTCTGGCAGAAGGGGGAGAATGTAATTCATAGCTACTGACCATGTAGAGATGTGGCCTGCTGCCAGTGGTATGTCTTTTCTGGTGGTCTCAAGCGGTGGTCCCACATATGGAAAGTCTTTATGGCTTTTACTGTGTGTTTTCCAACTCAATGGCGTTTATGGGAATTGGAGGATTATAGGGTTATCCGTCGGGTCTATAAATATATATATATATAATCATATCCTAATAACGTTTAACTCCTCAAATGTTGCTACTTCTTTCCCTGCTACTGCTTTGAGTCTATGTAAGGGATATTTGAGTATTGTAAAGTTATTTGTGTTGACTGTAATCACATCTTGAGCACTAACGTTTAATGTTACTACTGTTTTCCCTTTTTTCACCCCCTCCTTTATCTTCCTCCTCCTCCTCCTCTCCTCTACCAGCGGCCCAGAAGTTGTGCCACCTGTTGGGGCTGAACGTGATGGAGTTCACCCGGGCCATCCTTTCTCCGAGGATCAAGGTGGGACGAGACTACGTCCAGAAGGCCCAGACCAAAGAACAGGTAAAACACACACACTATAACAGAAGCTCTCCTTGCTTCACTCATCACCCCTCTATGGACTCACTGTACTGCTGACTTTGGATCAGGATAATGTTAGTACTGTGGGGTGTGGTTCCTGTCCACCTCTGTGTTAGATTTACAACAATAGAGATGTCTAGCCCTGAGACCCCAAGGCTGAGAATGGCAGACTCACTTGCCAAGTCATACCAGAGAAAGACAATCTAATAAGGAATGCATATTTCTCTGTCTCTCTCTCTCCACCTCTCCCACACCCCTCTCTCTCTCTCTCTCTCTCTCTCTCGCTCCACCTCTCCCCCACCCCTCTCTCCACCTCTCTTTCTCTCTCTCTCTAGGCTGACTTTGCAGTAGAGGCTCTGGCCAAGGCCACATACGAGCGTCTGTTTCGCTGGCTGGTCCACCGCATCAACAAGGCCCTGGACCGCACCAAACGCCAGGGGGCCTCCTTCATCGGCATCCTGGACATCGCTGGCTTTGAGATCTTCCAGGTACTTAAATGCGTAGGCCTCCACAGGTACTTAAATACATGGCAAATAAGACCTCCACAAGGTCCCTCTATCTCTTCCAGATACAGAGAAAACAGCTAGAGAAGAGAGAGGGGACTTGGTTTGGCTTAGTTCATCCTGTCTATGGAATTGGTCATCTGAATGGTCTAAGGACGCTTTTCGTGGGAAAATGATCTGATATACATTTTTGGGGAACAGCTGATAATTTATCCTGTGGACCAATTGCACTTTGAACCCATTCCCTCCTCAGGGGCAGTTATGGGAATCTCAGCACTTCTAAAAATGCCTATTGGGTGTTGTCCTCATTTAGTTTTATATCATTCACAGCAAGGTCATTAATTGATCTATGACTTGATAGACGATAGTTATCATGCGATGCTAGTTCAACAACAGGCGAGTTCAGACGGTTCAGACATTGTTAACATGAACCTTGTCGTCGATAGAACACTCGATAGCCCAAGATCACTAAATCTTGTGTTGAAATCTCCAACCCAAACTCTCTGTTTCCCTTCTGATTTGTGACAGCTGTTTATTTCCCCACTAAGAGCCTTGGCTGCAGCGTTGTAATGTTGAGCCAAAAGAACCGGAAAATAAATCACGATCCCTGGGATCATTTATAATCATAACAAACAAAAATCAAACAGCTGCAGTTATTGTTTTGGCTTATTTGTTAAAAAGACAAAACCCTCATAGTTCAAATGAAGACTGAAAAAAGCAGTAGGTTACCGGTGCCAGTTTGAGCTGAAGGCATCTCAGCAACTTGGCTATAGAGAAGTGGTATTCATTGGTGTTTCATAAATTAAATAATGTAGTCTTGTTGATTTTACATATCTGAAACTCCGTACAAATCAATTTCCCCCTAGGGATGAATGAAGAAATTATCCATCTTACTGCTTTCTTCACTTTTGAGACAAAGTTCCTTGAGTTTCTGAGTTCTGAAAATATCAAATCAATTTGTATGCCTTTCTCCTGTAGCTGAATTCGTTTGAGCAGCTGTGCATCAACTACACCAATGAGAAGCTGCAGCAGCTGTTCAACCACACCATGTTCGTCCTGGAGCAGGAGGAGTACCAGAGGGAGGGCATCGAGTGGAGCTTCATCGACTTCGGCCTGGACCTGCAGCCCTGCATCGACCTCATCGAGAGGCCGGTCAGTATCCGTTTAGTGAGTGTGTGTGTGTGTCCTCCTGTGGTGTTGTTCTGTTGTCAATACTTGGGTCATGTTCAATGATCAGCTAACGTTTTGAAACAGAGTGAATCGGTGAGAAACAAAGTTAACTAAAACAATTAGTTTTCCGTTGATTAACTTCTTCCTGTGTCCTATTGAACACGGCCCTGTTGTGTACTGTCATCCTGCAGGCAAACCCTCCTGGTGTGCTGGCTCTGTTGGATGAAGAGTGCTGGTTCCCCAAGGCCACAGACAAGACGTTCATAGACAAGCTGGTCCAGGAGCAGGGCACCCACCCCAAGTTCCAGAAGCCCAGACAGCTAAAGGACAAGGCTGACTTCTGCATCATCCACTACGCTGGCAAGGTACGGACCGGTGAGATTACATATAGGTGGTGGAGGATAGTTAAAAGGATAGTTTTCTGGGTTTTAACCCAAAGATTGGTGTAAAATCCAGAAAACTATCCCTTTAACCACTTATGGCTCTGCCATATTCCTTGAGTCAAAGATTAAACATGTACAATGCACTGGGATGTATTATAGACAGGTTTCGGGCTATTTTTATGCAATTTTTCATGTTTTCCCCGCTCGTATTGTATGCACTTACAAGTTATTTTGGATTACGTCATCTGCAGTTCTTGTAGACCCCAGAGCCCTTCCCCTGTAGTGTTCTTGGAGGCACACCAGGTCCTTTTGGAAAGCCACCGTTATAATGTGTCCTGAGGCGTTGTCTGTTCCATCACTAGCCCCTATTCTGTTCCTATCAACCTCTGACTGCTGGATCACTCTGCCGTCAGCACTCACACTTAGAGGATGATGCACTACTTCTCCTCTGTGGTATTCCAATTCTGCAGGAGTATCAGATCCTGGTTTTATGTATCAGATATGTGGGAGGAGGTTTGGGTAGTATCTCTAGCGTCCAGTCAGTGTTGCGCAATAGAGACCCTACCCTTTCCAGTACAGGCAGTCCTGCTGTACAACGTAACCGCATCTGTTCAATATTATGTAGACGTTGTCTTTAAACAACACACTTTTCTGGAATGATTTGGAGTCGTATGTCACCCCTAGTGAATCCATGAATCAATGAGAATATAAAACTAAGTCTATGTCAAAATGTGTTTAGTCAATATCAGTCTGAACTCATTAAACTCTCACCCTCGCTTTCTAACATGAATTTGGAACCTCAACAGTCATTTTGTTGTATATCACCACTCTCCAACAGTTCAATTCAATAAACTTTATTCATCCCTGAAGGGCAATTATTGCTAATATCTCTCTAGGCCTGGATGGTTCTGACCTTCTCTCCTCTTCTCAGGTGGACTACAAGGCAGATGAGTGGCTGATGAAGAACATGGACCCCCTGAATGACAACGTGGCCTCGCTGCTCAACCAGTCCACTGACAAGTTTGTGGCCGAGCTCTGGAAAGATGGTAAGTTAAGTCCCCGGCCCCTATCCTGTCCAGATGGTTAACAGAGAAGGAATGTGTTAGCACTGGCTTGATGATTAACGGTTATTATTAGTTAGATTGGTTAATTCATCATCATTTAGGCATATTTGTTTTAGGGATTGTCAATGTACAATGTTTGCTACTTATTTAGCTAACATGGTGCTAATAATAATCAATCGGACTTCAGCCTACTAACCTCTGTTTTCTGTTTTCGCCTTTTTCTGTTTTTATTTTCTCTTCTGTCAGGTGTTTTTATCCCCCTGTCTCTCTGTATCGTAGAGATACAGAACAATGTCACTAGTCTTGATGAGCCTCCAGGTGAATGTTATGAATGTAGCTGTAGAAGGTTCCATGCTTACCAGCGCAGCATGGTGTTGTCCATAGAGATAGATTAAGTTGTATGTTATGACATGCTGATGTAGGTCCATGGCTTAGCAGTGCAGCATGGTGTAGCCTACCTCCATATAGAGGCTCCCGTTGCTTCTAGGCTGCATGTCATTGTTGGTCGTCGCCTATGTCTCAGTACTAGTATAGTAGTCATTAGGCCAATGGACGGCAATACCTTTCAGCAATGCTCTTCTCCTGCTAGCGTAAGATAGTGCCTACTGAGACTAAATTGGTCTGAAAGCCCATATTGTTGTTTTTCAATTCTAATTATTTTATGATTACACCATGAAGAAAATACAATTTCTACTCCGAAATGTGTGTCATGACCGTTCTTGATTCTAGTGGGATATTGACTCTGACGTTGTATTAAGTTCCACCCTTTTGACAGATGGAAATGGTCAGAACGAACCAGCAGTGTTCATAACCCTCTCTATCAGTTCCGTATGGTCAATTCCATTTAATCCTTTTTTAAGATCGGTGTCGTTCAACAAGGAAAATGTTATCAGAGGTTGCCTGGTCGCTGGTAGAAAGACACTCTGCTCTCTGGAACAACAAGGGACTTGTGTTCTCACAGCTATGCCTTAAGGCCCACACAGACTGTGTGATTTTAGCCGTCTTATGCCACGGTTTTGCCGTCGCAGACAAAATGTCCACGTCGTGGGCATATTCTTAGGTCGTAAACAATTGTCGGACGTCTTGGCTCGTTTAGTGTGACAGGGTCTAGGTCTGACGATGAAGTACCACTACATGCGGTCGTAGGCTCTGACAAAGTTCTGGCAGTGTCAGAATTGTTTTGCCTTTATCGTGCAGCGTGGCTGGTGTTACGAGCCGATTCCAGTAACTGACCAATAGGAACACGGCCGGCACTGAGTATGCACACAATAATACGATTATTCTGAATAGTCAGATTAATATAATAGTTTGATTTAAACGTTTACATGCTTTGCAAGAAGAACGATTTCCCTAATAATTGTGGTTACATAACACATCTGGAATCAGGCTACCTGATGGGATTTTGATAAATGCACAAAATCTCCAATCAAAATAAACGTTCTACTACAGCGACCATGTTATTTTTGGGAGGCATAATTCATTCTGAGTTCGTACATACACTACCGGTCAAAATATTTAGAACACCCACTCATTCAAGGGTTAAATGTGCCTTGAATTCTAAATAAATCACAGACAGTGTCACCAGCAAAGCACCCCCACACCATAACACTTCCTCCTCCATGCTTTACGGTGGGAAATACACATGCGGAGATCATCCGTACACCCACACCGCGTCTCACAAAGACACGGCGGTTGAAACCAAAAATCTCCAATTTGGACTCCAGACCAAAGGACAAATTTCCACCGGTCTAATGTCCATTGCTCGTGTTTCTTGGCCCAAGCAAGTCTCTTCTTCTTATTGGTGTCCTTTAGTAGTGGTTTCTTTGCAGCAATTCGACCATGAAGGCCTGATTCACACAGTCTCCTCTGAACAGTTGATGTTGAGATGTGTCTGTTACTTGAACTCTGTGAAGCATTTATTTAACTTTCAAAGTTCTTGAGATTTTTCGTATTTGTTTAACACTTTTTCGTTTACTACATGATTCCATATGTGTTATTTCATAGTTTTGATATCTTCACTATTATTCTACAATGTAGAAAATAGTAAAAATAAAGAAAAACCCTTGAATGAGTAGGTGTTCTAAAACTTTTAACCGGTAGTGTATGAAGTTCGTATGTGAAAACTATTTATAAGAGGCATACTTTCAGTTTTTCAGAACTCACTTCACTCACACATAAGCATAGAGGGAGGCTTGTTCTGCTGGTGCTGGCACATGTGCATCTCAAATACACCGCTGCGGTTGACGTAGCCTACGTCGGCTGACAAAGCCTTGCATGCCAATCGCAGAATGTGACAACTGAACTGAAGCATCTGGCCAGGTGGATATCAACATTTTAATTTGGTAACAACGCACAGTGTGGCATGTAACAACCGTAAAAGACTGAATCCGACGTACAGTGTGGGAAGGCCTTTAGCCAACTCAGGCTAACTAAAGGAAAAGCTTCTGAAGTCACTGATTTCAAGAGAGGCAGAAGAAATGGTCTTGTAAACCTTGTGGTATGGTGGAAAGGTTAAGAGCACTGGGTATTCAGTATTCTGAACCAAAGCCAATGCTCCTTTCTGGAATCTGTATTTTTCTTAAGGGTTTTAATCCCATTCAAGGGCATATATTTAAGCGTAAAGGGAATTAAAGAATTGAGGCTTGACTGAGGAAAGATTAATGGCATTCATTTCCCCCTACATTTTTTCAAAGTAGCAGAGAATTGGAACCACATGTAGTATTTGGCATTTCTCTTGGCCCGATTTTACAGTACTATAGACATTGATACACAGCAGGTGTGACAGTGGTACAATATCTACAGACTGAATACTAAAAGTCTGGAACTTTGTAGGACATTCCTGGAGTTCTGTCTGCCTGAAACCCTAGGAGCCTAATAACATAGACGGAGGTTTAATTTTGATAAATTACCCATACGGACTCTTGGATAAACAATTCATCAGCATGTCTCGTATCAAATCTGTTTCATGCGACGTGTTGGAAATATGACACTTGTCAACACGCAAGCCCAGCAATAATAACACGGCAAAATGAAACAAGGCATGTAGTGAATCTGAAGTTATGGATATGATATGGCCCTGTGTGACTGACTGGCAGATTGTGCTAATATGATGAAAAAAGCCAATGTGTAGGAAATGTCCCAGGCTGTGAAATGCCTTTAGTTTCATACCAAAGAATAGGCCTTAAATGTTTTGTTATCCTAAAAGGTTGTCACTTTGAATGATTGCTGAAAGGAGTAGTATGGGAACATAGTGCTCAAGAATAGCTGCTTTTGCCGCTAGCAACCATCCCTCTCCCCTCATCAGCTGTACCTAGCCTGAAGAACGTTTAAGAATACAGACCCTGGAACCAAGCATGTATACTGTATAGCAGTATCCTCCATTAACCCCAACAGCACACATCTTTGTTGTAGCCACGGACAAAAACGGCCTAATTCAACTCATCGATGGCTTGATGGTTAGTTGACATGTTGAATCAGTTATGCTTCTCCGGGGCTACAATAAACATGTGTACTGTTGGGGGTACTGGAGGACCGGAGTTGGGAAACTACTGTATAGTGTCAGTTTTAGGTGATCCTCTTGCCCTGTCCTTGCCCCATACCCACAAATCCACAGAGGCTGCCAGTCATACCTAGAGGTCCTCATCAATCTACACCTGCAGCTGACACACATTGCTGCTGGCTGCTGCTACTCCCAGCATCCTGTGTCTGTCTGTCTGGGATCTAGCGCCCAACACCTCTCTCCAAGTCCGACCCCCCTCTTCTAACCCCTTTCTCTCTCTCCTCACCAGTGGACCGCATCGTGGGCCTGGACCAGGTGGCGGGCATGGCGGAGACAACGTTCGGAGCCACCTACAAGACCAAGAAGGGCATGTTCCGCACGGTGGGCCAGCTCTACAAGGAGTCCCTCACCAAGCTCATGGCCACCTTGAGGAACACCAACCCCAATTTCGTCCGCTGCATAATCCCTAACCACGAGAAGAGGGTGAGTAGTATATCCTGTCATACTGTACATGTCAGTCTAACCATACCAGGCCTCCTGTTTGATACTATAGCCAACAGAAGGGGTGAGACTTGAATTGATCTCTTAATTTGAGGGTTTTCTCTGAGTATAGATCGCTAGACCTTCTGTAGACATGAGGTTAATAGGTAATGGTCTTTGCTTGCACCTGTACCAGAATTTTGTATTTATTTCTAACGCTTCACTTCATCTGTCTCCCCTGTTAGGCTGGTAAGCTGGAGCCCCACCTGGTTCTGGACCAGCTGAGGTGTAATGGAGTTCTGGAGGGGATCCGTATCTGCAGACAGGGCTTCCCCAACCGCATCGTCTTCCAGGAGTTCAGACAGAGGTAACCACGGAAACAGGACACATAACTATTGTTCTTGTGTTCTTTGTCTTCACTGTGAGCAGACTAGACTGCCTTCAATTACAGTGGTCTCTGGGTATATGCCAGTGTGTTAACTCCTAATACCTCCCTATTTCCCAGGTACGAGATCCTGACCCCTAATGCCATCCCCAAGGGCTTCATGGACGGGAAACAGGCCTGTGAGAGGATGGTAAGGGCTTCCGATGTTATCTATTAACTAACACAATGAGCAAAGTGTTCAAACTCATGAACAGATTAGTTGTGTCAATGCACCACCCTGTTTTGAATGATACAATTAAAAAAATTATCTGATTTGCATGCTGATTTTCCCCATTTCCTCATATTCTCCTGTGTATTGGAACAGATCCAAGCGTTGGAACTGGACCCCAACCTGTTCCGTATCGGCCAGAGTAAGATCTTCTTCAGGACCGGAGTCCTGGCCCACCTGGAGGAGGAGAGAGACCTGAAGATCACCGATATCATCATCTACTTCCAGTCCGTCTGCCGCGGCTACCTGGCACGCAAGTGAGTCATTAGGATTAATAATTGATTCATAACTGAATTAATATTTATATAGCCAGACTTTCCAGACTTCCAGACTTCAAATCACTTTGCGTAGTAAATACCATGACTCAGCAGCCCAACTTTCTGTCCCCTATCACTCAGTCAAGTATGTTTCAATTTCCCCCTCCTTACTGAGGCATGTTCATGCCCTTTGATTTCAATGCAACTCACAAAAAATTGGGCATAAGTACAGATACATTATGAAGTTGCTAAAACTGTATAAAGTAAAAATGATACTGTATGTGTTATGGTTTGGGATACAGCTATGGTCAAGTTAAGTAGCTTAAGTAAAGCTTTGTGATATCATTCTCTTAATTATGGATCTGTTCCTCTCGTCAGGGCGTTTGCTAAGAAGCAGCAGCAGCTGAGTGCTCTGAAGGTCCTCCAGAGGAACTGTGCTGCCTACCTCAAGCTGCGCCACTGGCAGTGGTGGAGACTCTTCACCAAGGTGAGTGGGGGTTTTACTGATGGAGAGTGCTGTGAGAGCTCATCTACACCCAGTGTTAACCGGATTCATATGACCATTTCTCTCAATCCTGTTCTATTCCTTTCTTCCTTTCCTCCCTTCCCTGACCTTGATGTGACCCTCTTTTTATTTTTGTCTTCCAGGTGAAGCCTCTGCTCCAGGTGACCAGGCAGGAGGAGGAGATGCTGGCCAAAGACGAGGAGCTGGTCAAGGTGAAGGAGAGACAGAGCAAGGTGGAGGGAGAGCTGGTGGAGATGGAGAGGAAACACCAACAGGTGAGTTACTAGTTCCTGCGCCTGTCCTCCTGCTAGAGGGATGGAACCCCTTCCCATGACTCCATACATAAATCTAGCTATTCTTCTGAAATATACACCGCAGAAGATAAAACAACATATTAACTTTGATGGTTGGGTTGGATGGTTGAGTAGTGGGCTTGGGGAGATTTGACCTTTGACATTCTAATAGGATAAAGTAGCTTAGGTAAACTTTCCTCTCTATCCTGTGTGTCCCCCACAGCTCCTAGAAGAGAAGAACATCCTAGCAGAGCAGTTGCAGGCGGAGACAGAGCTGTTTGCCGAGGCGGAGGAGATGAGGGCCCGCCTGGCCGCTAAGAAGCAGGAGCTGGAGGAGATCCTCCATGACCTGGAGTCCAGAGTGGAGGAGGAGGAGGAGAGGAACCAGAGCATGCAGAACGAGAAGAAGAAGATGCAGTCCCACATCCAGGTCAGAGAGAGAGAGAGACATATATGCACATATGGATGCAGCATGGACATATGCGCGCACACACACACCATCAGTTGATGAGTTAATGTTGGTTTAGATGGAATTCATTCTAACTAAAACTATTGATAACTTCAGCATTGCAATACATATCCTTGTGCTGAAGATACTGAGTGTCTTTTGGTTGAATGTATGTATGTCCATTGTCTATCCATAGGATCTAGAGGAGCAGTTAGATGAGGAGGAGGCAGCCAGGCAGAAGCTGCAGCTGGAGAAGGTGACGGCAGAGGCCAAGATCAAGAAGATGGAGGAGGACATTCTACTGCTGGAGGACCAGAACTCCAAGTTCCTCAAGGTCAGAGAAGAGGGCACACTTAAGCCTAATCTACACCTTCTGCTTCCACACCGTCCGCTAGGTCCTCTCGAACGAAACCAGAAGACGCAATATCGAATGTCCCCTCCCAACACTGAACGCGGAACCCTGTGCGGATGGGAATGGGCGTTTGATTGAAGCGAAAGGCATAAATTAGGCATTGGAAATGTATAGAGCCCTAAAGGGTACAGGGGATAGTAGAGATGTTTAAGATGATCTTAATCTGATACAAATGATTTATTAGAGGATGCCATAAAGGGGAAGCTGAAGAACCACATGCGGCTCTGGAGCCACACGTTGTAGACCCCTGTTGTAGAAAACTGTAGAGAGGTTTAACATCTCTCCTCTCCTCTCTCCACCCAACAGGAGAAGAAGCTGCTGGACGACCGTGTGGCCGAGATGACCTCCCAGTTGACGGAGGAGGAGGAGAAGGCCAAGAACCTGGGCAAGGTCAAGAACAAGCAGGAGATGATGATGGTGGACCTGGAAGGTAAAGGCTTCACTGTGGCTCTTCCTCAATTGGTCTCCTCGATTCCTTGCTCTCTTTCTCTTCGCTGTCTTCTCAAACTGTGTTGGAGGAGAAGGTCCGAGGTCCTTCCCGTCAGGCATTCTTCTCCAATGCGTTTTGAGGATGCAGGAAAGATTAATTGTAGAACTTACTGTAACTCCCTCAACATGGCAGACATTCAACTGCATAAAATAAGATTAAGATAAGACTACAGACTAGATAAGATTAAGACTTCCCTGGTAATGTGATTCTGCATATGCATAGGAGTTCCATTTCAGTTCGGACACCACAATGACTTAATGGCTTACCAAGCTGAAGAATCTGGTTACTACTGCTTGAGTGGAATGTTGGAGTGGATACTTTTGAGTGCTGGGCCAACATCTATTTTCATTGTGTGTGTGTGTGTGTGTGTGTGTGTCTCATCAGAGCGCCTGAAGAAGGAGGAGAAGACTCGCCAGGAGCTGGAGAAGGCCAAGAGGAAGCTAGACGCTGAGACCACTGACCTCCAGGACCAGATAGCTGAGCTGCAGGCCCAGATAGAGGAGCTCAAGATCCAGCTGGCCAAGAAGGAGGAGGAGCTACAGGCCGCTCTGGCCAGGTGAGATACTCCCCTCCAGCCCCAAAATGGATTCTCAATAACGTTCATGGGTTGTGTTCAGTTTGCACGATACAAGATAAAATGTTTTGAAATGGTGAAATGAAATGAAATGGAGGATATACTATCTGAACGTTACCTGGATCAATAAGGGGAATAGATTATGAATAGATAAGGTTTGCCCACCATGCAAGCCTGTACCGCTGGGGTTGCCTGTTCCTATGGCAACCTGCCCGGCCACTACTGTGGTCCAGTAAACCATACCGGCTAAATGTGCACCCACACATATACTCCCACTTCCATCGCCTGTCCCCATAGCAACAGACCACTCTACAGGGCAAGCAGTTGAGACCCAGCGGGCACACACACACACACACACACACACACACATACATTAAAAAATACCACAGTTTACTATAGAATACTACAGTACTTACTATAGAATTCTGTAGTATACTGTAGAATACTATACTACACACTGTAGTATACCTCAATCATGTATAGTACTTACTATATAATGTTGTAGTATATTATAGAATACTATAGTAAATACTACAGTATACTACAGGCCACAAAAACACTACAGTAATTACTATAGTATATACACAGATTTGCAGGTGTTATAGCAGGTGCAGCGAAATGCTTATGTTACTAGTTCCAACAGTGCAGTAGATTGTAAATACTACAGTATACTACAGTAAAGTCTGCAAAAACACTACAGTGAATACAATATTATTTAACCATAGTATACTATAGTATTTTTTCATGTGGGCACATACCCTCATGTTGGCTTTGAACTAAATATTTAAAAGCAGCCACACAGTCCAACTGCTTAGTTGTTCAGTGGCATGGGTTCACTCTAAACTAAACCAATGCCTTCCTTAGTGCAGTGTGTGCTGGTATGCTGGCTATCATCCTCACTAGAGACACACTCACACTCCGAGGCAGATTGATAGAGATTGATGATGTGCCCCATCCAAGTCTCTCACTACATTTTCCAACGGAAAGGAAAAGGAATCTCAGCTTGGCCATGACGGATCGTCTCACACCTCAGAGGGAATTGGTCACGGAATCTGTTTGTACTTCACAGACGTTTATTTTGAATAGCTTCTGAACAGGGCTGCTGGATTAAAAGAAAACATTACCAGATATGGCTTGAAAAAGACCTGTCTCTTGGAAGAAGGAGAAAGAGTGTCAACTTGCATCCAATTATTACCTCAATCTAGCTTGATTGTTAATTTAACATTCTTTGTAATCCAAAGCCAATTCAGACCTAATTTAGTGGAAAATATTCATGAGCAACACGTTTGGTGTCACATTCAATTAAGTCCCTTTTGATTAGGGAAACTGAGACCACATACTAATGAGTTCCTCCTCTGGCTACAAGAGGTCATTGGCATGAAGGTGAAGTCCAATCATTTGGATGTGGCGAATTCAGGTGTAGACTGTAGGCCAATGGGAAACAGTCAGTCCCTAAATGACCTTCTGAAATCATCACTTGGTCATAGGCTAGTTGATTAAACCATTACACTTAGGCTAAAGTATTTCAGTTGGAATTCTATGAATGTTTATAATTGTAGGGCTATTGTATTACCAAAGTCTGGACAGTTGCTATTTGACTATAATGACTCATTAGTAGCTATTATATTGTTATCCATGGTTTCATCAGTGTGTAATACCTAATTGGACATGGAGTCATTATTTGGTCCTGGCAAAGGGACAGGCCTCTTCAGAAGCTGTAACACAGGAATGTCTAAGGAATGCAGGCAGGACTCAGGAGTCAAATCAAGGTGTATTGGTTACGTACACAGATTTGCAGGTGTTATAGCAGGTGCAGCGAAATGCTTATGTTACTAGCTCCAACAGTGCAGTAGAATGTCTTACAAAAACAATACAAATACACAAATAATCAAAAATCAAATCAAGAAATGACAGAACGAATCCAATTAACAATCCAGAGTAGATATATTAGAGTGAGCATGTGTCAGAATCCAGAATAATAGTAATAGTTTAATCTAGCCTGACTGCTAGCAAGAACACATATTCAATCTCATTATGGCTTCGCTCTCAATGGCATTTCTACTGACAGAGAAAGGCACAGACGGACACATTCAAGAAACTCACTTCTCAGACACACACACAAACACACACGGCAGGCTGACTAACACACACTGGTCCTCCATGAGCTCACCCGCTGTAAGGTCGATCACACTGCCACCCTGTGTTCACTGGGGTTTTGTTACCAGACTGCAGTCTCACTTGCTAGGGCCTGTATGATTTTGAAATGATCAGACATTTTGGGGGATTTAGAGAATGTGTAGTGATTTTATGTACCAGTTTTGTGTTTCCATGGTTTTACCCAAAATGATCCTAACATTTGGATATCTCTGGTACTGTCAAAGTACTGCTCAGATGAACGCCCCACAGTTAACATGATTTCTCACCTCTTCATTCAAATGGAATGTATCCTGGCATTAGCTAACTAGTCTAATGATTTCCATGTTGATTTTGCTAATGGTTTGTTGTGTGTGTGTGTGTACCAGGGGTGATGACGAGGCGGCCCAGAAGAACAACGCCCTGAAAGCTGTGCGGGAGCTGCAGGCCCAGCTGTCAGAGCTGCAGGAGGACCTGGAGTCAGAGAAGGTGTCCAGGAACAAGGCCGAGAAACTCAAGAGGGACCTCAGTGAGGAGCTGGAGGCTCTGAAGACTGAGCTGGAGGACACTCTGGATACCACCGCCGCCCAGCAGGAGCTCAGGTACTTGAACACTGCTTGTCAAGCCTCAGATGTACTGCTCTCTGCTGCGGTGATACGTTTATATGTTTACTGTAGTCCCAATATGTTTATTCAGTGCTTTTAGAAATTGATAAAGAACCATTGTAGGGTCGCACTGAAAAAGTGGCACTGTCATAGTTTAGCAAAGTACCTGCGTGTGTATCTGTATGGGGGCTATGGAGAGACACAGCCCCTCAGTGAGGTGTCTTTTATGGGTCTACCTTCCTAACCCCCCTCTCCTCTCCTTCTCTCCTCTCAGGACCAAGCGAGAGCAGGAGGTGGCTGAGCTGAAGAAGGCCATCGACGAGGAGACCAAGAACCACGAGTCTCAGGTCCAGGAGATGAGACAGAGACACTCCACCGCCCTGGAAGAGCTGTCTGAGAATTTGGAGCAAGCCAAGAGGGTGGGTCTATAATCAGAGACAATACACCTGTCAATCATCTAATAACATATCTCATTACATGTTTAGCAGGCCAAGAGGCTAGGTCCACCATCAGACATGACACCTACCAACCATAACGTCATTATACAGTAGTAACACTACATACATGTTTAGCAGGTCAAGAGGGTGGATCTCCTCCAATGATGTATATAAACCCTGGATTGTTGACACTATGAATTGGCCATTGAGAGGCTTTGAAGCCAGCGGTCAGCCATATTGACAATCCCCAGTAGGAGCAGTCCTCCATAGGAATTAATGGAATTCTACAGTATTTAAATTAAATGTTTCAAGGACAGAATTACATGTATTTAAGTATGTATGTGTTGTCATGGGGACAGTAACATTAGTAATCTCTAAAAAGTATACTACGTGTTTTTATATTTAATTTACATTTTTTATGTTTAGCTCATAATATAATGTAAAGGTATGCATTAAGGTGTCTGTAATAGAATAAACGTGGCAAACACGAATGTAGACATTAATAAATGCATTTCTATAGCTTCCAAAATATTATTTTTTACAACGGTGGGGGAGTGCCAAGATGGCGGGAAGGTGGCTTCAACACAGCGCCCTCTATCAGTCATCTAGTGTATATATAAATCATTGGTCGCCACCTGAGAAAATACACCTGTCAACATAACGTCATCTCATACAGTAGTAACACTACACTATCACTACTTTGCTAAGCAGGCCAAGAGGGTGGGCCTACCCAACATCCATCTCCCCAACATACCCTGTAAAATTCTCTTGTCTCCCCAATGTATAACACAACCCCTCTCTCCCCTCTTTCCGCTGCAGTTCAAGTCCAACCTGGAGAAGAACAAGTGTACCCTGGAGAGTGACAACAAGGAGCTGGTGAGCGAGGTGAAGGGGCTACAGCAGGCCAAGACAGAGTCAGAACACAAGAGGAAGAAGATGGAGGCTCAGCTGCAGGAGTTCATGGCCCGAGCCACCGAGGGAGAGAGGGCTAAAGTAGAGCTGGCCGACCGCACACACAAACTACAGGTTAGAGGGCAAGTCAATGGACCACACTGTCTGTCTGTCGTCATCACACCCCTCATAGGGGGGAGACCACTGGGACTATGTGATGAAGTCAGTTGGTTTCTCAAAATGGGAGTGAATATGTTTTCATTTGAATATGAAGAGATATTAATAGACCTTTGTCTGTAGACGGAGCTGGACACTGTCTCCGCCCTGCTGGAGGACGCTGAGAAAAAGGGAATCAAGCTGGCCAAGGATTCAGCCAGCCTGGAGAGTACTCTACAGGACACACAGGTGAGACACCATATACGTCACCAAGCCATTACATGCTCTAATAGTTTAAATCGAAGTTGGAGATATTGTAATATGCTATGGAAGCAAATGTCCTTTGATGACACTTCATTATTGGAGACACTTGTAGCTAATGGCAATCTGTAAAAACAACTTAATTTCCAGAGTCTTATTGTGTGTGTGTGTGTGTGTGTGTGTGTGTGTGTGTGTGTGTGTGTGTGTGTGTGTGTGTGTGTGTGTGTGTGTAGGAGCTGCTCCAGGAGGAGACTCGTCAGAAGCTGAACCTGAGCGGTCGTATCCGTCAACTGGAGGAGGACAAGAGCACCCTGCAGGAGCAGCAGGAGGAGGACGAGGAGGCCCGCAGGAACCTGGAGAAACAACTGGCCACGCTGCAGGCACAGGTATGGACCCCACTGGCATTCTTATTGTTTCACTGCCAATAGAAGGACAGGATTTCCGTCTGTGTACACACACCATTGATATTCATTACAGGTTGTGGTAGCTAGATTCCTTACTCACAAAATAGGTATTGGATATAAGTTGAATACAGTGTCGGGGAGAAGTAAACTACATGTAGTTCAACTAGTAATTTAAGTACATTTTGCAGTAGCTTGGTGGTAGTTGAACTAAATTCAAATCTAGGTAGTGTTGTCAGTAGTTAATTACTTTTTGCCATATAGTGGTGTAGCTAAGTACTGGAACTACACAGTACTTATTTTGCAAAAATAAAATATGGGTGAAGTAGGCCATAATTTATTATATTTTTCGGCATTAGACCTGCCTAATTTTCTCTTGGAACGTCGTTTTTGTTTAATAGGCTAAATAACACATTCTGTTAACATATGACCCCAAAGTGATCTATTCTTGCAATTTGTAGTCTATGACATTTCAGATTTAGATATACTTTTTCACAAAGTAGTTTGGATGTAGTCAACTACCTTTTTAAAGTAGGGTAGTTTTGGTGTAGCTTAACTTCTTTCAGTGTGAAGTAATTGGTAGCTTGGTAAAATATATTTTCATAGTAGCTTCCCTAACACTGGTTGAATATAATATCAGTAATGTGGTTTTTTTTAAAAGACCACTGTCATTTTCTGTATATCAAATGCTCACTCATAAAGCTGTGAACATTATTTCCTCATGTAAGAACTTCTCTACCTAGCTGTTTGAGTCTAGGAAGAAGCTGGATGAGGACGTGGGGACCCTGGAGTCTCTGGAGGAGGTGAAGAGGAAGCTGCAGAAGGACATGGAGCTGACTAGCCAGAGGCTAGAGGAGAAGGCCTCCGCCTTCGACAAGATGGAGAAGACCAAGACCCGCCTGCAGCAGGAGCTGGATGACCTCATGGTGGACCTGGACCACCAGAGGACCATCGTCTCCAACCTGGAGAAGAAGCAGAAGAAGTTCGACCAGGTATCGTATCATCTCCATTTGTCTCACCTTTCCTCTATCTCTCTTCCTTTTCTCCCTCCTCTCATCTTTGCTTATCTCCTTCTCCCCTCTCTGCAAAATAAAAGTTGACCTGCCATTAATGAAGTAATGGCTGAGTTTTTGTGATTTCTTGATTTAAATGATTGCCTTCGTTAACGTAACTTACCGGTAAGGCTTTACTTGCTATCCTTCTTCATCACAATCTTCTCCCTCTATGTTAGCTCCTGGCTGAGGAGAAGACCATCTCTGCCCGCTATGCTGAGGAGCGTGACAAGGCCGAGGCTGAGGCCAGGGAGAAGGAGACCAAGGCTCTGTCTATGGCCCGGGCTCTGGACGAGGCCCTGGAGGCCAAGGAGGAGTTTGAGAGGCTCAACAAGCAGCTGAGGACTGAGATGGAGGATTTGATGAGCTCCAAGGACGACGTGGGCAAGAGCGTACGTAGTTTAAACCCCCGTACAGGAGCTGAAGCTTCTCAAATACCTTATACAACCCAGTCCTAAACCTAGACTTGGCTCATCCAATGAGAATTGATAGAACCAAAATGTACAGGTTTTGGTAGGTTTCTTCCAATATGGCCACCAATCCACCCACCACAGAATGAGTGAGAATGCGGTGTTACTGGAGCTGATGGTGGTTCCCAAACTTTGTTGGAGACCTTACACACATAAAGCTTTCTGAAAGAACGCTGTCTACCCACCTCAGAATGTTGCTTTGAGTGAGAATTTGTTTGACTAATCCTATGGGATAGCTTCCTTATGACAGTTTAGACTCAGAAAGAGATGTTGTTGCTAACCAGTCTCTCTACGTCCCCCTGTGTGTAGGTCCATGAGCTGGAGAAGTCGAAGCGCACCCTGGAGCAGCAGGTGGAGGAGATGAGGACCCAGCTGGAGGAGCTGGAGGACGAGCTGCAGGCCACGGAGGACGGCAAGCTGCGTCTGGAGGTCAACATGCAGGCCATGAAGGCCCAGTTTGACAGGGACCTGCAGGCCAGAGACGAACAGAACGAGGAGAAGAAGAGGACGCTGGTCAAACAGGTACAGAGGCAAGCAGAGAGGACCCTTTTTGGGGAGTAACATGCACACCTCCAATAGAAACTCAGGTGTTTGATTTAGCTAGGCCAACAGCTCGGAGAAAATAATCACCACCTTATTATATGGCCCTTCAGGACTAAAACTTTAACTTATGGACTCATTGTGGACTCCCCATCTATCTTCACCCTAACTGTTATTGTATCCGAGCAAGATAGAACCCAAACTTCACTAGGTTTCATCACTTACTTGGTGTTTTCAACCCTCTCTGCAATATCTTGTTGTCTGACCCCTTCCCCAGGTTCGTGAGATGGAGGCAGAGCTGGAGGATGAGAGGAAGCAGAGAGCCCTGGCTGTGGCGGCTAAGAAGAAGCTGGAGATGGACCTCAAGGACCTGGAGGGGCAGATAGAAGCATCCAACAAGGCCAGAGATGAAGCCATCAAACAGCTCAGAAAACTACAGGTGAGACTTCATACAGGATTTGGGTTTGCATGTCCATCCTCAAATTGTGTTGTTGAGCTATTAATAGATTATAAATAGTGTTGCAAAATTCTGGTAACTTTCCCAGAATTCCAAGAATCTTCCAACCAGGAATTCTGGGAAGTTTGGGAAAGTTACCAGAATTTTGCGACCCGAAAATGTTAATATTTTTTGCCTGATTAATTAGGAACTCCTGGTTGTCTGATCTCTGATAATCAGCAATATTATTTATTACACCTGTATCCTTTTATCAATAAAATGGACCGGTAGCCTCTACAGGTATGGTATCTGTGCCTGTCTGTCCACCAACTACATACCTGTCCTGTGTAGTCAGCTTTAATGTAGCCTAGATTAGAATTATGTTGTGGAAAATAACCACTATACTTTATTACAAATAAGGTCTTACAGAGTTTTTGTTGCATCAAGAAAATGACTTTATTAAAGTTTCAACAAAAGCCGATACCCGTCTGCAGAGTGGCACACCCCCTTACGGTCTCCCTCCATCTTATATAGTCCTCTTCCTTTTTCCCGCTCTTTTATTGCTCCGCCCACTTCCTTTGTCTCTGAGAGCGGCTAAACTCAACTTTCATTAAGTTCAGAGTACTACAATCAATCAATCATTATCTTGCAAAAACACTCATGTTTAGTTTAAACTCTGTTCAACCCTGGCTCTTTTCACTGTGTTTGAAGACAAAAACAAACGTCCCAAGCCCGTTTCAGTCTTTGATATGATAAGACAACCATGGATCTAAGTAAGAGCAAGCAATCTGACCCTAGGGCAGATTCCCTCTCTACTCACCCACACAGTGAAATTAAATGACCCAATACAATTCCTGGCCCAGTAACAAAGAATTCTAACTTTATGCTCTTGATTAACCCAGTTCTACCTCATAGTCCATTAAACTATACAGTTCATTAATAATAATTCACCACAATATGCCCAGCACTACCAACGTCTGTATTCAGATTACATCCCTGATGCTGTAAACTCTAGTTGTCCCAGTTGGTCTGGTCTCATTTGTAGCTTCCCGCTGGCCTTACACTATTATATTCAGTATAGCTGCGGGGTTGGGGTCGATTCCATTTCAATTCAATTCGGGAAGAAAAACTGAATTTCAAAAAATGTCTGATAGGCTGCGTTTACACAGGCAGCCCAATGATGGGCAACAGATTGATCTGATTGGTCAAAAGACCAATTAGTGGCGAAAAATATCCGAATTGGGCTGCCTGTGTAAATGCTGCCATAGAGGAGCATTGAGGAAATGGAGTTCATCCCTAACCCTGTATAGTTGCCTCAGACAGTTGGTCTTACTCTTTGTCTTGCTGCTGCCACCTGCAGGCCCAGATGAAGGACTACCAGAGGGAGCTGGAGGAGGCCAGAGCATCCCGTGACGAGATCTTTGCCCAGTCTAAGGAGAACGAGAAGAAACTCAAGGGCCTGGAAGCTGAGATCCTACAGCTGCAGGAGGACCTGGCGGCTTCAGAGAGGGCCCGTAGACACGCTGAGCAGGAGAGAGACGAGCTGGCCGACGAGATCTCAAATAGCACCTCTGGAAAGTGAGTAGCTACATTTTCCTGATTAATGATCAAATTCAAGCATGATCTTTTACAGATTTAATGGTGCAATATGCAGAAATCACTGGTTGCTCAAATTTTAATAGTTTGCCTAATTTCAGTTTATGTGACAAAACAAGCAATGTATAGTGTAGAGAATCATTGTACTATCTACTATCTATCCAAAATCTTGTATTTTCAGCTGTTTGAAGCTGGTGTACAAAACTGAAAGTAAAAGACGCAAAAAACGAGGCTGAGAATGGGAAGCATAGAAATAGCACACATAGAACAGATCTACCGCTTCTTAGACTTACTTTCAATGAGAATGACAGACCTATAACTCACATTTCTATCTGAATTTGGTCAGGTCGCCCAAAAAGTTAGATATTGCAGCTTTATGCTGTGTTCTGTACCAACCACATCACTGAATCATGCATTTGTTTGTGTCAGGTCGGCCCTGCTGGATGAGAAGAGGAGGCTGGAGGCCCGCATCTCGCAGCTGGAGGAGGAACTAGAGGAGGAACAGAGCAACATGGAGCTGCTCAACGACCGCTTCCGCAAGACCACCATGCAGGTAGAGTACAACTCTCACATTGTCAAACACATACACACAGATCATGCAGGTACAAAACAGGTAAAACTCTCCTTAAACCGGCATTGTCTCTTGACGTTTTGAGGAGGAGGTCGGACAAGAGGAAAGTACTTTTGAGATTCACTCATACACAGAGACGATTCCTGGACCATAGAATGTACTCTCTCTGTTGGCTGGAGAGTACTCTCTCTGTGGCCTGGAGAGTACTCTCTCTGTGGCCTAGAGAGTACTCTCTCTGTGGCCTGGAGAGTACTCTCTCTGTGGCCTAGAGAGTACTCTCTCTGTGGCCTGGAGAGTAGTCTATTATAGACTCCAATTACAAGTACCTCACCAGACTACTTTCTGGGACCCACAGCTAACGGTTTTATATAGAGATGGACAAAGAGTCACCGTCTCTCCCTTCATCCCCATTTCTCTCCCAAGGTGGACACCCTGAACACGGAGCTGACTGGGGAGCGCAGCGCGGCCCAGAAGAGTGAGAACGCCCGTCAAGGGATGGAGAGGCAGAACAAGGAGCTGAAGGCCAAGCTGGGAGAGCTGGAGGGGGCAGTCAAGTCCAAGTTCAAGGCTGCCATCACCGCCCTGGACGCCAAGATAATGCAGCTTGAGGAGCAACTGGAGCAGGAGGCCAAGTGAGAAGCCTTCTATACCTGATATACTGTACTAAATAGACATCATAATGGGGGTCAGAGTTTAAAGATGGGAGGTCACCTAGAATTAAATGTAGGCTCGAATAGGTGGTCTCTAGCTCATACACTCATTGTAATGATTTACCCCTACTCGATAGACCGCTAGAGGTAGGAGTTTCCCCTAACCACAGATCTAGAATCAGATTACAAACTACTCAAAATCTGGACCTTTAAAGCCCCAGTGCAGTCAAAAACGTGATTTTCCTATGCTGTGTATATATATTTCCACACTGAGGTTGGAGTAATACTGTGAAATTGTGAAAATGATAGTAATGCTCATTTAGTATAAAGACAGCCTGAAATTTCAGCCTGTTTGGTGGGATGGAGTTTTGGCCTGCCTGGTAACATCACCAGATGGTAAATGAGTTAATAGACCAATAAGAAAGAGTTCCAAACTTCTCTGCCAATAACAGCTAGTATTCCCCTCCCCACTCAGACCACTCCCTGACAGTCCTAGCAAATTTCTTGCTTGAGAAATTGCTCTTTGCTAAGAAGTAATTTTTGTTTCGTTTTTGACCATTTTAATTGAAAACAATCACAGGAAGGTACTTTATTGTTACCCAGAAATAATTTGATATTGAGATAAATACAACTGCATTGGACCTTTAACATTAGGGGGCTGAAAATATATGAGGTTGCCAAGAGTGGAATATTTTACTGCATCCTGATGCAAATGTATGTTCCCATCAGATATGAGTCAGTCAGGGTGACACTATTTACACACTTTCCCGTTATCACTTTTTCCTACAAGGGAGAGGGCAGCAGCCAATAAGATCGTCCGACGCACGGAGAAGAAGCTGAAAGAGGTGGTGATTCAGGTGGAGGACGAGCGTCGCCATGCCGACCAGTACAAGGAGCAGGTGAGTGGTCATCTTGGGTCCACAGTGAACCGGGAACAATCTGTTCTGACATTTAGAAAGGGTGAGTAAAAGGCCATGTTAGCAACGAATTCACTATAATCGGAGTGTCTCTGTGTCATCTGTGCTGAACCCCTCTCTCTCCTCTTCCCACCCAACGCTCTTCTGTAGCTTTGGTTCTCTCTCAATTCTTCTCTGTCCCAAACTTTCGTCTCCTTTCTCCATCCTTGTTTTTCCAGTTTCTATCAACTTTTGCCCTTCGTCTCTCTCTCTCTCTCTCTCTCTCTCTCTCTCTCTCTCTCTCTCTCTCTCTCTCTCTCTCTCTCTCTCTCTCTCTCTCTCTCTCTCTCTCTCTCTCTCTCTCTCTCTCTCTCAATTCAATTTCAATTTAAGGGCTTTATTGGCATGGGAAACGTGTGTTAACATTGCCAAAGCAAGTGAAGTAGATAGTAAACAAAAGTTAAATAAACAATAAATATTAACAGTAAACATTACACTCAGAAGTTTCAAAAGAATAAAGACATTTCAAATGTCATATTATGTATATATACAGTGTTGTAACAATGTGCAAATAGTTACAGTACAAATGGGAAAATAAATAAACATAAATATGGGTTGTATTTACAATGGTGTTTGTTCTTCACTGGTTGCCCTTTTCTTGTGGCAACAGGTCACAAATCTTGCAGCTGTAATGGCACACTGTGGTTTTTCACCCAGTAGATAAGGGAGTTTATCAAAATTGGGTTTGTTTTCGAATTATTTGTGGATCGCTGTAATCTGAGGGAAATATGTGTCTCTAATATGGTCATACATTTGGCAGGAGGTTAGGAAGTGCAGCTCAGTTTCCACCTCATTTTGTGGGCAGTGTGCACATAGCCTGTCTTCTCTTGAGAGCCAGGTCTGCCTACGGCGGCCTTTCTCAATAGCAAGGCTATGCTCACTGAGTCTGTACATAGTCAAAGCTTTCCTTAAGTTTGGGTCAGTCACAGTGGTCAGGTATTCTGCCACTGTGTACTCTCTGTTTAGGGCCAAATAGCATTCTAGTTTGCTCTGTTTTTTTGTTTGTTCTTTCCTATGTGTCAAGTAATTCTCTTTTTGTTTTCTCATGATTTGGTTGGGTCTAGTTGTGTTGTTGTTGTTGTTGTCCTGGGGCTGTGTGGGGTCTGTTTGTGTTTGTGAACAGAGCCCCAGGACAAGCTTACTTAGGGGACTCTTCTCCAAGTTCATCTCTCTGTAGGTGATGGCTTTGTTATGGAAGGTTTGGGAATCGCTTCCTTTTAAGTGGTTATAGAATTTAGCGGCTCTTTTCTGGATTTTTATAATTAGCGGGTATTGGCCTAATTCTGCTCTGCATGCATTATTTGGTGTTTTACGTTGTACACGGAGGATGTTTTTGCAGAATTCTGCATGCAGAGTCTCAATTTGGTGTTTGTCCCATTTTGTGAATTCTTGGTTGGTGAGCGGACCCCAGACCTCAGAACCATAAAGGGCAATGGGTTCTATAACTGATTCAAGTATTTTTAGCCAGATCCTAATTGGTATGTCAAATGTTATGTTCCTTTTGATGGCATAGAAGGCCCTTCTTGCCTTGTCTCTCAGATCGTTCACAGCTTTGTGGAAGTTACCTGTGGCGCTGATGTTTAGGCCGAGGTATGTATAGTTTTTTGTGTGCGCTAGGGCAACGGTGTCTAGATGGAATTTGTATTTGTGGTCCTGGCAACTGGACCTTTTTTGGAACACCATTATTTTTGTCTTACTGAGATTTACTGTCAGGGCCCAGGTCTGACAGAATCTGTGCAGAAGATCTAGGTGCTGCTGTAGGCCCTCCTTGGTTGGTGACAGAAGCACCAGATCATCAGCAAACAGAAGACATTTGACTTCAGATTCTAGTAGGGTGAGGCCGGGTGCTGCAGACTGTTCTAGTGCCCTCGCCAATTCGTTTATATATATATTGAAGAGGGTGGGGCTTAAACTGCATCCCTGTCTCACCCCACGGCCCTGTGGAAAGAAATGTGTGTGTTTTTTGCCAATTTTAACCGCACACTTGTTGTTTGTGTACATGGATTTTATAATGTTGTATGTTTTTCCCCCAACCCCTCTTTCCATCAATTTGTATAGCAGACCCTCATGCCAAATTAAGTCAAAAGCTTTTTTGAAATCAACAAAGCATGAGAAGACTTTGCCTTTGTTTTGGTTTGTTTGTTGTCAATTAGGGTGTGCAGGGTGAATACGTGGTCTGTCGTATGGTAATTTGGTAAAAAGCCAATTTGACATTTGCTCAGTACATTGTTTTCACTGAGGAAATGAACTAGTCTGCTGTTAATGATAATGCAGAGGATTTTCCCAAGGTTGCTGTTGACGCATATCCCACGGTAGTTATTGGGGTCAAATTTGTCTCCACTTTTGTGGATTGGGGTGATCAGTCCTTGGTTCCAAATATTGGGGAAGATGCCAGAGCTAAGGATGATGTTAAAGAGTTTAAGTATAGCTAATTGAAATTTGTGGTCTGTATATTTTATCATTTAATTGAGGATACCATCAACACCACAGGACTTTTTGGGGTTGGAGGGTTTGTATTTTGTCCTGTAGTTCATTCAATGTAATTGGAGAATCCAGTGGGTTCTGGTAGTCTTTTCTAGTTGATTTTAAGTTTGGGATTTGATCATGATATTTTTTTGCGGGGGAGGAAAGGGGAAAAAAATTGGGGAGCCCCGGGGGGTTTTTTCCCCATTCATTTTTTTCCGTTTTGGGTTTGGTTAGCTTTCTCTTGGGGTTTGGTTTTGGGTTTTTATTTTTTCCTTTTTCCGGAAAATTTTTTGGGCCTTTTTTTTCTTTCAATTTTTCCGGGGTTTTCCCGGTTTTTTTGTGCTATTCCTTTTTCTTCCCCGTTTTTTTTTTTTTCCTTTTTGTTTTCTTAATTTCCCCATTTTTGGGGGTTTAAACTTTTTCTCGGTTTTTTGGGTTTTTCTTGTTTTTTGGTTTGGAAGGGTTTTTCCCCAAATTTTCCTTTTTCCTTTTAGGGTTTTTTTGCATTTTTCCTGCCCCTGTTTTTTTTTTTTTATTTATTTTTTTTGGTTTATTTTTTAAGGATTTTTTTGGTTTTGGGAAATTGGGGGAGGGGGAAAATGTTTGTGACTCTCTGTAGTTATTGGGGAATCCAGTGGGGGTAGTGGTTAATATTGAAGATTGAGTTAAATGTTTTGTTTATTTTATGGGCCAAAAGAGGAGAAGGTTTACCCATAAATGTCGTGGAAATACTCTTGGGTGGTTGTTGTTTAGATAGTTGTCTCCAATTTTCCCAGAAGTGGTTAGAGTCTATGGATTCTTCAATTACATTGAGCTGATTTCTGACATGCTGTTCCTTCTTTTTCCGTAGTGTATTTCTGTATTGTTTTAGTGATTCACCATAGTGAAGGCGTAGGCTCAGGTTTTCTGGGTCTCTATGTTTTTGGTTGGATAGGTTTCTCAATTTCTTTCTTAGGTTTTTGCATTCTTCATCAAACCATTTATCACTGTTATTACTTTTCTTTGGTTTTCTGTTAGAGATTTTTAGATTTGATAGGGAAGCTGAGAGGTCAAATATACTGTTTAGGTTTTCTACTGCCAAGTTTACACCTTCACTATTACAGTGGAACATTTTGTCCAGGAAGTTGTCTAGAATGGATTGAATTTGTTGTTTCCTAATTGTTTTTTGGTAGGTTTCAACACTACTTTCCTTCCATCTATAGCATTTCTTAATATTATTCAGTTCCTTTGGCTGTGATGCCTCATGATTGAGTATTGCTCTGTTCAAGAAGACTGTGATTTTGCTGTGGTCTGATAGGGGTGTCAGTGGGCTGACTGAACGCTCTGAGAGACTCTGGGTTGAGGTCAGTGATAAAGTAGTCTACAGTACTACTGCCAAGAGATGAGCTATAGGTGTACCTACCATAGGAGTCCCCTCGAAGCCTACCATTGACTATGTACATACCCAGTGTGCGACAGAGCTGCAGGAGTCGTGACCCGTTTTTGTTGGTTATGTTGTCGTAGTTGTGCCTAGGGGGGCATATGGGGGAGGGAATGCTGTCACCTCCAGGTAGGTGTTTGTCCCCCTGTGTGCTGAGGGTGTCAGGTTCTTGTCCAGTTCTGGCATTTAGGTCGCCACAGACTAGTACATGTCCCTGGGTCTGGAAATGATTGATTTGCCCCTCCAGGATGGAGAAACTGTCTTCATTAAAGTATGGGGATTCTAGTGGGGGGATATAGGTAGCACACAGGAGGAAATTTTTCTCAGTTGAGATAATTTCCTTTTGAATTTCTAACCAAATGTAAAATGTTCCTGTTTTGATTAATTTAATAGAGTGAGTTAGGTCTGCTCTATACCAAATTAGCATACCCCCTGAGTCCCTTCCCTGTTTCACACCTGGTAGTTTGGTGGATGGGACTACCAGCTCTCTGTAACCTAGAGGGCAACCAGTGGGTCCGTCTCCTCTATACCATGTTTCTTGTAGGATGACAATGTCTGTATTTCCGATTTCTTTGGTGAAGTCCAGATTCTCTCTCTCTCTCTCTCTCTCTCTCTCTCTCTCTCTCTCTCTATCCCTCTCTTGCTATCCCTCTCTTGCTATCCCTCTCTTGCTATCTCTCTCTCTCTCTCTCTCTCTCTCTCTCTCTCTCTCTCTCTCTCTCTCTCTCGCACTTGCAGTGTTTTCATTTTGAATTGGCCCATGAATTTGCTATGTAAATACGTTGAATTGTGCCAATAAAATTCAAATTCTCCCCGTCAGATGGAGAAGGCCAACTCTCGTATGAAGCAGCTGAAGCGTCAGCTGGAGGAGGCTGAGGAGGAGGCTACCAGGGCCAACGCCTCCCGTAGGAAACTACAGAGGGAGCTGGACGACGCCACCGAAGCCAGCGAGGGCCTGAACCGCGAGGTCAACACACTCAAGAACCGCCTGAGGTATAGCCTCTCATAACACGCTGTATATACACTTCACATACTGTAGTTATTTATGCCTGTCGGCATTCCCTCTGACAGTTTCTTTAAAACAAAGAAGAAGACATTCATTGTTATCACTGCCCATACATGTTACATTTACATTTACATTTTAGTCATTTAGCAGACGCTCTTATCCAGAGCGACTTACAGTTAGTGAATAAATTTTTATGTTCATCAACGTGCCTATAGATGCAACAGGACACACACACTGACATAGATCTGTGGGTGTGATAAATAACCATGTATGTATTTGCCTGTCCTCCTCAGGCGTGGAGGCCCCATCAGCTTCTCGTCTAGCCGTTCAGGCCGCAGCCGGCAGCTTCAGATCGACGGAGCCTCCGTGGACAATTCTGATGATGACGCCGACAGCCGCTCCAGCGACCACAACGACACGCAAGCCTCCAACCAGACTGAATAGACGCACCCTGCTAATCCTACCAACCCTATCGATTAGCCTGTCTGGCATCATGGTGACAACAACACTTCAGCCTCTCCATCTGTCCCTGTCCACGAGTCAACAGCAGGGAGAACCAGGGTTGTGTTCATTAGACACCAAAACAGAAGAAAACAGTCCGAAACAGGGAGGGACTACCTGGACTTGTCCAATAAAAACCGCTTGTTTTCATTTTCCGTTGAAAGACGTTTTCAAATGTTTTGCTACGGTGTGTTCTAATGATTACGACCCAGACCACCCACCCCCTCAGAAATGCTCTCTTCCTGGGGATGACAAAACAATTACTCCCACTTGGGCGGTTTACTCTGCCTTACTCTAACATTACTCTAACATTATTCCTACTCTACTCTGGCTAGCTGCTCGGCCCGGCGAGTGTCCCAACGATCTGAAGCATCTTAATATAGTCCTCCCTAGGCGTGGAATTATGTGCTCCGCTTAAATGAATATGTAAACTTATGTACAAGTGCTTTTTACTTATGAACTATGCGTATGTGCGTGTGTGTACATATGAGTATGTATGGTATGTGTATCCACCTACACGCCAAACTGCAAGGAAAGGAGTGAAACTCGGTAACGTTTTGTCGTCCTCCTCACACATGAAACAAAACATTGTCTTGTAATACAAGTGTGTTACCAAATCTAAAGCCATCATCTCTCCCCTAGCTTAAAGCAGGCCTAACAAAACTGTCCTCTCCAATGATAGTCCTACTCAACGATAGGGCAGAGGTCAATGGCCAGCCAATGGACTGCCTCCGCTTCTCTCATTGCATGAGTCTCTTCCTGATGTACAGACTATTATTCCGCTTCTAAACACTACTGTGAAACAAGATGGTGGATTCACACAATCTGACCGGTTCTGGAAGAAAACAATGGAATGGAAAGAATGTTTTAATTGTGAAAAGCTTTTATCCACTTGCTACAGCATCTTGTCACAACACTTTAAAAACAATTGGTAACTGACTTCTTATAGGAATCGCATAGGTCATGATTGACGTTTTTTGTTGTTGTATTTTGACCAATTGGAACACTATTATTTTTCCTGTTGTTCAGGAAGAAGGGTTGAAAGCAGAGAAGTGTGGTATGCTTAGATAGATGGTCGCTGGCATACGTATCACAGAGAATCGCTGGAAACTGCACGTAACTGCACAATGAGTATTCATATGCCCCTGTAACTGGAGCCAGGAAACCCCAAGCTTCTCTCTGAGTGGTCACATGATGTACAGTACAGCCCCTTAGTCCAACACTAATGGTGTGAGCTTCGATTGAACGTGTAGTTTGACTAGGTAAAGCCTACCGCTCAGAGCAAGGGAGGCAGCCATCTCACTGTTTGTGCCATGGTTTGGTAGTACAGTAGGACCGCCAACTCTCTTATAATGCGCTGACACACCAACTACCAAGCACTTAGTATTCCTAGATATGACAGCCTTCTACTGGGGATAGCATCTCAAAGCTCTAAAACGATTAAGCCACTACAACCATAGAGATATATCTCTGTGACTACATCTAGTCATGTGGACTCTTAACATAGCAGAATGTCCATATCCATCAGCGCTCTCTATTCTTCCTTTAGCATCTCTGTTCAGTGTTCAAAAAAAGAGGGTAATGTATGGAAACTGCCACTTTCATTGACTTTTACTCCAATGTTAGCTCAGCTGTAATGACATGTTTCTTTAAAGTGCCTTAGACACTAGAAAGAGCATTAGTGGGTAATGCATGGTGTGCTCCTGTATTAAAAAGAAAGACGTGTACATGCTGGATGTATTACACACAAACCTAACGAGGCAAACCTGGTGAAAGGAAAACAAAACACTACTTTTTCTTCTTCTAACCCTTTGTCTTGTGTATTTTTGCTGTGCGTCATATCATACCCAGTGCGTACCTTCTCTCCCGTTCATACACTGGTAGTAATCTCTCCATAGGTAGTGTGTGTGTGTGTGTGGGGGTCAGAAATCAGTGTTACTATTAACTATGTGAGATGTGGAGCCTTCTGCTCCCCCTTCAAGAGCAGAATGTGATTTCATTTGGTTAAAAGCTTTAACATCCATGATGTAGTTTTACTGGTGTTTGTATTATTATTATTCTCAGACTGGCTGTTGACGACCAGGCTTTCATTCATCTGCAAATACCCCCCGCCATTTTATTTCTTGTATGCCTCCGGTATTTCTAGACTACAGTGATTTTTTGTAAAAGAAAATAAAACATATTCATTGTAGAAATAATGTGATTGCAGTTTGTCCTGAGCGGAGGAGCCCCTAGAGACTTTCAATTCAATTCAAAAACTACTCTTGGATTCGAACCAGGGACCTGCTGCATGGGAACCCAAATGTTATACTCTCCACCATGTTGGGGGTATGCAACATCTTCGGCATAACCAGACATGTGTTGTCGGGTGGGCCTGCATAAATCTGGGCAGCTAACTTCTAGCAATTTTGCCATTGGGCAGAGAGGGAAATGTGCAGTTTTATAGCTCATCTCATGCTATTCTGAGAAAATGTTGCATTTTTAAAGCAAATTACAGCTCAAATATAGGTGTGTTGACTGTGATAAAGACACTGGATTATGTGATGTCTTGTTTGCTAAATGAACAAATGAAATAGGCAGTAGCATGGTGCATACAGCCATCGAAGCACAGTGGCAAATGCCTCAATGCAGTCATATTTGTTGCTTATTTGGGGTGAGGCAGTTAGTTCTTTTTGGCAACCCATCCGGTGAGAGTGAATATAAATCCAAATCTGTTCTGTTATATTTAATGAAATCTGACAAACCCAGTGCACTGCTTGCTATGAATTCTATCTGATGGTGTTTGCATATTTAGGTAAAAAGACAATGTCCTGTTTGGAACATTTGACAAGAGCAGATTTTTTGCTCAATCTGAGTGGGTGGGCCTGGGCACGAATGAACACGAATGTTGACATAATTGAGGGACTGAACAAAACATGGATTTATGACAAATGTATGAAGAAAAAAATGTGCAGCATCTTAAGGCTTTATTCAATCTGTATCGCTGAAGCGTTACAGTTTGCGCGCAATAAATGTTAAAGTAAATTCCGATTGAGCTGACAATCGGAAATTACCTTTAACGCGGGAACATTGTCTTTAAATTGTTACAAAAAAACGCTGAAACCCGCAAACGAATTGAATAGAGCCCTTACTTCCTTTAGGTGTCTCATTGTGTCTCGAGGGTGTAGTTTTTCCCTACCTTCAGAACTAGAGTAGTGTTCTTTTGAAAGACAGCTGTCACAATGGAGAACGGAAGAAAGGGACCACAAAGAAATGACTCCGGCCCTACTGAAAACCAACTGTATTTTATTCCATAATTGACACACAAAAATAATCTACAAAAGAGACCGAATTAAGTAACCAGTACAATGAAATGTAATCTTTACCCGCCCCAAAAGCACTAAAGCTTCAAAATGTCACCTCCTGCTCCAGTCACAGAAATAAACAACTTTTCACCATGACATCCTGACAGACCACAGATCGACAACAGTCATGGGTACATTTCAAAGAGAAGGTTGGTACGAACACATGCACACTGACCAAGGCACCCCATCTATATGCTAGGAAACTCATCTTTGGCGCCATTCTTGGTGCAGTTGGTCGACATTCATACTGACATTGGAAGGAGAGATGAAGGATGACAAGAGATAGACAGAGGGAAGAAAGCCAGAGGTCCCTCCCCTCTGACCTTCTCCTCCAATGGGTTTTGAGAAGAAGACTAGGAGAGGACATGAGGAGTATGCTATTGAGATCTTCCCAGATATAGGAAGAGAGTATGTAAGAACTGTTTCAAGAGAGGTATTCAGTAGGTGAGAAGGGAGAGGTCTGGGGGGGATGGGAAAAGGAGTCAGACATAGGTACACACAAACATAAACAACTCCCAGAAATACATTGACAGTTGAGTAAGAGGTTGAAAGCCAAGCGACGACTTGCACTTTTGCATTGAAGCATTTATAGTCCTGCATAGTTCTTTAATGAAACTTACAAACTAAGGCGTTTTGTTATATTGAGTTTTGACTGTGTTTGAGTTGATAAGCGGTTTTTACAAAGTAAATTAATTACAATTTATTTATTTTAAAAAAAAGTTCAAGTAGGCTACAATCTCCAATCTTTGTCCCCTCTCTCACGCTCCACTCCTCTTTCCAAAAGAGGAGTCTAGCTTTTACAGTTCAAGTTTTTTCTCCAGAAAAGGTCCAGTGTGATTATACAGCACCAAAGACACGCTGAGCAAGAGAGGGGAATACTCACTCTCAAACACACACGCGCGCGCAGACACACACACACACACACAACAGAGAAAAGGGGGATATGCAATTCGCACACACTCACACATAGCACAGACTGACCTGGAAAGAAAATACAATATATAATAATATATGTAGGTTATGTACACACACACACACATTCAATCTCACCGGCACAAAACATTTTTTTTTTTATCCCTGTGTAAATTACAAATAATTTATCAATATTAGCTATACTACCTTAACAGTCAGTTGTGGGGAGCAGAGGCGACTTTAAAACAGTACAACTCTATGGACACACTATCCCACATCGGAGACAAGTTAACAACCAACGTTACCTTTCTCAGACAGTCAAGACAACGAAAAAAAAATTAAAATGCTCAAATCTGCTTTAGACGAGAAAAAATAAAACACTGACTTAATTCAAATTAAATTACTTAGCAAACAGCGTACTCCCTCTCCTGGGTCGTTTTCATTAAGGAACGGACACACCGGTAGCGTTTGCCGGAAGAGAGCACTTAGCACCTCTGAACACAGAGTGCCAGCCATAATTTGCAAACTGATTCTACATGTAAAATTGAGCGAAAATGTTGGCAATCAGACGCCCACCGGCGGGGTGGTCCGTAAAACACACCGCGCCGAACGAACGGCAGATCGATATTCGGTGCGGTGTGTGCGCTCCGTTAGTGCACAACATAGCAAAACGATTTTGAAACGAAAACGAGTGTTCAGGCAGTCCTTCCTCGTTTCTGTTTTTTTTTCTACATTTGGTGCCTAATGAATACGACCCTGTCCTCATTCCACAGTGATAAAGGTCGGTCATGTAAACATGTTGACAAGAAAAATTAAAAAGGGAAAAGGTTTCATTATCATTCACCCCCACCCCAGGTCCATTTTATACCTAGTAATCATAAAAATACAGTTAAATTAAATTCATAAATCGTCATTGTGAGGGGGAATTGATTATTCAGGTCCATATTGAGGGGAGAGAGGCTGCTCCCCCCTGTATTACATAATTGTGTCTGTCTGTCCAATCAAAGTGATCCTAGTGGATGTCTCGAGGAGAGGCTGTGATGTCACTCCATCCTCCGTCTCTATTGGTCAGTGGGACTTCCTCTTCATGTCGCCACCCTGGCTTTGGTTCGCATCTGAGGTGGGGGGGAGGAGTCAAAACAATTTGTTACATCATGTGTAAATACATGAAGATGCAGAAACATATGAACACCTAACACAAAGGTAGGGTATGCTTCATCGACAGACAAGACATGTGCTTCTAGTGTTATCCTAGTCATGTAGTAACACAAGCATGCAGATCACCACTAACATTGAAGCAAGAAGACGCAACAGCCAAACAGTGAGTGAGAGATATCAACATGAAGCAGGGAATGACAACAGCACAAATGGAGAAAGGGAAGAGGAGGAGGGAGGTAAGGGAGGAGGAGGGAGGTAAGGGAGGAAGAGGAGTGAAGTTTACCTGAGAAAGCAAGCTGCAAGTGAGGAGGTAGAGCAGCCTGTGACCCTGACTGGAGACTCTTATACAGATCTGAGGAGAGATGGAGGGAGGGAGGGAGGGACAGAGGAGAGGAAGAAAGAGTGAGGAGGTTAAAAAGGGGAAGAATGGAGAGGGGGAAGGGGTTGAGGAGAATAAAGGTAAGAAAAGGCACATTAAATAATGAAAGCAGAATTTGAGTAAAACATCAAATAAAATAAGAAGGTGAGGGCAGATAAAAGGGGGATTAAAGAACACAGGAGTAGAGAACATAGGAGTAGAGAACATAGGAGTAGAGAACACAGGAGTAGAGAACATAGGAGTGAAGGAAGGAGAGGATGGATGGAAGGATGGATGGATGGATGGATGGATGGATGGATGGATGGATGGATGGATGGATGGATGGATGGATGGAGGGGGAGAAGGAGTGAGGGATTGGTTGAGAAAACGAGACAGGCAGGGCAAGAGGGTTACAGTGAGAAACCTGGAGCATAGGCACATTACAGCTGATTATACTTCAGTATGGATCCACACCACACCATTGACCATGAGTAACACAAACAAACTCTAAGACTAGATGAATCTCAAGGAACCACAAATTGTTTTTACTACGACTGATTTTCTTTGTCATTTGATCAAATTCATCCAATAAAATGTCATACTAATGAAGTTCTAAATTCTTTAAAGATCTTTATCACATAATGATGTACAGTACAGACTTTCTAAATGGTATTAAGAGCCCATACATTTGCATGCACGGTGCTTTGAAAGATCACAGTCTTGTGGAGCCACTGCCAGTTGGGCCCCAGTTGCCAATTACTCACCCATTAAGTCACTCTGTGAGAGGCTATATCCTGAGTTGGCGCCCGTGCCCAGGCCGCTGCCCCCCGGGGCTCCAGGAGGAGTGAAGTTGAGCAGCGAGGGGAACTGGAAGGGCAGCGAGACGGGCACCAGCCCCCCCAGCATCCCAAAGCCAAGTGGCCCGCCCAGGAGGGGACTTCCAGCTGACACCTAGAGAGAAGAGAGAGAGAGAGAGAGAGAGAAAGGAGGGATCAGGTGACTCACTTGGTGACATATAAAGTGCCTGACACAATCTCTTCTGTTCTGACTACGTGGCCAAGCCTTTGCAGAACATACTCAAAACCCTAGCGAGAAAAATGCAGTCAGTATCTAAAAGTTGCTTCTCTTGATCCTCTTTTTCACTCTTCTTGACACTTTTTCTGGTCGCCTGTGATTGGCTGACTCACCTGCGTCAGGTGTGAGGTGATGGAGGGTGTGGCCATGGTTGCCGTTGGCGCCCGACTGCCTACAGCCTTGGCTCCGCCCACGGCCCTCTGTCTCTGTCCGTGACTGGTCGAGACCATGCCGGAGGGGGAGGGGCTGTTGTCTGGGCGACTGGTGACGGGCGACATGCGCATGGGGCTGCTGTTGGAGCTTACGCTGCTAACGCTACTACTGCTAATGACAGACGGAGCCTTCTGGCTCCCCGCAAAGCTATAACTGCCCTGGCCCGACTTCACCTGACCCCCACCTTGGACACTATATGTGGGGCGGAAGCCGGCAGTCTTGGGGGACTGGTACTGGAGAGGGCTGGAGATCATTTGAGAGTGAGAGAGGAGGTTGGAAGAGGAGGAGGAAGGGGAGGGGGAGGAGGTGGGAGGAGGGGTGAGGGCGGGGGGGCGAGGGGATGGGGCGGGGGGGCGAGGGGTGGGGGCGGGGGGGCGAGGGGTGAGCTTGATGATGGGGGAGGAGTTGTTGCTGTGGGAGGACTTGGTGAGGGTGGCCTGCATGGGGGTGATGAAGTTGGACTGGTGGTGGGGCTTGGATTTACCCTGGTGGTGGGAGGGGGACTGGGAGGGTGAGGAGCCCACCGTGGAGGTGAGGTAGGAGGGTTGCTGGGGGCTCTTGGAGTTGAGCTGCTGGGGGCTCTTGGAGTTGAGCTGCTGGGGGCTCTTGGAGATGAGCTGCTGGGGGTGTGAGTGGGAGTTGGTGGCACGGGACTGAGGGGAGGAGGAGGGCATGTTACTCATCATGGCACCGCCGTTACTGCTGCTGTTGGCTTTGACACAGCTCTTCCCCAGTCCTGGTATTGCCACGCCCATGCCCAGGGCGACCTTCTGATGGGGGGGCAGGAGCGGAGAGGACGTGGGAGGGGGCCGCTGCTTGGTGGGCAGGGAGGGGGACGACGGTGGGTGGAGTTTACTCCCTCCGGTCATGCCCCCTTGCCTGTGAGTGGCGGTTGCCATGCTGACATTGTGTCTCTGAGTCTGTCCCATAGAGCCCGCCCCTTTCATCACCCCGTACACTCCGTCGGCGCCACGAGACACCAACGTGGCCCCTGCGAGCTGCATGCGAGCCGACGACGCCGTGGAAGTGGAGGGAGAGGTAGATAGAGTGGTCATAATGTTGGCCATCGATGACATCGTCACCATCGTTGACGAGTTGGCGTTTACCTTGGAAAGAGAATGTGACGTGAGAAGGGAAGACGAGGGGGAGTAGTGAGGGGTGATGGAGGGGGGGGAGGAGTTGGGGATCTGGAGAGGCGGGGGGGAAAGGGGGGAGGTGAGGGTGAGGTCAGTGACGCTGCCGTGGGGACCCAGGCCCTTGGCGGCTTGGCTAAGGAAGGTGAGGGCGTGGGAGACTGAATCCAGGGAGGGGGCACGGAGGTCCTCGTCCAGCGAGTCGGACAGGCAGATGGGCTCCGAGGGGGACGAGGAGGTCCGGCGGGCCTGGATGACGGAGGGGGTGGAGGGGACGTGGGGGAGAGAAGGGGTGGTGGCGGTGGGGAGATTGGGCCTCTGCTGGATCCATTGGCCCTCCTGGAACACAGGGACATGACAAAGGTTAGCCTTAGCCCCGCACCAGAACATTTGGAAGCACAAGTAATACCAAATAACCATCTTGTAGAAAAGGTTACAAAAGTCAATTGAGAGTGAAGAGGTGTCACTGACCTTGGCTTTAGCCCTGGGGGTGGGGACCATCCTTTTCTTGACCCTGGACAGAGAGACAAATGGTGTGTTAAGTTAACAGCCTCACAGGAATGCTAATCCTTCCGATATACTACATATTCTATCCATATCCTGTCCACATTGTCTATACATCCCATCACATACTGTATATACAGTGGGGGGAAAAAGTATTTAGTCAGCCACCAATTGTGCAAGTTCTCCCACTTAAAAAGATGAGAGAGGCCTGTAATTTTCATCATAGGTACACGTCAACTATGACAGACATGCATATCTCCTCTAGAGCAGTGATGTTTTGGGGCTGTCGCTGGGCAACACGGACTTTCAACTCCCTCCAAAGATTTTCTATGGGGTTGAGATCTGGAGACTGGCTAGGCCACTCCAGGACCTTGAAATGCTTCTTACGAAGCCACTCCTTCGTTGCCCGGGCGGTGTGTTTGGGATCATTGTCATGCTGAAAGACCCAGCCACGTTTCATCTTCAATGCCCTTGCTGATGGAAGGAGGTTTTCACTCAAAATCTCATGATACATGGCCCCATTCATTCTTTCCTTTACACGGATCAGTCGTCCTGGTCCCTTTGCAGAAAAACAACCCCAAAGCATGATGTTTCCACCCCCATGCTTCACAGTAGGTATGGTGTTCTTTGGATGCAACTCAGCATTCTTTGTCCTCCAAACACGACGAGTTGAGTTTTTACCAAAAAGTTCTATTTTGGTTTCATCTGACCATATGACATTCTCCCAATCCTCTTCTGGATCATCCAAATGCACTCTAGCAAACTTCAGACGGGCCTGGACATGTACTGGCTTAAGCAGGGGGACACGTCTGGCACTGCAGGATTTGAGTCCCTGGTGGCGTAGTGTGTTACTGATGGTAGGCTTTGTTACTTTGGTCCCAGCTCTTTGCAGGTCATTCACTAGGTCCCCCCGTGTGGTTCTGGGATTTTTGCTCACCGTTCTTGTGATCATTTTGACCCCACGGGGTGAGATCTTGCGTGGAGCCCCAGATCGAGGGAGATTATCAGTGGTCTTGTATGTCTTCCATTTCCTAATAATTGCTCCCACAGTTGATTTCTTCAAACCAAGCTGCTTACCTATTGCAGATTCAGTCTTCCCAGCCTGGTGCAGGTCTACAATTTTGTTTCTGGTGTCCTTTGACAGCTCTTTGGTCTTGGCCATAGTGGAGTTTGGAGTGTGACTGTTTGAGGTTGTGGACAGGTGTCTTTTATACTGATAACAAGTTCAAACAGGTGCCATTAATACAGGTAACGAGTGGAGGACAGATGAGCCTCTTAAAGTAGAAGTTACAGGTCTGTGAGAGCCAGAAATCTTGCTTGTTTGTAGGTGACCAAATACTTATTTTCCACCATAATTTGCAAATAAATTCATAAAAAATCCTACAATGTGATTTTCAGGATTTAATTCCTCAATTTGTCTGTCATAGTTGACGTGTACCTATGATGAAAATTACAGGCCTCTCTCATCTTTTTAAGTGGGAGAACTTGCACAATTGGTGGCTGACTAAATACTTTTTTCCCCCCACTGTATGTATACACTACCAGTCAAAAGTTTGGACACACCTACTCATTCAAGGGTTTTTCTTTATTTTTATTATTTTCTACATTGTAGAATAATAGTGAAGACATCAAAACTAGAAATAACACATATGGAATCATGTAGTAACCAAAATAGCCACCCTTTGCCTTGATGACAGCTTTGCACACTCTTGGCATTCTCTCAACCAGCTTCATGAGGTAGTCACCTGGAATGCATTTCAATTGACAGGTGTGGCTTCTTAAAAGTTAATTGGTGGAATTTCTTTCCTTCTTAATTAGTTTGAGCCAATCATTTGTGTTGTGACAAGGTAGGGGGGGGGTGGTATACAGAATTTAGCCCTATTTGGTAAAAGACCAAGTCCATATTATGGCAAGAACAGCTCAAATAAGCAAAGAGAAACGACAGTCCATCATTACTTAAAGCATGAAGGTCAGTCAATACGGAACATTTCAAGAACTTTGAAAGTTTCTTCAAGTGCAGTCGCAAAAACCATCAAGCGCTATGATGAAACTGGCTCTCATGAGGACCACCACAGGAATGAAAGACCCAGAGCTATCTCTGCTGCAGAGGATAAGTTCATTAGAGTTACCAACCTCAGAAATTGCAGCCCAAATAAATGCTTCACTGAATTCAAGTCACATCTCAACATCAACTGTTCAGAGGAGACTGTGTGAATCAGGCCATCATGGTCGAATTGCTGCAAAGAAACCACTACTAAAGGCCACCAATAAGAAGAAGAGACCTGCTTGGGCCAAGAAACACGAGCAATGGACATTAGACCGGTGGAAATGTGTCCTTTGGTTCTGGAGTCCAAATTGGAGATTTTTGGTTCCAACCGCCATATCTTTGTGAGACGCAGTGTGCGTGAACGGATGATCTCCGCATGTGTAGTTCCCACCGTAATGGAAGAGGAGGTGTTATGGTATGGGGGTGCTTTGTGGGTGACACTGTCTGTGATTTATTTAGAATTCAAGGCACACTTAACCAGCATGGCTACTACAGCATTCTGCAGCGATACGCCATCCCATCTGGTTTGGGCTTAGTGGGACTATCATTTGTTTTTCAACAGGACAATGATCCAACACACACCCAGGCTGTGTAAGGATTATTTGACCAAGAAGGAGAGTGATGGAGTGCTGCATCAGATGACCTGGCCTCCACAATCCCCCGACCTCAACCCAATTGATATGGTTTGGGATGAGTCAGACGGCAGAGTGAAGGAAAAGCAGCCAACAAGTGCTCAGCATATGTGAGAACTCCTTCAACACTATTGGAAAAGCATTCCAGGTGAAGCTGGTTGAGAGAATGCCAAGAGTGTGCAAAGCTGTCATCAAGGCAAAGGGTGGCTATTTGAAGAACCTCAACTATAAAATATATTTTGATTTGTTTAACACTTTTTCAGTAACTACATGATTCCATATGTGTTATTTCATAGTTTTGATGTCTTCACTATTATTCTACAATGTAAAAAATAGTAAAAATAAAGAAAAACCCTTGAATGAGTAGGTGTGTCCAAACTTTTGACTGGTACTGTATATATATTTATTCTCCGGACTCCGACATTGCTCGTCGTAATATTTCTTAATTCCATAATTTTACTTTTAGATGTGTGTATTGTTGTGTATCGTTAGATATTACTGAACTGTTAGGAGCACACGCATTTCGCTACACCCACAATAACATCTGCTAAATATGTGTATGCGACCAATAAAACTTGTTGTGATCTGTCAATCAGGCATATATACAATAAAAGGTATAATTGCCATTATAAAGCCAACGACATAGTTGGGAAACTATCCCAACTTATCTATAAGGTCCAACTATAGTTGAGAGAACTTACATGTTGCCAGTGAGGTGACTGTGTACAGCACGACTCTCCTTGAACAGCATCCTGGCCTGCATCCAGCCCTTGGGCCAAAGTGGTTTGACCTCGTTCTCCATGAAGGCCTTGAGGTAATCCTCCACGGAGAGAGAGCACTGAGATGACTCCAGTTCATAGCAGCTCAACTTCACACGCACCAGGTTACACAGCAGCGACCTACACACACACACGCACACACACACACACACACACAGACAGAAAAGAAGAAAGCTTACTAATCTATTGTCTTTTCAATCAATCATTTTCTGTATGACTTTGATCGAGAATTTCACTTTAGTGTCTAGGCTGGGTTACTATAAAGGCACTTTGTGACAACTGCTGATGTAAAAATGGCTTTATAAATAAGATTTGATTGAGGGCAATGGATGGGCGGTTACCTGAGCTTGTCGTCCCAGACAAACTTCTTCCGTGGGCCTATCATCCTCTTCCCTGGCTTCCCCTCGTCCTCCTCCTCTGATCCGTTCTTCTCTACCTCTCCAGGCTGCTGCCTGCTAGGGTTCAACACATACAGTGGGGGAAAAAAGTATTTAGTCAGCCACCAATTGTGCATGTTCTCCCACTTAAAAAGATGAGAGAGGCCTGTAATTTTCATCATAGGTACACGTCAACTATGACAGACAAAATGAGAAAACAAAATCCTGAAAATCACATTGTAGGATTTTTAATGAATTTATTAGCAAATTGTGGTGGAAAATAAGTATTTGGTCAATAACAAAAGTTTCTCAATACTTTGTTATATACCCTTTGTTGGCAATGACACAGGTCAAACGTTTTCTGTAAGTCTTCACAAGGTTTTCACACACTGTTGCTGGTATTTTGGCCCATTCCTCCATGCAGATCTCCTCTAGAGCAGTGATGTTTTGGGGCTGTCGCTGGGCAACACGGACTTTCAACTCCCTCCAAAGATTTTCTATGGGGTTGAGATCTGGAGACTGGCTAGGCCACTCCAGGACCTTGAAATGCTTCTTACGAAGCCACTCCTTCGTTGCCCGGGCGGTGTGTTTGGGATCATTGTCATGCTGAAAGACCCAGCCACGTTTCCTCTTCAATGCCCTTGCTGATGGAAGGAGGATTTTCACTCAAAATCTCATGATACATGGCCCCATTCATTCTTTCCTTTACACGGATCAGTCGTCCTGGTCCCTTTGCAGAAAAAGCATGATGTTTCCACCCCCATGCTTCACAGTAGGTATGGTGTTCTTTGGATGCAACTCAGCATTCTTTGTCCTCCAAACACGACGAGTTGAGTTTTTACCAAAAAGTTCTATTTTGGTTTCATCTGACCATATGACATTCTCCCAATCCTCTTCTGGATCATCTAAATGCACTCTAGCAAACTTCAGACGGGCCTGGACATGTACTGGCTTAAGCAGGGGGACACGTCTGGCACTGCAGGATTTGAGTCCCTGGCGGCGTAGTGTGTTACTGATGGTAGGCTTTGTTACTTTGGTCCCAGCTCTCTGCAGGTCATTCACTAGGTCCCCCCGTGTGGTTCTGGGATTTTTGCTCACCGTTCTTGTGATCATTTTGACCCCACGGGGTGAGATCTTGCGTGGAGCCCCAGATCGAGGGAGATTATCAGTGATTTTGTATGTCTTCCATTTCCTAATAATTGCTCCCACAGTTGATTTCTTCAAACCAAGCTGCTTACCTATTGCAGATTCAGTCTTCCCAGCCTGGTGCAGGTCTACAATTTTGTTTCTGGTGTCCTTTAACAGCTCTTTGGTCTTGGCCATAGTGGAGTTTGGAGTGTGACTGTTTGAGGTTGTGGACAGGTGTCTTTTATACTGATAACAAGTTCAAACAGGTGCCATTAATACAGGTAACGAGTGGAGGACAGAGGAGCCTCTTAAAGAAGAAGTTACAGGTCTGTGAGAGCCAGAAATCTTGCTTGTTTGTAGGTGACCAAATACTTATTTTCCACCATAATTTGCTAATAAATTCATAAAAAATCCTACAATGTGATTTTCTGGATTATTTTTTCTCAATTTGTCTGTCATAGTTGACGTGTACCTATGATGAAAATTACAGGCCTCTCTCATCTTTTTAAGTGGGAGAACTTGCACAATTGGTGGCTGACTAAATACATTTAGGTCCGGTCATACAAATGTCCTAGGTGGCAAAGATCCGGATGGATATTGTCATTTATCAGCGTAGTAACAACACCCCCCCCCCCCCCCCCCCCCCCCCCCCCCATGCAATACTAAATGTAGAAAATGTTAAAATGTAAAGTCCGTAATGGCCCCGTTCTGCGTCCGGATCCGGACCGCGGTCCACCGGTTGAGTATGGCTGCAGTATACTATTGAGTATTGTAATCTTCTTACTTGGCAGCCTTGACCATGCAGTCCATGTTGTATCGTTGGATCTGCTCGGGCATCACACTGCACACAGCCAGCTTCAGCTTCAACAGGGGCGTACGCAGACGGTCATCCTGGATGTTGATGCTAAGTTTCTTCAGGCGTTTGAGCAGAGCCTCCTTATTGCAGGGCACAAAGGCCTCCAGGTGAGAATACACCTCCCCACGTAGCCCCATCGGCTGCTCCTGCACCTGCAGCTCAATACTGGGGGGAGGAGGGGAGGGGAGGAGAGAGCGGAGGGAAGTGAGAGGAGCAACAGAGGGAATGAACAGGAGTGAGAGAAAGGGGGGATGGAGAGCGAAAGATGGCAAGCAAGGAAAGGGGATAAAGAGACAGCAAAGAATAAAACAATTTGAGAGAGAAAGATGTTGGGAGAAATGTAGAAGAGAGTGGGGGTGAAAAAGACAGGAAAAGAGATGAACAATCGACTCCGATATCAGCGGTATGACACAATCAGGGTGTAGACAGAGAGAGATTTACAACGTGTCAAAAGAATGACAAACTCACTCCAGTAGGATGTTATTCATATCGAGGGTGAAGAATTTCTTCCTTCCCTCTTGATCAAACTGACGAGAGGCCTGTGAAGAAAAGAGGTTGGTAAGCATACAAAGCTGTATTCCATGGAAATATGCACAAAAGTAAAAAGGAGCCTTCCGTGTCAGTTTCAAAATGGCTGCATCGTCATCTTGCCAGTTTTCGCTCATCTTTGATTTGTCTCTTTCTTCTCTCTCCCTTTTGGCTACCAGTTGTCTATTGCTACTCTACCTTCCTTTCATTTGTTTTGCTCTCATCCGCTCCTCCTTTCTGCTCTGCTCCACTCTAACTCTCTATGCACTTTTATCACCCTGTCAAGAAATGCATTACAAATCTTAGAAGAACTGAAACACTATTTTAAGTGATATCACCTTGATCGTGGTTTCAAAAAATGGCTGCCACACATTTCAACTGTACAAAATTCCAGGAAGTTACTCAACAATTAAATTAAGGGATGATCACATAAACATTAAATAAACAAATAAATACATCTATGATAAACAGGAAAAGCCCCATCAGCGCGACTCACCGCCCGTAGGTCCTCGATGCGCTTGATGAGGGGGGGAGGCAGGCCGTCAGGGAGCGGAGGTGGATGCAGGAGACCCCCTGAAACCCCCAGTCCCCTCCCTAACCCGCCACCAATCGTCTTCGGCCCTGAAACTCCAATTCCCATCAAGCCATTCTCTCTCCCGGGGGTGGCCACATGCGGATTAGCCGAGCAGTCCAGAAGGCTGAAGTCTAGGTCACCCAGAAGATCCTGGAGCTCCTTCTCATTTGCCGAGCCCAGCAGTGACATCATGGCGGGGTCGGCGGTGAGCTCGGCCAATGAGACGTCGTTGTTAGCCGTGTTAGCGTGCAGGTGGGAGTTAGCCAGCAGGTGGTTGGCTCGGGGTGCGTTGGCCAGGGAGCTACCCATGCCGGGGTGGGGCGCATTGGGGTTCATCTTCCTCATCTCCTGCTTCTCCCGGGTGAAGCGGCGCAACATGGCTGCCAAGCACAGGGAGTCCTTCATCAGCTTCTTCCTCTTCTTCTTCTCTGGCCGGTGGATGTTCATCAGAGACGACACTCTGGATCAGAAAGACGAGAGAGAGGGGTGAAGAGGGGAAAGAGAGGAGAGGATGAGAGAAGGAAGAAATAGGAAAGAGAGAAAATAGTGAGGGAAGAGACATGGAAGAGAGGGAAGAGAGATGATGTGGGGGGAAGGAGGGGATTGTTAATCCAATAGCAAGTTATGATGTGTAATCTCGAAGACAACAAACCTATAAGCAAGGCAATGTCTTTTCAATATGATACAAGGGAACAACAGTCTCATAATAGCTGCTGGTCTATTTCTGGGGCTCTTTAGAATAGGAGTATTTATGGCAGCGGAGTGATCAGCCTATCAGAGCGTAGCTAATGGAGTCTTTGTTAAGGACACTTGGCCTGTCACACAAGCCCACGGGCCATTCAGAGAGAGCATCAGAGTGTGTCATGTCATAGTCAGACATATCTGTACATTGGTAGGAATGAACCAAAATATATCTATATGATGTATTCGTCTATTCTATTGTAACAACTGATTCAAAAACCATTACAAGACATTTTGAGGAATGGGTCTTGCAACATGCTCAGTTCTATTTGAGAAATATGCATAGAACAACAATGTCCTCTTAGATAATTTGCTCTTACAGCAAGAACAAAATAATCTGAATTATTCAACAACCATTCTATCTCAAATTCTAATTTGTGAAGGTCCAGACATGCCTGACAGGCACAAGAAGCACCGATGTATCCATCCCACTATCCTTTCATCTCACCCTGGTTTGGGCACTCTGTTCTTCCGGGGTTTCTTCTCCTCCAAATTGTTCCCTTCTTTCCTCCGTCTCTTGATCACTTGCTCCTCGCCATCCTTCAGTTTCTGCTACCACCGGAAGGCACAGACAGAATTCATTAAAAACCAAAACAACCAATTGTATAAACACAAATAAATCAGGTTTGTCATACTCCTATCAGGGATGGGGTCAATTACTCTAGTCAATTCAGGAAGTAAGCAAAAATTCATTGATTTTCTCATTGATTTTGAATGGAATTGGAATTTCTGTTTACTTCCTGAATTGACATCATTGAAATGGAATTGACCCCAACTGACTAAATTTAGTGTAATTTCACTATATAAAATACTTCATGCCAGTATCCCACCCTTACTCTGGGTTTGACATCCTTGCCCCCGTCCTCTCCTTCTGACTCGGAAGCAGCTCTGAACTGCAGCGTGCCCGTGTTGATGTAGAACCCTCCCAGCTTGGTGGTCAGGGAGGCTGGGACCAGCTCGTCATACTGTCAAACAAAACAAAATGGCTGCCGTTACATTCAGAGCATAGATGCAGAATACAGAGTAACTTCAATGAGTCTCTGACAAACAACAACATGTCACTGTGGTGGATGTAGGTTAGTGTTTATGGGGTTAGGTTGATTGCTTGTGCAAATTGGTGCTGTGGTTGATTGATAGTCTTAAGCACGCTCCAAACAGGAAGCGAAACTCCAGAGCAAAGTTTGCCAGAATAGAGCAGATTCCTATTTTCTCCACCAGACGGCTGTCACGTGCACGAGCACCGCCAACCGCTCCGCCTGGATAGTATTCCGCCCCCCCACCTATCTTCATTGAAAATGAATGGGAAACTCAGCTGCTTCCTCTCTGGAAAGCCCTTTCGAGTTTTGTTATCAACATGTTTGCTATATCAAAATTAAAGGGATGTAGAGGGTTAAAAAAAGGGATACTTACAGCCTCTGAGTTGTCAATAAATGGGTCGGTCTCATCGTAACCGAAGCCTATGTCAATCAGATCCTGCATTCTGTCCTTCCGCTTCTTCTTTCCTGCTGCATTCTCATTGCCCTGTGTCACAGATTATACATACTTTCACATGAACATACTATATAACCAGTAGTCATAAACAACAACAAAAAAGGCTTATAACCAGATATAACAGGTTTACAACCTAGTACAACTAGTTATTAACCAGATAAAAAAAAGTAAAACTCATCTTAAAACTAGTATCTTATCAGTGGAGTTATTAGAGGACAAAGTTTTACCACGGCTCCAAAAAATTACGTACATATTTGTTCTCAAACTTCTTGGCCAGGGCCTCCACCTGCAGTCGTTCTCGCTCGTCATCGTTGAAAGGGTCGCTAGGGTCAAGGGCAGGAGGCACGATAAAAAGAGTTGGAGTCTGATTTGGGGCTGGAGGAGGGTTCTTTTTTACCTAGAAAGGGGAGGGAATGGGTGAAGAAAAGTGTAACTACTGGAAAATAAATTGACTTAACCACAATAAACAAACAACAAAGTAATAAATAATATTGTGTTGTTATTGTACCGGATGTAAAGCATATTGTCATGGAATCACATTGCCCAAATAGCATTGGTGAAGAAGCATTTGTATTTAGATTTACAGCTGGTTTATATAGTTGTAGTATAACTTGTAATTACAAGTTTGAGAACAATGTATTATATTCAACATAATTCCTTCGCAAATATGTAACTAAAAAAAGAGCAAACTACTGTATCATGCAATGATGTAGGTGCACACCATTGAGTGTCTTGATAACATAACACCGGTATTTGCATAACTCCATGTAGGCTACATCCTGGTACTTACAAACCCACTCCATTCAGCACTGACTAATCTTCAATATGTCACCCATAGGAGGCTAAACTCAACTGTACTGGGGCACTTCTTCTACGTGCCATAATAATGGCTGTATGACTGGTGTAAACTAGCAAGCGAGTTGTCAAGTTATCAAGAACGGGAAACAGGTAGCGCCAGACAACCTTTATCACTACATGTGCATAAGGAGTGCCTACAACTGTAATATTGACGTGCCGTTCGAGTACCAAGTGATTTGAGTGAATGGCTTAATGAATGGCTGAGCTAGGGTCTTTTGTGTGAAGTCCATGACTGGTAATTTCCTCCCACAGACCACGCTAGTCCGTGGAAAGACAAGATACATCCACTTTCCTATCCTAGTTTATAACAAGTCCCCACTAACCAAGCTAATAAAATCAACTGGTGTTGATCCATGTCTTCCCTGGCCAAACAGAAGGAGTCATACCTGGATGTTTTGGACGAGTTCGCTGTAGTTAAACTCGTTAGACGATTGATCGCTGGGCTCGGACAGAGATAGGTTCAATCGCACGGTAATCCGTTTTCCTTCAGCGTTGTCCTTGTCGCTAGTTTTGCCGAAAAACCCACCGCCACCATCTGCCCGGGACGCTGTCGTGTCCACCTCACCATCCGCATCTAAGTCGATGTCGGCCTCGTCATCCTCCAACCGTCGTTTCCTAGTCTCGGTGGCTGATCCCGCAGCGAAGGCCGAGAGGGTGACAAATTGTACTTTTCTCGGTTCGGCCATTTGGATGTGCTGCCTGTCTGAACCTCGCTTCGGACAGACAGCGACAGCGCGAGCTACTTCGCGAAACTACTTCAAATTGGCGAAATGAAGGGGTTTGCGCGAAAACGCAATGGCTATTTAGTGGCTAATAAGATGTAAGGGGGTCATCCGCACCATTCGAATTGAATTTCAGCGGATGAGATGGTCGGGGAAAAGTTGTTTTTTCAGTAGCTACTTGCATCCTCAATTGCTATGGGATCGAGACATTCAAGGTGGCCATCTTGGATTTCAGGAGTAAATAAAATATCAGAGAGGTCACTGGGCCTGCGCGCACAAACAAAAACGGAAGCAGCGTGAGCGAGGAGGGTTATCGTGGCCAATCACCGCATTTGCCCTTCATTTTAATCCCGCCCCTATCATAACAGGCGATAATAAGAACATCTGAAGAAGATGGCACTAGTATTATGACCTTTACGGAGATGTCTTTTGTGAAAGGACATTTTATCAGATCATAGCCCATGTCATCAGAATAACTTACACATTTTGCTCACTAATATAGCAAATGGAAGGCATCTGTTTTGATGCCATTCTTATGTCATCCATTCAGTCAGTGCTGAAATGCTGAATTGTGAGTTTTTCCACAATGACCTAGCTACACACACAGTAAATCCCAAACGTAACCAAACAAGCCAGTTGGGTGGCTCTGTGAGTTATCCTCATAGACACTGATGATGCAACACAAGCAAACATTGGTGGACACCTGTTGAAATTGAGGGGTCTTGTGTTCAGTTATTTTGTAGAAACACTGCTTCCTTTAATTTAGTACATGTACTATTTCATTCGAATGTATGCCTATTTGTGTCTGTATGGCCACAATAATAATAAAAAAAGACATCATGAGAGAAATAGTGAATGCATATAGAAGAACAAACAATTGAGAGAAAAAAAGGTCAACAAACCTTAATAAAGAGAATACTGTTTAATACTTGTATCAGCATCATTTGAGTAATACAAAATACACATTTCAATACAATTGATTGGCAAGATTGTACAGAATTATATATATTGCAAATAAAACACATTTAGTACATGATATAAATACTGTGACAAATGTACAATAAAGCGCGTCAATACACATTGTGCATGACTCATGAGAACAGGTTATTTTATAGATTTTCACTAGTAAAAGTGTCTGATAAGAAATGCACATGTAAACTACATATATAATGTAATAACAACATGTAGTAAGTGTATTACGTGTGTTATAAGCATGTTATGACATTGTTATGTCAGAGGAACCCTGTTGTCTTTGGCCCATTTCCTTAGAGCTCTGATAATGTACTCCACCTGGGGGTTCTGTGTGCTCCTCAACAGGGGCAGCACCTCCTTCAGGGTTTCCCTGTGCAACCACAGACAATGGTTATTAGTGATGGGAACTTAGCAACAGGTCATATTCTACAATGGCAATGTTTTAATAACATAAACATAGCATAATGGTTGTCAATAAAGTTCAAATGAAAGTGCTTGAATCACAAATGTCACACTTTACCGTGCAATGTAAATTACTCAAGGCACAAAAATTATGTACCAAAACATCTCTGTGGAGGACATGATTTTCATATTTTATGTGTTGGTGACTCTGTGTAGCGGACAATCATTAACACAGACAAGTGTTGGGATCAACATTGGACTAAAGACTAAGAAACTTAGCCAATACTTACTTTGGCTCTCTGCCTGCCAGTATGAGCTGGAAGATTCCGACACAGGCCCCTCTCTTGCCCTCCCAGTAGTTGGAGTCGGGATCCAGTTTCTCCAGAGTATCGAATGCTTTGGCTGCCGAGTAGAACTGACCCATCTGAAAGCACAGACAGACAGAGCGGCATTTAATTGCATTGAATATTGAGAAAGCTTGGCCTTTGCTAATCTCGTCCCCAGTCTATTGGGGAGGAAGTCTGGTGCGCAAGATTAAGCCATTGCTGACTTGTGGTTAGCCTGGAAACTAAGCTAGTAGAGAGAGTAGTAGTGAGCCTCACCTTATAGCAGTCGTTGGCAATGAGTTGTAAGAGGCTGAAGGAGTCTGGCGAAGCCCCCATCTTCAGATACAGCTCCCAGGCTAGCTGGCCTTTCTGGTTCATGATGTCTGAGCGAGAGGAGAGACAACACTATTTAGATAATATATTTCTTATAATTAATTAGTAATATATTTAGTTTCTTAGATCATGTATGTAGATATCGTATTGATGTAAAGGTATTGAAAATGTATTGATGACAAATGGATAATGTATTTCAGGACTGGATACATACAGCAGCGAGTCAGCCAGCTCAGGTATACATAGTCAGTCTTAATCTTCTCACCCTGGATCAGCAGAAATATCTGAGTCCAATATAAAAGAATGTTACAACATGAACTTTTAACTGATTCAATACACTACTCCATGCAAGCAGTAGTGCATTTTTCCAGGTTGACAGTATGTACCTCCTCTGCTTCTTTGTAGTTGCCCAAGGCAGCTTTGGCCTGGGCATAGTTGAAATTGAACGTATCCTCGGTATAGAAGTAACTCTGTTAAAGACAAACCAAAAATAAACACACAATCAAAGAGAAATAATGCTTACCTCCTTTCCCCAAGCATACATGTTAAGTACACAGCAATCCATAAATATGTCAAGCACTCAAAGGAAAAGTGATTGAGTATGTGTGTGCAAACATGCCTATGTGCTCTACTGTACTATTGGTCTGTATGCTACATGTTTTGGGCCATGCAAACCTTGACTGAGTTGAGGTAGATGAGAACGTCTTCAAACTGCCTCAGAAGGAAGAAACAGGAAGCCATACACTGTCTTCCAGGTATCGTGTCTGAGAGGAGAGAGAGATAAAGACAGTGAGACAAAGATGCACATGCTCACTCACACGCAGACATACACGCACATGTGAACACACACGCTAATACACATACTAACACACACACACACACACACACACACAAGCTAACTCATAGCTTCTTGGTTGATTCGCTTTAGATTCATTCATTCACATTACCGCATTCGCTGGCTGAGCCTCCGACCAGCTGGAAGAACTGTTGAGCGATTTTCAGGTGATCCCTCTGCAGCAGAGATACAGACAGGGACGAGGAGGAGGGAATAGAGACTGCTAGTCAGTCAGATTTCCTATCAGTGATGATCTACTACACCAGGAATATAAGACATTCCTAATCTACTCGGACATTTATACTGTGTGGGTCCTAGGGGGTTTTCGGATAGTTTGTCAAACATGTTCTTACTCACCGATCCAATTTCTTGGCCCAATGCAGCATTCACCACTCCTTTCAAAATGTACTCCTGAAATAAATGGATTTTGTTAAGACACTGTATGTATGCTATTAAGGCTTTAGTCTTTAAACAACAAGACTTCCGCTGCTTATGACACCTGATAATGTGAAACTATTACTACCTGTGGTGTGGTTGGCTCCAAGTCTTTTATGAGGGTATAAGCCTCTTGAACATCATCTGAAACATACAGGTGCACGAGGACCATTCTTTAGTTCAAAGGTTATTGATGATAAAATATGTTAGGATTAGGATTCAAAGACAACCACCAGAGGCTAAGGCCCACCTTGTCTAAGGTAGTAGATGACCAGGTTCAACCGAGCCTCAGAGATTACATCAATCAGCGGGGGCAGCACCTGCAACGCCCCCTCCCCACCACGAAACACCACCTGGGGTGATAGAGGTCAAAAGTTATAGAGCACAGGGGTCACTGTCATGCAAACACAGTCACACAACAGAGGTGGTGGAACAGCTTACCAGGTTATGCCGGATAAGCTCCTTAGCAAACTCAAAGGAGCAGGAGGAGATGTCTATGAGGTTCTTTAACTCAGCCTGAGAGATAAAATAACAAATTGAACCACATTATTGCTGTACATGACAAGTGTAGGCATAAACATCGACTGTGGATGTTAGGCAAACGCGTGTAGATGCACGCCAGTCTGTTTTGACTGTTGACGCATACGAAGTTGCTTTACCTCGGCTGCCTTGCCGTTGTACAGCCTGAAGTGGTTGCAGGCCTTGAGGTTGAGAGCGATGGTGGATTCAGGAATACTCTGCAGATACACAGCCAGCACCTCTTGGGAAACATCATAGTAGTCCAACTTGTAGTAGCACAGCGCTACGTACACGTTAAGAGCTAGGAAATCTCTGGAGGAAAGAGAAAATAGGTAAATATGGTAAAACATCCAATAGCTAGTACCATAGTTCACACTGCATTCTTGAATAGTACATGTTGACCTATCAAACTCCTTGTGCATCTTTCTCTCTTGCCTTTTGACTGCACTGTCCAATATAATACACCATCTTTCTCAACTGCAAAATAACTATAGCCTTCTCCCTCCATCTTCTTGTCTCTGTATCAACACAAGGCAATGTGTCCATCCAACTGTATAATACTTCATCCTAAATATATGGTTTATAGTATGTTTACTGTGTATAGTTATACGAATTGACAGTAAGATTGACACTGACTCATTCAGACTATCCACACTACCCATTGGTACTGGTGGGACCACTGTAATCTGGCATATGAGGGATTTGTGGGACTATGCTCTTGCCTATCAGTGATTTTGATGAAGGGACATGGGAGAATGACCCAGTATAAGTACCTATTCTGTAGCAGGATGCGTTTGTAGATGTCGATGGCCTCCTGGTAGTGGGATCTCATGTAGTGGATGGAGGCCAGGCTCAGCTGGTCCTCAGTCACATCCTCCAGGTTCTGATGGAAACCCATCAGCTTCTTCTCATCATTGAACTGGGAACAGAGAGGAAAGACATGGTTGGTTTGTCTATTGGTTTATTAGTTTATTTGGGATATTACACAAGTAGGTGTGCACCTACGTCCCATACAGTTGCATTACAAAGAAAGAAAAAAGTACACTGAACAAAAATGTAAACGCAACATGTAAAGTCAGCTGAAATAAAAGATCCCAGAAATGTTCCATATGCACAAAAAGCTTACTTCTCTCAAATTTTGAGCACAAATTTGTTTACATCCCTGTTAGTGAGCATTTCTCCTTTGCCAAGATAATCCATCCACCTGACAGGCGTGGCATATCAAGAAGCTGATTAAACAGCATGATCATTACACAGGTACACCTTGTGCTGGGACAATAAAAGTCAACTCTGAAATGTGTAGTTTTGTCACACAACACAATGCCACAGATGTCTCAAGTTTTTGAGGGAGCGTGCAATTGGCATGCTGACTGCAGGAATGTCCACCAGAGCTGTTGCCAGATAATTTAATGTTAATTTCTCTACCATAAGCCATCTCCAACGTCGTTTTAGGGAATTTGGAGGTACGTCCAACCGGTCTCACAACCACAGACCAAGTGTATGACATCATGTGGGCGAGTGGTTTGCTGATGTCAACGTTGTGAACAGAGTGCCCCATGGTGGTGGTGGGGTTATGGTATGGGCAGGTATAAGCTACGGACAATGAACACAATTGCATTTTATCTATGGCAATTTTAATGCACAGGGATACTGTGACGAGATCCTGAGGCCCATTGTCGTGCCATTCATCCGCTGCCATCACCTCAAGTTTCAGCATGATAATGCACGGCCCCATGTCGCAAGGATCTGTACACAATTCCTGGAAGCTGAAAATGTCCCAGTTATCAATGGCCTAAATACTCACCAGACATGTCACCCAATGAGCATGTTTGTGATGTTCTGGATCAACGAGTACAACAGCATGTTCCAGTTCCAGCCCATGTGGTCCTCTGTAGCTCAGCTGGTAGAGCACGGCGCTTGTAACGCCAAGGTAGTGGGTTCGATCCCCGGGACCACCCATACACAAAAATGTATGCACACATGACTGTAAGTCGCTTTGGATAAAAGCGTCTGCTAAAGGGCATATTATATTATTATTATTATATCCAGCAACTTCGCACAGCCATTGAAGAGGAGTGGGACAACATTCCACAGGCCACAATCAAAAGCCTGATTAACTCTATGTGAAAGAGATGTGTTGCGCTGCATGAGGCAAATGGTGGTCACACCAGATACTGACTGGTTTTCTGATCCACGCACCTACCTTTTTTAAAGGTATATGTGACCAACAGATGCATATCTGTTTTCCCAGTCTGTGAAATCCATAGATTAGAGCCGAATGAATTTATTTCAATTGACTGATTTCCTTATATGAATTGTATCTCAGTAAAATCTTTGAAATTGTTGCATGTTGCATTTATATTATGAAGGCAAGATCAATGATATAAAGAATGATGGGATAAAAACTTTGGAGTACTTTAAATGAAATTATGGGCAGAAAGAGTAATTCAACTCCATCTTTCATCGAATCAGATGGCTTATTCATCACAAAAACATTTGATGTTGCCAATTATTTTAATGTTTACTTCAATGGCAAAGTGGGCAAACTTAGGCAGGAAATGCCAACAACGAACAGTGAGCCATCGTATTCATGCATTAAAAAACAAATAATGAAAGAAAAGCATTGCAAGTTTGAATTTTCTAAAGTTAGTGTGGGAGAGGTGGAAAAATTATTGTTATCGATCAATAATGACAAACGCCTGGCATTGACAACTTAGATGGAATGCTACTGAGGATGGTAGCTGACTCTATAGCCACTCCTACAGTGGGGAGAACAAGTATTTGATACACTGCCGATTTTGCAGGTTTTCCTACTTACAAAGCATGTAGAGGTCTGTAATTTTTATCATAGGTACACTTCAACTGTGAGAGACGGAATCTAAAACAAAAATCCAGAAAATCACATTGTATGATTTTTAAGTAATTAATTTGCATTTTATTGCATGACATAAGTATTTGATACATCAGAAAAGCAGAATTTAATATTTGGTACAGAAACCTTTGTTTGCAATTACAGAGATCATACGTTTCCTGTAGGTCTTGACCAGGTTTGCACACACTGCAGCAAAGATTTTGGCCCACTCCTCCATACAGACCTTCTCTAGATCTTTCAGGTTTCGGGGCTGTCGCTGGGCAATACAGACTTTCAGCTCCCTCCAAAGATTTTCTATTGAGTTCAGGTCTGGAGACTGGCTAGGCCACTCCAGGACCTTGAGATGCTTCTTACGGAGCCACTCCTTAGTTGCCCTGGCTGTGTGTTTCGGGTCGTTGTCATGCTGGAAGACCCAGCCACGACCCATCTTCAATGCTCTTACTGAGGGAAGGAGGTTGTTGGCCAAGATCTCGCGATACATGGCCCCATCCATCCTCCCCTCAATACGGTGCAGTCATCCTGTCCCCTTTGCAAAAAAGCATCCCCAAAGAATGATGTTTCCACCTCCATGCTTCACGGTTGGGATGGTGTTCTTGGGGTTGTACTCATCCTTCTTCTTCCTCCAAACACGGCGAGTGGAGTTTAGACCAAAAAGCTATATTTTTGTCTCATCAGACCACATGACCTTCTCCCATTCCTCCTCTGGATCATCCAGATGGTCATTGGCAAACTTCAGACGGACCTGGACATGCGCTGGCTTGAGCAGGGGGACCTTGCGTGCGCTGCAGGATTTTAATCCGTGACGGCGTAGTGTGTTACTAATGGTTTTCTTTGAGACTGTGGTCCCAGCTCTCTTTAGGTCATTGACCAGGTCCTGCCGTGTAGTTCTGGGCTGATCCCTCACCTTCCTCATGATCATTGATGCCCCACGAGGTGAGATCTTGCATGGAACCCCAGACCGATGGTGATTGACCGTCATCTTGAACTTCTTCCATTTTCTAATAATTGCGCCAACAGTTGTTGCCTTCTCACCAAGCTGCTTGCCTATTGTCCTGTAGCCCATCCCAGCCTTGTGCAGGTCTACAATTTTATACCTGATGTCCTTACACAGCTCTCTGGTCTTGGCCATTGTGGAGAGGTTGGAGTCTGTTTGATTGAGTGTGTGGACAGGTGTCTTTTATACAGGTAACGAGTTCAAACAGGTGCAGTTAATACAGGTAATGAGTGGAGAACAGGAAGGCTTCTTAAAAGAAAAACTAACAGGTCTGTGAGAGCCGGAATTCTTACTGGTTGGTAGGTGATCAAATACTTACGTCATGCAATAAAATGCAAATTAATTACTTAAAAATCATACAATGTGATTTTCTGGATTTTTGTTTTAGATTCCGTCTCTCACAGTTGAAGTGTACCTATGATAAAAATTACAGACCTCTACATGCTTTGTAAGTAGGAAAACCTGCAAAATCGGCAGTGTATCAAATACTTGTTCTCTCCACTGTATCTATCATATCTTTAATCTGAGCCTAGAGAAAAGTCTTTGTCCTCAGGCCTGGAGGGAAGCCAAAGTAATTCCGTTACCCAAGAGTGGTAAAGCGGCCTTTAGTGGTTCTAACAGTAGACCTATAAGCTTGCTACCAGCTCCTAGCAAACTGTTGGAAAAAATGGTGTTTGACCAAATACAATGCCATTTCTCTGTAAACAAATTAACAACAGACTTTCAGCATGCTTATAGAGAAGGGCTCTCAACATGTACTGCACTGACACAAATGACTGATGATTGGTTGAAATAAATTGATAATAAGAAGATTGTGGGAGCTGTACTGTTACATTTTTGGGTGCCTGACCATAACCTGTTGTTGAAAAAACGTATGTGTTATGGCTTTTCAACCTCTGCCATATTGTGGATTCAGAGCTATCTATCTAATAGAAGTCAAGTGGCTTTCTTTAATGCAAGCTTCTCTAATGTCAAACATGTAAAGTGTGGTGTACCGCAGGGCAGCTCTCTAGGCCCTCTACTCTTTTCTATTTTTACCAATGACCTGCCACGGCATTAAACAAAGCATGTGTGTCCATGTATGCTGATGATTCAACCATATACACATCAGCAACCACAGGTAATGAAGTCACTGAAACCCTTAACAAAGAGTTGCAGTCTGTTTTGGAATGGGTGGCCAGTAATAAACTGGTCCTGAACATCTCTAAAACAAATAATTCCCTAAGTTCTAGACCTCAGATGAATCTGGTATGAATGGTGTGACTGTTGAAGAAGTTGAGGAGACTCAATTACTTGACGTTACCTTAGACTGTAAACTATCATGGTCAAAACATATAGATTCAATGGTTGTAAAGATGGGGAGAGTTCTGTCTGTAATAAATAGATGCTCTACTTTTTTGACACCACACTTCAAAAAGCAAGTCCTGCAGGATCTAGTTTTGTCTTATCTTGATTATTGTCCAGTCGTGTGGTCGAGTGCTGCAAGGAAATACCTAGTTAAGCTGCAGCTGGCCCAGAACAGAGCGGCACTTCTTGCTCTTCATTGTAATCAGAGGACTGATATAAATACTATGCATGCCAGTCTCTCTTGGCTAAGAGTTGAGGAGAGACTGACTGACTGCATCACTTCTTATTTTTATAAGAAACATTAATGTGTTGAAAATTCCAAATTGTTTGTATAGTAAACTTACACACAGCTCTGACACACACCACTTACCCCACCAGACATGCCACCACGGGTCTTTTCACAGTCCCCAAATCCAGAACAAATTCAAGAAAGCGTACAGTATTATATAGCGCCATTATTGCATGGAACTCTGTTCCATCTCATATTGCTCAAATGAACAGCAAACCTGCTTTCAAAAAACAGATAAAGCGACACCTCATGGCACAATGCCTCTCCCCTATTTGACCTAGATAGTTTGTGTGTAGGTATTGATATGTAGGCTACGTGTGCCTTTTTTAATTTGTTGTTTATATTTTTTATGTAGTTCTGTCCTTGAGCAGTTCTTGTCTATTAATGTTCTGTATTATGTCATGTTTCATGTTTTGTGTGGACCCCAGGAAGAGTAGCTGCTGCTTTTGCAACAGCTAATGGGGATCCTAATTACATCGACATTTACATTTACATTTTAGTTATTTAGCAGACGCTCTTATGCGGAGCGACTTACAGTTAGTGAGTGCATACATGATTTCTATTTTATTTTTCATACTGTCCCCCCGTGGTATTTGGTAATAAAAGTATTGGGACTTGGGGATTGTGTAAAACATGATTTTATGCAACTGTTAGTGCTGAGTGATTAACCGAAATGTCGGTTATTTTTCAGTTTTTAAACAACTAATTGACTGATGTCGGTTCAATTATTTGAATTCCATTGTGCGCAATGCGCAGTTTCTCTAGAGATAACTCAGATCAAGCCCGAACTGTATGATGTAGTAGGGAGTTGTAGTTTCCAAAAGGCCAATATTCTACATAGTTTAGTACAGAAAACGTGGTAATTAACTACAATGACCATAATCCATTGCGCGCCTACTTGTCCGGTCTGAGACCGAGAGAAGAGAGAAGAACGTGTGATCGAGAGGGATAGAGAGCAGTTGCTTCGTGAGTTATCTGTACCTGAAAATACATGATCTATGATTGATAGTTGGTATTCAGCAGTCATAAAAGTATACCTTATTTACTTTGAAGAACTACTAAAATAATTTTTGTCAGACAGTATAGGCAGCAGCTCTATAGAGATGAGATGATGACTTGGAATTAAATAATAAAGTCATCAAATAGGCCTCAAACAAATATACACAACAACTGAAATATGTTATTAAAGTAATTTGAAAAAATTATGGTTAATAATTGATAAGCAGTAATGGGCAGCCACTACCATCATGGGACTTTTACTAATTGTTTTGTTCTGTGTCCTTACAGCATTAAAACCCACATAATGCATAGTGCATTTAACCATGATTATTTTTTTATAATTTAAACGAAACGACCTCAAAAAGCCCTAATCGCTCAGCACTAGCAACTGTACAGAAGCAAAAAATAAAGAGTGATGAGAAACACACATTAACATATTAACGAATACAGAAAAGGAACAGTTCTGACCTTATGAGCCAGGTGGAAGAGCAGGCGATTCTGAAGTGCACACTTTGGAGCTAAAGGAAAAAGGGGGGAATACCTTATCGACTACGGTAAGAAGCAGGAGGATGAAAAACTGAACAATTCTAAAATATTTTAGCTTAATATTCACCCTTGTTTGCAGCCTCCTCTGCCTCTCTGTAGAGCCCCAGGAAAAACAAAGTGCAGGCCAGATACACCCACACCTCCCCTGGTTCTTCTAACCGGAGTGTCAATGTCCTGTACTCCTGTCATGGAAATAAATTGACATATGTGTCACATAGAGCATTGTAAAAATTGCTTTTTTTCAGACAAGAATGAATTTAACTGAACACACACACCTCCATTGCTCTCTTGTAATCACCCAAGTGAAAGGCACAGTAGCCAATCCAAAGGTCTGCATGCTCCTCTTTTTCTCCAACATCTCGCTGAAACTGAAAGAAGACAAAGCAACACACAACAATAGGACACAGTGCTCTCGCTCTCCTCTCGCTCTCACACACAGGGAAACGGAAAGACCTTATAGACAGAGCAATGTCAAGACTGAGGAAGGAGAATGTTGAGAGGACACAGGACTTTCACAGATCACATGATATCTTGAGTCACATTTATTACAGAGTTGCTCATCATTCATTTGCTGATTGCACATGACAGCTAGCTACATGAGTTCCTATCTAGCTACCTCTAACAGAGTTTGGGCCCCAAGGTAGTCTCTCTGGTTGAGGTATTCCTCCAGGCGAGGGCTCTTCTTGGCTTTGTTTTTCTTCTTCTTCTCACTGACACTTGCTGCAGCCTCTCCACCTACTGCTGGCTTCACCCGGGACAGAATCTGGATGGATGTGACAAGGAAGAGAATCCTTATTGTGGACATGACAGCTGGCAATTTGTTTACTAAAGCGGAAATCATACAATATTTGCATATTTGGTCAGATAGACAGTCATGTTTTAATAGATGTAGTGTAGCTATAGCCGTTATCCTTTGTCAAACTAGCTTACTGCCATTACTTTAAAATGAACCTCGTCACCTATCACAGATAGGTGAAATATACTTTTGTAGCTGGCTAAGTAGCTTGCTAGCTACATTGATTAAGCTAGAAAGCTAACTAGTTAACGTTAACTACATAGCAAGACTTTTAGCTAACCAACAAGTACGCAGCTAGTAGGCTAACTTGTAAGACTTACCATGACGGCACAGCAGTTACTCTTGCATTATGTCACTGTTCAGTATGGATACATTGATTATAGCTATAACAACACTAGCTAACGTTAGTGGGAAATTAGCTACGTTAGCTAACGTTAACTACTTTTCTAGCTGGAATTAGCTTAGCTGGCTGGCTAGCTAACAGTGAACCAACAGATACGAAAAGAAAAGACACCTCTTCGCTGTCAAAGAACCTGGAAGGAATAGCATGAATACGTAAGGTGAACGAAGGGTATCAAGCTAGCTAACGTTAGCTAATGAAACATCTGACTGTGATTTCCTTGCGGTGTGGGGATTACGCTTGTGTTGCCTAGCAACGGCGTTCATCCTCTTCTTCACTTCAGGATCAGATGCGAAATGCAAATTTAATTCTGGGTTTAGCCCAGTTTTTGTCGTGCATGTTTGATAATGGCATTCCCACAAAACAACTTTTTTTTTTGCCACCCACATAGCATTCAAATAGAGAGGGTTCGTCAAATGTATCTAGAACAGCCCCAGTGGCCTAATGGATAAGGCACTGGCCTCCTAAGCCAGGGATTGTGGGTTCGAGTCCCATCTGGGGTGATAATGTTTTCACCCCGAGAATGCATTAGGTGGCCATACAATGTGAAATCAGTCTTGACAAAGCCTCTCTTGCTTGGCAAGTGCACATAGATGTCATTTAAATGTAGCCTATATATGCCTGATCCATAATCTAGCCATCCCAAGTCGTACATATTTAAGGATGAGGCCAAATTGGATAAAAAAATATATTTCAAGAACTTTCTACAATCAACCTATATGCTATGCGCCAATTAACATCACAGGAGTGCTAGAGTCCTTAATTGAAACGATAACAAAGTGGATTAACAGTTTAAACGCATGAGGCATTTATAAATCACATTCTTCAAATATCAAATGGGCATCATTAAAGTGCAAAAATGGATGTAGCAACTAAGGATTCTAGCTTTATATATCAATTGTAAACTGAACAGTCAATATAACATTTGTATGGATTTCAGATTTAAGTGTATATACATTGTGACTGTGGTTAACAGTGTTGAAGAGGGCCAAACTGAAGAAACCAGAGTAGATAGAATTTAATCTATGTCAACGGGAAAAGCCCAATATAATAACCAATGTATTCGTAATCACCCTCATCCCAAGAAAAACTGACAAGTTTCAAAAAACAATCTGCCAAGTTTATTGACATCACTGATCACAGCACTGCTTTTGACTCTGGAGTGATTGACACCACTTAGGACCAATCAGCGGAGGCACCACCCCACTCGGTAGCCTGGGCGGTGGGGGCAGCGGACCAATCCTCTGTGGCGGGCTGGGCACTCCAATCCTCTGTAGGAAGACAATCATGAGTGTGTGAGAATACAATCAAACCATTTATTGTCCAGACATTTCCACAGTCAAGACAAAGAGAAATTGTGTTTCTCCCGACAGGATCCGCAGTGAGGATTTGAGGTCTTCACTACAGGTTTATGAGAGAACTATTCTACCCCTCTGTGTTGGTCATATAGGACATTTAGGTCCTAGATGGGCAAAAAAGGGGCATTACTAATTTACTTTCAGTAGAACTTACCAGCAAAGCCTTCAGCTGCAGCTGGGGCCTTAGAAGGCGCAGCGGCTGAAAAGGAGAATTAACAAAGTTTGAGTCAAACATATTCAGGTAGCCATTTGGTTTTGTAATTGTCAAAATGTGCCACTCCATCCACCTTTCCATTTGTGGCCTCCACTCCTGTGTATTCATCGCTTACCCTCAGTGAAGCTCTTACCCTCAATGCCAGCAGGGAACTGCTGGATGGGCACAGAGGGCACTGCCACTCCCTCGGACCAGTCGGCCACCTCGGGCTGGGCGAAGTCGGCCGTGGGGGCGGTCCACTCGCCCTGGAACTCCTCCTTGCCAACAGCCTTCTCGGCTGCAGCCTGCTCCTCCTTCTCAATCTGGAACGGGACGAGGAGGTTAGAAGTCAGGGATGTGATGTCACAATTTGCGTGAGAGCTCAGGTAAGCTGGCGCCACAGCTATATAGATTCTTAGCGCAGGCATACAATACTCCCAACACCACATCAGAAGCATATTTTGCTTCAGGTTGTTCCATCACTGATTGAGATGAGTCAGTTACTGTTTCAGACTGCCATCTCACCCACAGTGATGGTTTTACTATTCCCTTCCAACGACAACTCACCCAGTCACTGACCGGACAAAGCAAGTGCTTTTAGAAGGGGAATGTGTATTTCCGAGGTATCCAAACTCCATTCTTGAATAGCTACATGGTGAGCAGGCTTTTGTTCCAGTCCAGCACCAACACATCTGATTCAATTAATCGTGGTCCAGACAAAGGACCATAATTAGTTTAAGTTAAATCAAACGATTAGTGCAGGGCTAGAACAAAAACCTTCTCAAACACGCAGCTCTCCACAACCAGAGTTTAAAACCCATGGTATAAACAGTGTGTGAACCATAGTGTCCCAGTAGGTCAGTTACCTCCTCTGGATCTCTGTAGAAGTAGAGATCAGGCATGACCTCCCAGGGGTGTTCCCTGGAGATGGTGCCCCTCATTCGCAGCACCTCCCTGGACAGCATCCACCACATCAGACCAACAGAGTGGTGGCCCTGGAACATAACAGACAACAGTCAGTTAGACATAGGGTTTTATACTAAGTCACTGATGATTATATGCACCGGCAACAGTCAGTCATACAGAGACACGACTGCCATTAACAGAATTGATCAGTCTAAACTAGTAGAATTCGTTAGTGGATTAACTGATACCCTGTAAAAACATGACTACATGGGAGGGCGTCTTCAACTACTGACGAGGAAGTGCAGAGAAAACTCCCTAGGTAGGAAGAGTCCCAGTAGGGGTCTTGGTTGTGGCTCAGGTCACTATCAAACTCCAGTCATGGGGCAGCAGCCCTACTGATGTTAGCGAAAACCCGGCCGGGTCACTCTGGCACACTTCCGACACCTGAACACTGACAGACAGTGAAAGGCTTTAATTGTGTGCTGCATATTTCCATCAGTTGACCAAGATATCAGCTGAAGTCCCCATCTACCCTTTCACTTTGAGAAAACACCATTGGGGACAAAACTGATATGATAGCCTGTTCAAGTCATTGTATTCTGTACTATATATATATATATAAAATATGAGACCACTAGAACATACATCTGTAGTCTATGGTCTGTCTGTACCTTGTTGTTGCAGGGGATGGCGATGTCCACGTATCTGAGGGGAGAGTCGGTGTTGCACATGGCGATGGTGGGGATGTTGACGTAGGAGGCCTCAGTCAGGGGCTGGTGGTCGGCACGGGGGTCTGTCACGATCAGGAGGCGGGGCTCACGGAAAGCAGCCTGGATCTGATTGGTGAAGGTTCCGGGGGTGAAACGACCGTGGAAGGTGGTGGCGCCGGTGGCGGAAGCGAACTTCAGCACCGCCCTCTGGTCGGAGAAAAACGGGGAGACGAGTTAGTGGATTGGCTAACAAGCAGGAGGCGACTCAGTCAAGAATATAATTTAGCAGTAATATGGTATGTCTTGGTTGTGGACTCAGGTCACTATCAAACTCCAGTCATGGGGCAGCAGCCCTACTGATGTTAGCGAAAACCCGGCCAGATCACTCTGGCACACTTCCGACACCTGAACACCAACATCACAGTGCCAGGCTTTAATTGTGTGCTGTTTTTTAGCTAGTCCCCAACAATCAACTCCGAATTACATCAGGCCAACTGAGCTGATCAAGGTCATGTTCATTAGGGCACACAAGTAAAAAACAAAAAAACCTCCTCTTAGACCGCTCACTTCCATTTTGCGCTTACTGAACATAACCCAGGAGAAACTCTGGGCCCTAATATATGTCAGGTGAGTTAGCAGTGGGCATCTCACCTGTCCAGTGTTCCTGGATGAGATGACGCAGACATCAGCTGGGTTCTCAATGGCCACGATGGCACGGGCAGCAAGCAGCAGCTTCTCCCACGTCTTCTTCAGGTTGATGATGTACACACCTGAGGGGACAACCAGTTACATTATTTATTGTTGATGATTATTTACATGTTGATATCCGACATGCATACAGCCATAATGTCTATACACATGCTATCCAGTCTCAGGACAATCAATGACGAAAAAGACTACCGATTACTGGTGAAAACTGACTGAAGACGGGTGTTTCACCCACATTGGGATCATTATCTATTGGTTAAATCTTTGAGCTAGAGAAAAACATTAAATATTAGGAAGACAGATGTTCAATCACTGATTGAGATAGGTCAGTTACGGTTTCTGACTGCCATCTCACCCACAGTGATGATTTTACTATTCCCTTCCAACGACAACTCACCCAGTCACTAACCGGACAGAGCAAGTGCTTTTAGAAGGGGAATGTGAATTTCAGAGGTCTCCCAATGCTGATCCTAAAACGCTAGTGTGCAGGCTATTGTTCCAGGCCAGCACATCTGATTCAGTGTATCATGTCAAGACTATGAATAGTTGAATTAGGTATGATAATGCAGGACTGGAACAAAAGCCTGCACATCCTCAACAGTCATAATATGTGAGAGTTCCGGAAGTCTTAAGATCATAAACTGACAAATAAGCAGGTATCTCGTATTCCACCACTCACCATCACTCTTTCGCTTGTACGTGTAGTGCTCCATCTGGAAGTCCATGTTGGTACCTCCCAGGTGGGTTCCAGCTGCCAGGAACTTCAGCACATCCTCCTCCTTCATCTGCAGCACATCCAGACCTCCGGACATCGTGACCACTTTTCCTAAGTTACGAGTTATGTGGAAAAGCTGCAGGGAAAAAAGAGACGAGGCAGGTGAGATGTTGCATAAAGCTAGGGAAGCAGAGAATGGTTGGTTGAAACTAACGGGTCATTGTGGCTCAGGTCACTATCAAACTCCAGTCATGGGGCATCAGCCCTACTGATGTTAGCGAAAACCTGGCCGGAACACTCTGGCACACTTCCGACACCTGAACACCAACATCGCAGTGTCAGGCTTTAATTGTGTGCTGAACAAACGATCAAAGCTGCAATGCTTATAATTATTGTGTACTTATACAGGCCCTCGCCATAGGGGCCTTGGCATCCGTTTCCAAAAACAGAATTTACAATGATGAAATCATAAAATATTGTTACAGTTCCTTAGAACATCTGATCTCAACGTATACATCGACACGAGTATGTCAGGAAGAGGTTATAACCACCAAGTTTACTCCACTAACCCCAGTCAGATGCAATGTTGCTGACCAATTAATATATAAAAAATATGTTGCAAAAAAGCATTACACCCAGTTGATACATGTGTGAAACTAGTCTGGTGGCATCTATGGATGTTGGTTACTTTAGTTATTAGTATCCAGCTTCCTCAATGGATTTCATGAGCACGCATGGCTAGTTAGCTACTTGTGCTAAGGTTAGCAGTTGCTACATGGCTTCTGGCCTAGCTGTCTAACGTGTAATTCACTATTTACAGTGGTTGTATTTTTACAAATATGGGATACATTCAAACACAATTTCATAGTTGTTTGTAACATGGCTTTAGTATTTGTCTCCGCAACTTTTATCTAAAGAAAATAGTAAATAGTTATCTCACCACGAGACAACGCCGTATGGAGTTCTGTACTTCACGGTAAAAGAGAGAGGAAAACGGAAGTGACGTTTTTATATACTGTAAATTCCACCAATCACCTTCCATTTCCTTCTCCAGGATTAGTAGTAGATGCAATTCAATAAAAGGTCGATAGATGGTAGTAAAATCCTTTGAGACTAAAGTTCTTTGAGAAAGGGCATCAATTGTGATGGGCAGCAGTTGTTACTTCAAATTCAGTTAAATGTGCACTATGGGTGTGAAAACTATAATTAAATACTGTAAAGTTTATGCCAGGACGCCCATATAGTAATGATTGATTGAACGGCTTTATAGTCTATTTATGTCAGTAAAATTATAGGTTGCCATTTTGAGGTACTTATATCTTTGAATATTTTGATGCCATTTCATCAATAGGGATGCAAATTAAGATATTATCCAATGCGGCAATGTTCAAAAGGAATTTAAAATCCTTCACTGCTTTGAAATTAAATCAATTCAGACCAGGATTAGTTACAGCCGGTTCCTGCCTGGGATGAAATCCATAGTCAGTCAGGAGAGAGAAGAGAGGAACACTGCAGCACGCCTGGTTTTCAACCTTCCAAAGTTCTCCTGCTCCTCCGCACAATCCACTTGCTTCCAGTCGAAGCTCGCATCCACTACCATACCATGGTACTTGCCTATGGAGCAGCAAGAGGAACTGCCCCTCCCTACATTCAGGCTGTGCTCAAACCCTACACCCCAACCCGAGCACTCCATTCTGCCACCTCTGGTCTCTTGACCCTCCCACCACTATTGGAGGGCAGCTCCCGCTCAGCCCAGTCTTCTCTGTCCTGGCAACCAAATGATGGAACCAGCTTCCCCCTAAAGCTAGGACAGCAGAGTCCCTGCCCATCTTCCAAAAGCACCTGAAACCCTACCTTTTCAAAGAGTATCTTAAATAATCCCCCTCCTCACCTGAAAGAAAAGTGTACTTACTATGACTGTGATATGTGGTTGTCCCACTTAGCTATTTTTAGATGAATGAACTAACTGTAAGTCACTCTGGATAAGAGTGCCTGCTAAATGACAAAAATGTTAAATGTAGGAAGCAATGAGTCATACAAGACCACATCTATCTATATCTGATGGCTGACAAGCCATTGAATGACTGGACTTCTCTGTGAACTCCCCTCACTCTTTTAATATCTCATCACTGTCTTTAGTTCCCCTCTCTGTCACTGGTTGACCACCTTACTCTGCTTTTATCGGCCAAGTCTGTTTGCATTATGGATTGGTACTGTACTCACATGAGTGTATGTATTTCTCATGGTTATGCATGTTATTTTAACAGGGGCAACGGTAAAAAAGTGTGAGAGCAAAGACAGTTGATTGGTGTTTCAAGGAGGATCTTTCCTGCTTTGCAAGGAATATGTGCTGTTAGAGAATACTTGCCAAAGAGGTAATTTAAGAATATGTTTACCTGACCTCTTAGTCTTAGTGACTGTGTCCTTGTGCAAATCAGCATGTGTCCATCAACCTCTGAGTTTGTTCCTCCTCTCCCCACATCAGGGAAAGTCAGCTGTGGGGCTGTCTAGTGCAGTGTCTGTCCCTTCCTCAGGACCCATGGACCCCGGTGTTCTGAGGACATGAGCTATAGCCTGTCACTGTCTGTTATGTCAACATGGCGTTGCTTTGGAGAGACCAGAGGGCTATACTACAAATTAGGATCAATGAGTTAGCCAGCTAACTTTGATAAGCAACCAGAAATAACTATTGATCTTCAGGTTCATTATTTATATTTACATTTAAGTCATTTAGCATTATAAAAGCTCAATTTAGATATGTGTTCATTTGTTGAATCAATTAGATCATACCCATTTCAAGCTTGTTTTAATACAAACTTTAAGTTATCAGAATATTTAGGCAAGTTAGCTGGCTAACTCCTTGATCAGCTTTGTAGTACAGCCCCTGGAGGGTTACTGAGGTTTGAGCCAGAAAATACAGCAGCTCAACGTAAAGAGACCCACAAAAGATGATAACATGATGAACCAATGTTGAAGTTAATCTAGGCAAAAATTGAATAAACTAAACACCAGGGATTGTACAAAAATGGGGGGAATTTTATTCACTTAAAAACAAAAAACAGGCACAGCATCGGTCTGAGCAAACTCATACACACAGACAAAATATTGACAATAACAACAGACCATATACACTGTATAGTCACAATATCAAGGACAATAGTGATGTGATGATAATCGCCAAGGCAAAAATGTTACGACACAGAACAATTTGGTGGTAAGAGTTGTGTTACGACAACACAAAAACACACAGACAAAGCCTGAAGAACTCCCAATTCGCCAGAACCGTCAATCACTCCAGTCCTTTTACCAGCCGCTAAGGGGCTTGAATTAATGAATGTGCGTTGAATTCTACAGTGCATTCACTGACTGACATTGAGCTAGGCTTAACTCAGTGTTTCCCCTCTCAATGACTCAGACAAAATACACCAGTTTATTAGGTACACCACCCCGTTCATGAAAATGGTTCGCGCCTACAGACAGTGAGTCACGTGACCGTGGCAGACAGGCATCCATTTACTATTCGATCAGCCATCACTGATCTTAGAAGCTTCCATTGGGCTCTTAATAGAATATATACACTGAGTATACCAAACATTTGGAACACCTTCCTAATATTGAGTTGCGCACCCCCACCCCCAGCCTCAATTCGTCGGGGCATGGACTCTACAAGGTGTTGAAAGCATTCCACAGGGATGCTGGCCAATGTTGACTCCAATGCTTCCCACAGTTGTGAAATTGGCTGGATGTCGTTTGGGTGGTGGACCATTCTTGATACACACGAGAAACTGTTAAGCGTGAAAAACCCAGCAGTGTTGCAGTTCTTGACACAAAACGTTGTGCCTGGCACTTACCACCATACCCCGTTCAAAGGCACTTACATTTTTTGTCTTGCCCATTCACCCTCTGAATGGCACACATACACAATCCATGTCTCAATTGTCTCACGGCTTAAAATCCTTCTTTAACTTGTCTCCTCCCCTTCATCTACACTGATTGAAGTGGATTTAACAAGTGACATCAATAAGGGATCATAGCTTTCATCTAGATTCACCTGGTCAGTCTATGTCATGGAAAGAGCAGGTGGTCTTCATGTTTTGTATACTCAGTGTATATCTTGAATCTGTACAATAACACTTTTCAATATAACACATCTCTTTAAAACGGACAAAAAATTATATCCATGACATGGCACACTGGCCACCGCGGGTTAAGAAATATACACGTATATGGGCTTCCATGTTAAAAATGAACTACTCTCAATACTGAATACATAGGCCTATTTATTTACAAAACGAATAACAGAGACCATCCAGGACCATGGCTGTGCATCACTGATATGGACTCCCATATTTAGCTGGGTAGTGTACATTAGTGCACACAGTAGCTAAATGTTTTGCAACGAGAAACAAAAACATTTTACCTTTCTAATTGGACAAGATCAGCTAGTCCCTCCGGTTTGCTTCCTTTTTGTGCCTACTGAATCCGGCCCATGTAATACAGTGGCGCTGAAGCTTCATATTCATGATAGCGATATTGACTATTGTCTCACAATGCTACAGCCCAAGGTGGCTCAGAGTTGCATTGTCTGTGTTCCAATGGGATTGACCACCTGTCAATTATCCATCTATGGCTCTGGGATTGACTATCATTACTGGTTAGGTAAAGCACATCTGATCTATTACAGTGCAACCAGAATGGAATGCACTATACATTTTATCCCAGTTGAAATGGGTATAGAGCACACCTACTGTACACTATTTTAATATGGCAAAGTATGCCAATGCCAAGTTGCTAGTAGCTAATTGTGCAGTTGCAGTATTGAAAATATCAGCCTAGTCTTTTGCTACAATGCACAGCAATATTGTCTTGATTGTCCAAGCTCGTAATAAATATTTGTATCAGTCAGTCAGTCAATAAATATCGTATTTCCTTCAGTCAGTCGACAGGTCACAATAATCACTGTGCTGTTAATGTAGTCTGCCTGTCATTTGTAAATATGTTGCATGGTTATGGCACAGGGTTGCTTTGTCCAGTCCACTATACCTTTAGCCAGCGGATAACCTCTTGCTGAGGTAACTAAATCAAAGCTGCTGTTTCATCTTGGGAGTGGGAGTGTTTGAGACACCTAGATGTTAGTCACAGTCAGACAGTGACAATAGGTGACAGTCGGCGACAGTCTCTGTCACTGGAGTGGTATCCAGAGCTAAACCACAGTAGTCATTGTCTGAGAGAGTCTCCCCCATTGAAATATAATTAGATCATTCTCTATGGTCTCCCCAGTCTGAGAGGGTCTCCCCCATAGAATTAGATAGATCTCTAAGGTCTCCCCCATAGAAATATAATTAAAGAGATCCCAATGGTCTCCCCCATAGAAATAGATAGATCTCTATGGTCTCCACACTCAGAGAAAGATCAGTTCACTTCTCAGCAGTAAGGGAATGTCATTTAAGGTCAGGGTTGACATAAGAGTGTAAGGACATACATCAAACATACACAATAACTCTCTCATAAACATCAGCATGTAAAATACACACACGTGCACACCTTTCACTCTTCCATGCCACCGATACCCACCTCTTTCTTTCCCTAACTAGTTGCAGTGATAAACTGTCTCTACACCTCCTCTCTCTCCCTCCTCCTTCACATCCTCCTCTCTTTCTTCTCCTTCATACTGCTGCTTTGTATAAAACCAAGTCCCCACGTCATTCCTCCTTTATCAGTTCATCCCTCTCTCCTCAGGACTTGAGTCCCATGCGGGCCATCAGCTGTTCGTAGACGGTCCAGGCCATGGCTGCCATCAGAGTCCTCCTCAGAGAGCGAGGCACAGCCCCACGGAAGAAACCCCTCAGACCATGCTCCTGAAGGAGATAGAAGAGGAGCGTTTAATCACTGTTCAGTTGGTAAATAGAATAGTGTGTGCAAGAAGAGATGTTCAGTTGCTTTTGGAGGAACATGTACATTCAATAACAAGTGCTTCAAATACATAGCTATATGTCATGGAATAAATACCCTCAGAATGGGAAAAATAGGAAGACCAAGAACGGTACATTACACACAGGAAATGAATAATGTACTGTATATTTTCATTAAGATTCAGGCCTCACCGTGTAGATGTATCGAATGGCTTCCTTGGTGGTCCAGTGGGAGGGGCTGACCTGGATGTGAGTCTTGACCACGTCAGCTGGCTGGGTGACCACAGAGGCCAGGACTCCGGCCATCACCCCACAGCCAAAGTTCCCCAACGGGGCATAGAGGGATGAGCTCACCTCTGAGGGAAGAGACCACACAGAGAATGTGAGACCTACATAGGCACTAATAGAAAACACAAGTCATTATTCTGGATTACTCAGAATTCAGTGCAAGCAATACCCCAACATGGCGTTTAATAGCCGTTTACACTAACATACACCAATGTAAAGAAATCTTGCTGAAATAACACACTTGACTATTCAGTGTGTCGGTGTGACATTTTGTGGTCTCTCGCTCTCCACCTCCTCTCACATAGACAACTGTATCCTTAAGGCAGACGAATGGGTTTCTCTTACCCTGTGGCAGGGACCTCTTGGCCTGGCTGTAGAACATGACGTAGATGCCAGAGAAAGGGGCGTCTCGGAGCAGTGTGGCCGTCAGCCCAGAGAACAGAGCCCTGGGTCCCTCCGTCTCACACACGCTCTTCAGAGCTCCCAGTACGCTCACGTAGTTGTACTGGCCGCTCTGCAAAACACACACAGTAATACACCACATTATACACTAGCTCACCTAGTTATACCGCACACTCTGGAATACATCTAGGGTTGGGGTCAGTTCCATTTCAATTGACTGAATTGAAATGGAATTGACCCCAACGCTGAATACAGTGGAGGCTGCTGAGGGGAGGACGGCACATAATAATGGCCGGAATTATTATGAGCAGTCCTCCCCTCAGCAGCCTCCACTGACTGAATACTAACTCAATACACAACTAGCGTTAGCACACTCTGCCAACCCTGATGTTCTAGCAGTGTCTGAATCTTGGCTTAGGAAGGCCACCAAAAATTCAGAAATTTCCATTCCGAACTACAACATTTTCCATCTAGATAGAACTGCCAAAAGGGGCGGAGTTGCAATCTACTGTAGAGATAGAACTGCCAAAAGGGGCGGAGTTGCAATCTACTGTAGAGATAGCCTGCAGAGCTCTATCATACTATCCAGGTCTGTGCCCAAACAGTTTGAGCTTCTACTTCTAAAATTCCACCTTTCCAGAAATAAGTATCTCACTGTTGCCGCTTGCTACAGACCCCCCTCAGCCCCCAGTTGTGCCCTGGACACCATATGTGAATTGCTTGCCCCCCATCTATCCTCAGAGTTTGTACTGCTTGGTGACCTAAACTGGGATATGCTTAACACCCCGGCCGTCCTACAATCTAAACTAGATGCCCTCAATCTCACACAAATTATCAAGGAACCTACCAGGTACAACCCTAAATCCGTAAACATGGGCACCCTCATAGATATCATGAAAAATAAATACAAAAAATATCATCCTGACTAATTTACCCTCTAAATACACCTCTGCGGTCTTCAACCATGATCTCAGCGATCACTGCCTCATTGCCTGCGTCCGTAATGGGTCCGCGGTCAAACGACCACCCCTCATCACTGTCAAACGCTCCCTAAAACGCTTCAGCGAGCAGGCCTTTCTAATTGACCTGGCCCGGGTATCCTGGATGGATATTGACCTCATTCCGTCAGTAGAGGATGCCTGGATGTTCTTTAAAAGTGCTTTCCTCTCCATCTTAAATAAGCATGCCCCACTCAAAAAAATCAGAACTAAGAACAGATATAGCCCCTGGTTCACCCCAGACTTGACTGCCCTTGACCAGCACAAAAACATCCTGTGGTGTACTGCATTAGCATCGAACAGCCCCTGCGATATGCAACTTTTCAGGGAAGTCAGGAACCAATATACACAATCAGTTAGGAAAGCAAAGGCTAGCTTTTTCAAACAGAAATGTGCATCATGTAGCACTAACTCCAAAAAGTTTTGGGACACTGCACTGAGTAATAAGAGCACCTCCTCCCAGCTACCCACTGCACTGAGGCTAGGAAACACTGTCACCACTGATGAATCTACGATAATCGATGTCAATAAGCATTTTGCTACGGCTGGCCATGCTTTCCACCTGGCTACCCCTACCCCGGCCACCAGCCGAAATTGTCGCAACCCCTATTACTAGCCTGTTCAACCTCTCTTTCGTATCGTCTAAGATCCCCAGAGATTGGAAAGCTGCCGCAGTCATCCCCCTCTTCAAAGGGGGTGACACTCTAGATCCAAACTGTTACAGACCTATATCCATCCTCTATTTGCACATCATCTTCTGCACACCTATCACTCCAGTGTTAATACTACATTTTAATTATTTTGCACTATGGCCTATTTATTGTCTTACCTCCATAACTTACTACATTTGCATACACTGTATATAGATTTTCTATTGTGTTATTGACTGTACGTTTTGTTTATTCCATATGTAACTCTGTGTTGTTGTTGTTTTTAATCGCACTGCTTTGCTTTATCTTGGCCAGGTCGCAGTTGTAAATGAGAACTTGTTCTCAACTGGCTTACCTGGTTAAATAAAGGTTAAATAAAAAAAATAGCAACATTTAAACAGTAGACCAGATAGATATCCACCACACTGTCTGAAACCCAATGGAGCGTCATTAATAAATAGATGAGACATCATAGTCATACAGATGAAGAAGCTTGCAGGCGACACAGTTACATTTGTAGTCTTGACACATCCGCTATGCACAGCTAGATCCTCAGTCCTTATAAAACCAACATGACAGCATTTATTCAAATGCAGATAGAAGCGTTTAGTTCCCAAGGCAATCAGCTCTCCCACCAGATAACCTCCTCTCTCTCCCTCCCCTCTCTTCTCTTCTCCCTTTATCTCCTCCCTCTCTCTCTACAGTAGCAGGCTGCTAATACTACCATCATCCTCTCTCTAATTCTACCTTCCATCTCCAGCCCACAGACACCAGAAATGTCCCAGCCTTGTCTGCTAGTGATTGTTCAATGCTATTACTGAACCACCAACCCTTCCTCCTTTGTTTTCTTCCTGACTTCATTCTTCCTTTCCTCTCATACACCTTCTGAACCATTCCTCCTCTTAATTCATACATCCTTTCACCACTTTTTCCATCCATTCATGCCCATCTTCCTCCTAATCTATCCTAAACATACAAGGCTTTAGCAACCCTCACCTCTATTCCTTCACTGAACCACCCCTCCATCCTTGCTCCTCTCCCCTCCACCTCTCCCATCCCACACCATTCCCTCAGTCTTATTCCATCCTCATATAGCTGTAACAACCTCTATCACTCAACCATCCCTTAATCCCAGTTCCTCCCCCTCTCCATCTTCTCTTTTAGTTGATCCCCATTCACAACACAGAGAAGAAGCTCTCACCTCGAAGCGTGTCTTGATGACGGTGACAGGCAGCATGCAGACCCCAGCCACGGCCCTGGCCCCGGCCCCCAGCAGCACAGCCTCCCCAGCGTTAGGGGCCCGGCCCTCCTGGAAGTAGTGCTGCTTCAGGGAGTAGAAGGTGGAGAAGTAGATCCCTACGCCCGGGATGCAGCGCACAAACGACTGGGGAGAGAGAGAGTGAAGAAAGAGAGCGAGTGGGGAGGGAGAGCAGAGAGAGAGAGATCGGAGGTCAAGATTTAGATTGAAGCCGAATTCCTTTTCGACGGTAAGGAAAAAACTCATCATTTCAGCACAAAGTTGACATTTCCTTCTTTAATGTATAAACAATGGCGAAGGTGCATAAAGAATTCAGATATGACGTCATTGTTTTAGCACTATCCACTGAGTTTTTAAAACTACGGCGCGCTACATGGTTCAATGGCAATAAATCAGCACAATCTACTTTTTCTGGTTTTCAAATTGCCACCGTCTTGGAGCTAGAATTGGGATCATGTATACTGTGCTAATGACGACACAATAAAAGAGTCAAGGAGAGCAACGTACAATACGGCGACCTGAACAAACGAGGCATTTGTGGTAAGTACACGGGCCGCCATCTTTATGCACCACCGCTATTGTTCACACAAAAGAAAACACAGTTGGAAACAAAGTCCTGTCGTTTTTGGAGAGTGATGTGATCTACTAAGAATGTCTGGTTCTTAGAAAAATATTCACTAAGAACCAAAGTGATACACTAAGCCAGACTTCGTAGACAGACTGTGTTAAAATAGGGTAAGTACAACCACAAGACGAACAGGGTAGCCAGACTGCTTAGAGTAGACACTCACCGGTGACACTCCCTTCCACAGGCCCAGGAAGCTCTCTGTGCGAATGACCTGGATAAGCACGGTCATCATCCCCACCTTAGGAGCTCTGAGAGACAGGAGATAAATACATGGTTAAACACACACACAACATTCATTAAGCTAAGAGAGCGAATACTTAAAAACAAGCAAAAGTCTACAAAGACAGATTCCTACCAGGTGTGCACACCTGTAGATATGTGCCCAACACGTGTCTTTGGGGGTAAATTCTAGTGAGGAGTTGTTAGCATGGAAGTGTGTCTAATTAGCATATATGGGTCAAATGAGGGGATTCACACTGTCTGACAGCTACTGAAGAGGGATTCTACACTGAATTGGGTCTCTCTGTGTTTGTATCGGTGTGTATGCAAGTATACATGCGCGCGCGTGTCTCTGGCTCTTTCTGTGTACGTGAGTCCTACAGGCTAGAGCTGGGATGATAAACCGAAAATTACCGACACCGACATTTCTAACTCATACCGAAGCAATTTTGAGAATATCGGCAATTACACAATGTTCCTGTGTGCATAAAGAATAGACTACGGAGCGGCGTGGCATATACGAAAGCAAAACGGAATAGAAAAAAGCCTGGTACTCCCAGAGCTCAACACTCATCTATGCCCTTTCATTTGAACAAAGACTACAGCAGCCAATCAGAGACGTGTTTTCATCCCATGCTTCCCACACCCGTTGATGGCAGTTCTCTGAAGTGATGTTGTGAGTAGCCTCATTCATTAGCAGGGGGAAAATGAATAGAGATAAAGAAACTGCAGTCCCAGAAATCCAAGAACAATTACTGCCAAAGAAGGATGCTGTTGTTGGGGCCTATTTTGGTTTTCAACCTAGTGACATTGAGCAGAGTGAGGTGATGTGCTTGAACTGTCACATAACTATAACAACCACTCGAGGTAACACCAACAACTTATTGTATTCCACCATTTGAAACCCAGGCATGCAATACAGCATGACGAACGCATGGCGAAGAAAAATTAGCAGAGGCCAACAAGCGTCATGACTAGGGCTGTGGCTGTCATGAAATTTGGTCAGCAGGTGATTGTCATGCAAATAACTGCCTGTCTAACGGTAACTGACCGTTAATTAACATAAACATGTTTAGCATCTCAGGCTTCCACTCATAGCCTACAAGCCACTGATGCAGATCTTTTGAACATCTATATATTTTTTAAGTCTAATAAATCAATTTAATATAGCTTACAGCATTACAATAAATCCATTATTTATTTTAGGCAGGTCTATAGAAACATTGTGATCTGAAGACAATGTAGCCTATTTCAGAAGAACAGAGTGATTTAAAGGGACAATGAAGCCGGCCGCGGTTAGCAAGTTTGGTAGGCTACTAATGACCATCAGCGGCATCAGAGCGCCGTTTTGGAGGCTAGTTACCGTGACTCAATGGTCATGTGGATTTTGACTGCGGTCATGACTCGAGACTGCCGGTGTGGCGGTAATATGGTCACCGTAACAGCCCTTGTCATGACAAGAGCAATGCCCAGGGACAACAACCCAATACGGAATTGTTTGCACATGCAACACACACTAACCAATGGAATGAAATGACAGATGCCGTAACGTACCACATCGCAAAAGACATGGCCCCAAATTCAACAGTTGAATAGAGTGGTTTCAAGAAGATGGTAAACAATCTGGACAAGAAATACAAAATGTACGAGAAATGTCATGCCAAAATAGCATTGGAGCCGAAACAGGTGCACTATTTCGCCACAACAACTGACATGTGGTCCAATAGGACGGTGAAGCCCTACATGTCATTGACACTGCACTACATCGATGCCCACTGGAAGCTGCGCAGCAGGTGCTTGAAGACTGCCTACTTTCCAGAGGACCACACTGGGGAGATACGGGCACAGGGGCTGGGGGACTCGCTAGCAGCCTGGGATCAGCCGGAGGAGAAGCAGGATTTGTATCACAACGGACAGTGGGGCAAGCATCGCGAAAGCCACCAACCTAAATGGAAGGACGAGGCTGCAGTGTTTCAGCCATCGACTTCAACTCGCCATCGGTATGTATTGTAATAAAGCTGAACAAAAAAGGCCTGCATTTTGATTGTGTTTGGAGCAAATAATTTGCTGCAATTACCAAACACCAATAGACTAATGGATTTGAACTTAGTTTGAAATACTATTACATTTTAAATCAGTCTTTATAAGAAATAAATACATAACTAAATGAATGTTTAAAATACAGGTCTCTTTCTGTAGCAGCGTTATATCATCTTTTAAACCATATGCTGGATCACCTGGTAACCAAATAACTTAGGATAATATATTACGGCAATTTCTTTGACATGGTGTATAAAGGGTGCTAATGGAGAGTAACTGTGCACCTCCCCAAATAATAATTGATCGTTATTTAATAGTTTTTTAAATTTGAAATGTATCGCGATATGGATTTTTATCAGTATCGCCGAGCTCCACTACATACCCAGGCTTCATGTTGTTCTGCAGGGTCTGCAGGCGCGTCTTGACCAGGTCCAGAGGCTGGAAGAGCAGCGTGGAACAGGTGCCGCTCAGTGAGCCACACATGAAGGCCTTGAGAGCTGGGTGCGCCTGGGGGGGCATGAAGAGAGAGAGACGGAAGGAAGAGAAGAGGGTGAGAAAAAGAGGATGACGGATAAGTAATGCTGAAACCCACCGCACACTTCAACATGTCCTTTTATTTGTGACTGGTGCTACATGCATGCACATGCTGGCAGGCAATACAGTTTACACCACACATTCTGTTTGTGAAAACACAAACAATGCCTTAAAAGGCTATACACAGTACGGAAAGATGTTCATGATGTATGCACAAGTACACACAGATACAACAAATTGCAACGACAGCCACAGGACACAGGCGAGCGCCCACACAACCAGTGGTGATGGAGATGTGTGCAGACAGTCGACACACAAACAGAGGAGCTGTCACGGCGAATCACACGGAGACTCAGCGTTATCATTATTCACACGTCTGACAGACAAACACGGAGGGGGGACGGGACGACACACACAGATAAATACCAACACACACAGGCGCACGTACATACATACACAATTGCACTGCACACTCCCCTTACCCCTCTGGACAAAAGGAATGCGTATGTGAGCATGCTGTTCGTCGACTACAGCTCGGCCTTCAATACCATAGTGCCCTATAAGCTCATTACAACGCTCACGGACCTGGGTCTGAACTCCTTCCTATGCAACTGGGTCCTGGACTTCCTGAAGGGCCGCCTCCAGGTGGTGAAGGTAGGCAGCATTACCTCCTCGACACTGATTCTCAACACGGCGGCCCCACAAGGGTGCGTCCCCTCCTGTATTCCCTGTATACCCACGACTGCGTGGCCTCACACAGTTCCTACTCCATCATCAAGTTTGCTGAGAACACGACAGTAGTAGGCCTGATTACCAAGAACAACGAGATGGCCTACAGGGAGGAGGTAGGCACTCTGACGGCGTGGTGCCTGGTAAACAACCTCTCCCTCAACGTCAGCAAAACAAAGGAGCTGATTGTGGACTTCAGGATGAACCAGGCTGGACACGCCCCCATCCTCATCAACGGGGTCGCCGTGGAGACGGTCAATAACTTCAAATTCCTTGGTGTACACATTTTAGAAAAGCTGTAATGGTCAAACCACACGGACACCGTGGTGAAGAAGGCACAACAGCGACTCTTCAACTTCAGGATGCTATAGAAATTTGGCCTGTCCCAGAGGGCCCTCACAGTTTTCTACAGGAGCACCATTCGAAAGCATACTGTCGGGATGCATCACAGCCTGGTACTGCAGCTCCACCGCGGTCTGCGGCACTTCAGAGGGTGACACATGCAGCCAAATGCACCATTGGGTGCACACTGTCTGCCCTCCAGGACACATACAACACCAGGTGTCACAGGAAGGCCAAGAAGATCATCAGGGACCTCAGCCACCCGAGCCATGCCCTGTTCTCCCCGCTTCCATCACTCAGATGCGGGCAGTACAGGAGCAGCATGGCTAAAACTAACAGACTGGCCAATAGTTTCTACCCCCATTCCATCAGGCTGCTGAATAGCTACCACTAGTCAGCTACCTACTAACCCCTCCCCCCTGCTACTCCCCCTATGGACATTTTCACCCCACCTCCTCAACTGACTTTTGCTCTGCCCCCACCCCAATGATATTCATCACTGTTGCAGTTGTTAATATGTATTATTTTATTTAACTTGGTCCCCACACCTCCTCAATGGTCATTTAGTCTGCCTGCTGCTCCCCCAATGGTCATTTAGTCTGCCTGCTGCTCCCCCAATGGTCATTTAGTCTGCCTGCTGCTCCCCCAATGGTCATTTAGTCTGCCTGCTGCTCCCCCAATGGTCATTTAGTCTGCCTGCTGCTCCCCCAATGGTCATTTAGTCTGCCTGCTGCTCCCCCAATGGTCATCCCCCACCCCCTCTGCCTCAATGGACATGTATTTATTCATCACTGCTACAGTTATCATGTATATAGTGCTATTTCTATAGTTTTTTATGACCATTTTCATTGTTTTATTTCACTGTACCCTGCAATCACACCTGCAATCCTGTACATGTGACTATTAAACAGTCAATCTGAAACACACATGGCCACAAAGACAGATGACAGGCACACACACACACACAAAGACATATAAATGCAGAGAGGCGGATGATGCCGGATCTCAAATACTGTAATCATGGTGATGAACAATTCTTTTTAAAAGCACGTAGACACAAATGCACAACAGCATAGCACAGAAAAAGCATCCACACTGGCACTTGACAGTAACACACACACACACAGGCCACTGGCTATCCTCCCTACCTTTCCCAAGATGCTGGAGGGTTTGCCTCCTTGAGAATCCTGTTTCTGTTGCATGTCTCCCTCTATCACCTCTCTCTCTCTCTGTGCTGCTGCTACGAACAGCATATTACAAAATAAGCCATCTCCATCTCTCGCTTCCCTCTCTCTTGATCTAACACACAATCGTTTTCTGCTGCTACCTCTTCTCACCCCCCCCTCCCCAGCCACAGCTTCATCCACAGGCTTCTATTGGTTTCTCTCTCTCTCAATTGCTTGTTGATTCGTACATACACACACACAACAGAATTGCGCTGCTCTCTCCTCCAATCTAAATCGCTCTCTGTCAAATTTCATCTCTATGAAATGCGATGTATGAGTCATGCAGTGGCTGTGTCGATGTGTGTGTGATTTAGACTGTGTGTGTGTGTGTGTGTGAGAGTCTGTCTGTGTGTGTGTGTGTGTGTGTGAGAGACACTAAATATGGGTCACTGAGAATTGGATGGTGGTGGGAGTCTGTTTATGCAAATGAATGTGTGACTTTCTGCCTGTGTGCACTACACTGTCTTCCCCAGGCCAGGATGACATAACCAATGTAAAATTATTGTAGAAGAATATTACAATGTTTGCACCAAAAATACAACTTTCTCAGTCTATTGCAGCCTATTTTACCCCGAAGTCAAAGGCTTAGGCTCACAACCCATTATTGTCATCATTACAAAAAAAGATGTCCCTTTTCTAAAGAATGCCATGGCAACAGACAACAATGACCAATGAGGGGCTGCCTGTAGAACATAAAAGGGGGTTGGCCTCACCTCAATATACTTTTGTAGATTTCAACTCCTTACTTCTGGAGAATATAGTCAAATCCTGCCCATGACCCCATGTATTCAAACCAAATCTTTGCAGAAAATGTAAGGTGGAGCATTTTACAAAAACGATTTTACTTGAACTGTGCAGATGCAACATTTGGTAACAGAATGACGGTTTGTGCTATCATTCTGTTACCAAACTTTGCATCTGCAAAGTGGAAATTGTTAAAAGTAGTCATTGTGCAGAGTTGTATGGTTTTTATTTGACATACATTTTAAAGCTGCAGTATGTTACCTTTTGGGGTGAAGACCAAATTCAGATATTGAGTTATAGATCTGTCATTCTCCTTGAAAGCAAGTCTAAGAAGAAGTAGATCTGCTCTATGTGCGTTATTTCTATGCTTCCTGTTCTTAAGTTTTGTTTTTGCGTCTTTACTTTTGTACACCAGCTTCAAACAGATATAACAACTATATTTTGGTTATGTTAAATATATTTCACAGCGGTTTAGATGGTTAAAAAAAACACTAAATTAGGCGAATTGTTAGATTTTTAGCAACCAGGAAATGGCGGAGCGATTTCTGCATAGTGCATCTTTAAAGTGAAAAATCTGAGACTGATTGTCACTCTGTTAACATGGAATTGCCCCCTACTGTCATGCACTCACATTCGATCCACTACTACTACTAGCTGTCAGTCAGGTTAGGTCGCTTGTATATAAACAAAGACAATGCCTGTGGACTACATAGTGTTCATGTATACATTTGTATCTACTCATTTACCAGTGCCAACTCCATCTTTGATGCTGATGCAGTGGATGAATCCTGAAGGAGCGATGCGAGCGCCTCCTTCCCTTCTTTTGCCGTCTTGTCGCGGTTTGTTTACAGCCCCAACTACAGTGAGAGGGTGAATAGCTATACCAGTTACATACGCATGTCAACATAATGATGCAATGTTTTTTTTAGAGACTCGCTACAGCCATTAAGCTATATTACGGCTACATCAGTTCCAAATGAATACAAAAGCTAGCTACCTCTTTAGCTATTGAAAAGGTGGTCAAATGTCATGCACACGGTACATAACATACCTTACCTGGCTTTGAAGCGCTTTAAGTTAGTTAGGGACGGATGACTTGATTCAGTTCAAAGATAGTCATTTTGCCGGTGACAGGCTACAAGAAACAAGTCAGTCACTACACCAACTAGCGAACTGTTAGCTGAACAAAAACGTTAACTACCTAGCAAGCGCGGCAATTGAGTAATAATTGTGTTTAGCTAAAATCAGTACTCGTTTACTCGTTAGGTAGCTAGCAAACTCTCCGAAATGAAGCAAGATAGCTAGCTGTACTGACTTGGCTAATGCTAGCAAAAGTAGTTGGCTGGCTTTGTACTAAAACTTGACTACTCACAGCAACCAAAGTGTAGCCATCTACTAAGATAATTCACTAGATTTACACGTAGACCACTATGCAGTTTTTTGCCATCCACCTTGTTTCTTGCCGTCAATGACAATGTTGCCGTCGGCGTCCGGAAATGTCAAACCTGCAGTGCGTACGTAGTGCGAGATGCGCAATTCTTCCGACGTCGCCCCAAGCCCCTCCTCTCTACCCCGTACCAGTCGGTGCCAACCAGTTGTGAACCGGTTTCAGCTCGCTTTCCACTGCAAACAGTGGGAGGGGGCATAGGCAATATTTCTAGTTCTACTCTTTGAACCCTCTGGTGGTGTACTTGAGGACTGAATGTGGATAAATACTGTAGCTAATTTGTGGCATCACTCGTTCGTTTTTTCCGTTGAATGTGTGACAATATATTCACTGCATCACAATATTTCAGGGTTACAAATATTGCAGTCATATCCATTTAAAATAACATTTTTATTGAAACATGGCATTTGATAAAATACAAAATACTCTGAAATTAAACTTAATATACCCCCGTCACAATACATTAAACCTTGAGTGAAAATTGATCAAAAGCAGACATACCCCACTATATCTTGCAAAATCTCTATAAGCTCTAATTGAAATGTGAAAGTGCAATAACAGCAAATGAAAATAGTGACAGCACTAGATTAAAAATAAGAGTATATATTCTGAGATATTAAGTAGAATTCACACCATGTAATATTCTCACTCCCACCCATGTGCAAAGAAATGCAAAGAACACTGTGTGCCATCTAACCCATCACCATTCTTCCTATTTATCAGAGCACATGGATCAACGCAAAGCTTCCAGAATAATTGCAAGACACCAATAACTATCGGAAAAGACCCCCCCACATATTTTAGCATAATAGGATTTGCAAGTGTTAAGGCTGTAGTTATTCTCAGTGTATGCACCAACTTTATTCCAGTGTGAACGTTAAGTATAAAGTGCAGCCTCTAACTGTAGATGTAATAACTTTGTGTAAACCTCATGTCCTAATGTGATGCAAGTTGAACAATGTGGATTAACAGTGAAGTACTACTGGGCGTGCGGGAAATAATACCAGTGAAAAAGATACACCAGAAGTACATAGTACAACCCTAATAAACCATATTGAATTACTGCATTCATAAAGAAAACAAAACCATATATGTGCACTGCAAAAGATGGCACAAACAGTATCATACAAGTTCCAAGGGAAAGAGAGGTAGCGGCTGATAGTGTGGCTAGAATACACCCCAATAGCAATTTAAGCTGCTAGGCCATTTGTTTGAATAATATATTTTTTATAATATTGAAAATGGCAGTAGAAAAATGGATCTAGAAAAAGTCACATATTTGTTAAACTAGCCTCTAAGATAAATTCACATTCATGACAAAATATATAATTTGGCCACAGATATTTGTTTTGAACACATGCACAAAATGCATTGTACAGATTTAGAATTTGTAAATGATTAAATCTAGGAGAATAATCTCAGGGCTCCTACTAGGCCTACCTGAACAAAGCAAATTGTCAAGAATGGACACTGAAGAGAATAGCATAAATCTTTGTATAAAATTCTTTGTACGATAGCAAGCATGGCTGATGGAGCAGTCAGCTATAGAATGCACTATTTCATTCTATGATAGATTTTGCATTTCCAGTATGGTCCCTGTAAAAGTTGACTGCGCTCTCCTGTCACGTTAATCTCACTCCGGTATGGGCTTAGGTGTTTCGCTGGTCATATCCATCTCCTCATCACTGTCCCCCATGTCTGTGCGATTGATGACGCGGCGCATGTTTAAAGGCAAGTCCCCACGCCTGCAGAGAGTAAATCAACCCAATCAATGACTTCAGAGATATTTGGTAACATGTATTATGCAATTACTGAAAGTAATACATTTTTAGATCCATTTATGCTTGTTCAAAGTCAAAGACCCAAGTAACGTATTGTATTTCTGTAAAAAGGTGTGCCAAAAACACCATAACTATAAAATCAGTCTAACTATCAAAAGGGCTGGGTTATATTCAATGAGTTCAGAATGTTGCTGATAGAAATGTAACAAAAAGATCAGACAATCCCCTATTCTACTTAACATACATACTCTACACCAGGGATTCCCAAACTCAGTCCTGGGAGCCCCTCTGGGTGCACATTTTGGTTTTTGCCCTAGTACTACAGAGCTGATTCAAATAACCAACTCATCATCAAGCTTTGATTATTTGAATCAACTGTAGTGCTAGGGCAAAAACCAAAACATGCACCCATGGGGGGATCTATCTAAACCTTGAGCAACATTTCACCCTAATGAACAAAGGGTAAAAGGAGGGTGGGTGAGGGATGATTGATGACCATACCTGAGCTTGCTCTTCAGGGTGCTGACCTCTCGGGTCACGGCGTCTTGCGACTCAGTGGCGTCGTCAAGCTCCCTCTGCAGCTTCCTGCGGTTGGCGTTGGCCCGTGTCACTTCCTCCTCGGCCTCCTCCAGCTGACGCTTTAGCTGACGTGTGCGGCTGTTCGCCTTCTCTGCCTGTGGAGTACGGGCAGAGGATTTTCGATCATTGACTGCAAATCTATGTAGTCTTCATCTATGAGGCTATACAGTAACTATGCAAGGTGGTTCAGTGGCTGCAGCTATACAGATTAGGTTATACTAAGCGGTCTCTGGTTGTTTTACAGACCGCGCAGATTCAGAACAGGTCTGCACAAATTATCTGGGGTATATTCATTCGTCGGATTCCATTGCAAAATGTTTAGTCTGTTGCAAAACATTTAGCAACGGAAACAGTTTACTCCAAACAGAAAATGTTTTGCAAGGAAAACTAGAGTTTCTATTGGACAAATTCAGGTAGGTTCCTCTCCATTTCCTTCCGTTTGCTCTGTTTGGTTTCGATTGGTTCCTACAGTAAACAAATCTGAGTAATGAACACCCCAGATCTTTATAATGCATGGAAATTATTGTATCATCTGCATCCTTCGTCTCGCTTGTCTGGTTACATTGCACCTGGGGCTATATACACACACACACCCACAGGAGGTTGGTGGCACCTTAATTGGGGAGGACAGGCTCGTGGTAATGGCTGGAGTGGAATAGGTGGAATGGTATCAAATACAAACATATGGCTTCCATGTGTTTGATGCCATTCCATTCGAGCCGTTCCAGCAATTATTATGAGCCGTCCTCCCCTCAGCAGCCTCCACTGATATACACCCATGGTGCTACAGATGTAGTTGCAGGTCACTGATATAGGGGTAGGTAACCTATCTAGTTCTATGCGGAGAGGACCCACCTCTACTTTGTACTGCTCCGTGTTGCGTCGCTCATCCTCCACCTGCAGCAGCACCTCCTTCAGCTTCTTCTCTGTGCGCCTGACCAGCCTGGACGACTGCTGACGCTCCCTTAGAACAGAAAAAACAGAGTCAAGACATGACTCATGAATAGGGGCCATTTCTCCTCACCTGCTTCTCAAAATTCATAGGAGGTCAGAGGGGAGGGACCTTGTATCCTCTCCTACAACACGTTTTGAGAAGGAAGCAAGGAGAGTGGACGTGAGGAATTGAGGAAAGACCAATGGAGGCAGACAATGGTTTTTACTTACTTGGACTCCAAGTCCAGTTGATCCTCCAGCTGCAGTATCTTGGCCTCCAGGGCAGCCATAGAGGCCTTGTACTTGGACTTGACCGTCTCCTCCAGCTCCTGCTGCTTGAGCGTCAGCTCCTTATTCTGCCGGTCCAGCTGGGCCCGGGTCCCCTCCAGGCGCTGGGAGGTACTGCGCTCCGCCGACAGCTCAGTGGTCAGTTGGTCAGTCTAGGGAGGAGAGAGTGGAGGTATGGACACAAGACTATGAATTGGACAATGTAGTAGCCGGCCCATAACGTTTGACATGGTGTATTTGTCTCAATTGAGTACTTCTAATACAAATAGAGCTCTAAGGTCTAATGATTCAGGTTGAAACACTACATAAACAGAACATGCAAACATTCTTCAACCAGAATACCTCTTCATCTCCTTGTGATTAACCCAGATAAATAAAGTTGAAATACAATTTCTCGGTGTAGCTCCTCAGCTTTGCATTCAGTTCATTACCTGCAGTGTGGTTCTCCTCAAGCGGTCGTTGACCATCTCCATGTTCAACTGCTCCTCCTCCAGTTCCTCCTCTAGCTTAGCGATACGAGACTCCAGCCTCCTCTTCTCATCCACCGTCAGGGAACTGATGGGAAGGGCGAGAGCAAGGGCGAGAACGAGAGAGGAAGGGAGAGATACATTTTGGTTGGGAGGAAGAACACCATCACAGAAATGGCAAAATTCCATGCAAATTAATGTAAACCAATGGAGTGCACATAGTGTTTCTATGAGGTGTCTGAGTCGTACTTCTTGGCATTGTGGCTGTTGAGTTCGTCCTGCAGTTCGTCCCTCTCTGCCTGGGCCTGTTTCTTGACTCGCTCAGCAGATGCCAACTCCTATGGAAGATGGAGAGGAGTCTCATGAGGAGCATTAGAACATGGACAGTGGGGGTGGAGACAGCGAGCGAGCGATAGAGACAAAGGGAAACAGAGAGAGACCTGCAGACAGACATACCTCCTGGAGATGGATGGTGTCGGCCTCCATGGACTTGATTTTCTTTTCTTTCTCCTTGGCCATGTTGAGGGCCTCGTCCCTGGACAAACGCAGCTCCTCCAGCTCCCTCATCTGATCTTTCATCAGGGCCTGTATGGGAGGAGAGAACCACAAAGGACCGAGTCAAGTACCACACCAGACTGTAGGGCTTGGTATTGTTCTACCGAAAAAGACCGCACACTGCCTAATTTGTAGTGAGAGCTGTGAACTACGTTTTTGTCGGTGTAAACCTTCTTGCAGCTGTTGAGCATGCCTTCAGCTCACTTTGGGTGCATAGACAAGGTTAGTGTGTGTGAGAGAGAGACATTCTCAAAACCAGAAGCCAGTTAAAACCAAAACCATCAAATTCACTGCTCTACACTCAGGTAATTTCTTCCTGCCCAAAGTCTGACTTGAACAAATCAAGGGATCAGCTGTAACCCCTCTGGTTCTAAACTGAGAACTACTCCATTCACTACGCCCATGGTCAAAAGCGCCAAGCTCCATCTGATATGCAAGCGCCGATTAGAGCAACCACCACCAGGGACAAGTGAACATTAACCACAACTTCAGCAAACTCACTAGGAACACCAACCGTTCCCCAATGCCTCTTTGCTCCAGCCCCGAGCACTCACTGGAGGGAAACCACTAGCCATATCCTCATTTTCCTCCACCTTAACAGGAGACTCACTAGGCCTATATGCTAGAGGAACTGTCAACCGCTCCTCAATAACAGGAAGTGACAAAACCGGTGGATCTGGCTTTCCCAAACTCACTTTTTCAAGCTTCTGATTCCGCTCACAAGACACAGCCGTGTCACCCCGCAAAACATGACTGGGAAGAATCTCCTCCCTCACAGTCAGCCTGCTGAGGAACCACAACCTCCCCTACTTTGACAAGGAACGTGTCCCCTAAATTGACACATGAATCTCTCTCATCCTGCAGAGGGCACACTACATCATATCTCTGCCCAGAAGGTCTCAGATAGACAAGAATCACCTTCCTCACTAGGGAGAACAATTTCCTGGGAACCACCATCTAGTTTCTGCAAATAATGTTTCCTCCAAGGGCCCCCCCACAAATCATCCTCCTCCCTATCGTTTAAATTATTATATATTTTTTTTATCAGGACTCTTCTGAACATGAGTAACTTTACAAACTGGGCATACCTCAAAACTCCTTGAGAGACTTACCATGGTTACGCCATGGATTTTTCAGTCTGACCGATGTCGCCCCCCCCAAAAAAGACAAAGCTCTACAAGTCAGAACGTTGAATAAAATTAGATTTACGCTTAATCTTTGATGGTGCCCAGAATTGACCCCCGAGTGACACCACAGTGAATAGGTGCTGGGGACAATACTGACCCACCCATGCTCAGTGAGAAACATCTGCACAGACCGTTCCACAACATAGCAAACGTTCAATTGAACTGAACGCACCCCTGACTTTCCACTGGTGTTACACAAACCTGATCACTTGGAAACTAGCTCATCATTCTGATCACTGGATGAAACTGGTTAAGTGAGAAGACCGTCTGACAAACTCCCCCTCTATGCTGTCCTTTACTCACCTGCTGTTTCAGCGGTGCCATCTCCTGTTCGAGCCTAGCCATTAACAAAGTATTCTTCCTCATGACTGGTGTCCATCAAAACCGGCGGCATGACTTCATCCCACTTCTCCCATAGCGGCCCTACAACCTCTACCTTGTTCAACTCCTCCGCTATTTCAACCTCCAGCATTTATGCCACCTGAAAAAATGTACCCCTCGTTAGCTTGAGGAAAACCCCACCATCCTCTACACAATACACTGCTGGCTCAAATGCCCCCAGTCAAAAATCAGTACGCCAAAGACAACTAATAAATCAACTGACAAGTCAGTTAGCCACTAGCTCACCGCTAACCAACCAATGCATGCGCGTGCTCCAAGCCCCAGAGATAACCACTCCAACCAGGCAAAAACAGCATGCCATGCACCAAATGCTACCAACCATAGCAACAGTTAGCCACTAGCCTAGCGCTAACACAAACACATCCTCCAGACTCCCAACTGGGAAATCTAATCCTGCAAACAGCGCCAATAAAAGCTACCAAATCCATAGCCAGAACTGTTTTCGGCCCATGAGAATTTTAAAAAATGATATAGTACCAGTCAAAGGTTTGAACACCTACTCATTCCAGGGTTCTTTATTTTTACTATTTTCTACATTGTAGAATAATAGTGAAGACATCAAAACTATGAAATAACACATATGGAATCAAGTAGTAACCTAAAAAAAAAAAGTGTTAAACTAAATATATTTTAGATTCTTCAAAGTAGCCACCTTCGCCTTGACAGCTTTGCACACTCTTGGCATTCTCTCAACCAGCTTCATGAGGTAGTCACCTGGAATGCATTTCAATTAACAGGTGTGCCTTGTTAAAAGTTAATGCATTTGAGCCAATCAGTTGTGTTGTGACAAGGTAGGGGTGGGTATACAGAAGATAATCCTATTTGGTAAAAGACCAAGTCCATATTATGGCAAGAACAGCTCAAATAAGCAAAGAGAAACACCAGTCCATCATTACTTTAAGACATGAAGGATTGTCAATCCAGAAAATTAAGAACTTTCTTCAAGTGCAGTTGCAAAAACCATCAAGCGCTATGATGAAACTGTCTCTCATGAAAGGAAGACCCAGAGTTACCTCTGCTGCAGAGGATACGTTCATTAGAGTTACCAGCCTCAGAAATTGCAGCCCAAATAAATGCTTCACAGAGTTCAAGTAACAGACATCAACTGTTCAGAGGAGACTGCGTGAATCAGGCCTTCATGGTCGAATTGCTGCAAAGAAACCACTAAAGGACACCAATAAGAAGAAGAGACTTGTTTGGGCCAAGAAACACGAGCAATGGACATTAGACCGGTGGAAATCTGTCCTTTGGTCTGATGAGTCCAAATTTTAGATTTTTGGTTCCAACCGCCGTGTCTTTGTGAGACACAGTAGGTGAACGGGTGATCTCTGCATGTGTGGTTCCCACCGTGAAGCATGGAGGACGTGTGATGGTGCTTTGCTGGTGACACTGTCAGTGATTTACTTAGAATTCAAGGCACACTTAACCAGCATGGCTACCACAGCATTCTGCAGCGATACGCCATCCCATCTGGTTCGCGCTTAGTGGGACTATCATTTGTTTTTCAACAGGACAATGACCCAACACACCTCCAGGCTGTGTAAAGGCTATTTTACAAAGAAGGAGAGTGATGGAGTGCTGCATCAGATGACCTGGCCTCCACAATCACCCGAACTCAACCTAATTGAGATGGTTTGGGATGAGTTGGACCGCAGAGTGAAGGGAAAGCAGCCAACAAGTGCTCAGCATATGTGGGAACTCCTTCAAGACTGTTGGAAAAGCATTCCAGGTGAAATTGGTTGAGAGAATGCCAAGCTGTCATCAAGGCAAAGAGTGGCTTCTTTGTGTAACACTTTGGGTTACTACATGATTCCAAATGTGATATTTCATAGTTTTGATGTCTTCACTATTAATTCTACAATGTAAAAAATAAAGAAAAACCCTTGAATGAGTAGGTGTCCAAACTTTTGACTGGTACTGTATATAAAAACAAAAATCAGCCTTACAGTAGATAGACTACCAGCTGAAAACAATTGACTAACCTCGTGGCTGCTGCCCCTAATTTTTTCTGGCCAAAACCCATCAGCTGTCTTACTAGCACTGCTGCAATCCTCTCCTAGCATACTATCGACACAAACATCTGCATTGCTACCGTACCCTTAGACTTCATCATTGCGCTAATGCTAGTTAGAATTCGCTCACAAAACTACTGCCAACTTCATTCATACAGCACGCAGAGACATACAAATGGTATCCACAAGTTCATTGGACTCTGGGTATGTAGAACAAGATCTCGCAGTATCCCTTTAAATAAGTCACTCATTGCTTCAAGCCACACGGAGCAAACATAGCTTGAAGAACATTTTGGGGAAACGTGTCGTTCAATACAAACAGTTACACAACATAGCAAATGTTCAATAGAACTGAACGCACCCCAGGAACCAGCCACCTTACCTTAAGTCCAGCGCCTTCATGACCTCGGTTGGCCAGTCAAAGCAGGTTATTATTTGTTCAATGGTGACAAAACAAATATGTACCAAAAATACAAAAAGGCATGCCCAAACTAAAGACAAATGAAAGGCCTCATGGCCACCAAACAAAACCAGCAGCCTCAAACTACGCCAGCTGGGACACTGACTGACGATCACCTTCACTGGCAGCACCGGTGTGCAAATAAAGGCTTGGCTCAGCATCTCGACCCGCTTGCTGCTGCCACCTGGTGATGGAGTGTGGAAGTGTATCATGGTAGAGTGTTTGTCTATGTCCTAACACTGACCTTCACCCCCATAGCATAACTAAAGCGATGCACAAAACCCATTATTTGGCAGGGAATACTTTTTGTAGATAATTGATTCTATACCTCAATTTGCACAAGCTGATCCTCTCCAACGGATTCGGAAGTTGTAGCTAAAAATAAGTCAATTAGGGTCAGTTAAATGGGAGAGTCAATGAAACCAAACATGGAAGTATATTGAAGCGAATTAAGGGGATAGCCCAGACCGAGACTCGAACCCGGGTCCAGCAACTGGCAAGCCAACACCTTCGTTTTTTTTTTATTGATTGGAGACAGCTTGTGTCAGTTACAGAACATTTCCTAGGATTTCCTACATGCAGCAACACTAGTGGACAATCCTAGAAATACCAGTAAAAGCAGAGTGCCTTAAAAAATACCCCTAAAAACTGTGCCCTCCTGTGTGTGTGTGCGTCCCTCTGTGCATTACCTGCAGTTTCTTAAGCTGTTTGAAGGCCTCATCACGGCCCTTGTTGGCCATGCTGATGGCTGCTTCCAGTTCTCCCAGGTCCACCTCCAGCTTCTTCTTAGCAGCCATGGCCAGGGCTTTCTGCCTCCGTTCATCCTCCAGCTCAGTCTCCATCTCCCGCACCTGGGGAACATCACATAGATCCAAGGTTGTGTTTAGTAGGTTACAGTTTAAAAACATGAGCATTTCTTATTGGATGTTCAAGTAGTCTCTTCCGGTTTCAGACTGTTTTCTTCCATTTGGTATGTAACGAACACAACCCAGTACCTGTTTGACCAGCTGCTTCCTCCTCTCTTCACCCTGCTCGTCTCTGGCTTGCAGGTCCCTGTCGAACTGGGCCTTCATGGCCTGCATGTTGACCTCCAGACGCAGCTTGGCGTCCTCAGTGGTCTGCAGCTCATCCTCCAGCTCCTCCAGCTGCACACGCATCTCCTCCAGCTGCTGATCCATGGCACGCTTCGCTTTCTCCAGCTCGTGGACCTGCACCAAGAGACAAAAAGGATTAACTTTAGAATAAAATAAAACGTTGTCATTCAACAATGTTCAATGAGGGAGTTTGGGAGGGATGGTGCATTCAGATTTGGTAGTGTTTGGAAATGTTCCAAACTATCCTTATGAATGGTGAATTTCAAAAGTCTTTCCTCACATACTCCCGACTCTCCACCTTTTCAAAACACATTGGAGGAGAACATCGGACTTGAATGCATTTTTAATAGTCTAGAATACAGGACGCAAGGAATCGAGAACTTGAGAATCACCCACTATCAATAGTTCCACTATCTTTCTACAAGAACATGATCGGACTTACACTTTTACCGACGTCGTCCTTCGATGAGACCAGGTCCTCCATCTCGGCCTTGAGGACCTTGTTGGCCCGGTCCAGTTCATTCTTCAGGTCCTTCATGGCCTCCAGCTCGCGGGTCAGAGTCAGGGCCCGCGTTTCCTTCTCTCTGGCCTCAGCCTCAGCCCGGTCCCTCTCCTCAGCATTCCGGCTGGAGATAGTCTTCTCTTCAGTCAGCATCTGTTATAGGGACAGAAAAGGAGGTATTTTAGTAGACAGTTCACGAGTCAAATCTAATTTTGTTTTGATGTAGTGCTTGAAGCAAATTTGAACCTCAAATGATTGATCTATACATCATTATATGATGCATAAATCAATCATTACAGGTTCATATTATGAACCGCTTGTCATGGGCCAGTGATTAAATCTAGCAAATAAGCCTCTAAAACAGGGTTCTCAGGGCACCTCTAATCCTTGAGGGCTGCAGTGGTTGCAGTCTTTGGCCCTCCAGGACCGGAGGTGCTCACTGCCCACCTCTGCTATAGAACCTCTATGCCATCATCATCATCCATCAACCCATTCACCTGGTCAAACTTCTTCTGCTTCTTCTCCAGGTTGGACACCATCTGCCTGAGATTGTCCTGATCCACCATCATGTCATCCAGCTCCTGCTGCAGACGGGTCTTGGTCTTGTCCAGCTTGTCGTAGGCCGACGCCTTCTCCTCCAGCTGTTGGCCCACGCCCTCCAGCTCCCGCTGCATACGTTTCTTGTTCTCCTCTGCCCCCTCCAGGGACTGGGCCTCCAGCTCCACCTTCTTCTTCATCTCCGTCAGCTGAGGATAGGGGGTGGGGGGGGATGAGAGAAGAGTATTAGAAGTTTGGTAGAAAGGTAAAGGAGAGGAAGAGATGCACATGAAACGTAGAGCTGATTGGTCAAGCTAAAGCATCAAGTCGTGTCAACAGGGAAAATACATGAAACGCTTCAGAGACTTCATGGTCTGTATGTCCTAGCGTACAAGGTGGCATAGTTCAACCAAGGGATTTGATTGAGAAAATATAGAAAGATGTAGGTGGTGTAGTAAATGCACGATAGGGGAACCAAAACTGGATAGTATTACGGAGCCACAGGAGATAGAGACAGAGGAATGTGCTAGCAACCTGTGCTTGGAGGGTGAAGAGCTGCTTCTCCATGTTCTTCTTGCCCTGCTCCTCTTCCTCCAGAGCCTCCCTCAGGTTGTTCTGTTCATCCTCCATCTGACGCAGACGAGTGGAGAAAGAGAGCTTCTGACGAGTTTCCTCCTGGAACAGCGCCTATAAAGAGGAAAAAAGGGAAACAATGGTTACAGTGTGTGTGCTTAAGGCCAGTTCTAAACAGCACAACGTGTGTGTTGGTGAGTGTGTCTGTGTGACCGTACCTGTACATCCTGCAGTTGGGACTCCACAGTGGAATAGTCTTTAGTTGCCTTGATGGACTTGGCCTCGACCACACTCAACACGCTGTTGACGTTGTCCAGCTCCGACTAGACAAGAGACAGAAAAGAGGAATAGCGAACATTTACCACGTCTCCGAACAATCCATTATAATTCATTTGCCACATGCGAATACAACAGGTGTAACCTTACAGTGATGCTTACTTCAAGCCTTAACCAACAAGCTTATTTTTCTTAAGTAAAAGTACAATAATTAGACCAGTAAAAGAAATACAGTAGGGAGGACATAACAGGGATACCGTACAGATGCATTGCAGGACACGTTAGTCGAGGTACATAAACATGTGGTAGAGTTAGTGCTATGCATAGACTAAACAGAGTAGCAGCACGTAAAAGAGGGGTGGGGGGAACATTCCAAATACCATACACATTCATTGCTTTCAGGGTCTTATGGCTTGGGGGTAGACTGCTGTAAGAAGCCTTTTGAACCTACACATGGCGCCTGTACTTGCTTGCATAACGTATAGAGAGAACAGTCTATGACTAGGGTGGCTGGAGTCTGACGATTTTTAGGGCCTTCCCGCGGTATAGAGGTCCTGGCTGGCAGGAAGCTTGGCCCAGTTACTGGCCATCCCTACCCTCTGTAGTGCCTTGCGGTCGGAGGCCGAGCAGTTGCCATACCAGGCGGTGATGCAACCAGTCAGGATGCTCTCGATGGTGCAGCTGTAGAACTTTGAGGATCCATCCCGAATATACATAATGTTAATCTATCTATCCATCCACCAACCAACCCATCATAATAACACTTTGAAATGCCCCAAAGTGTTCCGGATCCCCATTCCGCCACCCTCTTGCCTCATATTATTCCTCTTTCTCCATCACCTACAGCCAAGCCACAGTATCCAAAATCCAGTCCACACCTACCTGCATCTTGGCCACCTTGTCAGCCAGCTCCTTCCTTTGCCTCTCGCTCTCTGTGTGTTTGATCTGCAGTTCCTGGACCTGGGTCTCAGCCTTCTTCCTGCGGTGCTCTGACTCAACCTTCCCCTGGTTCAGGTTCTTCAGCTCGATGGCCAGCTCATTATGTTCGCTTTCCATAGCCTGCTTGGCTTTCTCCACTGACACCTTGTTCTGAAGGAGCGGACACATGGGCAGGAGGTTACATAGGCGGTTCTCTACCAAAATACTATCATGTATAGCTTGTTTTACTTCTGAGGAAGCGTTAATGTTCATACTGTACGGTTGGTTATATAACTTCGTGCATATGAAGACTTCAATATGAAATACAAACTATTACAGTAAAACCTCAGGAAAAACCTCAAATGTTACGGTCTGACCGGTCAACCGACAAGCAATATTGAAACAGGAAGAGAAAAGATTCCCACGGTCATGTTAGAGAACCATAATGTCTACATATGAACAGTATAATGCAGTGGAAGTGAGCTCTCACCCTCTTGGCCTGCTCCAGCTGTTCGTTGAGCTCGTCGAAGGCCTGGTTGTGTTTGTGCCTCAAGTCGGCCACCTGCTGCTCGTGCACCTTGGCCTCGTCCTCCAGAATCTTCTTTAGCTGGGTCACCTCCGTCTCACGCTTGTTTCTGAACAACAGGATGGAGCGATTGAAGGTGGTGGAGGAAGAGGGGAATTGAGAAATGGCACCATATGTCTTCAACGGTTAAGTGTTTATTACTACAACTTGACATTTACACATGGCAAACCACTGTCTCGCTCTCCTTCACCTCCAACTGTGTGTGTGTGTGTGTGTGTGTGCGCGCGCATGCTCCCAGTACCTGAGCTCCTGCTGTGCTGCAGTAGAGTCCAGTGTGTCCTCCAGCTCAGTCTTCAGAGCCTCTAGTTCCTCTCCCAGGTCCCTGCGGTGTTTCTCAGCCTTGGCCCTCGCAGCCCTCTCCAGCTCCAGGTCCTCCTGCAGCTCAGAAAGCTGTGCCTCCAGCTCCCGGATCTTCTTCTGGGCCGTGTTCTTGGCCCCGGCCTCCTCCTCTATCCTGGAGGGTGGTGGGAAGCGAAGGAGGATGGGGGTTAGAGTGGAAGGCATTGAAATGAAAGTCATACAAGACTATTTTGTAGACTTAACTTTGTTTTTACTGTATGGGCTTAATGAGATCCTAAATCAACAACAGCAAATCAAACTTTCAATGGAAAGTAAAATAACACCTCTAGTTCAGTCCAACCAAATGCAGGCCTATGTTTGTCTTCGTACATCCGGCCTATAATGCTTCATTTCTAATGTCAAAAATACTTTTGATACACAATTTGGGCCCCTTCTCCAATTATGGGTTTCCCTTTCCCCTCACCTGGCTAGAGCAGCCATTAGCTCCTCCTCCTTCTTGGCCAGCTGGGCTCGGAGCTCGGCTATCTGGGCCTGCAGGTCAGCCATCTGGTCATGCAGCTCCGTGGAGTCTCCCTCCAGCTTCCTGCGGTTCTTTTCCAGCTCTTGACGACTCTTCTCCTCCTTCCTCAGCCGGTCTGATGGAGGGAGAGGGATGGGAAAGCAGGGTTACTTCTCAATACTTTAGTGTCCCTCCTTGTCTCAGATTGCTCTCACCAGTGCTTTTCAGATCAGTACAGATAAAGGACAAGAGGCAAGGAAAGGTGGTTCACCTCATAAGCATAGAATCTCTATGGTCCACCTACCCTCCATGTCAGCGATCATGGCCTCGTGCTTGTTCTTGAGTTTCTGCAGGCTCTTGGACTTCTCCTCCTCCTCAGCCATGTTGGTGGTGAACTCTGAGATACGTTCCTCCAACAGCTTCTTCTCCTGCAAGCAAACAATAACAACCCCAAACGGTTACACAATAACAACCCCAAACGGTTACACAATAACAACCCCAAAAGGTTACACAATAACAACCCCAAAAGGTTACACAATAACAACCCCAAAAGGTTACACACCCGATATTACATTCAAAGTTAACACCTAGTCCCTGAATTACAAACAGTAATTTACTCTTAATAATAAAATCGGTCCATGATTGTTGGCTTCATTGCTGGAATGAATGACTGCCTAATTGATTATTTCATTCATCCGAAAAACCATCAACTTGTACTACAAACCTTGTTGAGTTTGTTGTTCTGGTCGTCCAGCACCATGACATTCTCCTCTATCTTCTTCAGCTTGGCGTCTGTGGTCATCTTCTCCAGCTGCAGCTTCTGCCTGGCCGCCTCCTCCTCATCCAGCTGCTGCTCCAGGTCCTACAGACAGATGGCGGGAGAGAGATGGAATGTTTTAATTAAGATGTTTTCACCTCCATTTCTTCCATCACTCCCTTCCTCTCCAAGTTCATTAAAAGCGCCACACCCCTTGGAGGGTGAAATGAAAACCAGTGAAAATGGACAATTTGCAAAGGCAATTTAATAGGAGAAATAGTGTTCATATCTAACTATTTACATGTGACTTCTGACAGGTTTGGACCACAAGGCTCAATTAGCAAGGGAAAGTTACAGAGTCCATCATTAAGAATATTTCAAACGCTCTACCGTGATGTTCGTCTGCATCTTCTTCCGCTCAGTCTGTAGCTGGGTGACCCTCTCCTCTTCCTCCTCCACCCGGGCCTCCAGGTCGTGGAGGATCTCCTCCAGCTCCTGCTTCCTGGTGGCCAGCCTGGAGCGCATCTCCTCCGCCTCGGCACACAGCTCCGTCTCCGCCTGCAGCTGCTCCTGCAGGGCTTGCTTCTCTGCATTCAGCTGGGGGGGGGGGGGGGGGGGGGGAACAGAGGGCTATGTGTTAGAAACAGGGCAATGATACACAGTAAGGCTGAAATGCTGGTGGTTTAGGATATTATGGTGTCACATAGTATGAAAGTGACTCAGTCCAGCCCCTAACAAATGTATAAGACACTAGGGGCGATTTCATGGACAGATTAAGCCTTGGACTAAAAAGAAAACTCCATGGAAAATCTCAGTTAAATGCTTCTTAGTCCAGGATTAGGCCTAATCTGTGTCTAGGAAACCACCCCTATAAGACATATTGAAAGGCACCAAGTAGATGCAATTCATAATCGTTCTGAGTGTACAAGTCATTACCTTAAATTGGGGTTTAGTCCAATCCATAGAAATATAATTTCTAGAAGGGACACTTCATACCTGCTGCTGCTTGGCCTCAAACTCCTGCAGCTGCTGCTCAGCCTGCTGCTGCCTCTCCTTGGTCTTCTCCAGCTCATCCTCCCTGGCCTGCATCTCCTCCTCCTGCCTGGTCACCTGCAGCAGAGGCTTCACCTGGGGGAGTAGAGGAAGAAGACAGGGACTCAGGACAATGTAGGTAGCTGAGGAGTAGGGGATGAGGTCTGCAACACTCCCATGTTGATTTGCAACAGAGTGTGTGTACCTTGGTGAAGAGTCTCCACCACTGCCAGTTCCTGAGTTTGAGGTAGGCAGAACAGTTCCTCTGGATCACCTTCATAGCAGTCAGCTGCTGCTGTCTCTTAGTGAAGGCTCTGGAGACAGACAAAAAGACATTCATCTACATTATCATGTTATTGGAGTATGTGTACATAGCGCACTCACACCAACTAATATACAGTAGAAAACCATAAGCCAAACCTATAATAGTTACTGCTCTAAATGACAAGTTGTTTACTTGCGGGCCACGTATCCGCGACACCAGGACTGGAAGCTGATGATTATGTCGGTGATCTTCATGTCCCTCTCCTCCTCCAGGTGGGCCAAGACTCCGGCCCGGAAAAACACCTTACTCTGGCCGACCCGGAACAGGTTGGAATCCAGCTCCAGGGCCTTGATCTGGGAAGAGCAAGGAGAGAGGATGACGTTTGGGAACGTCATTGGGAATTTCAGAATGACATTGGAAGACTGCTGAATGATGGTTTGGTCTGACGCCTCTTACCATGAGCACACAGGCTTGTTTGCCGTCCATAAATCCCTTGGGAATGGCGTTAGGAGTGAGGATCTCATATCTGGGAGAACAGGAGACGTTTAAGAAGATAAGACACAAATACAGTAACAGTCTAGTCTGCTCACAGTGATGCTGATAAACAGGTAGGAGATGAAGACCATGCAACGATATGGTCCCGTCTCCCGTGGTTACCTCTGTCTGAACTCCTGGAAGACGATGCGGTTGGGGAAGCCCTGTCTGCAGATACGGATCCCCTCCAGAACTCCATTACACCTCAGCTGGTCCAGAACCAGGTGGGGCTCCAGCTTACCAGACTGACAGTGACAAAGTGAAGAGTCAGGATTTTAAATATTATTTTATAGTACATAGACCAACTGCCTGTGTTTTGTATTGATCATTGAAGTTTATAGTCAAAACACTCATTGAGCAATGGAAGATTTGATGACTGTAGACGCCATACCTTCTTCTCGTGGTTGGGGATGATGCAACGGACGAAGTTGGGGTTGGTGTTCCTGAGAGTGGTCATGAGGTTGGACAGCTGCTCCTTGTAAAGCTGGCCCACGGTGCGGAACATGCCCTTACGGATCTTAGTTGCCCCGTGCAGCCCGCCATCAGACATCCCAGCAACTTTGTCCAGACCCACAATACGGTCCACTGAGAGAGAGAGACAGAATGATAAGGAGAAACAGGATCATAGATATCCCTTATCAACTCATCTTTCCTGCAGTTCATTTCTTTCACCATGTACTTTCTCAGTTCAAACATACAGAAAGGCATACATGCAGTTCTATTGGCCAACACCAATCATGCAGTTCTATGTACCAACAGTAGGTGACATCACACTATTAGAGTCTATAGCCCAACCCAGTTACTGTCTAGTTCCAGTGGAGGCTGCTGAGGGGAGGACAGCTTATAAATGTTTTTCATGTGTTTGATACCATTCCATTCACTCCATCCCAGCAATTATTATGAGCCGTCCTCCCCTCAGCAGCCTCCTCTGGTCTAGTCAACTGTCTATAATCTCGAGATTTACCGTCTCTCCAGAGCTCCGACACAAACTTGTCAGTGGACTGGTTGAGCAGCGTGGCCACGTTGTCATTCAGGGGGTCCATGTTCTTCATCAGCCACTCATCTGCCTTGTAGTCCACCTGGGGAGGGGGGGAGGGGGGGGGGGAACCATTTTGTGATCACATAGCTGACCTTTCAAGAAGTTGTGGTTTTACCAATTTGATCGGGTTCAAGATAAATTATTAGGGTTGCAAAATTCTAGCAGAATTCGCTGGTTTTTCAGAAGTTCCAGTTGGAGGATCTCTGAAAACCCTAAGAACTTGAATAAAGTTCCCCGAATTGTGCAACCCAATTAGAGATTGATAGATTCCCCCACACGAGTGGTAACTGACCTTTCCAGCGTAGTGGATGATGCAGAAGTCGGCAGAGTCCTTGAGTTTCTTGGGCTTCTGGAACTTGGGGTTGTTGCCCTGCTCCTGAACCACCTTCTCCACAAAGCTCTTGTCTGTGGCCTTGGGGAACCAGCACTCTTCATCCAGCAAAGCCAGCACACCAGGAGGACTGGCCTAGGAACAGCAAAGGGGGACAAAAAAAAAAGACAGAAAGAGAAAGATTAAGCTACTGTGGAGACACTAATTCGGTGCATGTTGGCTTGTGCAGGACATTTAAAATATGCTAACTTTATTGACTTTGGCATTGGTTTTGGGAAAAAATGCTAAAGTTAACATTTGGTGACAGTCGCCAGGTAAATGAAACCAAATAATGGATTGCTGTTTATGCTTGTCCAAAGACTGGTTAATTGTTTTAGTGTAATTTGGAACAGAACAAATCACATAAGCCTCAGGCCCATTAGGGAAGAGGAGGTAGTGGCGATATACTTACATGCTTCTCGATGAGGTCGATGCAGGGCTGCAGGTCCAGGCCGAAGTCGATGAAGCTCCACTCGATGCCCTCCCTCTGGTACTCCTCCTGCTCCAGGACGAACATGGTGTGGTTGAACAGCTGCTGCAGCTTCTCGTTGGTGTAGTTGATGCACAGCTGCTCAAACGAATTCAGCTACATGGGAAAAGACAGAAGGTACACATTAATTAGACATTTTTGGCGAGAACTCCGAAATGAAAAGTTTCTTAATGTGAGAAAGAAGTAAAGACCTAACTAAAAAATAGATTAAGATGTGTTTTGAAAACCATTGGCAATCAATGACCACTCATGCCAATCCATTGTTTGTATTCAATGACCAACCAAAAACATACCCCTTTTCCACAATCTTACCTCAAAGATCTCAAAGCCAGCGATGTCCAGGATGCCGATGAAGGAGGCTCCCTGTCTCTTGGTCTTGTCCAGGGCCTTGTTGATCCTCATCACTAGCCAGCGGAACATCCTCTCGTAGGAGGCCTTGGCCAGGGCTTCCACCGCAAACTCAGCCTGCTCCTGGGTCTGGGCCTTCTGAACGTAGTCCCTGCCTACCTTGATCCTGGGGGACAGGATGGCCCGGGTGAAGTCGGTCACGTTCATGCCCAGCAGGTGGCACACTTTCTGGGCCGCTGAGGGAGAGAGAAAGGGGTGGGTGAGTGGGTGGTGCTGGATGAATGGAGAAGGTAAGGGATTGTAGAAGCTATGAAGGAAGGTTGCAGGAGACAAAGTCTCATTAAGGACCCAAGTGGCGGAGTAGTACTTTTGTTCTAACCCAGCACTAATGCATTTGATTCAATTAATCACAGAGCTCATGATTAGTAGAAACAGGTGTGTTAGTGCAGGACTAAAACAAAAATGTACCCAGTACCGATCCTGGTGGAACCCCAGAAATGATTAGTGAAAACCAGATGTGAAGTACCTGTATCGTCAGGCATGGAGGCCTGGTCAGAGTTCCGCTCCTTCTTGAAGCTCATGTTCCCCAGCTGGAGCACGGCAGACACAGTCTTCAGAAGACCTGAGGGAGAACAGCATCATCAACCAACCAATCATTAGTTATTTACATAAATTGCATTGATCCACATCACCATTGTCCACATCACCAACGAACTATCATGGTCCAAACACACCAAGACAGTCGTGAAGAGGGCACGACAAAGCCTATTCCCCCTCAGGAGACTGAAAAGATTTGGCATGGGTCCTCAGATCCTCAAAAAAATTCTACAGCTGCACCATCGAGAGCATCCTGACTGGTTGCATCACCGCCTGGTATGGCAACTGCTTGGCCTCCGACCGCAAGGCACTACAGAGGGTAGTGCGTACGGCCCAGTACATCACTGGGGCCAAGCTTCCTGCCATCCAGGACCTCTATACCAGGCGGTGTCAGAGGAAGGCCCTCAAAATTGTCAAAGACTCCAGCCACCCTAGTCATAGACTTCTCTCTGCTACCGCACGGCAAGCGGTACCAGAGTGCCAAGTCTAGGTCCAAAAGACTTCTCAACAGCTTCTACCCCCAAGCCATAAGACTCCTGAACAGCTAATCATGGCTACCCGGACTATTTGCACTGCCCCCCCACCCAATCCTTTTTACGCTGCTGCTACTCTGTTAATTATTTGCATAGTCACTTTAACTCTACCCACATGTACAATTACCTAAACTACCTCAACTAGCCGGTGCCCCCGCACATTATCTGCAACGTACCCCACTGTATATTAGCCTCCCTACTGTCACTTTATTTTACTTCTGCTCTTTTTTTTCTCAACACTTTTTTTGTTGTTTTATGTTCACTTTTTGTTAAAAATAAGCACTGTGTTAAGGCTGTAAGTAAGCATTTCACTGTAATGTCTGCACCTGTTGTATTCGGCGCATGTGACCAATAAAATTTGATTTGATCTGGAAAAAGCTATTTGAACACTGTAGTATTACAGTATTATAGGCTAAGAATCAAGTGTGACAGAGGGGAGTCAGTGTACCTATCCGCTCCTCCTCTGGGATGCTCATGATGTTGAAGGCGTCCATGGTCTCCACAAACAGGTCATGGTCCTGCTGACCAGGGATGGTCACGTTCCCGTAGGTCAGGAAGCGGTAGTTCTTGTAGTCCTCCAGACATAGCTCGGCTGGTTAGAGAGACATAACATTATAAGCCTTACTATAAGATACTATAAAAAGGCTCATACATGCTTATTAGTTATTACAAGTTATAAAGCATTATAAAAACGGCAGGCTTTTAAGGGTTACTGGATATATATATTTAAAATCAAAACGTATTTTACAGTCCAACCATTACACTTATAATAATGGGCAGCATGTAGCCTAGCGGTTAAGAGCGTTGGGCCAGTAACCTAAAGGTTGTTGGTTCGATCTGGCCTTGAGCAAGGAACTTATCCAAAGCGACTTAGAGGAGAAATTAGGGTTAAGTGTGTCTGCTAAATGACGCAAATGTAATATCCCCTCAACAAAAAATAAATAAAATGTTTTTAACATAGCATAACAATTTATATAATTTACATTTTAGTCATTTAGCAGACGCTCTTATCCAGAGCGACTTACAGGAGCAATTAGGGTTAAGTGCCTTGCTCAAGGGCACAGTCAGATTTTTCACCTAGTCGGCTCGGGGATTAGAACCAGCGACCTTTCGGTTACTGGCACAATGCTCTTAACCACTAAGCTACCTGCCGCCCTATATACAATTAGTTGTTGCTCACTCACAGCGCATTTTCTCCCCAGCTCCTGTGAGCATGTAGTAGAAGATATGGAAGGCTCTTTCATCCTTAGCCTGTCGGATGGCTCTCGACTTTTCCAGCAGATCTGGCAACATCGTTCGTCAAGAAAAAAAAAAAAAAAAAAAAAAAAAACACACTACCGACAACACATAAGTTGTGGAATATTGTACGTTAAAGCTAGAATCCTTAGTTGCTACATAGATTTTTGGACTTAGAAATTAATGATATATAACCATTGATTCTTGAAGAATAACTTATAAATGCCTCATGAGCTTAGTTCACTTGCGTTGCACCATCAGAACCCAAGATAAGCTTGTTTGACTCAAATGTTTGTAAACCATGTAAATGTTAAACACTGTATAGCTTCAAGACATGGTTAAAACTAAAATGTTGCTATCATGGATGGTCAGTCCTTGCATCCATAGCTCTATCCATGAATTTGAAGTGGTTATATTTATCCAGGCCCATCCCTCAACTTTTTACCAAAACAGAGGCGGGGTGTCCGCTTTGTTATCGTTTCAACTAAGGATTCTAGCTTGAAGACTGTATTTCCTTCAAGAAATATGAAGACTCATTGATTAAAAGGATACAAGTTTCAATGTTGGCTCCCACAATGTATCCATTGACGTCAAAGTTAATCCGGATAAACTTCCCCTAGAAAGAGTGAGAAAGCGAGGAGGAGAAATCTGTAATTTGTATGACCAGGTGGCAGTGGATCCAGTTACAGTCAATACTGGTCTCTAGTCATTACCATCACCACATAATTGCGAAGATGGTAAAAAAAAGGTTCTTACGAATCTGGAGGAGTTGTCATTCTTGACCGTCTTGCCGTTTCCAAAGGCCTCTAGGATGGGGTTAGCCTGCAGAAGCTGTTTCTCTAGCTCCCCCTGGTGACAAAAACATGTACATACAGTATATTCACATACATATAAATATATTCACACATATACCAAATGTTAACATCATTATGGCTGGCAGGATGACTCAACATGAGCATTCATTCAGTAAGGTGCTTCAACTACTTCATTCATTGCTGCAAGCATTGCATTTCACCTTGTCGAGAAGCATTGGGATCACCTGCTTGACTCCATGTGTTAATCATGGAACTACAGCAATGTTACGCACATGCGTACACTCATTGGCCATTTTATTAGGTACACCCATCTAGTACCGGGTTGGACCCCCTCTTTGCCTCCAGAACAGCCTGAATTATTCAGGGCATGGACTCTACAAGGTGTGGCGTTCAAACGTTGCTCAACTGGTATCAAGGGACCTAATTGCCAGGAAAAAAAAACATTCCCCACACCAATACACCACCTCCACCAGCCTGTACCGTTGACACCAGGCAGGATGGGGCCATGGACTGCTGCTTACGCCAAATCCTGATTCTGCCATCAGCATGACGCAACAGGAACCAGGATTCATTGGACCAGGCTATGCTTTTCCACTCAATTGTCCAGCATTGGTGATAGAGCGCCCACTGATAGGAGTGTTGATATGAGTGGAACTCTGTGTGGTCGTCTGTTACAATAGCCAATCCGTGACAAGACCGACGAGTTGTGCATTCCGAGATGCCATTCTGTACACTACTGTTGTCCTGCGCCATTATTTGCCTGTTTGTGGCCAGCCTGTTAGCGTGCATGATTCTTGCCATTCTCCTTCGACCTGTCATCAACGAGCTGTTTTCGCCCACAGGACTGCCACTGAACGGATGTTTTTTGTTTTTCGCAACTTTTTCGGTAAATCTTAGACGCTGTCGTGCGTGAAAAGCCCAAGAGGCCGGCCGTTTGAGATTCTGGAACCGGGGTGCCTGGCACCGATAATCATACCACACTCAAAGTCGCCTAGGTCACTCGTTTTGCCCAGTCTAATTTGCAATCGAACAGTAACTGAATGCCCGTCTGCCTGCTTTATATAGCAAGCCACGTGACTCACTGTCTGTAGGAACGAACCATTTTCGTGAACGGGGTGGAGTACCTAAAACTGGCCACCGAGTGTATGCCGCCTTATATCAGTGTTCATAATAGACTTATATAATTAGCAGGTGTGCGTCGCTGTAAGCAGTAAACAGGATATGCTACCATTATAATACTTCCTTGGTTTGTATGACCCCAGTGAAGCTATAGTTTCCTAATAAACCCATACACTCATTCATGTTAAATATTCCAGATTCCGACTCAGACCTGTTGCCCAAGTACAAGCCCACACACTCCCCCGTCCCGACCACAAGCCCAGCCCACACACTCTCCCGTCCCGACCACAAGCCCAGCCCACACACTCTCCCATCCACAAGCCCAGCCCACACACAAGCCCAGCCCACACACAAGCCCAGCCCACACACGCCACCGTCCCGACCACAAGCCCAGCCCACGCAAGCACAAAAGATGCTAAGCATTTAAAGCATTTGAGATAATCTCAGAGATTCCAAGATAGCACACAGGCGTTTAACAACCAAAACGGCAGATTAATCAGCTTTTGTTGTTTTGTTGACTGCCTGTTCTAAGACCAACCAGATCAGGTGGACAAACGCCAGGGTGTGGGGTGGGAACAGTTCACTGTTATTGCAGTTCAGACAAACAAGAGTGGGTTACCCCTTCACTACTAGTGTGGCTTGACTCATGAGAACTTTGCTGAGGGCTAAACACCTGCTAACTACATACAACTTAAATGGGATTCTAGGGCTGCGTTTACACAGCGGCCCAATTCGGATATTTCTTTCACACTACATATCAGATCTTTTTCAGAGCTGATCTGATTGGTCAAAAGACCATTAGTGAGAAAAAAAAAGATCAGAATTGGGCAGCCTGTGTAAACGCAGTCCGAAGCATTGTTACTTGGTCTGCTTCACTATGCGGTAATTTGAAATATCATGCAGTACTCTTTTCAACCTAAATCTAAGGTATAACATATGAGGATCCTTCATCACACCTCAAATACGTCCTTTTCACCTGTACATTACACCACCACACAGCTTGCAGCAGACAGACAGACTGACTGCAGTTAGTAGAACATACATGTACATGAAGGGAAAGATAACTGGCGAGCGGGGAAGATGGCGAGCGAGAGGGAGAGAATTAACTCACATGTGCCAATGCTGCACCCTAGAGATGGGGAACGATGGATAAAGAGAGAAAGAGAGAGAGTTTAACACAAGTACTAACGTAAAAACACACAGTGTCACGCAACTGGAAGGGACTGTAATGATTCTCAAATGGCCCCTATTCATAAAGTGTCTCAGTAGGAGACAGTGCTGATCAAGGATCAGGTCGCCCCGTCCATGTACATTTTGCTCATAGCGAGAGTTAAAATGCAAAAACTGGTCCTAGATCAGCACGCTTTATGAATACGGGCCCTGGTGACTGCAGGGATGCGAGGCAGGCAGGTCCGGGCCTGAAACAGGAATGTTAGGAATACGGAACAACTACCCTGACTCTGAGAATAAGTACAGGGGGATGAGAACATGAACAGCGGAACAGGAAAACTACAGAGGACAGAGAATGGAAGTGTAGGAAGAAGGCAAGTGAGGAGGTAAAAAGGAGGGCTGGTACTGACCTGGTCTTTCTTGGACTTAAAGGAAGATGCAACATGTGCCAGATACTGGATAACTTTCTTGGTGTTCTCAGTCTTTCCAGCTCCTGATTCTCCTCTGTAGGAAAGAAGAGATAAAAAGGGACAAGGAGAGAAATGAGGGAGGGAGGGATTACAGGAGTTGCTGATTGAAGATGGGAACAGACGGCAAAAGACAAATCTCATAGGAGCTAGACAATATGCATAAATAAAACACAGGCAAGATTTTGATCAGAGACATGGCTTACGTGCAGAGGATGGACTGATCCTCACGATCTGAAATGGAAGATAGAAAATACATGTGAGTGTGTGCGTGAGGTTATACAGTGAGGGAAAAAAGTATTTGATCCCCTGCTGATTTTGTACGTTTGCCCACTGACAAAGAAATGATCAGTCTATAATTTGAATGGTAGGTTTATTTGAACAGTGAGAGACAGAATAACAAAAAAAATCCAGAAAAAAGCATGTCAAAAATGTTATAAATTGATTTGCATTTTAATGAGGGAAATACGTATTTGACCCCTCTGCAAAACATGACTTAATACTTGGTGGTAAAACCCTTGTTGGCAATCACAGAGGTCAGACGTTTCTTGTAGTTGGCCACCAGATTTGCACACATCTCAGGAGGGATTTTGTCCCACTCCTCTTTGCAGATCTCCTCCAAGTCATTAAGGTTTCGAGGCTGACGTTTTGCAACTCGAACCTTCAGCTCCCTCCACAGATTTTCTATGGGATTAAGGTCTGGAGACTGGCTAGGCCACTCCAGGACCTTAATGTGCTTCTTCTTGAGCCACTCCTTTGTTGCCTTGGCTGTGTGTTTTGGGTCATTGTCATGCTGGAATTCCCATCCACGACCCATTGTCAATGCCCTGGCTGAGGGAAGGAGGTTCTCACCCAAGATTTGACAGTACATGGCCCCGTCCATCGTCCCTTTGATGTGGTGAAGTTGTCCTGTCCCCTTAGCAGAAAAACACCCCCAAAGCATAATGTTTCCACCTCCATGTTTGACGGTGGGGATGGTGTTCTTGGGGTCATAGGCAGCATTCCTCCTCCTCCTAACACGCCGAGTGAGTTGATGCCAAAGAGCTCCATTTTGGTCTCATCTGACCACAACACTTTCACCCAGTTCTCCTCTGAATCATTCAGATGTTGATTGGCAAACTTCAGACAGGCCTGTATATGTGCTTTCTTGAGCAGGGGGACCTTGCGGGCGCTGCAGGATTTCAGTCCTTCATTGTTTTCTTGGTGACTATGGTTGCAGCTGCCTTGAGATCATTGACAAGATCCTCCCGTGTAGTTCTGGGCTGATTCCTCACCGTTCTCATGATCATTGCAACTCCACGAGGTGAGATCTTGCATGGAGCCCCAGGCCAAGGGAGATTGACAGTTCTTTTGTGTTTCTTCCATTTGCGAATAATTGCACCAACTGTTGTCACCTTCTCACCAAGCTGTTTGGCGATGGTCTTGTAGCCCATTCCAGCCTTGTGTAGGTCTACAATCTTGTCCCTGACATCCTTGGAGAGCTCTTTGGTCTTGGCCATGGTGGAGAGTTTGGAATCTGATTGATTGATTGTTTCTGTGGACAGGTGTATTTTATACAGGTAACAAGCTGAGATTAGGAGCACTCCCTTTAAGAGTGTGCTCCTAATCTCAGCTTGTTACCTGTATAAAAAGACACCTGGGAGCCAGAAATCTTTCTGATTGAGAGGGGGTCAAATACTTATTTCCCTCATTAAAATGCAAAATCAATTTATAACATTTGACATGCGTGTTTCTGGATTTTTTTGTTGTTATTCGGTCTCTCACTGTTCAAATAAACCTACCATTCAAATTATAGACTGATCATTTCTTTGTCAGTGGGCAAACGTACAAAATCAGCAGGGGATCAAATAATTTTTTCCCCCCCATCACTGTAGGTGTGTGTGTGTAGCACAGGTGTGTATGTGTGTCATCACACTCTCTCACCCTGCATCATACTCCTGTAAGCGTTGTCTGTGATGGCGTAGATGTGAGGGGGCATCTCGTGTCTCTTCTTGCCCTTGTACATCTCAATGATGTTCTCCGAGTAGATGGGCAGGTACTTGTAGGGGTTTATCACCACACAGAAGAGGCCAGAGTACGTCTGAAAGGTACAAGAGAAGGAAATTTCAGCAGACAGGCAACACTAACCATCTATACCAACATTCTGATCCAAACGTCTCACAATATGTCAAAAGGTGAAGGTGAATAACATACTGTTACATCATTGGTCGTCCAGAGTGCTGTGTATTTATCCTACTGTATACAGACATTTCAATTGTTCTGAATAAGAGTCTGCGCAATTATTACATTTTACTGTACATGTGTTATTTTACACGTATGTATGCGGATGGTGTATTTATGTAAATATGGGCACATGAAGCACGTAAAACACTCACGTAGATGAGGCCAGAGTAGTACCTCTCCTTGAGGTTGTGCAGCACTGAGGCCTCGTTCAAACACGTGAGCTCGGCCATGTCCTCCACCTTATTGAACTTGGGAGGGTTCATCTTCTGGATATCGTCTTTATTTACTGTCACCTTCTTGCCTGTATCGGCTAGCTCCACCACGCACACCTCTCCCTGCTCTTCCTTGACGGAGCCGGTCACGAACCCCAGCGTCTCCGAAGGGACCCATACTAGCTTCTTGGTGGCCCAGTCGGCCTGGTCTAGGGGGTTGGCGACCTTACCGCCGTCTCTGTAGAGGAACTTGTCCGCTTCCGACATGGTGGCTGTAGAACAAAGATAATAACAACGATTAGACAACACACCACCCAGGAGGTAGGATGGGGAAAGGAAAGTGAAACAGAACATTGTGGCTGTAGGGTGGAGAGGAAAAATATGAGTCATGGAAACGCCCAGTGAAAAATAATGAATTGATGATCATGGTTTGGGCCAGGAGTTTGTCATGAACTCATGACCAGACCTATAGAGAGTTTTGCCTCTCCCTGTACAATAACTTATTTGCTTCTGACATGGCTGTAGGATGGACAGGGAAAATAGGACAAGTCTCGTAAGCTTCCAGAGAAAAATGCAGACGTACTGAGCTAACCTAATAGATTGTTACGGCCCAGCAAACTTTTGGTCGAAATGCCTTCCTTTAAAGTGAGGGGCGCTCAAAAACGGTATGCAGGTGCAGTTCGGGCCTTTATAAATGACAAACGGTACAGTTCAACTGATGTAATTATTTTGGTCATACGGCTTCCCATTCCTATGGATTTCATACCTTAGAGACAAAGTTTGAGTGAAACAATAAGCATATAATTCACTCAACCCGTTTAAGTTCAGGTCATATGCACAGCATGGTCCTAAAATTGACCTATATCAAATTACTGTAACCATTTCAGAGCATGTGGTCATTGTTGAGAACGCTGAACATGAGCTTGTTATAAAGGTTAAACATGCGATTCCCATTTGCTGAAAATGCATTGCTATGCGTGAAGTAAACATGCGTTAAGTGAAACATGCTTCTCAGGAATATTTGCGTTATCTGCCATGTATGAGAGGATGCGCACATCCGCAGGCACGCGCTCACGCATGGCTGCTCGCTAGAGGTTGTACTATGAGGATGTATTACGAGGATGATCCTCTGTAAGCTTGGTAGATTGTCTCATGAGACATAAGAGGTGTTATGGACTGCCTTTGCCAAACATAAACTGGATCAGACTCTAAATGGGTTGTGACAATCAGGAATAGTGCATGCACATGTCATTGGATTCCCACACACACACAGTGAGACAGACACACACATTTCTATTGTGACCTTTGGCCCTTACAAGCTGGTCTTTCTCACTACTGCTGCACTCTACAAGACGAGACAACTTCTGGGCATTGACCTGGTGCTCCCTACATAGATAGTCATGTGTCTCTCCAATCTCTCCCTCCACTGTTCCATACATGCATCTTACACCCCCCCCCTCCCTCGTTTACCTGGCCATCCCATCTTCCAACCAGGGTCACATTCTCGTTCTGATATTCCTTCATTTTTATGGATTGTGTGTGTACTTTTTTTGAATCGCTAGGTATTACTGAACTGTTGGAGCTGGAAACAAGCATTTCGCTGCACATGTGATAACATCTGCAAATCTGTGTACGCGACCGATAAACTGGCCCACTCATTAGAACAGGGAATTCCACAAATTTCCAAAACGTCTCTTGTTTCGTCTTCCTATCCCCTAATTACCAAAACAGAACACTCCCACTATTGCTTGATGGCTATGCTTGATGAAGTTGACAATTCTTCTTAAAATGGACACTGGACAGTTGTGTACTTTAACACCACATAGCGTTCTCAGTATCATGTTCATCACCAAATGGAAGAAAATGGAATGAAACAGGAAGGGACTACCTGAACTTTGTCTAATAAGAAACGCTTGTTTTAGTTTTGTTGCAAAATGTTTTGCTACAGTGTGCCCTAATGAATGCACCACAGCTGTCATTTATTACATAACGTTGTCTTAAGGACAGATAAAGAGCAGTGGACCAGTCAGAGGAAGACAAATGAGGGCTTCCTAACTTAATTTGAAGGGGAACAAAAAAACAGGACAGCCAGTGAGGAATGTCTGGAGCAAGTTTAGACAGATGTTTAATTATACTCAGTCACAGACAGACCACACCCTTAAGAACAGACGCCGTCACCATGTTAAATTGGTGAATACACAGACAGATCTACATCTTAACCTAATACTTCCCCCTTCGATCACAGGGCCTGTATTCATAAAGTGTCTCAGAGTAGCCACAGTGCTGATCTAGGATAAGGTCCCACCTGTCCATAATCGTATTCATTATGATCCAAAAGGCTGATCCTAGATCAGAACTCCTAGACTGAGGCGCTTTATGAATACATGCCCAGGTATTCTAGGTCAATTTCTATTTCTATCTGCTTGCGTATCTAGCTATGACCCTTTCAAGGGTGTGTGTGTGTGTGTGTGTGTGTGTCAGGGTGTGTGTACATACTCATTGGCCTCAGGCTACAACACCCAGTCGTAACCAGTTTTGGTAACATTGTAAAATCCATTCCAGGTCTGATCAATATCTTTAGGCTTACATAACCTGTACAGCAGGGTTCTTCAATTCCGGTCCTGGAGGGCCGAGACACCTCTGTTTTTCATCCTCTCCTTCTAATCAGGGGCTAATTCAGACCTGGGACACCAGGTGAGTGCAATTAACTACCAGGTAGAAATAAAAAACAGAAGTGTTTCGGCCCTCCAGGACCGGAATTGAAGAACCCTGCTGTACATGGATGCCTTGTCCACCATTATAATTATATGCATTCTAGGCTGCGTTTACACAGGCAGCCCAATTCATCTCACCTATTTGTATTTTGACCAATTAGATCAGAACTGAAAAAGATCTGATGTGAAAAGATCTTAGGTGATTGATAAAAACACAATAAGTGGAAAAAAGAACAGAATTGGGCTGCCTGTGTAAACGCTGCCTTATACTGGTTGAAGGCTGATGAGGCTGTGTCCAGATCTATCACCCTGATCAGGTCACCCATATTCCCTGAGGTGGTGACACTAAACAGTGTGTGTCTCTAACCCCTGTCCCCCCTATCAGGGAGAACGTGTAAAATAATTGGGACAGAGAGAGAAGGAGGGAGAGAAAGGGGGATAGAGAGGGATGAGAGAGAGGGATAGAGCGATAACATCCAGCTGGATAACATCCAGGTGTCCAAGTTCATTATAGGCTCAGACTGATGCTCTGATTAAAGACAGAGGGGGAGGAGGTGGATCACCTAAAGGATCTCTGTGTCCATGCGGTTGGTTGCCCACTACATGTGCCAGGACCAACACAGCAGGAGCGGACTACTAAACCAGAGTGACTACCCATCTTAAATCAGGACTAATACAGGACTAACTGTTCCCACTCATAATGACCCCATGCTAGCCTGATCCCAGATCTGTTTGTGCAGTCTCGCCAACTCCTTGTCCCTCAGACCAAACGTGACATTGAGTGACAAGAAGTTGGCCCAAACAGATCTGGTATCAGGGCTAACCTCATGCACGTAAGCCCCATCTGAAACACATAGGAGGAATGGGTTCTCATGGGACACATGAGGAAATGCAGACAAGACGACCATAAGAATGTGAGACTTTCACATGAATCTGGGTTTTCAACAGCGAAGTGCTAACCGTGGGCCAACTGCCACAGGAAGTTGCTTAATATGGTGTTGCAGGGCTGACACATGCATTTCCTGAGGGTCTTATTGCCCAACTTCAGTCAAAATGGACACTACTGACATCCACAATTGATGGTACCCATTGTCATAGTGTTAGAGGATCAGAGAGTAAGCCCATACAGTGGGCTGTGACTGCCAAGGATTTCCTAGTCACCTTTCAACTCATATGACTGGCTTGTCAACTCAAATGACTAGTGTCAATTAAAGGGCAATTCAACCACTTTTCAACCTAATTTCCATAATCTCCAGCACAATACCAGTATCTACATGTGTGAAAAAGGCACATAAATATAAAGTTTAAAAGTTGCTGGAGATAATGAGGTTGAAAAGTGGCGGAATTGCCCTTTAACACAACTCCTTATCCATTCACACTTGAGGGATCCGGCATGGTTCGTCTTGCAGTTGCCCGATTAGATTTCTCTACATTGGGTCCAGATCTGGGTTCAAAAAGTATTTGAAAAGAGAAGGTCTGAAAATGCCAACTAGTCCTATAAACCAGCGACCCGGTAGCCAATGCTGTGTGGCCTGGTGGTTGGGAAACCCTGCTATAAATCCTGTATGGCAACTCATCCAACTCTGCTACCAACCAGTATTATTTACCTAGGTTATCCAGTCATTTTGGTTCAAAACTCTGTTGTTGTCAGACAGCATAATAAAGCCCTATAGCTCAAGCTGCTGCAGATGGAGGTGGCATGTGGCTGTCTGTGTTAAAAGGGCAGGGGGAAGCCAAGCTAAAGACTGGATTGAATGGAGGCCAAGAACACAAGTGCGAAGAGAGGCGTTGAAACGTGTTGCTGAGGAGAGCAGGGCAGGTCTGTCAAACTAGACATTAGCCAGTGGTGACCTCATCAGACCTGGGTTCAAACAAACAGCATTTTGAAATCGTTCAAATACTAGCTGGGCTTAATTGCATGGCACAATGGAACCAATGGAATAGTCCCAACAGTGCAAACATCGCCCATCTGACACTCCAGTTAGGCTTAATTCCCCCCTATTTAAAATCTTGACTCAGGGGTAGACGTAACATAGTAAATGTAAATTCGGGACACTCCAATTAGTATAATGTGTTACGTTTCGTATGGCAATGTATTCATTTGTGGATGTCCATCATCCATTTCATATGATATGTTACGAATTCCAATTTGTCGTCGGGAACGTTAGCTAGGTGGCTAATGTTAGCTGGGGGTTAAGGTTAGCCAACATGCCAAGTAGAGTAGCTAAAAAGTAGTTGAAGTTTCTGAAACGTAAAAGCTGTCCGTGATGAGATTCGAACACACAACCTTTGGGTTGCTAGACATTCACGTTATATGCCCGCCCAACCACCCTACTTAATTTTTTGCCTTAAGTAACCTTCTGTCTTATGTAACCATACCAAATGTAACATATCATACCAATTTCAGTCCCCCGGATTTACATTTACTATGTTACGTTTTGTCTATGAGACCAGGCTGTCTCTTATCTAGTTACTAGGAGTGTATGGCTTTAACAATTTTAGTATCTAGAAAAAATGGGTGGGGGAAGTGACTAAGCAAGATGTGATTGCAGAACAGATATGTACTAATCATAATTCTATGTTAAGGTGTGTATGGTCTAGTGTCCAAGGAAGGACTAGATTCCTACCAGGAACATTGCATTCTGCTAAATCGCTTGAAGACAACCCAGTGGCCTGAGAAGGCCATTCACTGAACTGAATACAGGGTTGGCTCAACAGTTGATAGTTGGATGCCACACCTTAACCATACGAAACACTCAACTTAAAAACAGGACCCAGTATTTCAGGTGCTAAAACCATTTGAATGAGTGCCTGCAAATTGTGTATCCTTAGGGCAGATCCATACCAGGGCTTGTGTGCATTTTGTGTTCTCACCAACCCATGGTCTCAAATTCCAACTTCAAACCAAGACAAGCAAACGTCAGATAAATTGCCAGTGTTGGGGAGCAGTGAACTACATTTAGTACAACTAGTAATTTAAAAATATTTTATATTTATAGGTGTGTGAAGTAGGCAAATGTATATTTTTCGTCATCAGACCTGCCTAATTCTCACTTATAAAAAATCTGAAAATGTCAGACTTCGAATTGCAAGAACGTTTCACTTTGGAGTCATATTTAAACAATGTGCATTCTACCCTTCAGTTAAGTAAACCATGTTTTTTGAGGGTAGCTTTAGTTAAGCTCAACTTCTTTCAGTGTGAAATAATTGGTTTAGTAAACTATATATTCAGAGTAGCTTCCCTAAAACAGTAAATTGGTCAACGTAAAGTGCACTACTACAGGGTTGATCGCTGTGGTTTTGAATAGCCACCAACTTTGGCAATCAGAGTATAGGATTGGACATTGGCTGGGTGTTGTCATTGTTAATTACTTATGACAAGGGGAAATAATTGTTTGTACAGGTAGCCTACAATTGGCATACCTCTGCAGATGTTGCCATCCAGGTTAGCTTTACTCAGTTGCTATAAGGTTAGCTATACTCAAATTGTCAGTGAAAGTTTGACAGGACTAATGTGAAAATACTAGAAAGAGAGTATCATTATTAAGTCACATCAGCTAGCAATGTAGTTTGTAATCTGTCCAAGTGTCCCTTTGTTACTATCACCGACTACGTTCTCACCTGATGCAGTGACGACGCAGATTTAAAAGGCTACCTTGACGTCGAGTAGTGCGGTTGCTGCTGGACGCGTCACCCTTCGATCTAGATTCGCAATAAACCGCACGTAAAAAATATATATATTAAAAATAACCTACTTGTCTGTCGTCGTTCGTAGAGCATCCCACAACAGACTTCGAAGTAAGCACTAACATATTTTTAGAAGTAGATCTCATCCCACGAGGATTACAGCGGGATCGACAGATGGGTAACCTTGATAAAAACTTACCTTCTGCTCCGTTGCTCTATCGGTTTCCGTGTTTGCAAAGGCAACTCAATCCGCGCGACAGCAAACTCAAGAAAACGCTACAGCAGATTCGTCCCTTCTCAATTATCTACGTTTCTGTTGTCTCTGCGGCGGGCGTGGCTGAAATAGGGTGGCCATATCTAAACTATGATCCGCCCACTTTAACATTCACAGGTGAGAAGGGTCTGACTGTGACCAGCGTCCTGGCCAAGAATAGGGAAGAACCGCCAGGGAAACCCCGCCCCCTCTTGTATTGGCTCTTGGCTACTTACATTTACATTTGAGTCATTTAGCAGATGCGCTTATCCAGAGCGATTTACATGAGCAATGAAGTGCCTTGCTCAAGAGCACATCTGCAGATTTTTCACCTAGTCGGTTCAGGGATTCGAACCAGCGACCTTTCTGGCCCAACACTCTTAACTGCTAGGTTACCTGCCGCCCTTGTAGCATCTGCTACTATAGTTCTCTTAACCTGACACGTTAATTATCCTAATCTGCTATGACAATTCTCCTAACCTGCTAGAACAAGGAAGTAGCCAGGCGCCATTAGAAGAGGCGACAGGGTTTCCCTGGGCGTTTTCCCTGGGCGGTTCAGAGGATGATGGGTCACAGTCAGACCATATTGCAGGTAGGTATTTGCACACCCCCTCCATGTATCAACCAACAACATCATAATGAGGTAGGAGAAGTACAGTGGGATTTGGAGGGATGATCATGCATATTGATAAGGTTGATTTGGTGAATTATCACTTTGTATTGTCATTTTCCAAAGAATAAACTACCAATACTCTAGCGCCATAGTCAAATATCTACCACTTATCTCCAGGAACAGTCACCCAGGCCAATACATATTGCTATTAACAGATATGTTTGCTATTTAACCATAATGGATGGTAAGGCTTGGGAAGGAGAGAGGAAGAGGTGTTGCGACAGAAGGTGAGCATCTGGTCTGAGAGGAGTGTGTGTGGAGAATGCAGGAACCTTGTCTGTACCTGCCCTTCCCGTGATGGAGGGGGGACAGGTGGGGGAGACAGTAGAAGCTTTGAGACCTTTAGCTGTTGGGAAGAGGGGTGTAGAAAAGTCTGATCTGCAGCCACGCCGAACATGGCCAGAGTGGGTGGGTGTCAATAAAGATACACTAATGGTACTGTAGTAGCATTTGTTCATCAATGTGATTGAACACCTCACCATACAGTGTACACTTTTGCTTATTTTTATTATGTATTAAAAACTAGGTAAACATTTGCGTGCATTTGTCACACCCTGGCCGAGACGTGCTGTGACAACTAAATTCGGTACCATAGAGCCATCTACACACCCTAGGTTTACACCAAGCGCATAGAGGCCGCTGAATAACTCATGGCATAGGACACACAGGTTATTTTAGAATGGGCTTGAGTGGAAGTACAGAGAATGAAAGTCTGAGACAGGTCACAGTTTATTTCTCTCTCCCAATTTCAACTTCCCTAAACCAAGTTCGCTCTACCCAGAGAGGAAGAGACAAAGTTAGAGGGTTTACACTCCCGTCAAACTCTGTGCACGATAAGCAGACCACTGGCTTTTGGACGACTCCCATTGTTAGCCCAGAGACAAGACCATCTCGTCATTATATACAGTAGCTCTGCTCTACCTTAGCAAAACAACATGGAGGGAGGATACAAAACAATCGAATCAAACAAAAACAGGTTTCCATGCAGGGAAAGCATTTCAACTAACTCAAATCATACTTCTCTTTGCAAACCCAACCACTTCAAAGGCACTCTGCCACAGCTTCCCCTGACTGGCCACACCTCAAACAAACTAAACAAGGATTATTAAGAGACAGGGAAATACAGGGAGCCAATCACGTTTCAATGAATCAGTTAACAGACTCAATTAGGAGCACCTGGGCCAGTGCATGCACTGTAATAATAGGGCATTCGTCACACCTGTGACATATTTATACAACTTTGTCACGTCATCCTTATCACGCCATTAGAGAAGAATGAACGTCAAAGGTTGTGTTTACACAGGCAGCCCAATTCTGATATTTTTTCCATGAATTGGTATTTTGACCAATCACATCAGATAATAATAATAATAATAATATGCCATTTAGCAGACGCTTTTATCCAAAGCGACTTACAGTCATGTGTGAATACATTTTTACGTATGGGTGGTCCCGGGGATCGAACCCACTACCCTGGCGTTACAAGAGCCATGCTCTACCAATTGAGCTACAGAGGATCACATCAAAAATTAACGAAAAAAAGATCAGAATTGGGCTGCCAAGATGAAATGAAGTGCCTCACAAACCGATCTGGTTAAAAAACACACACAAAAGATTCAGCAGGTATGAGGATGAAAACTAGCCCCAGGCATCCACAATTCCCCAATGTAGGCGTTTTCATGACTTCTCTACCTAATACCGTCAAAGAGGGCCAGAGAACGAGTGAGTGAGAAAGAGAGCGGTAGGGAGGTGTGGTTCATTGTGTTTGTTCTGTGGTGTCAAGTTACTTTTACAACCCTGCTATTACCCCATCCCCTTCTCCTCTCCTTCAATCAGCCTGGCATCAAAGATGAACAGATAGGCTGCAGCGGAGGGCAGGACGTGTTGCAACAGTTGACACTAAAGTGAAAGAGAGATCGAGTTATCAGCCACCACTGACACATGCACATATGGTATATACACTTATTAATTACATATGGTATCTGCAGTTCAGGGTAGAACCAATTTGGTTAAACTGCAGGGGAGTGCTATTATCTTGATAAAACCAACCTGACTCATCTTGAGTGTACTTACAGGTTATATATGGAAGGAGGAATTTGTCTGTGATACAGTAGCTCACTTCACAGTATTCTTTTTCTCTGTGTGTGTCACTTCATTCTTAATATCCTGTTACGTCAATTTCAACCACCACAGTGCATGGTTTGATGTAACACTACATAGGTTATGATGTAAACATCCTGTCATCAGCTTCAGGACAACATAGGACAAAACAGGTTAGAAAGCGTCATGGGACTTTTCATGGTAGTGGCTTTAACATACCATGTAGCGATATTAGTGCAGTAGGTCTACACATAGCAATACAATGAACGCCTCCAGAGAGAGAGAAGATCATGTTAGATCACTTGCACAAGCATCCAAAGACTGTTATTGGAGGGAATGGTCATGTCAAGTCATGTAATGTGGTTGAGTAATTTCACTGTGGGGGAACTGTAGACGCAGCACCCAGAGATGTGGCGCGAGGGGGTTGGAGAGGGTGCACGGATGATTTGGAAGCCGCTTCTGGACGTGTTTCTGCACATCCACCTCTGCTGTGTTGAGAGAGGGAGGTGTGGCACTGGCAAACTATGATGATTCAGTTGAGCAGTGTTGGGGTTTTCTCATCACGTTGAATGAAGAGGGCTCCCTCCTGTGGACAACTTCAGAAACTACAGGTACAGTAAAAGCAAAGTTACCGGAGAAATCATCTCCTCTACCTGTTATAAAATAGAAACAATGTTTGCATTATAATTTAGATTTATTATTCAGTATGCATTTTAACATTTCTTTAAATTGAAATTCCATCCCATACCATCTCCATTCTGTCTCCATAGGGCATCTTAAGGCAGATGCAAATAAAACAAAAATCTAATTTCCAACCAAGGAATTATTCTATATATTCATCAGTGCAAAATAGCAAAACCCAAGCTAATAAGAAAAAGGACAGTACAGTTCATCATTCACGTCTGTAATTAGAATTCTCCATTTTGATTTTTTCCCTTTTCGTTCAGTGTAAAAAAAAAAAAAAGCTATTTAAAAAAAGCCAGTGCTAAAACAAAACAAATAAATAATACAAAATTGGCAAAAAAAACCATTCAGTGCACGTTTGAATGGATTTAAGAGTCCAAGTTTTGCAGCAGAAAAACATTGACAAAATTATTTATTATATACATATTTACAAGTATTAACAGCTGTAAAGTATGTATAGTGTGTATATATAGTTATGTTAATTCTAAAAGAGGTCCATATTACTGAGTTTAGACTCAATTAAATTATTCTGTGACCATTTGAGAGATTAGGGCAGGGGTGTCAAACTCATTCCAAGTCTGCAGGTTATTGGTTTTTCCTTTCAATTAAGAGCTAGACAACCAGGTGAGGGAAGTTCTTTACTTATTAGTGACCTTAATTCATCAAGTAAAAGGGAGGAGTGAAAACCTGCAGACACTCTGCCCTCCGTGGAATGAGTTTGGCACTTGTGGGTTAGGGAGTACACAGCAAGCATTAGGCTAGTAGGGAGGAGGGTGGTTTATATACTAAAAGTCCATTAGCAAAGGCTCCCCTCTCCATTGTTTTTAATGCGTTAAACTCAGGTTAAAAAGGCATTGTTATCCTCTGCTTGGAACAAGCATGGTGGAAACCATTGACACACACACACACACCTCTCTACACATTTTAATCTCCCTACTTCAACATCCAATTAATATACACTGAACAAAAATGTAAAACGCAACATGTAAAGTGTTGGTTTCATGAGCTGAAATAAAAGATCCCAGACATTTTCCATACTCTCATTTTGTGCACACATTTGTTAGATCCCTGTTAGTGAGCATTTCTCCTTTGCCAAGATAATCCAACCAACTGACAGGTGTGGCATATCAAGAAGCTGATTAAACAGCATGATCATTACACAGGTGCACCTTGTGCTGGGGACAATAAAAGGCCACTAAAATGTGCAGTTTTATCACACAACACAATCCACAGATGTCTCAAGTTGAGAGAGCGCGCAATTGGCATGCTGACTGCAGTAATGTCCACCAGAGCTGTTGCAAGATAATTGAATGTTCATTTCTCTACCATAAGCCACCTCCAACGTCGTTTTAGAGAATTTGGCAGTACGTCCAATCGGCCTCACAACCGCAGACCACGTAGCCCAGGACCTCCACATTCGGCTTCTTCACCTGCGGGATCGTCTGAGACCAGCCACCCAGACAGCTGATGAAACGGAGGAGTATTTCTGTCTGTAATAAAGCCCTTTTGTGGGGAAAAAGTCATTCCGATTGGCTGGGCATGGCTCACCAGTGGGTGGGCCGGGCTCCCAAGTGGGTGGACCTATGCCCTCCCAGGCCCACCCATGGCTGCGCCCCTGCCCAGTCAAATCCATAGATTAGGGCCTAATGAATTTCAATTGACGGATTTCCTTACATGATCAGTAACTCAGTAAAATTGTTGAAATTGTTGCATGTAGTGTTTCTATTTTTGTTAAGTTTACATCCGTCTTTCTACTGTTTGTGCACAGCAGCGGTTTTGCACATCTTTTTCATTTCTTTATCAGTCTTTTACATCCCTCTCTGCAGTCAACATCAACACTCCAGTCAACATCAACACTCCAGTCAACATCAACACTACTACTAGCAAATAAATCGTAATGACACACACACACACACACCCACCCACCCTCGCCAACTCCTAATTATGGAAAGACAGGACATGCAGACAGAGTCTGAACAGGGCCAAAGCATTGGAGCTGAAAGCTTAAAGAGACTAGGTGTTCAACTTTAACCACGTATTAATGTGTTCCCTGTGGTATGAGGGACACCTTTGGCAGGAGTGGAGTGGTGGGAGGGAGGTAGAGTGGAGGGGATCCAGTTGAGTCCATCTTCAGATTGGAGAGGGTCCATTCATGGTCCAAGTCACACTGGGCACCAGTGGTCCAAGGGGTTACGGGTTAAGGGTCAGGGGTTAGAGCAGGGCTCTCCAACCCTGTTCCTGGAACGCTACCCTGGTGTGGTAGATTAGGGTTGGAGTTAAAACCTACAGGACGGTAGCTCTCCAGGATCAGGGTTGGAGATCCCTGGCTTAGAGGTTGAAATGAAGTCCCGTGTAGCTCAGTTGGTAGAGCATGGCGCTTGCAACGCCAGGGTTGTGGGTTCGATTCCCACGGGGGACCAGTATGAAAAAATGTATGCACTCACTAACTGTAAGTCGCTCTGGATAAGAGCGTCTGCTAAATGACTCAAATGTAAATGAAGTCTACTCCCTTAAAAAAAAAAGTATTTCTTAAGCTACAGTAGCTGCAGAAGTTGCCCGACATACAACTCTCATCTTCCACCTCCACCTCAGTTTTTGGACCCAGAGCCTGACTCTTATCTCTCCTTTCCTCACTTCCTCATAGTTCTTGGACCCAAAGTCTCTATTTCTAATGTTTCCCTCCTCCTGTCAGCAGTCGGAGAGCTCGGAGTAGGTGTTGGAGTCACCTTCTGTTTTCCACCGCTGGCGGACTGACTTCTCCTCATCCTAGAGGAACAACACACAGTCACTACTAACAGTAGGATGAGTGTGTGTGAGTGAGTGAGTGAAAGTGAGTGAGAGTCTATGATGTTGATATGGTGTCCATGTATCTGTGTGTGTGTTAGACATACCACCTGGAAGACTCCGTTCTGGTCCCACTCTACGGGGGAGTGGTCATCGAGTTCCTGTTCCCCCTCTTCCTCTTCCTCCTCCTCTTCCTCCTCCTCTTCTCTCACCGTGTCCATCCCGTCCTCCTCATACTCCGTCAGGCAGTCCGACTCGTCCCCCGCTGTGGGACACACAGACACAGTTATGCACTATGAAAGAGACCAGCCATACTGCGCTAGCAACAAGACTGAAGACTGCCATGTGAAACACTACATGGCCAAAAGTATATGGACACCTGCTCGTCGAATATCTCATTCCAAAATCATGGGCTTTAATATGGAGTTGGTCCCCCCCTTTGCTGCTATAAACAGCCTCCACACTTCTGAGAAGGCTTTTCACTAGAACATTGCTGCGAGGACTTGCGTCCATTCAGCCACAAGAGCATTAGTGAGGGCGGGCACTGATGTTGGGCGATTAGGCCTGGCTCGCAGTCGGCATTCCAATTCATCCCAAAGGTGTTCAATGGCATTGAGGTCAGGGCTCTGAAGGCCAGTGAAGTTCTTCCACACCGATCTCGACAAACCATTTCTGTATGGACCTCGCTTTGTGCATGGAGGCATCGTCATGCTGAAACAGGAAAGGGCCTTCCCCAAACGGTTGCCACAAAGTTGGAAGCGTAGAATCGTCTAGAATGTCATTGTATGCTGTAGCGTTAAGATTTCCCTTCACTGGAACTAAGGGGCCTAGCCCGAACCATGATAAACAGCCTCAGACCATTATTCCTCCTCCACCAAACTTTACAGTTGGCACTATGCATTCGGGCAGGTAGCGTTCTCCTGGCATCCGCCAAACCCAGATTCTTCCGTCGGACTGCCAAATGGTGAAGCGTGATTCATCACTCCAGATAACACCTTTCCCCTGCTCCAGAGTCCAATGGCGGCAAGCTTTACATCACTCCAGCCGACGCTTGGCATTGCGCATGGTGATCTTAGGAGGCTGCTCAGTCATGGAAACCCATTTCATGAAACTCCCGACGAATAGTTCTTATGCTGACGTTGCTTCCAGAGGCAGTTTGGAACTCGGTAGTGAGTGTTGCAACCGAGGACAGGCGATTTCCACACGCTTCAGCACTCGGCGGTCCCGTTCTGTGAACTTGTGTGGCCTACCACTTCGCGGCTGAGCCTAGACGTTTCCACTTCACAATAACAGCACTTACAGTTGACCGGGGCAGCTCTAGCAGGGCAGAAATTTGACAAACTGACTTGTTGGAAAGGTGGCATCCTATGACGGTGCCACGTTGAAAGTCACTAAGCTCTTCAGTAAGGCCATTCTACTGCCAATGTTTGTCTATGGAAGATTTTATACACCTGTCAGCAACAGGTGTGGCTGAAATAGCCTAATCCACTAATTTGAAGGGGTGTCCACATACCTCTCCAGGTATATTCCTATCGTAAAGGAGCTACAATTTAAATAAAGATACATTCAATATGTTTTAAAGGCGACCAGGGCCCTTACTCAGAGTCTCAGAGCAGGAGTGCTGATCTAGGATCATTCCATATAATCTTATTCATTATGATATAAAAGGCAAAACTGATTAAAGATCAGCAATCCTACTCTGAGAGGCTTTGTGGACACTGGCTCTGGAGCTCTGATTTATTATTTTATTGCAGGACACTTGGAAGAGTCAGGAGACGGGTAAAGAGGGAAACAGAGATAAAGGCCAAAGGCTCAAACCCTTATCGCCGTGGGGGCAGTGTTACTGCTCAACCAGACTTCGGTACATTTTCCACTTTATAATAGCCTCTTACCCTCAGCAGCATCAGTGTCAGGATCGACGTAGGTCTGGACCGGCTCAATCCTGGACACTATCTCAGCCAGGTCAGTGAAGTCTGATCCTGGACACGTACAGGACTGGAATACAACAAGAGAATGTCATAATGTTACAAGAATGTTAGAATTCATGTAACATGTAATAACGAGCACAGCTTAAAACAAGAGAATGTCATGGGAATGTTATAATAACGTTAGGTAAATGTTATGTTAGGAGAATGTCATAATGTAAGGGCGGTTATAAAAACGTTATAGAAATGTAACTATGTGCTAATGGATAATGTAAAGCGGAGCAGCTGTGAGATGGTAAATGTAAGGTTTGTGACGTGTGTGTGTGTGTGTTCGTGTGTGAGTGACTCACGTCCGTCTTAGTCTTGCTGTCGTTGTAGTCTGCCGAGCGGTGGTCCTTGAGCATGTTGTGGATAATGTCACCACGGGCCCAGCCGGTGAAGAGCAGCTTACCGTGCTGGTAGCCCACATCCTGACAGACAGAGAGGACAGGAGAGGTTAGCCTGGGGTGACAGACCATGTGCTACAGTAACAAGCAATATGACTAGAGTCTGTTGGAGACCAAGCTCCGAAGGTCTTTTCCCGTGAGATTTGTTAGCTATGAACAGGAGACTGTATTTTACCAAACTTAATGTCAGCTGTTATCTAAAATGTGCTTCTCTCTAACATTATTACATAACAAAAGTTATCATGAATGTAAATACACTTTGAACATATCCCAGAGCCTGTATAAGGAGAAGATACATCAGAGAGAGAAACGGAGCGAGAGGAGGAGGAGGGGGGGGAGAAGGGAGATGAGGGAGGGAGAGAGAGAGGGAGAGAGGTGTTGAGAAGGAATTGTGGAACTCACGTAGATCTCGTCAAACTTGCCGAAGTCCATTGTCTTGAAGCGGTCGATGGGTGGTCTGATGTACTCGCAGTAGGCACTCTTCTTAACCACCTCCAGCTGACGTACACACGACACATAGGCCAGCCTGGACTGGATCTCTGCCATATCTGGAACCTGGGTGGGTATAGACGATAGTGTGTGAGTGTGTGTGATTGAGTGTGTGCGCGTGTTGGTGTGTGGGGTCATCTGCGTTGATCATCTCACCTTCACTTTCTCCGCCCAGGGGTTGATCCGTTTCCACAGCAACCACCAGCCCGACAGGCTGTCGCCGTAGTTACAGAGGTCCGTCTCGTCCTGGCTACCTACGTCGATAGCGATGACCGTCTTGGCGCCCATGTTTCTTGCGATGTCCGCTGTGGGATGTCACGTTGTGACACACACACACACACACACACACACGTAGCGAAACAAAAACACGGACGTACACGAGCCGGCAGCAGGGACAATAAGGAAAAACCAGTCTGGGGTTATTGTGGTTATTTCATAATAGGACCGTTGTCCTTCCTATACTTCATTAACATATTCAAATTCACTCCACCAAAAACAGACACCCCAATTGGCTGCATTACGTCACTCACTGGATAATCACATCAAACTTAATTTAATTTCCAGTTTTATACAGTAAATCTACTCATATCGCCCTACTACATGGTCCCAATGTGAATTCTTATGGTCCCAATTGGGTGAATTCTAATTTCCACCTTTCGTTTGCTCCTGCATTGTTGATAATGCTGCCTTGGTGTGTGTGTTTATGGTGCGAGTCCCAGCGAGTGTTTGAGACCAAGTACCCTGTGAAGGGTGCAGGTCCCACCAGTCCACTCCACAGTGTTGTCCCAATGTGTTTAAGGAACTGGCAGATAGCCTAGTGGTTAAGAGTGTTGGGCCAGTAACTGAAAGGTTGCTGGTTGAAATGATGAAACGATGTGCCCTTGAGCAAGGCACTTAACCCTAATTTCTCCTGTAAGTCGCTCTGGATAACAGTGTCTACTAAATGACAAAAATGTCAAAATGAGCCAAGCCTAATTTTGAAGAGCTTAAACTTCTATCATTAGCGTTCTAAATCCATCGTCAACACTATATGGTTACTATGGCATTGCGCCTCTTCTGCCTTTAAGAATGTGAGACTTGTCATTGCTTTAGCCTGAAAAACACTGGGTCCAACTCTGTGGGTGTGTCCACCCAAATCATCAAATACATAGTAGACCTCTAAGCCATCCGACCATGTTGCACAAACCACAAGGAGCTTCTACATCTAAATAAACCGGATTCATCCAAAATGGAGAAGGATGATGTTAAATTTCATCAGGTTTGTGAAACATGGTTTTGTGTTTCATATTTATTTTCTGCACGCTACAATGATGACTTCCAGAGGAGATAAGAGTAACATAGTAGAAGATTTGAGTAGCATGCAGAAATAAAATGTTTCAAGTTGTCCTTTTTCCAGTTGGAATGTAACAAGCAATCCATACATCCATCCATTTGGTAGAACTCCCAAGTTGGTAACATTCTAATGAATACCAGTTTGTTGAGGGGCCTGATGCTATGTTTCGTATTCAAACTGGAAGGGAATGTACTGTCAGAGCCGACTGGTGTCTTGGAAGTCACTGATTTAGAAGCACGGGCTATTGTTTTGTTTTATGGAATTGAGAAAGCTAACTGTATATCGTTTTTAAGTTGCCCAAAATCACAACTCTATCAACACCCCAATAATCTGAGGAATACGGTATGTCCCGCCCCTTTAGATGTTCTCAGCCAGTAAGACACCAGGAAGCCTTACTGACAGACACATAGCTTTCTGAAACTCTGTTGATTTAGTATTGATTTAAACAGCTTGTGGATACTGGACAATGGGATAGTTTGTATCGCCAGCGTCCACAATCACTAACACACTGGACGATCTGTGCTGCATTTCCTCCCATCTGACAGTAAAGATTGATCCTGAGCTGAAAGCATGTTATAGACCAATTTCAAATACACTATGGGGTTCATTTACATATTTGTTTTCTTTTCAGTCAATCTATGGATATATTTTGAAAATAATGTTGGCAAATAACATTTTGACAATGGAAATTAATTGAACGCTCATTCCCACTGCTCAGATTGAAGAAAAAACAACAGAATTCTGTCAAACTATCATCTCCACCATCGTCAATGACAGCCCTCGCACATACATACTTACCCATGGACGATCTCTCAATCCCCCCCCCCCCCCAACTAAAATAACTGAAAATATCCTACTACCCCCTCCCTCCTCCTTTCCTGTTCTCCTCCTCATCTACTTGCCTGGCAGGTTGTTGATGTAGCCCCCGTCCATAAGCAAGTTTCCATCTTTGGGGTCGCAGAGGGGCGGCAGGTACCCTGAGAGGGTCATGCTCGCCCTCACATAGCGCCACAGTGACCCTGTGAGCCACACCCAGGGGGAGGGAGGGGAGGGGAGGGGGGATAACATCTCAATAATGTTGGCGTAAAGTCTCAGGTTAGTCATGCGTTTTGGCAGCAGACCATATCCCCAAACCAAAGGGTGCAAATCCAATTGGTTAACCCAGAGGTGGGAATGTGGTGCTGCCCAACCTCTCAAATTGCTTCTGTATCCCCAAACCACCTTACCATGCACAGAGACCTGTGTGTGTGTGTGTGTGTGTGTGTGTCAGGCCTAGGCACAGGGTACAGGGGTAAGGGTGCAGCCAAAGAGTATCAAGGGTTGGTTCGATCTCCAGACTCTGTCCCCAACCACAACCTTATGCTCCTTGTGAGTTAACCCTTGTGAAAGGTTATCCAGCCAAAGTGAAGCTTTTGCTTTTATAACCATTTATACAAATGGTCTGTTTTACAGCACTTGGTGAAAACATACAAAAGGGAAAATCACCAAAAATACAGGTATGAGGAACCTTTTAAACTTAGCCTTCAGGTCCCTGACTCCCCAACTAGACACAAGGAGCACTGGAGGTTGGTAGTCTGGTCACAGCATTTGGAGATCTCTCAGACACTAGTGAACATGTTAGGGGCAACCAGCCAGCCCTGCCCAGAGCTGTGGTCCTGTAATACCACTCCGGACCAGCAGAGGGCAGGGGGAGGCTGGGCGCTGCATGGATTGGAAGGAGAAGGAGCACCAGAGGAAGAGAAGGATGCTGCTGTGTGTGTGTGTGTGGAGTTTGAAGGGGACATACGAGACTGAAGAATTTCAGTGTGGAATCATTGAACTGAACTGTTCTGGACTTAGAAGTACTAACAAACGCATAGTCACCATTTTCAGCCCACATTTAATTTGAGGCTTCAATCAAGCCTTTCATTAACAAGACCGATGGAACTGTATGTACGTCTATGGGCGTCGGTAGGATCCAGAACATTTTTGACATCTCGCTAGAAAAAGCTAACAGGAAACGGGTAGCATCAGCAACACTCATCAATATATGTAAGAATATATAGATGCGTACAGTACACGGACACATGCACATACATGGGCGCAAGGCAAGTCAGGGGGGAGGTGTAGCTGCTGGGGGGGGGGGGCAAATGGTTGACATAAGCCATTTATAAGCCATTATAAGCACTGCTCGGTATGATGACACGGGATCAAGCGATGGACGAACAGACAGACAAATGGACACATTGAGAGAAAAAAACGACTAAGACCACAATTAAAAAACAAACATGAAATAGCCTATATGGTGATCTTCTCCGATCTCAACACAAAACCTTTATTTCCCGATACCATAGGATCAGCTTCAAACCCTAAAGAGAACGTTAAATGTTTTATTCCTATAGCTACAGTGAGGGAAAAAACGTATTTGATCCCCTGCTGATTTTGTACGTTTGCCCACTGACAAAGACATGATCAGTCTATAATTTTAATGGTAGGTTTATTTGAACAGTGAGAGACAGAATAACAACAAAAACATCCAGAAAAAACACATGTCAAAAATGTTATAAATTGATTTGCATTTTATGTGGGGAAATAAATATTTTCTGGCTCCCAGGTGTCTTTTATACAGGTAACACGCTGAGATTAGGAGCACACTCTTAAAGGGAGTGCTCCTAATCTCAGCTTGTTACCTGTATAAAAAGACACCTGTCCACAGAAGCAATCAATCAATCAGATTCCAAACTCTCCACCATGGCCAAGACCAAAGAGCTCTCCAAGGATGTCAGGGACAAGATTGTAGACCTACACAAGGCTGGAATGGGCTACAAGACCATCGCCAAGCAGCTTGGTGAGAAGGTGACAACAGTTGGTGCGATTATTCGCAAATCGAAGAAACACAAAATAACTGTCAATCTCCCTCGGCCTGGAGCTCCATGCAAGATCTCACCTCGTGGAGTTGCAATGATCATGAGAACGGTGAGGAATCAGCCCAGAACTACACAGGAGGATCTTGTCAATGATCTCAAGGCAGCTGGGACCATAGTCACCAAGAAAACAATTGGTAACACACTACACCGTGAAGGACTGAAATCCTACTGCGCCCGCAAGGTCCCCCTGCTCAAGAAAGCACATATACAGGCCCGTCTGAAGTTTGCCAAAGAACATCTGAATGATTCAGAGGAGAACTGGGTGAAAGTGTTGTGGTCAGATGAGACCAAAATCGAGCTCTTTGGCATCAACTCAACTCGCCGTGTTTGGAGGAGGAGGAATGCTGCCTATGACCCCAAGAACACTATCCCCACCGTCAAACATGGAGGTGGAAACATTATGCTTTGGGGGTGTTTTTCTGCTAAGGGGACAGGACAACTTCACCGCATCAAAGGGACGATGGACGGGGCCATGTACCGTCAAATCTTGGGTGAGAACCTCCTTCCCTCAGCCAGGGCATTGACAATGGGTCGTGGATGGGTATTCCAGCATGACAATGACCCAAAACACACAGCCAAGGCAACAAAGGAGTGGCTAAAAAAGAAGCACATTAAGGTCCTGGAGTGGCCTAGCCAGTCTCCAGACCTTAATCCCATAGAAAATATGTGGAGGGAGCTGAAGGTTCGAGTTGCCAAACGTCAGGCTCGAAACCTTAATGACTTGGAGAAGATCTGCAAAGAGGAGTGGGACAAAATCCCTCCTGAGATGTGTGCAAACCTGGTGGCCAACTACAAGAAACGTCTGACCTCTGTGATTGCCAACAAGGGTTTTGCCACCAAGTACTAAGTCATGTTTTGCAGAGGGGTCAAATACTTATTTCCCTCATTAAAATGCAAATCAATTGATAACATTTTTGACATGCGTTTCTGGATTTTGTTGTTGTTATTCTGTCTCTCACTGTTCAAATAAACCTACCATTAAAATTATGGACTGATCATGTCTTTGTCAGTGGGCAAACATACAAAATCAGCAGGGGATCAAATACTTTTTTCCCCTCACTGTAGGTCGATATGCAAAATATATAACCTATGGACCTACACTGACGAAGAAGTGACTGAGACCCAAGCTTGAAGCTTTAGAAAGTGGGAAACAACAAGCAGCAAGCTGCATGGAAAGGCCTTAGGGAAAGGCCTGTGTGCCATGCTCAGGAAAAAGCAGGCGAGTGTGTAGTCTTGGTGTGTAGTATACCAGCCAAGTGCAGTAGAACTTGGGAGATGAAGTAGAGTAGCATGGAGAACCAAAAACAGGGAGGGGGCGGGGCACCAGAAGCAGGACCATCATGCACCTCTCTGTCTGACCCATGGATATGTACCTGCATGAGCAAAGCCTCACTGCCAATCCGGAGGCGAGGGGGAGGGGCTTACTGACACTGGGGGGCAGGACAAAGCCAATTCGGAACTGACGTGTGTATGAGCGTAAACTATTGAAGCCAAATTGAATAGAGAAGTATTGGTGTTAAGAATGGGTGGTGGTGGGTGTAGGGGAGCGAACATTGCAACCCCTCCACTCACATGCCGAAATATACACTGTATTATTAGCCTAACTTTCCTTCCAAACCATGGGTTCCCAATGTCCGACTAGTCAGGTGGGGTTAAGGTGAGACGGAACGTGGGAAGGAGGGAGGGGGAGGGAGTGGTTGATTGTCGGTCGTTTCAAGGAGCTTAAGGTAGAAGTTGCCCCTAATCGCAGATCTGGGATCAGATGACATAACCCCAATCCTAACATTAACCATCAGGTGGGTGAAAATAATATCTGACCCTGTATCAGTGGTCAGGAGCAACTTCTACAACTCCTTTTGGGATTGAGGGGTGAGACGGGTCGGGGTTTGAACTTTGAATTCTGACCTGGGACATTGTTAACATAGCAACCATCCACAAGCAGGTGGCCATCCTTGGGGTCGCAGAGGGGAGGTAAGTAGGGGGTGTAGGAGGCACTCGCTCTAACATAGCGCCACAGCGAGCCTGTCAGAATGGAAGATGGAGAGGGGACATCACACATGGACAGATAGCCCCACGTCACACAGAGAGAGAGAGAGAGAGAGAGAGCCAGAGAGAGAGAGAGAGAGAGAGAGAGAGAGAGAGAGAGAGAGAGAGAGAGAGAGAGAGAGAGAGAGAGAGATAGAGGCAGAGAGAGAGAAGAGAGAGAGCCAGAGGAGAGAGGCCAGAGAGAGAGAGGCAAAGAGAGAAAGAGAGCCAAAAGAGAGAGAGAGAGAGAGGGGAGAGCCAGAGAGAGAGAGAGACAGAAAGAGAGACACAGAGAGCCAGAGAGCCAGAGAGAGAGCCAGAGAGAGAGAGAGCCAGAGAGAGAGAGCCAGAGAGAGAGCCAGAGAGAGAGAGCCAGAGAGCCAGAGAGAGAGAGAGAGAGAGAGCCAGAGAAAGACAGAGAGCCAGAGAAAGACAGAGAGAGAGAGAGAGAAAAAAGAGAAAAGGAGTGAAACAAAGGAGAGAGGAGCGAATAGGGTTCCAAATTGTCACAAACGTTCCTAAAGTTCCCGTATTTGTTGGGGGAAATTCCAGTTGAAGAATTCCCAATTGATTCTGGGAATCCTCCAACCGGGATTTCTGAAAAACCTGAGAATTGTGTAACCCTAGGAGCAAGACAGAGCTAGAGATGGCAAGATACTGTATATAGAGAGAGTGAAGGAGAGAAAAGAGCAGGAGACAAAAGGGAGAGAGGGAGAGGCAAAACATGTCCAGAGCTCGACGTATACAATCTAAAACGTAAACGACCTGAAATTGTATCTGACGTATACAATCTAAAACCTTCAGTGAACATGGTCAGGTAACATAAAGCAACGTTTCTAGGAACTAAAAACAACAACTAAGAGGCCAGTTCTAGAACTAAAACAGATTGCACAGACAGAACTGTAGATAATGATTGAATTTTCTAAAATACAGATAGACAAAAAAACTCAATAGCGTCACAGCATTAATATTTCACTGAATTTCAATCTTATAGCTAAAGGGTGTTGTTCATTTACTCTCCTAAACCACTCAAAGGAACCATGAACACCATAACCATGTATTAGTTTATAAACCTCATTGGAAAATGGAGACCTACATACACTGAGTGTACAAAACATTAGGAACACCTGCTCTTTCCATGACAGACTGACCAGGTGAAAGCTATGATCCCTTATTGATGTCACTTGTTAAATCCACTTCAAAATCAGTGTAGATAAACGGGAGGAGACAGGTTAAAGAAGGATTTTAAGCCTTGAGACAATTGAGACATGGATTGTGTATGTGTGCCATTCAGAGGGTGAATGGGCAAGACAAAAAATGTAAGTGCCTTTGAACGTGGAATGGTAGTAGGTGCCAGGCGCAACGGTTTGCGTCAAGAACGGGAACGCTGCTGGGTTTTTCACGCTCAACAGTTTCCTGTGTGTATCAAGAATGGTCCACCACCCAAAGGACATCCAGCCAACTTGACACAACTGTGGGAAGCATTGGAGTCAACATGGGCCAGCATCCCTGTAGAACACTTTCAACACCTTGTAGAGTCCATGACCCGATGAATTGAGGCTGTTCTGAGGGCAAAAGGGGGTGCAACTCAATATTAGGAAGGTGTTCCTAATGTTTTGTACACTCAGCGTATTTCTACTCTTTCCCAGGCTATCAACAGCCACTTATCAGCCACAGTCGTCCTGTTTGGTGTTTTGCTTAGTGTGTAAGAATTATTATCAGCTTGGTTAGATAGATAGCAGCCGACAACAAACAAGAAGATTACTACAAAATGCACCGACGTTCTCTGAGAAAGGGATCGAGAGAGAGAATGATAGATAGTGGAGACCAGTGAAAGAGATAAGTAAGAGTTAGAAAAAGATCACAAAAGAAGATCGAGAAAGATCCATCTACAAGCCAGGTAGAGTTAGCACACACACACGACGCAGGATCTATAAACTTGATGGCTATGACCATACTCTAAAAGCCGCCATCTTGAAATTAAGCTACAGGTCTAGCGACTAGTGTAACATAAAAAATAAAGACTAAATGATGCTCAATTTACACAACGTCAGAGAGACTGTACCATTCATTGGCTTGTGGAAACATGGGGTGTTGCATAAACCAAATAGTGCCACCACGAACTCGTAAAGTCCTTGCGTTACCAATGCGCCAACAGTGGAACTTCCTCTATTGAAAAACCCTGAGGTTGGTGTTAAAACTGCCCACTCACTCGGAGCAGCAGACATTGCTCTCTGACCATGTCTGGTGTAGGCTACGGGTGAAGTTTCCTCTATGTACAGATCTAGGATCAGCTTCCATACTAAACTAAACTAAACTTTATTGGGGGAAATACATAACTGACCCAAGATCAGCGTCTAGGGGCAACTTCACTCTATTCCTGTGTGTATGACTCCAGTAATGGAAATTTAGAGCCGTATGAAAGAAAAGCACATTGGGGGAAACTACGGGAAGCGAGGGAGGGAGGGATGGAGGGAGTGGCGTTAGGGTGCAGAGGGGTAAAGCAAGGGAAAAAGTGTTCTGGATCCTACTTGTTGACGCGGACAGGGGTGGAAGGATCAGCGACTAGCACACTACACTACGCCTATATTACACTAGCCTGGTCCCAGATCTGTTTGTGCCGTCTACCCACCAACAGATCTGGGACCAGGCTAATAGTATGGCCTATCCAGCAGATGGTAAAAGTGTCCCCATATTAGCAAATGAACATTAGGGAAGTCATTGTGGCATGGTTTGTTTGGTGTTGTTTTAAGACATGTTTTAGACATTAAACACATGTGAGAAAGGTAGGAGGAATAACCTGTTATGTTTGCGATAGAAAGAAAAAACGGGAAAGAGATGGAGAGCAACAGAGATGAGTGCACTAGGCTGTGTCAACAGGAAGTGATGTCACACTAGGGAGGAGGAAGCTGATAGGTAAATAGAGACAGAGGAAGATAGCATCGTAAAGCTTTGCTCTCGCTATTAGTAAACATGCCAAGTGCAGACGAGCATCCAATATATAACTGGGGGACCCCACAACCTTGTGACACCCCAAATCCAGGATCAAGGAGGACTCATTTGCTACATTTGCCTATGTGGCCTAAAATCAGTACATAAATGCCTTTGCTCTTAGAAACTAGTGGACATTACCGGTGATAATGAATGCATGCAACATGTACTAACACTGGATTTGGGGGTAGGCTTCCTTCCACAAGCCAAAAGGTTGTGGCCTTTGACCCCAAGAGGTCAGCAGGGGTCGTACTCCCAGCCTATAGGACTATTCTAGCTACAGTTAGTGGTAGTGCATTTCTCAGTCAGTCATCACATACATAAACAATCCATATATTAAGTGTCAGTCAATGAGTTAATGGATGAACATATTAAACAAACAGATAAAATATGATTTTACTCCAGTATACCAATTGTATGACCCCCTATTCATATTATAAAGCTGAAAGACATGCTGAATCTAACCAATTTATCTAAATTAAGGGCTAGGATTTTAATCTCATAACCCACACTCTGTTTCAGTAAAACCAGGGTGTTCTAATCTAAATTAGCTGTCATCATCCATCGCTGATTTACTTTAGGAATTAACAATCATGCCAATCCCACATATTAGTTCTAAGTCATATTGGGCCATACCAGTGTGAGTGGACTGAATTAAATAGTGTTACATATGGAGAATATATCTAAAGAAACTATACAACTACATATCTAACTCACGTGTGTGTGTGTGTTTGTCTGACTGCTTGAGACCTATCCTAACAGCTATCAAATTTCTACTCAAAGTCCTGAAGAACTTGGACAATTACTTCTATACTGCGGTCAAGATAACTTCAAAATCTAGTCGTTCATTTATAAACAGCGATAGAGCAGAGAGTGGGAGGGGACAGCGGTTAGCTGCCTGTCACTCACCGTCTTGGTGCACACGCATGGCGGACGCCGTGATGTCAGTAGTCACGTTGAAGTAGGGCAACCAAAGGTCCTGATGGTTGGATAGAACATACATTAGATATTACATCGGAATAAGGAACGTTCAGAAGAATATATGTAGAACAAATATGCCTCTCCAAAATGTGGAGTAGGAATCACGTCAGCTCTATTCTGCAACTTTTCACAAGGTTTGCCTACTGAACGTGGCCCAGTTTCATTCACAGACAAACATCTCTAGTAGCACTGACAGACAGTGACCTCTCACCTCAGCCTGCTTGTCCTGGAACACTTTGGAGATGCTGGTGTTGAAGGCGGCTCCAGTGAACATTGAGGTGATGGGATAGGTCAGGTCAAGGATGGTTTTGAATACGGAGTTCATGGCCTGTAGGGAGGGAGGAAAGGAAGGAGGTAGAGAGACAAAAAGGTTCATATTGAGCGTGTCTGAGATCGACATTGCAGTCAGACCGCACAGAATCACTGATCCACAAATCACCTTGCATCCCAAATGACCACTCATTATGTGATCAAGATTAGTGATTTTGTACCTCGCAATGCTCAAACTGATCCCCTCTAATACGCTACAGTGGGGAAAAAAAGTATTTAGTCAGCCACCAATTGTGCAAGTTCTCCCACTTAAAAAGATGAGAGAGGCCTGTAATTTTCATCATAGGTACACGTCAACTATGACAGACAAAATTAGAAAAATAAATCCAGAAAATCACATTGTAGGATTTTTAATGAATTTATTGGCATATGATGGTGGAAAATAAGTATTTGGTCAATAACAAAAGTTTCTCAATACTTTGTTATATACCCTTTGTTGGCAATGACACAGGTCAAACGTTTTCTGTACGTCTTCACAAGGTTTTCACACACTGTTGCTGGTATTTTGGCCCATTCCTCCATGCAGATCTCCTCTAGAGCAGTGATGTTTTGGGGCTGGTCGCTGGGCAACACAGACTTTCAACTCCCTCCAATATTTTCTATGGGGTTGAGATCTGGAGACTGGCTAGGCCACTCCAGGACCTTGAAATGCTTCTTACGAAGCCACTCCTTCGTTGCCCGGGCGGTGTGTTTGGGATCATTGTCATGCTGAAAGACCCGCCACGTTTCATCTTTAATGCCCTTGCTGATGGAAAGGAGGGTTTTTTTCAAAATTCACGATACATGGCCCCCCTTCATTTTTCCTTTACAGGTCATTCCCGGTCCCTTTGCAAAAAAAAGCCCAAAGCATGATGTTCCAAACCCCCTGCTTTCCCGAGGTATGGGGTGTTCTTTGGATGCAACTCGCATTCTTTGTCCCCAAACATGACGAGTTGGTTTTTTTCCAAAAGTTATATTTTGGTTTCATCGAAAATGAATTCTCCCAACCTCTTTTGGGTATCCCAAGCAAAAAACTTTGGGGGAACCCTTTCCCGGGGGTTTGTTTTTTTTTTAAAAATTTTTAAAAAAAAAAGGGGAAAAGGAGGAAAATGTTTTTTGGAAAAAAAAAAAAAAGGGAAAAGAATGAGGGGTTTTGGGGTTTTTTCAAAAAAAGTGAGCAAGGAGGAGGAATGTGGGTAAATGGAAAGGGGAAGAAGGGGAAAATTTTGCTCTCGCTAAAACATGCCAATGGGGTGCCCCAACCTTGTACCCCAAACAGTCAAGGAGGATTTGCATTGCTATGTGGCCATAAATGATAATAATTACTTTCTTAAATGCCTTGCTCTTAGAAACTAGTGGACATTACCGGTGATAATGAATGCATTGCAACATGTACTAACACTGGATTTGGGGGTAGGCTTTCCTTCCACAAGCCAAAAGGTTGTGGCCTTTGACCCCAAAAGGTCAGCAGGGGTCGTACTCCCAGCCTCTAGGACTATTCTAGCTACAGTTAGTGGTAGTGCATTTCTCAGTCAGTCATCACATACTAAAACAATCCATATATTAAGTGTCAGTCAATGAGTCAATGGATGAACATATTAAAACAGATAAAATATGATTTTACTCCAGTATACCAATTGTATGACCCCCTATTCATATTATAAAGCTGAAAGACATGCTGAATCTAACCAATACTCTCAAAGTCCTGACCAGCTGATTCTTTGCAATGCATACTTCTAATACAGTGTGAACTGATTAAAAGTGTACATGAGATATATCAAGAAATATACAAACAATCTAACTCAATCAGTCGCTATCAAATTTTACTCAAGTCCTGAAGATTGACAATTACTCTATACTGCGGTCAAGAATAACTTCAAAATCGAGTCGTTCATTTATAAACAGCGATAGAGCAGAGAGGGGGAGGGGACAGCGGTTAGCTGCCTGTCACTCACCGTCTTGGTGCACACGCATGGCGGACGCCGTGATGTCAGTAGTCACGTTGAAGTAGGGCAACCAAAGGTCCTGATGGTTGGATAGAACATACATTAGATATTAAAATCGGAATAAGGAACGTTCAGGAGAATATATGTAGAACAAATATGCCTCTCCAAAAGTAGGAATCACGTCAGCGCTATTCTGCAACTTTTCACAAGGTTTGCCTACTGAACGTGGCCCAGTTTCGTTCACAGACAAACATCTCTAGTAGCACTGACAGACAGTGACCTCTCACCTCAGCCTGCTTGTCCTGGAACACTTTGGAGATGCTGGTGTTGAAGGCGGCTCCAGTGAACATTGAGGTGATGGGATAGGTCAGGTCAAGGATGGTTTTGAATACGGAGTTCATGGCCTGTAGGGAGGGAGGAAAGGAAGGAGATAGAGTGAGACAAAAGGTTCATATTGAGCGTGTCTGAGATCGACATTGCACAGAATCACTGATCCACAAATCACCTTGCATCCCAAATGACCACTCATTATGTGATCAAGATTTGTGATTTTGTACCTCGCAATGCTCAAACTGATCCCCTCTAATATGTCACCTGTCAAAGGAATGTGTCAAATGGTCAGATATATGGACAAGAGAAGTGCATGATGGTATAGCGGTAGGAGGATCAGACCTTGGACCACTCGCGGGCTCTCTGCTTGGTGCGCACCGCACTCCTCTCCTCGGCGTACAGCGCCCCGATGAACGACCCGATGGACGTCCCGCCCACGATGTCGATGGGAATCCCTGCCTCCTCCATGGCCTTGATCAGTCCCACGTGGGAGCAGCCTCTGCAAGAGTGACAGACGACAACCAATCAGAGAGGAGGAAATTCACTGTCTGTTTGAGGACTAAAGAGACTAATTTTGCCTGCATTTCTTCAACTCCTTTCATTCATTGGAAAATATCTGAAATAACTTGACTAATTCACGACTAGAGATACACTGAAGGACAATGTTACAAGAAAGCTTGATAATAATCAACAACAGACAGGACTTCTCATGCAAAGAGCTATGGTCCCATGACTGTCATTGAAAACATGCATTTGATGGTGCAGATAATGTGAAGTAAAGAATGTACTACTTGATCATCTACAAAATAGAGTCTGGTACAAAATAGAGTCTGGTACAAAATAGAGTCTGGTACAAAATAGAGGTGTTCCTATAAAAACTAAGTCCACTGACCTGGCTCCCCCTCCTCCCAGCACCAGAGCGATGCTGTTCCCAGTCAGGACCCGGGCCAGTCGAGAGAAATCACTGTGTCTGTCCGCTGTCTTCTCAAACACCTTCTCATACACCTCCCTCTGCACGTGCGCACACACACACACACGTCAAATTCAGATGATAATCAGAGCAATTTATAGGCTTCCATGCGCTTGAAACGAGAGCTTGTCCAACCATTCAGACTTGGGCCTGGTTAGCGACAGTTGCTATCCACCGAAGCACTGTAATTGGTTGGTAAGCTTGTCAATCAAGAGCCCAACATTCTTTGACAATTTATAATTTCCCCAAAACGACCTGGACTGGGTTTCCCAAAGCCTTTGTAGCTAAAGCACTGTTATTACTCTTGAAAACCAAAACTCATGTTACTCGTAGAACAGCAAAGTGCTTCATTTTGAGCCATCACTCGGTGCAAGATAAGAGGTTAAAAAAATAATATATATATTGGATTAAGAGGACATGCTCAACAGGCTATTAAAGTATACATAAAACCTTTTCTTGCAAACAGACAAGCCTCCTCTCTTATCACATCGTCAGAGCTCTCTGTACAACTGTCCTCAACCTCCATTTAATGGAGGAACACAATCAGATGTGGGCAAAGGTGGGTGTGGAATGAATGAATAAACTAATGAATGAAAGAAAAAAACAAACAAACTAAAGTTAGAAAGAGAGAAAGTAAAAAAGAAAGAAAGAAAGAAGTCATGGCATCTCCCCAGGGAGTCGTACCAGTTTTGAGGGACTGCGTCGTGAGAAGACCCGGCGGGGGCAGCGGAGGTGGAGGTGTCCGGAGCACCAGCTCCTCATGTTGAGCCACTCTACGGTCCTGGAGGGCCCCGAGCCGTCCTCTTTATGGAGCAGCACCAGCTGTTTCAGGGCCCTCACCGCTGTGTTCTCCAGCATCTGCTCTAACTAGAGAGAGAGAGAGAGGGCATGGTTAGATACAGTGCTGAGGATAAGATGAAGTCAGAACTAGACTGCTTTTTAAAAATAATCTCTAAATATGAGGTTTCAGTGTACAATTTCACAATGAATGTTTGAAATTGAACAAATAAATGTAACAACTAGGCAGCTTGTAAGTGGAGTAGCTTCATAGGTCAACCAATCCTCCAAACACTAGCAACGCATCCTCCAATTGAGCCCCACCCAAACCAACGTCCAGCTCTTCACCCCTTCCCCCGTTACTGCTACCTGTCCCAGTGCAGGTTCCTGGTCCCCCAGGCCCACGATGAGGATGCAGTCAGCCTGTCTGATGCAGCGCTGGGTCCAGGGAGTCATGCTGCTGTCTGTCTGGTACAGGACTATCCTGTTGATGTCCTCCTGCTGGGCCAGCCAGCCAGACAGACGGTACTCATGGATACTGTTAGAGGGGAGAGGGAGAGTTAAGAACAACCAACTGATATGGAGAGAGGGAGGGAGAGAGGGAGAGAGAGGAAGAAGAGAGGATAGAAAAGGGAGAAATGGGGTTGAGAAAGTCTATATGGAGACACATGGGTATAAAAGAGAGGGAATACAGGAGAGATGGACAATTCAAGGAGTTTCAGGAGGTAAGATAAGAGTTTTGGGCTGATGCCATCAAACTGACCTATCCAGAGCGGAGGCCCCCAGTCGCTCTCTGATGATGTCACTGGTCAGCAGCAGGGTAGGTCCTACACGTCAAGGACAAATTGGAATATGTTTAAGATTTCAGAGAGAACAACTGATGTATATAAAATTGGATATCATGGTCACTCAATGTAACAATATAGTAAAGAACAGAATAACGTTATTGTCCACAGAATCTAGTCACATTATGCAGATGTATTCACTGTTGGCTAATATGAAACAGGATGTTCAAGTCATAGTCAGGTTTGATTGACAGTTGCTATGCTAGTCTCTAGGGGTGTTTACCTATGGCACTGAGGGCGTGGCTAAGCTCCAGGTTGAAGGCGTTGATTGGCACCTCGTCACAGATGGGCAGTACGGCCACAGTGGACAGGTTACTGGCCGGGTTGGTGACGTCAGGGCTGGACGCTACGCTGGACAGGCCAAGGGCAGAACCTGGTAGAGGATGGTAGGGGGTTAGAAAGGAGAGAGAGAGAGAGAGTGTGAGAGTGTATGTGTCTCACACACTCACCTGAGAATGGTCCGTGAGCCTGTTGCAGGTTCCCCAGGATCTTCTGTCCCAGCAGGTGGATCAACCGGGTGACCACCTGAGGGTACCTCCTCTTGATGTTGTTGAGCGTTCCCTCTGGTAGCTTGACCAGCTCTGTGTCTCTGACTGCGTGGACCGTGGTGGCTCTGGGCTGTCGGGTCAGAGCCTCAACCTGGGAAAAACAGGAGATAGTAAGGGCTGAAAAATCATGGATTTAAAAAAGGTATAGTGTCCCCAATGATCTAATACAACCCAAATATGTACTTTACACACACATAAGTCTAATATAAATACATTAGGAGGTATACTTTATTCTGAATATTAGCTTTATAAACTAATATTGTAACAACATATTCTGCCTTTACATAAAAGACAAGGAAGATGAGAGCTGTAGAAATAGGCCAATGTCTCACCACTCCTATGAGGTCTCCTCGACCGTACTCTCCTACCAGCACCTTCTTCCCGTTAGCTTTACGAATAACAGAACGTAGACGCCCGTTCAGAACTATGTAGGTGCAGTCCGACTGGTCGTCCTGCCTGATGATAGGAGGAGAGGAGAGGGGGTGGAGAACAGCGAGTTCAGATTTCATCTGATCTCAAAAAAAGTGGTTTGGTTTCAGGACAGTGTACATTTGAGCGTGTCTGTGCAAGGCTAGGGAAGCGGAACTTCATCAAGCTAAGAGTTTGAAACGTGTCAAAGAAAAATACCTTGAGATACAGTGGGGAGAACAAGTATTTGATACACTGTCGATTTTGCAGGTTTTCCTACTTACAAAGCATGTAGAGGTCTGTAATTTTTTATCATAGGTACACTTCAACTGTGAGAGACGGAATCTAAAACAAAAATCCAGAAAATCACATTGTATGATTTTTAAGTAATTAATTTGCATTTTATTGCATGACATAAGTATTTGATCACCTACCAACCAGTAAGAATTCCGACTCTCACAGACCTGTTCGTTTTTCTTTAAGAAGCCCTCCTTTTCTCCACTCATTACCTGTATTAACTGCACCTGTTTGAACTCGTTACCTGTATAAAAGACACATGTCCACACACTCAATCAAACAGACTCCAACCTCTCCACAATGGCCAATACCAGAGCGCTGTGTAAGGACATCAGGGTTAAAATTGTAGACCTGCACAAGGCTGGGATGGGCTACAGGACAATAGGCAAGCAGCTTGGTGAAAAGGCAACAACTGTTGGCGCAATTATTAGAAAATGGAAGAAGTTCAAGATGACGGTCAATCACCCTCGGTCTGGGGCTCCATGCAAGATCTCACCTCGTGGGGCATCAATGATCATGAGGAAGGTGAGGGATCAGCCCAGAACTACACGGCAGGACCTGGTCAATGACCTGAAGAGAGCTGGGACCACAGTCTCAAAGAAAACCATTAGTAACACACTACGCCATCATGGATTAAAATCCTGCAGCGCACGCAAGGTCCCCCTGCTCAAGGCAGCGCATGTCCAGGCCCGTCTGAAGTTTGCCAATGTCCATCTGGATGATCCAGAGGAGGAATGGGAGAAGGTCATGTGGTCTGATGAGACAAAAATATAGCTTTTTGGTCTAAACTCCACTCGCCGTGTTTGGAGGAAGAAGAAGGATGAGTACAACCAAGAACACCATCCCAACCGTGAAGCATGGAGGTGGAAACATCATTCTTTGGGGATGCTTTTCTGCAAAGGGGACAGGACGACTGCACCGTATTGAGGGAAGGATGGATGGGGCCATGTATCGCGAGATCTTGGCCAACAACCTCCTTCCCTCAGTAAGAGCATTGAAGATGGGTCGTGGCTGGGTCTTCCAGCATGACAACGACCCGAAACCCAATAGAAGTCTCCAGACCTGAACCCAATAGAAAATCTTTGGAGGGAGCTGAAAGTCCGTATTGCCCAGCGACAGCCCCGAAACCTGAAGGATCTGGAGAAGGTCTGTATGGAGGAGTGGGCCAAAATCCCTGCTGCAGTGTGCAAACCTGGGCAAGACCTACAGGAAACGTATGATCTCTAATTGCAAACAAAGGTTTCTGTACCAAATATTAAGTTCTGCTTTTCTGATGTATCAAATACTTATGTCATGCAATAAAATGCAAATTAATTACTTAAAAATCATACAATGTGATTTTCGTTTTAGATTCCGTCTCTCACAGTTGAAGTGTACCTATGATAAAAACTACAGACCTCTACATGCTTTGTAAGTAGGAAAACCTGCAAAATCGGCAGTGTATCAAATACTTGTTCTCCCCACTGTAGGTGATACTGTCAGTCAGAAAAAGTTGGCCTGCTTGTAATAAGAACAAACTCACTAATACAGATTTACTGGCCAAATTAAAATACTGCCATAAGAAAAGATTTGTCCAGATACCTATAGAGGGCTCTGCCGGCCTCCACAGCCATCCAGTCTATGGCGAAGTCCATCTGTCTACGAAGGGGGACATGCGGATGGCTACGGTGTGGGCTGCACTCAGAACCACACTGGGCTGTTCTCTCATGATCCTAAAGACAGGGGGCAGCACAGAACACACAAGATCAGGAAAAACACACAGACAGTATCTTAGGGGAGGCAGTCACTACGCTTATATCACCGGAACTGATCAATAATGCTAGGGTTAGGGGAAGTGTTAGCCACTTCCGTCCTTTCTACCATTACCAGAGAGATAGTAATAACCAGCATCTTATCAAGTGAGACAGTTGTGACACAGAATGAGAAATGCATGTTTGGAACTGAAGTCAACCTACTTGTAACAGATGGTTTTATATTCAACAGTCAGTGACTACTGGTATATTTCATTCAACAAACCGCATACCTCTAATTCTAAACCCAAGTTAGGCTTAAACTAATGTCCCAGCTTAATGCCCAGACTGAACTATACCCCTTTCACACAGAAGGCTTTAGTCCAGGGGTAGGCAACCCTGTTCCTGGAGTGCTGCAGGATTTTGTTCCAACTAGGAACCATACCTGACCAACAGAGCTAATTGATCAGTTCAGTGATTGCCTAAATTCAACACAGCTGGTCTTCCAGGTCGGTTAAATCAAAAACAGGAAGTGCCTGAGGCACTCCAGGACCAGGGTTGCCTAACCCTGCTTTAATCTATCTCTAGTCTCGTCTTTACTAGACACCCACTCGTAGAAGTCCGACTTGGAGATCTTGAGGAAGGTGCAGTCTCTGTTGGCCTTGATGGTGAAGATGAGGGGTTCTCCAGTCAGCACGGCCAGCTGGCCCACCATCTCACCCGGCTGGGTGACAAACAGACACACCGCATCCTGCTTGTCTATCATCCGCTGGTACACATGGAGACAGCCGGACAGGACGAAGTGGAGACTCACATCCTGAGAGGAGAAGAAAGTTCAGATTTCATGTCTCATGTTTGGGAGAGTATTGTTTTGATGGGTTTAGAGGGGTTGAAGAGAGGAGAGGAGGGGGGAAGGAACTGGGGAGGGGAGAACAAAGTGTATGGGAAAGAGAGGGGGAAAGATGTCAAGGAAATAATTAAGGGATGGTAGGGTTTTGATATCGCAGATTCCTATAATGTTTTGGAGACTTCCTCATAACATTGGTGATTAAACAGTAAGGTTGGCATGTATTGTCACGACGATATTTGACTTTGCGGCTGGCCCATCTAGCGGAAATCGCTCAGTGGCAAGATTCAATACAATAAACGTCAACCTGCATTAAACAGAGGAGAGGACGGAGGGAAGACATCTTCCATCTCTCCAAGCCTCAGTAAAGTACCTGGTCTCCTTGTCTAGCCAGCACAGTTCCTGCCTTGGCATGGTGCAGAGTCACTCTCCCATTCAGCAGAGCAGGGTCCTGGAAGAAGAAGGGAAAAGAACAGAGAGAAAGAAAGAGTGAGACAGTGATAGAGGGAGGGAATGATGAAACGCTCTTGGTGGTGAAACAATGTCTGGGTTCCCTTTCTACTGTCTGCTCTCCTGGGCTGCAAATCAAGAGGGTTAGGAGGGAGCGGAATCAAATATACGGAAGGAGACAGAACTTCGATATTGTCCATTTCAGATGCTCGGTGCCAACCATAACAGTAGATTGTGAAATGGAACTGTAATCATTTGAGATAAAGAAGGAGAAAGTGCTGGGTGGTGTCCAGTAAGGAGACATGTTTTGAAATGGGGAGGTACTACTTGAACTTGTCCAATAAGAACCCTTTTGGGTTTTGCGTTTCAAAATGTCTCGTCTAGACATGGTACATTAACCCAAAGGACAAAGTAACTTGGTGACAGTTTAACACAATAATCAGGTAAATTATTACATTGTTACTAGAGTCATGGTTGCATATAGTACATAGTAGATGGTTGCTAAGGTTACTAAAGTAGTAGTTAGTACTAACCTCTATCCTCATGAGTTTGAGGAGCTCCTTTAGGGCCTCCTCGAACAGGGCAGCGCTGGGGCGACCGGGGACGGGTCCTGGTCCTGGTGAGAACTGGTTGTCCAGACCCACCTCCTCCTCGGGGTACAGGTACACCCCCGACGGCACTTCGTCTACGGTCACCCTCCTCTCTCGCTGGTCCTGAGATAGGAACAGAAAACATGGAGGGACATTAATGTCAATTACTGTACCCTGTACCTGGTGTACTTTGAAGTGCAGATATGTGGTGTACTAAGATGAGTTACTGGTCTACTTTGAAGTGCAAATGTGTATTTTAGTGCACTAGGATGACTGTTAGTGATTAGAATAAAACTGTCGAATTACTCAAAATGTGTGTTTGTGATTTTATTTCAAATGTAGATGAGATGTCACTAATATCCAACCTTGTGTGTGTGTGTGTGTGTGTGTGTGTGTGTGTATACTGACCCGTGTGTAGGTGGGTGGTGTGTTGCCGTCCTCAGCGGAGACTGAGATCCGTCCCCTCTCGTAGGCCATGTCGAAATCCGACCGCAGATTCTTCTGCATGCCTGTGTTAACACAAATGTGTAAATGTCACTAGTCAACAGTCAGAAGCAACAGCGCCAAGTTACATACTAGGAACATAAAAGGCACTGATGTCAAATTTCAAGAGTCAAGTTAGGTCACTAATATGCAGTAAAAACTGGACTGAAGCAACAGCGCTAAGTTACATACTAGGAATGCAGATGTTACCATACGGACAGGGAGAATAGAATGGAAGAGGACAGAGAGAGGGATGGAGAGACCGACAGAAAGAGGTTCTCACCAGCGATGTCTACAGGCATGGAGATGGTCCTGCTGAGGGTTGGTGGGACTGTGGCTCCATCCTTCCCAGGATCTGGTCCGTCCTTCACGGCGGCCTCGCGGTCCTCCATGGGCACGGTCAGGCTACCGAAACGCTTGCCGTGGCGCTGGGGGCTGGTGCGGGGCACGGGGTGGGGGGACAGGGGCAGCAGGCGCAGGAGCTGCATCTCCTATAGGGAGGGGAGGACAGGGGCATGGGGAGAGAGAGAGAAGAGGTTAGGGTCAATGAAGGCAGGCTAGCATTGAATTAGCATTGTTATCATTACCAGGTCAGCATTGAAAAGTGAAGTTAGCATTAAGAACATTATGGTCAATGTTCTAGCAGTAGCGTTAGCTTTGAATGACTCAATCGTAACGAAAACAGCATGTCTGATGTAGCTTCAGCTAATGAAGTAGCATTCCTGGTGGATGAAGTAACAAGTGGAATGTGGGTGTGTGTAAGTTTGAGGATCTGGGTGGTATTATGAATCGTGGCGCTGTGTGTGTGTGGGGCGGTTGACTCACATGGCTAAAGAGCTCGTTGGTGAGCCCTAGGTAGTTGTGCAGCGCCAGAACTGTTACTCTTTGGAGACGAACCATGATGATCTGCATGACAAGAAAGCGGGAGGAAAAGGTCCCGTGATCATTAAGAGAAAACACACGCCCACACCTAGTGACAAACACACGCGCTACAGCTTACCTGGACAACCCGCACCAGGGTCTCAGGGTACTTCTCAAAGATGGAGAGGAAAGCCTCGACAGGTAGACGCAGTACGGTGGACACCTCAGCCGCCCGCGCCGACACCGTCCTGTACGGCTTCTGGTGTCCCTGAAACACACACACAGTGATAAGGTTCACACAAACACACAGGCTCTTAGAACATACTGTAAATCAATATTAGTGACTTTACAGACATTTTACAACTTCCTATTTTCAGCAGTAAAGGGAGGGGAAGTTTGGGTTGGAGTGGTTTTCTAAAGTCTAAATATAAACTCAGCAAAAAATAAACGTCCCCTTTTTCAGGACCCTGTCCTTCAAAGATCATTCTTAAAAATCCAAGTAACTTCACAGATCTTCATTGTAAAAGGGTTGCCCATGCTTGTTCAATGAACCATAAACAATTAATGAACATGCACATGTGGAACGGTCGTTAAGACACTAACAGCTTACAGACGGTAGGCAATTAAGGTCACAGTTATGAAAACTTAGGACACTAAAGAGGCCTTTCTACTGACTGAAAAACACCAAAAGAAAGATGCCCAGGGTCCCTGCTCATCTGCGTGAACGTGCCTTAGGCATGCTGCAAGGAGGCATGAGGACTGCAGATTTGGCCAGGGCAATAAATTGCAATGTCCATACTGTGAGGCGCCTAAGACAGCACTACAGGGAGACAGGACGGACAGCTGATTGTCCTCGCAGTGGCAGACCACGTGTAACAACACCTGCACAGGATCGGTACATCCGAACATCACACCTGCGGGACAGGTACAGGATGGCAACAACAACTGCCCGAGTTACACCAGGAACACACAATCCCTCCATCAGTGCTCAGACTGTCCGCAATAGGCTGAGAGAGGCTGGACTGAGGGCTTGTAGGCCTGTTGTAAGGCAGGTGCTCACCAGACATCACCGGCAACAACGTCGCCTATAGGCTCAAACCCACTGTTGCTGGACCAGACAGGACTGGCAAAAAGTGCTCTTCACTGACGAGTCGCGGTTGTGTCTCACCAGGGGTGATGGTCAGATTTGCGTTTATCGTCGAAGGAATGCTCCCAAATGGCGCAGCGGTCTAAGGCACTGCATCTCAGTGTTTGAGGCGTCACCACAGACCCCCTGGTTCAATTCCAGGCTGTATCACAACCGGCTGTGATTGGGAGTCCCATAGGGCAGCGCACAATTGGACCAGCATCGTCCGGGTTTGGCCGGTGTAGGCCGTCATTGTAAATAAGAATTTGTTCTTAACTGACTTGCCTAGTTAAATAAAGGTAAAATAAAATAAATAAAAAATGATCATTACACCGAGGCCTGTACTCTGGAGCGAGATGGATTTGGAGGTGGAGGGTCCGTCATGGTCTGGGCGGTGTGTCACAGCATCATCGGATTGAGCTTGTTGTCATTGCAGGCAATCTCAACGCTGTGCGTTACAGGGAAGACATTGTCCTCCCTCATGTGGTACCCTTCCCGCAGGCTCATCCTGACATGACCCTCCAGCATGACAATGCGACCAGCCATACTGCTCGTTCTGTGTGTGATTTCCTGCAAGACAGGAATGTCAGTGTTCTGCCATGGCCAGCGAAGAGCCCGGATCTCAATCCTATTGAGCACGTCTGGGACCTGTTGGATCGGAGGGTGAGGGCTAGGGCCATTCCCCCCAGAAATGTCTGGGAACTTGCAGGTGCCTTGGTGGAAGAATGGGGTAACATCTCACAGCAAGAACTGGCAAATCTGGTGCAGTCCATGAGGAGGAGATGCACTGCAGTACTTAATGCAGCTGGTGGCCACACCAGATACTGACTGTTTCTTTTGTTCAGGGACACATTATTCAATTTCTGTTAGTCACAGTCTGTGGAACTTGTTCAGTTTATGTCTCAGTTGTTGAATCTTGTTATGTTCATACAAATATTGACACGTTAAGTTTGCTGAAAATAAACGTAGTTGACAGTGAGAGGACGTTTCTTTTTTTTGCTGAGTTTAGGAGTCACGTGCTAGCTAGGTGTCACTGAAACAAACACAATGACAAGGCTCTTTCATCAGTTCCCTATATCAGTCAGTGAAAAATGAAAGCAGTTGTTCACAACATTTTTGCTGCACAGACTTGGGTGAAGCCTTTTTTTAAATGTCCCTGCGACCCACGCACTAATAAAAAACTGAACTACTCAAAAAATGTTTATAGTCACAAGCCAAGAAGAGGGAACTAGCAGAACTGATAGAGGAATTTGTTAATGTGACTAAAAGTTTTACACCCTGAAAATTATAGGAAGAGGGAACTAGCAGAACCCACCAGCAGAAACCATTGCTTTAGAGACATTTTCCACTCAGCCGTAAAGCATGGGGTCATGGAAGTTTGTGTCAGTGAGTTTTCCCAAGACTAAATATAGGGAAAAGGGGATACCTAGTCAGTTGTACAACTGAATGCATTCAACTGAAATGTGTCTTAGGAGTTACATGCTAGCTACCAAATTCTCTTGATGCTAAAGAGTATGTGTTTAATAGTTCATTGGATACTTATTTGAAAAAATGTCCCACCAAAAGTCAAAAAGGGCACTTAAGCCACACTTGTCATATCATAGTGCTTCATGATATAACATTAAATTGCGAAATCCTCATGACACTGATATGATTCAAATAAGCCTCAACTTTGGAGGCTATGATTTAACGCTAGAATGCCCTGACTTGTTCCTTGACTAGCACCATTCATTCTCCCTGTTGACAATTCTAATGTTATACATTCTAATAGGAACTGTAAGTTCAAAGTTCTGACTGAAACGTGAAAGGGACAGACAAAGGGATGACTCAAACAAGAAACGACACGTTCATGGTGATTTAGGGAGTGTGGATTGCTGGACAGGAAGTGGGCGTGTCTTACAGTGATGACGTCCAGGATGCTGAGAAGGCTGTGGACACTGTCTCCGGGGTACACCTCCTTCACCACACCGTCCTTGCCGTCCTAAAAAACAGAGTATGTCATCACAAATGAACAACACAGACAAAGGCGATACATTTCTGTGTTAAAAAAAGCACAGAAAAACACAGGCAAACAGTACAATTGACAGTTAACATGAACAGAATGTTTTCAAGATAAGTCATTCCAATCTTTGCCCAAATGCAAGTTCATTGTGGCCATAACTTTCAAAATTGTTTACTTTGTCAGATTCTACTGTAGTTTAACTTCCATCTTTGCCTTTTCCTCCATATTGGGATAATCGGAGTCAAACACAAATAGGTGTTAATCATTATTTAATTACCTACTTGAGAGTTAATTGTTAGAGGACTGTAAGCCCCTTATGAGGTCCTGTTTACTCGTTAGCATGGATGGAGGCTCATTTGCACCGAAGGCCCCCCAAAAAAGATTCAATTATGTCTGCCCATTTGTGTAAATGAGAAACACACACAGGTACACAGATACACACACACACACATAAACTCCTCCCCCTGCCCACACACACACACACACTCCCTCTCTCACCATTCCAGTAAGGCACAGTTCTAGTTTTCCGTCCTGCACCACGTAGATACTGCTGTCAGGCTGGCCCGGTCTGAACACGTACTCTCCCTGTTGGAACTGCAGGAACACCATGTGTTTACACAGCTCCAGGAACAGAGGCTTCTCAAAGTGGCCCAGCACACTGCAAGGGGTGGGCGGATAGAGATGGAGAGATTCTACAGACACATTCGCACATATACAAAAAGGTGTCTGACTGATCTACATATCACCTTGCATCATAAATAACTACTCAATATTATTTGTAGATCAGTCAGTCACAATTTACCCATGATACATCTCCTCCATATAGATAAGACAACATCTTAACACACACAGAGTACACTACACACACACAAACACTGAGAAGTCCCTACGTACCGGACGTTCTTTAGCATGTAGAGCACCTCAGAGGGCAGGTGGGAGTTGGCCACGTCAAACTCTGTGAGGTCGGCCTCCAGCACTGAGGGAGGAGGCTCCTTAGCTACCAGTGTGGGCACCTCCTTCTTAAAACGCAGAATCCTGGAGGGAGGAGAGAGGGAGGGATGGAGAGAGCGAGAGGACAAATGTATAACAGACTATTGTTCTCTACTCTGTAGTCACTAAGTTCGTTAGCATCATGGATATCAGTAGAGTAGAGTAGACAGGGTAAACCGTGTTCACACACTTTTTGGCAATGTTGAGCATTTTCTGCTTCTTTTTAAGTCGTGGGCGCGAGGAGGAAGCTGTGCCCACCAGGGAAGAGGTGGACTGGGACACCTGTGAGCGCAAGAGGTCAAAGGTCAACTAGGGCAAAAATATGCATTGTCGAACAAAAGGGTACCATTTTACTTTGCTAGAATCCCCAAAACGCATCCCACCACAGCCACTAACCTTGCGCATGATCTTTCGGCCATAGAACATGACCTTGTCCCTCTTGCGGAATCGATACTTGGGAGCCTCCTGGGCCTGCAGGTCTGTGAGAAGTTACAACATACATATATGGAGATACTAGACAGTGTGCTTAAAGCATCAGACAAGCTCAGTACATATAGTTGATTTTATTAAAACACTATATGGCCAAGAGTATGGGCAAGAGACACCTGCTTGTCGAACATCTCATTCCAAAATCATGGGCATTATTATAGAGTTGGTCCCCCCTTTGCTGCTATAACAAGCTCCACTCTTCTGGGAAGGCTTTCCACTAGATGTTGGAACATTGCTGTGGGGACTTGCTCCCATTCAGCCACAAGAGCATAAGTGAGGTCGGGCACTGATGTTGGGCGATTAGGCCTGGTTCGCAGTCGGAGTTCCAATTCATCCCAAAGGTGTTCGATGGGGTTGAGGTCTGGGCTCTGTGCAGGCCAGTCAAGTTCTTCCACACCGATCTCGACAAACCATTCCTGTATGGACCTCGCTTTGTGTACGGGGTCATTGTCATGCTGAAACAGGAAAGGGCATTCCACAAACTGTTGCCATAAAGTTGGAAGGACAGAATTGTCTAGAATGTCATTGTATGCTGTAGCATTAAGATTTTCCTTCACTGGAACTAAGGGGCCTAGCCCGAACCATGAAAAACAGCCTCAGACCATTATTCCTCCTCCACCAAACTTTATAGTTAGCACTTTGCATTCGGGCAGGTACAGTGGCTTGCGAAAGTTCACTCCCCCTAGGCATTTTCCTATTTTGTTGCCTTACAACCTGGAATTAAAATTGGATTTTTGGGGGGGTTTGGATCATTTGATTTACCCAACATGCCTACCACTTTGAAGATGCAAAATATGTTTTCTTGTGAAACAAACAAGAAATAAGACAAAAGAACTGAAAATTTGAGCGTGCATAACTATTCACCCTCCCAGAGTCAATACTTTGTAGCGCCACCTTTTGCAGCAATTACAGCTGCAAGTCTCTTGGGGTATGTCTCTATAAGCTTGGCACATCTAGCCACTGGGATTTTTGCCCATTCTTCAAGGCAAAACTGCTCCAGCTCCTTCGAGTTGGATGGGTTCCGCTGGTGTACAGCAATTTTTAAGTCATTCCACAGATTCTCAATTGGATTGAGGTCTGGGCTTTGACTAGGCCATTCCAAGACATTTAAATGTTTCCCCTTAAACCACTCGAGTGTTGCTTTAGCAGTATGCTTAGGGTCATTGTCCTTCTGGAAGGTGAACCTCCATCCCAGTCTCAAATCTCTGGAAGACTGAAACAGGTTTCCCTCAAGAAATTCCCTGTATTTAGCGCCATCCATCATTCCTTCAATTCTGACCAGTTTCCCAGTCCCTGCCGATGAAAAACATCCCCACAGCATGATGCTGCCACCACGTGCTTCACTGGGATGGTGTTCTCGGGGTGATGAGAGGTGTTGGGTTTGCGCCAGACATAGCGTTTTCCTTGATGGCCAAAAAGCTCAATTTTAGTCTCATCTGACCAGAGTACCTTCTTCCATATGTTTGGGGAGTCACCCACATGCCTTTTGGCGAACACCAAACGTGTTTGCTTATTTTTTTCTTTAAGCAATGGCTTTTTTCTGGCCACTCTTCTGTAAAGCCCAGCTCTGTGGAGTGTACGGCTTAAAGTGGTCCTATGGACAGATACTCCAATCTCCACTGTGGCGCTTTACAGCTCCTTCAGGGTTATCTTGGATCTCTTTGTTGCCTCTCTGATTAATGTCCTCCTTGCCTGGGCCGTGAGTTTTGGTGGGCTGCCCTCTCTTAGCAGGTTAGTTTTGGTGCCATATTATTTCCATTGTTTAATAATGGATTTAATGGCGCTCCGTGGGATGTTCAAAGTTTCAGTTTTTTTTTTATAACCCAACCCTGATCTGTACTTCTCCACAAATTTGTCCCTGACCTGTTTGGAGAGCTCTTTGGTCTTCATGGTGCCGCTTGCTTGGTGGTGGCCCTTGCTTAGTGGTGTTGCAGACTATGGGGCCTTTCAGAACAGGTGTACAGTGGGGGAAAAAAGTATTTAGTCAGCCACCAATTATGCAAGTTCTCCCACTTAAAAAGATGAGAGAGGCCTGTAATTTTCATAATAGGTACACGTCAACTATGACAGACAAATTGAGAAAAAGAAATCCAGAAAATCACATTGTAGGATTTTTAATGAATTTATTTACAAATTATGGTGGAAAATAAGTATTTGGTCACCTACAAACAAGCAAGATTTCTGGCTCTCAAAGACCTGTAACTTCTTCTTTAAGAGGCTCCTCTGTCCTCCACTCATTACCTGTATTAATGGCACCTGTTTGAACTTGTTATCAGTATAAACGACACCTGTCCACAACTTCAAACAGTCACACTCCAAACTCCACTATGGCCAAGACCAAAGAGCTGTCAAAGGACACCAGAAACAAAATTGTAGACCTGCACCAGGCTGGGAAGACTGAATCTGCAATAGGTAAGCAGCTTGGTTTGAAGAAATCAACTGTGGGAGCAATTATTAGGAAATGGAAGACATACAAGACCACTGATAATCTCCCTCGATCTGGGGCTCCACGCAAGATCTCACCCGTGGGATCAAAATGATCATAAGAACGGTGAGCAAAAATCCCAGAACCACACGGGGGGACCTAGTGAATGACCTGCAGAGAGCTGGGACCAAAGTAACAAAGCCTACCATCAGTAACACACTACGCCGCCAGGGACTCAAATCCTGCAGTGCGAGACGTGTCCCCCTGCTTAAGCCAGTACATGTCCAGGCCCGTCTGAAGTTTGCTAGAGTGCATTTGGATGATCCAGAAGAGGATTGGGAGAATGTCATATGGTCAGATGAAACCAAAATAGAACTTTTTGGTAAAAACTCAACTTGTCGTGTTTGGAGGACAAAGAATGCTGAGTTGCATCCAAAGAACACCATACCTACTGTGAAGCATGGGGGTGGAAACATCATGCTTTGGGGCTGTTTTTCTGCAAAGGGACCAGGACGACTGATCCGTGTAAAGGAAAGAATGAATGGGGCCATGTATCGTGAGATTTTGAGTGAAAACCTCCTTCCATCAGCAAGGGCATTGAAGATGAAACGTGGCTGGGTCTTTCAGCATGACAATGATCCCAAACACACCGCCCGGGCAACGAAGGAGTGGCTTCGTAAGAAGCATTTCAAGGTCCTGGAGTGGCCTAGCCAGTCTCCAGATCTCAACCCCATAGAAAATCTTTGGAGGGAGTTGAAAGTCCGTGTTGCCCAGCGACAGCCCCAAAACATCACTGCTCTAGAGGAGATCTGCATGGAGGAATGGGCCAAAATACCAGCAACAGTGTGTGAAAACCTTGTGAAAACTTACAGAAAACGTTTGACCTGTGTCATTGCCAACAAAGGGTATATAACAAAGTATTGAGAAACTTTTGTTATTGACCAAATACTTATTTTCCACCATAATTTGCAAATAAATTCATAAAAGATCCTACAATGTGATTTCTGGATTTCTTTCTCATTTTGTCTGTCATAGTTGACGTGTACCTATGATGAAAATTACAGGCCTCTCTCATCTTTTTAAGTGGGAGAACTTGCACAATTGGTGGCTGACTAAATACTTTTTTCCCCCACTGTATATATACACTGAGATCATGTGACAGATCATGTGACACTTAAATAGTCCACCTGGAATAATTTTTTTTCTTGATTACCCAACATGCCTACCACTTGAAGATGCAAATATTTCTTGTGAAACAAAGAAATAAGACAAAAGAACTGAATTTGAGCGTGCATAACTATTCACCCTCCCAGAGTCAATACTTGTAGCGCCACCTTTTGCAGCAATTACAGCTGCAAGTCTCTTGGGGTATGTCTCTATAAGCTTGGCACATCTAGCCACTGGGATTTTTGCCCATTCTTCAAGGCAAAACTGCGCCAGCTCCTTCAAGTTGGATGGGTTCCGCTGGTGTACAGCAATTTTTAAGTCATTCCACAGATTCTCAATTGGATTGAGGTCTGGGCTTTGACTAGGCCATTCCAAGACATTTAAATGTTTCCCCTTAAACCACTCGAGTGTTGCTTTAGCAGTATGCTTAGGGTCATTGTCCTTCTGGAAGGTGAACCTCCATCCCAGTCTCAAATCTCTGGAAGACTGAAACAGGTTTCCCTCAAGAAATTCCCTGTATTTAGTGCCATCCATCATTCCTTCAATTCGGACCAGTTTCCCAGTCCCTGCCGATGAAAAACATCCCCACAGCATGATGCTGCCACCACCGTGCTTCACTGGGATGGTGTTCTCGGGGTGATGAGAGGTGTTGGGTTTGCGCCAGACATAGCGTTTTCCTTGATGGCCAAAAAGCTCAATTTTAGTCTCATCTGACCAGAGTACCTTCTTCCATATGTTTGGGGAATCACCCACAGGCCTTTTGGCGAACACCAAACGTGTTTGCTTATTTTTTTCTTTAAGCAATGGCTTTTTTTGGCCACTCTTCTGTAAAGCCCAGCTCTCTGGAGTGTACGGCTTAAAGTGGTCCTATGGACAGATACTCCAATCTCCACTGTGGCGCTTTACAGCTCCTTCAGGGTTATCTTTGGTCTCTTTGTTGCCTCTCTGAATAATGCCCTCCTTGCCTGGGCCATGAGTTTTGGTGGGCGGCCCTCTCTTAGCAGGTTTGTTTTGGTGCCATATTCTTTCAATTTTTTAATAATGGATTTAATGGCGCTCCGTGGGATGTTCAAAGTTTCTGATATTTTTTTATAACCCAACCCTGATCTGTACTTCTCCACAAATTTGTCCCTGACCTTCATGGTGCCGCTTGCTTGGTGGTGGCCCTTGCTTAGTGGTGTTGCAGACTCTGGGGCCTTTCAGAACAGGTGTATATATACTGATGAAATCTAACTAATGATGTGACTTCTGAAGGTAATTGGTTGCACCAGAACTTATTTAGGGGCTTCATAGCAAAGGGGGTGAATACAAATGCACGCACCACTTTTCCGTTATTTATTTTTAATACTTTTTTGAAACAAGTTATTTTTTTCATTTCACTTCACCAATTTGGACTATTTTGTGTATGTCCATTACATGAAATCCAAATAAAAATCCATGTAAATTACAGGTTGTAATGCAACAAAATAGGAAAAACGCCAAGGGGGATGAATACTTTTGCAAGGCACTGTAGCATTCTCCTGGCATCCGCCAAACACAGATTTGTCCGTCAGACTGCCAGATGGTGAAGCGTGATTTATCACTCCAGAGAACGCGTTTCCACTGCTCCAGAGTCCAATGGTGTCGAGCTTTACACGACTCCAGCTGACGCTTGGTATTACACATGGTGATCTTAGGCTTGTGTGCAGCTGCTCGGCCATGGAAAACCATTTCATGAAGCTCCCGACGAACAGTTATTGTGCTGACGTTGCTTCTAGAGGCAGTTTGGAACTCGGTAGTGATTGTCGCAACAGAGGACAGACGATTTTTACGCGCTATGTGCTTCAGCACTCGGCGGTCCCGTTCTGTGATCTTGTGTGGCCTACCACTTCGCGGCTGAGCCGTTGTTGCTCCTAGAAGTTTCCACTTCACAATAACACCACTTACAGTTGACCGGGGCAGCTCTAGCAGGGCAGAAATTTTACGAACGGACTTGTTGGAAAGTTGGCATCCTATGACGGTGCCACGTTCAAAGTCACTGAGCTCTTCAGTACGGGCCATTCTACTGCCAATGTTTGTCTACGGAGATTGCATGGCTGTGTGATGGATTTTATACACCTGTCAGCAATGGGTGTGGCTGAAATAGCCGAATCCACTAATTTGAAGGGGTGTCCGGCCATATAGTGTATATGGAAAAATACACAAATAACAATTGACCTATCGACAACTCTTGGTCGACCAATTTGTTGTTGTTGTTGTTGGGGACAGCCCTAGAAAGTGCATAGGTGTAAGTGAAGGGCAATCGCTACTGAAACTGAAACTAGCATTTATTTCATTTCATAGTTATCGGAGAAAACTAATTGGAGAGAGAATGTGAAACGTACTTCTGAGCTGGATCCTCCGCAGCATGAAGAAGATGAGGATGGCGATGAGGATGATGGCAATGCCCGCACCAATCACCATCCCCATCATCTAGACAGGAACAGAGAGACAGACAGAGGGAGAGAGATGTAGAGAGAGACAGAAAGAGAGAGGTGTGCAGCCGGTAGTTAGAGCATAATTATAACGACTTCATGGAATGAAACACCGCACACCAGACCACAACAGCACAACATACAAACTAACCATGCTCGTCTGTAGCTCTTCTTCCACAAACGCCTTGATGTTGTTAAACCCTTCCTGTTGGTAGACAAAAAAAGAGAAGTGAACAACCATGTGAAATAGCCTATATACTACGTACACAGGGAGCTTTTTCCAGTCACTGAGTTAAGTAACTGATGTGTAAAGGAATTCAGGGCTTGGGATTTGCCATGCCTGGGGAAAGGAATGTCAGAGGAGGAGGAATGATGACGTAATCTGGGTTGAATCAGGCGTGGATGACAATTTCCAGTGTGTTTAGTTTGGCCTAACTATCATCAACAACAACATCCTCTTCTGTTAGCACCCCACCCTACTCGTTTTATTTCTATTGTTCATCCCTCCTTCTGTCATTCCCTTCTTTACCCAGCTTAATGCAAAAAGCTCCATATAAATACATGGGACAACAGATCTCACTAACAATACTTTTGATGATGATCATTAGAATAAAGTAAGCCTAATTGCCTTCTGTCCATGTTGATTTAGTTGCCTTGTGCCCATGTCAGCCTGGCCCTGAGACCAATAATAGGAAGAGTGACTGCTGCTGCACCAAACAACAGCACAGAGCCCATTGAGACATGACACAATCTGATTTGGCTGTGATCAGCTGTCTGTACTGTGTCCAGCTGTGTGTGTATGAGAGAGAGTGAGTGAGTGAGGGAGTGAGAGAAAGAGAGAACAGGAAACAGAGCAAACTAGAGAGGAAACAAGAGAGCGCGAAGGAACGAGTGAGAGAGAGCCAAGAGTTATCGTAGAACTTGAGTGATGTCCTGCCAAAAAGACCTTCCCTGTTCTAATCGCTTCGCTGATTAAGACTAGGCCCTATGTGACTCATTGAAGGAGTGGAGATCCTAGCTTGGAGATAAGCTTATTTACAGTGTTGCTGCAATAGAAAGTGTGTGTGTGTGAGTGAAGGAAATGGCTGAGTTGACCACTGGTCACGTGACCAATCAGATAGTGTATAACTATGGGGCAAGGCCAATGGGCTTTTAGTACTCTGGCTCTCAGCCAATCAGTAATTGAGCTGTAGGGGGAGGGCGGTCAGTGATTATTGATCAGGAGAAGAGACAAAAGAAAAAAGAACTCAGCTGCAGTTATTGATGAGAAGTAGGCTATGGTCTGACAGATGGTGGATACATACTGCTGAAGACACATTTCAGTTGAATTCATACAGTTGTGCAACTGACTGGGTAGCCTCTTTCCCCTCACTCGCTCTATGAGAGTGGTACAGTAGTAGTTGGTGAGGTCAATGGGGCCAGAGTAAATGCTAGAGGACCGGATTGTGCGTTCTCACCTCCAGAAGGACATCTGCATGTTCTTGGACCTCTTGTTCCGAGGTGCTCTGTCCCATTCTAACCCCGCCTCTTTACCAGGCTGGTCCATCAACGGCCTCTAAGGAGACAAAACAGGATGTTGGCATTAGACATGCAGGCTACTGTTGACATATCACACGCGCACACACACACCACACACAGACACACGTCAGTAGTAATGCTAATTGCTTTCAAGTAGCATGGAAGATAAAACCAAACCACAAGCGAAACCTGGATTTTACAAAGAGGAATGACTAACAGAATCATACTAAATACTATTTAGCATGCATTTATGACTCATTGCTCTTTGTAAAGAAACCTGGATAGGGTTGCAAAATTCTGGTTACTTTCCTAAAATGTCCAGGTTTTCCAGAAATCCCAGTTGGAAAATTCCCTGAATCAGGAAGCGATAAGCAGGAATTTCAGAATACTCCAACCAGGATTCCATGAAAACCTGGGAACTTTGGGAAAGTCACCAGAATTGTTCAACCCTATCCAGGTTTCTGAGAGGTACTGCTGTTTATAGATACAAACACTACCAGTCAAAAGTTTTAGAACACCTACTCATTCAAGGGTTTTTCTTTATTTTTACTATTTTCTACATTGTAGAACAATAGTGAAGACATCAAAACTATGAAATGACACATATGGAATCATGTAGTAACCCCAAAAAAAGTGTTAAGCAAATCAAAATATATTTTATATTTGAGATTCTTCAAAGTAGCCACCATTTGCCTTGATGACATCTTTGCACACTCTTGGCATTCTCTCAACTAGCTTCACCTGGAATGCTTTTCCAACAGTCTTGAAGGAGTTCCCACATATGCTGAGCACTTGATGGCTGCTTTTCCTTCATTCTGCGGTCCGACTCATCCCAAACCATCTCAATTTGGTTGAGGTCGGGGGATTGTGGAGGCCTGGTCATCTGATGCAGCACTCCATCACTCTCCTTCTTTGTAAAATAGCCCTTACACAGCCTGGAGGTGTTTTGGGTCATTGTCCTGTTGAAAAACAAATGATAGTCCCACTAAGCGCGAACCAGATGGGATGGCGTATCGCTGCAGAATGCTGTGGTAGCCATGCTGGTTAAGTGTGCTTTGAATTCTAAATAAACCACAGACAGTGTCACCAGCAAAGCACCCCCACACCATAACACCTCCTCCTCCATGCTTTACGGTGGGAAATACACATGCGGAGATCATCCGTTCACCCACACCGCGTTCACAAAGAAAACCAAAAATCTCAAATTTGGACTCCAGACCAAAGGACAGATTTCCACCAGTCTAATGTCCATTGCTCGTGTTTCTTGGTCCAAGTAAGTCTCTTCTTCTTATTGGTGTCCTTTAGTAGTGGTTTCTTTGCAGCAATTTGACCATGAAGGTCTGATTCACACAGTCTCCTCTGAACAGCTGATGTTGAGATGTGTCTGTTACTTGAACTCCGTGAAGCATTTATTTGGGCTGCAATTTCTGAGGCTGGTAACTCTGCTGCAGAGGATAAGTTCATTAGAGGTAAGTCTGGGTCTTCTATTCCTGTGGTGGTCCTCATGAGAGCCAGTTTCATCATAGCGCTTGATGGTTTTTGCGACTGCATTTGAAGAAACTTTCAAAGTTCTTGACATTTTCCGTATCGACTGACGTTCATGTCTTAAAGTAATGATGGACTGTCGTTTCTCTTTGCTTATTTGAGCTGTTCTTGGCAAAATATGGACTTGACCCCCCCCCCACCCACCTACCTTGTCACGACACAACTGATTGGCACAAACGCATTAAGAAGGAAAGAAATTCCACAAATTACTTTTTAAGAAGGCACACCTGTTAATTGAAATGCATTCCAGGTGACTACCTCATGAAGTTGGTTGAGAGAATGCCAAGAGTGTGCAAAGCTGTCATCAAGGCAAAGGGTGGCTATTTGAAGAATCTCAAATATAAAATATATTTTGATATGTTTAACACTTTTTTGGTTACTACATGATTCCATATGTGTTATTTCATAGTTTTGATGTCTTCACTATTATTCTACAATGTAGAAAATAGTAAAAATAAAGAAAAACCCTTGAATGAGTAGGTGTTCTAAAACTTTATGTATAAACAGCAGAGCATCTTAGCCAAGCATCCATTACAGTCAATGTAGGATGATGTCATCCCCAATCCACATCCATACCCCTCCCCCACTGAAACTGGCAACATTATCATCTCCCAGTCCAAAACCTAGTTAGAGATAATAACAATGCTCCAATGACACACAGGCTACGTCCCAAATGGCAGCCTATTCCCTAGACAGTGCACTACTTTCGACCAGAGCCCTATGAGCTTTGGTCAAAAGTAGTGCACTATATAGGGAATAGGGTGGCATTTGGAACAGCCACAGTGACTGACAGGTCATTCAGATGATGATCCAGAGACCGACACAATCCTACTGTGCCCAGATGGCATGGCATGATACTACCCCGCCATCCCTTTTCCCATGACCATCTCCCTGAAGGCTGGTCCTCGAAGAGGGTTTACTCCCCCAGCACTATATGGGTTATTACTCCTGGGATTTAGGCCTAGCACTGACCAATGAAACTCCACCCCCATCTGTTCCCTTCATCATCTCTACTGGATCTCTCTCCTCTTTACTTTTCTTCCTCCCACTCCATACATGTATCACTACATCACAGCAGACATTCCAGCTAGCTTAGCATTCAAACCTCCATTAACTCTCACTGAAACTGAACAAACATACCCTAGCTAGGCTAACAAAAACATACTTAGCAATACAAGCTAATATGATATGGTTTAGGACTACTATGTACTTTCAACCCGGCTAAAGGGCTAATCCATGACATCATGGTCTAAGAGCCAGAGACAAAGTGCTGCATTGGGTGCAATCAAATCAGAGAGAGTGACAGACAGTGGAGTGTCATATTGCATAGCCCATCACAAACAGACCTGAAACAGGATGTGTAGTGTTAAGGTCTAGTCTCTCTACCACTCTCTCATCCTCCACCCTTCATTCGTGTCTGACTCATGAAACAAAACTGTAAGTACCCAAAGTACTGAACAACATCTATATTTTTCACAGCTGTCTATTTAACACCACAAACCGATGCTGGCACTAAGACCACACTCATCAAGCTGTATAAGGCCATAAGCAAACAAGAAAATGCAGGTAGCCTGGTGGGTAGGAGCGTTGAGTCAGTAACCGAAAGGTTGTTGTAAAAAATGTAAAAAATGTAAAATGTAAAAATGTAAAAATGTTGTTGGATCGAGCTGACAAGGCAAATATCTGTCATTCTGCACCTGAGCAAGGCAGTTCACCCACTGTTCCCCGGGCACCGATGACGTGGATGTTGATTAAGGCAGTCCCCCGCACCTCTCTGATTCAGAGGGGTTGGTTAAATGAGGAAGACACATTCCAGTTGAACGCATTCAGTTGTCTGACTAGGTATCCCCCGGCACTCCTAGTGGCCGGGGACTTTAATGGAGGGAAACTTAAATCCGTTTTACCTAATTTCTACCAGCATGTCACATGTGCAACCAGAGGAAGAAAAAAAATTCTAAAACAACCTTTACTCCACACACAGAGACACGTACAAAAGCTCTCCCTTGCCCTCCATTTGGCAAATCTGACCATAATTCTATCCTCCTGAATCTTGCTTACAGGTTTTTAGATTTAAAAAAAAATGTATTACAAATAATAAACTGAAATATCAGATTTACATAAGTATTCAGACCCTTTACTTGGTACATTGTTGAAGCACCTTAGGCAGCGATTACAGCCTCGAGTCTTCTTCGGTATGACGATACAAGCTTGGCACACCTGTATTTGGGGAGTTTCTTCCATTCTTCTCTGCAGATCCTCTCAAGCTCTGTCAGTTTGGATGGGGAGCGTCTGTCCAGAGATGTTCGATAAGGTTCAAGTCCAGGCTCTGGCTGGGCCACTCAAGGACATTCAGAGACTTGTCCCGGAGCCACTCCTGCATTGTCTTGGCTGTGTGCTTAGGGTCGTAGGTGAATCTTCGTTACAGTCTGAGGTCCTGAGCGCTCTGGAGCAGATTTTCATCAAGGATCTCACTGTACCTTGCTCCGTTCATCTTTCCCTCGATCCTGACCTGTCTCCTTGTCCCTGCCGCTGAAAAACATCCCCACAGCATGATGCGGTTACCACCATGCTTCACCGTAGGGAAGCTGCCAGGTTTCCTCCAGACGTGACGCTTGACATTCAGGCCAAAGAGTTCAATCTTGGTTTCATCAGACCAGAGAATCTTGTTTCTCATGGTCTGAGAGTCTTTAGGTGCCTTTTGGCAAACTCCAAGTGGGCTGTCATGTGCCTTTTACTGAAGAGTGGCTTCCATCTGGCAACTCTACCATAAAGGCCTGATTGGTGGAGTGCTGCAGAGATGGTTGTCCTTCTGGAAGGTTCTCCCATCTCCAGAGAGTAACTCTGGAGCTCTGTCAGAGTGACCATCGGGTTCATGGTCACCTCCCTGACCAAGGCCCTTCTCCCCCGATTGCTCAGTTTGGCCGGGCAGCCAGCTCTCGGAAGAGTCTTGGTGGTTCCAAACTTCTTCCATTTAAGAATGATGAGGCCACTGTGTTCTTGGGGACCTTCAATGCTGCAGAATTATTTTTTTGCCTAACCTGTACCCCCGCACATTGACTCGGTACTGGCACCCCTGTATATAGCCTCGTAATTGTTCTTTTATTGATACTTTAGTTTATTTAGTAAGTATTTTCTTAACTCTTATTTTTCTTAAAACTGAATTGTTGGTTAAGGGGTTGTAAGTAAGCATTTCACTGTAAGGTCTACACCGGTTGTATTCGGCGCATGTGACAAATAAAATGTGATTTGATTCCTATGTTCACAAATTCCCAATTCAATGAAATACCATGGTAAACTAGGCCTAATCATGATTTTATCCAGCCAAGCAGTACTGGTTGGTGTGTGCTGTATAGACAACAAGGAGGCCCAGGGTTATTATAATGAAAGGAAAACATACACGTTTCTATTTGCTCATCGTGATATTTTCCCTGCCCCTCACTCACAGTTGAAGTGCTAGGCTTTGTGTAACTTATGGGTGGTGGTCGTGGAAAGAATT